GCGATGCTGGTGGATGTCAGTATCGACGATGGAATCGGTTTGGGATGTTTACTTTGTATCTGCGGCCGTCGGATTTGACGCGCAGCGCAAGGTAGGTGTATGGGTCCACGTCCCAGTAGAGGCGGCCGAAGAGCCATAGCCCACGGTCTTTGTTGCGGAAAGCCGCATAACCTGTAACGTTTTAATGAAAACCCTCTTGTAAATGCATGAAAATTGGTCTCATACCGGTCCTCTGGACCTTCCAATTCTGCGGCAACTTGGTGGATATTGAGCCATGAAAGCGGGCATGTGCGGGGGTATTGGTGGCGGGATCTGCGGGGATATAGTCCAGATTTGCAGTGCTGTAACCACCAATGGCGCGGTCGGACATGGTCTTGCAGCCCGCAATTGTGTTCTCGTCGGTGAAATCGAGGAGGTGGTAGGGTTTGTAAGGGACGGAGAGGGCGTCGAGGTTCCAGGCTAAGTTGTTGAACAGAAGTTAGCAAAAGGATGCGTCTATCTGGTTTGATACCCGGTGGCATGCATGCCGTGCATGCCGCAACATTCGTTGATTTGACATACCCATCTTAGTAAACCGGGCCAACTCGTCCGCGCTCCTTTTGACGAAGCCGGGTGACTGGGCAAGGCATTTTGCTGTGGGAATCATTGTTACTTGTCAATCAAAAATGGAACTTATCAAAGGATGAAAAAAATAGAAACAGAGACAGGACATGGGTCCTTATGTTTCCCAGTATTGGTGTCCAACGGCAAGTTGAGGGTTCGAAGCTAGATTGATCGATTGATCGATTGAGTATCGAAGAAACCACATCGGAGCTTGGTCACGTGGATGGAGCTCAATCGTCCAAGATACAAATGGGAATTGCACAATGTGCAGATATCACTACCAGTATATCTTAAAGAAACTTGTTGAAAAAGCTCTGCGAATTCCAATACAAGATACTTTCATGAGTACAGAACAAACAAATAATATGACGCCTGTTCTATATAACCTGAGTATATACAAAGACAGAACGAGGCTGTCTTAATCTCAAAAATGCTACTAGTATGCTATGCGGCTTGATGGGAAAGAAGGGTAATATGTACGGGACGTAGGTATGCATGCATGCATGCATGTATGCTAGAACTAAGCAGAACCCAAAATGAGGGACGCAGAAGCAGAAGGGAATAACAGCGCTCACGGGAACCAACATCATAAAAAAAAGGGATGAAAACTGAAAAATGAGGAATAACCCCAAAATGTAGGCCGCCCAAAACAGAAATGAAAATGCACAGAGGCTATAAAAGGTATGCATGTACGTATGTATCGTCAATCCCATCATAAAAGTATGCCGCAAAGGAAAAAGAAAAGAAAAAGAAAATTGTGTGAGGTGAGAGAAAGCAGATAATCCACGAGGGAATATGGTAAACGCAAGATGTAGGAAAATCGTGAGGGTCATCAAGTATATACAAACAAGTATGAAAAATGGTGAGGGAAACACATATTATATACCGAAATATTCATATCCACCTTTTCTCCTCCACGGCCATCATGTCCATGTCCACGTTAGAGTCCACGTCTCCCATCCTATCCCATCATATAACATCACCCCTGACCCTCCTCGCTGCGAACCATCCTAAATCCACTGCGGTGTCATTAACACCAATAACCGGCGCCGACTCCTCCAGCATCTCCCACGGCCGCAGTGGAAAACGTCCCACAATGCCGCCCGGATGCTGTACGCGCAACTTACCGACAAGAGAATTCTGGTCGTCAAAGGGAAGGAAGTTTGTGGTATTGTAGATGTTGCCGCTTTGGAATTGTTGGGAAGACGAAGAGTTTGCCTTAGCACCAGGAGGTGCTCCTGCAGCTGGAGTTGCAGTTGAGGCGGGGGGTCCTAGTGTTGTTTGTGATAGGCTAGGTGCTACCGGCTGCTGTTGGGAGGATTGCATGGTGGATGACGATGGCTGAGTGTCTGCTGCTAGGGGTCCGAGGAGAAAGAAAAGACGTGGGTTGTTTTGTGGGTGAAGGAAGGGAGGGCAGCGGTCGCGGAAGAAACGCGAGCATTGGTGGCGACTATCATCTGGGATAGTGTCGAGGAGAGTTGCAGCGACATCTAGGGCTTGGGTTCGTAGATTGGTCGATATGCCAGCATCGGTGCTGTAGAAAAGGGGTTGAGGCCGTGAACCTTGGGGAGGAACAGCAAACGTAAGAGGGGTGGTTGGGGGAATGTAGTAGGGCCGGGCGGAGGGGACCTTGGGGGAGAGAGTCTTCGATAGAGCGATGCAGGTGATTGAGATCAGTAGGCGGGATTGGTCAGCCAAGTCGGATTTTGACAGAGTGCCTGGGGTAAATGTGGACCGGTGGATGGAGACTAGACGGAGCAAAATGTAAAACCAGAATGTAATGGCAGATTCCTGGGTCGCGTGAGCCTGGCGAATGGCCGCGGCTTGGTCGTTATATTGGGTTATATTGGTATTCATGATGTGACTTTCAAGGATGGTAATTCTGTGCAGAATCATGTTCATCTTTTCGATCAGCATAGGACCCAGTGACGGACTACCATTCTCTGGAACGCTAAATGATAGATCCTCCACTATGCGCAGACATACGAGCGCAGAAGCGGTTACAGATGTTGGCGCACCGGACTTGGATACCGGGCTGGCCGGTAGAGAATCGGAGGAGAGCACAAGGGACAGTAGTTGCTCCTCTGCTCGTTGGCGGATCTTTGGGGGGAAAAGAAAAAAGAAAGTCAGCACTGTCATCAAATTGTAGTTCAGATGGTATCCTGCTCACCTCTTTTGCTGCATCTGCATGCAAGGTTCCCACAACATCAATCCAATGGGACTGACCCTTATGCATATTTGATTTAGCCGCTTCAAAGACGACATCATAAATACGCTTTTTCACGTCATTGTCACACTCGAAACTGAACAGCAGTCGTAAGTTTATTAGACACAATGGTAATGAGAAATCATTGATCGACTCTATAGTTCTTTCGGCTGCAGCTAGGCCTATCCCTAGACGAGTTAGTTGCTGTATTAACACTCATCACAGGGTTAAAAAACATTACCAGTTTGAACTGGAGACGCCAACAAACGACCCAGTGCCTGATGTGTAAGATTCATGCAGGCTGGAAATGTTTCCAGTAAACGGTCCCGACAATCCGCACCAACAATAGAAGGGTGTCGAACAATAATTTCACACAAAAGAGGCGTCACAATGGTACTCAGCAGATCATTGTTGAATTGTTTGGGTGGAGAGTCAGCTCTATTTTCAGAAAGGTTTGCGAGCAAATCTTGGATGAGGCCGAGAGCTTCCCCAGAATACTGTCTCATGTACCCTTGCCGGGCAATTTTAAACCGATACGCAACCTTGATGCGGAAAAGAAAACAAAGTACGTAAGCAACTGTAACATTTTACAACTTGTGGGAAATCTGTCAAAACTTACCAGGCCCTGCGATCCATTCCCATTTGACAGCTTATCGTCTAGTAGCTGAATCATATCGATGCGAAGCTCTGCCAAATCCGGAATGGCATTTTTATACGCATCAGAATGCAGAAATGCTCTAGCAAGTACATAGAAAGAGTGCAATGTCACGCATCCGACGCCGATAAGGGGTGGTAAAATGGAGGAAAGTTTTGGTCGAGGTGACGACCTCATCACCGAAATGACCCATTTGATCATGAGGTTATCGAACAATTTGGTATTGAACGGCCTAAGGTTTGCGAAATATCGCGCAGTCTCATGAGCACTTTGTTCCCCATTTATGCTGCCAGCTTCAAGTTTCTTCCGAAGGGTGTCAAAAATTCGTGCCATGGTTGATTCGTCCATGCTATTCCCGGAAGTTAATAGCTGATCCAGTTCTTCTGTGAATGTGGGGTTGGCTGTATTTAGCGTATCAACAATGTGGTCAGAGACTGGAGAGCAAGCTGCCATGGCTAACTTCCTATCCCGTTGGAGTTGATCTCGACGGAGCATAGAAAGCGTGGACAATTCCGCTGGAAGCTTGATGGCAACATCCAAAAGTGAAGCAATTAGATCTTGGACCGATAATTCAGTTTTGCTGATTCTAGCGTAAGCTCCTGTGAAGCTTTTGAAAAGATCACCAGTAGCACCGATGGCATTAAACGAGTCTAGATGATAGTTCAGTGTGTCGACGGCTGATGCTACTACGGTCACATTGTTGGATCCGGAAGCATACTTCAAAACGTCGGCAAGCATGGAGAAATCACATAGACATTCAAGAATATATCGTACTTCGAAAAATTCTTGAGGAGTAAGTGCCGATGTTTTGACTTCACTTGCGAAATCGCGGTCAATAGCACTCCTAGTGCGCCATTAGCAGGTAAGAAACGGTAACGTAACATCTAGCAATTTTTTTTTTTTTTTTTGAAATAAATAAATAAAAAAAAAATCAACTTACTTGAGACTATTTTTGACATGGGAGGCTACCTGATCCCTTATCCAATTTCCTATTTCTGACCTTACTGTCCAGCTTAGCGACGTAAGATCAACATCATCTGTCATTTCAGCATCTCCATTTATAGAAAGCATAGGAAACATGTGGGGAAGGCGCCGTCGAACGGAAGCCTTAATGAGTTGAATCGTATCATTCTCAAGAGCTACTGAAAATCCCGTCCTTGACAAGAGCGTATTCCGCAAATTCCATATATGGCTTGGGAGACGATGTGGTGGAAGATGACCGAGGAGTCCGATGTCAGCCGAAACATGCTACAAATGTACACGTTAGATAACAATTTTGATCATGGATAGAATAAAATTCAGGAATGGTGGGGTACTGTACCATCTGCTGAAAGTCAGAGACATTGCTGAGAACCCCACGTGCCATGAGCCACTGCAGGTATTTTGCTACAGAGAATGATTGTGATCGAACCAGTTCGCAAATGACATGGTACACATCAAAAAACCGCACACCTGACTTCCAGTGATCTTGTATGAGGAACGAAAGAATGTGGGAGTCGATATCGACCCCTGACTTTTTCCATTTCCGAAAAACGCGCACCACCGTGTATGTTCGCGCCATCCCATACCGAAAGGAAGTCGATGCCCATTCTATCAATTTGGTAACTAGGATGCTATAGTCCTGAGATATATTCAAGCACTCTGAGCAAATGGTGGAAACGTCACTAGAAGAGTCAAGAAGTTGGATGAGGCGTTGATTGATAGATTGTATGGGTTTCCCACGATCGTTCTGTAACCGACAAACTCGAGTGTTTCTGGCCTTAAGGTTTTGGAAAGCGGCCTTGTCGTCTGGGAGGTTCATGTCTAGACATGATAATAGTACACTTTCGTATTTGGCCCAGGTCCGAGGAAGAATAAAGGAGGATGGATGATACAGGGTTAATGTTTTGGTCAGGCGAGATAGGCGCTGCGCAAGGGGGTTCAAGTGTGCATTTTGACCGGCGTCAGACACCTGCAATATATAACATCAGCTTCTAGGTCCTAAGAATAAGGAAGGGGAAATGGGGGGAATTGCGATAAAACGTACCAGACGGAGTTTCTCAAGTAAGCACTCAGCCAAACGCTTTGCCCTTTTGCGATAGCGGACTATATTTTGCCAGTAAACCCCAACCATGAGGAGCCACACAGGAAGGCTCTCGAAAGAAGAATTACCCAAGGACGTAAGAAACCAATCTAGAAAATGATCTTGATCGATCAGGTGTTCGAGAAAGAGCCGTGCCGAGAGCCTGATACTATAAGAGATCCTCAATTTCCAGCTCGCATCGCCAAAACTAGCAATCACGCCCTCGATGAATTGCTGTACGCTGATAGTCCAGTCTCGAACCCATTTTGTTTCGAGACCACTCGCAACTCCCGCAGAGGTCCCTTTTCTCTTGAATGCGCGTAATTCGTTGGCACCCACGCATTTGGCCAGCCATATAGCTCGACAAATAGGAATGGATTTCCCAAGGCATTGGTCCAGAAGCAGTTTGCCCCTGATTCCATGTGGTATAGTGCGACTTAGTCTACGTAGCGGAACAGAGGGGTTTGCCAAATCGCGAAGCCACGCCTCACGTTTGATATCGGTTAGTGTAACCCGGGGAGGAGGCCGAAAGGTCGACGCCGCGGTGATTGTACATAAGGCCTGGCGTTTTTCGAGGGCTGCAGCAAAAACAGATGACAAGAGTTTCAATCCAGAACGACGCTTGAAATGGGGATAAACACTTGTTCTGGCACTCGTGCTCTCAGTAGGGGGCGCCGGAGAGCGGTCATAGAAGCCTTGCTTGATGGTTTGCTCTGACAATACGTCTTCAGGGTGTGATCCTCTCCAAGGAGTGAAATCCGCAGGTTCTGCAATGCACATTAGTAAATGGGAAATAGAAATCCAGAAAAACAAAGCAACATTAACCAGGGTTTCTTCAAGTATAAAAGGACATACTGTTATCTGCGAATCGTGGTGCGATGGAGGGAACGTCGATACGATACGGTGTCGTCGTCACCTCCCCGCATTCCTCATTGTCTTTCTGGTTCGTCGCACCAGCGACATGCCGTCCCTGGATGCCATATTTCCAAGGGCGAATAGGCAGCGGGGGCAAAGATGCAGACTGAGACCACTGGGCGAGCTCTGTCTGAGCCCCTGGACCAGTTCTCCGTATATCGCTCCGGAACGACCATGGTGGCCGGGCGGTCTGTTCTGTCGAAGAGGCATTCATGATATCCAAAGGATTCATAGACGATTCTGGAGCTTCGCTTGCCGTGGAGGAACCATGATGTTGAGAGCTGGACTGGTTTTGGGATTGGTGATGTTGTTGATGTTGGTTCCGGAGAGGGTCCTCGAGCGACTGCGAAGGCCCATTGCCAGCATCCAGCCGCGGCCTCTTGGCAGGCCGCTCGCCATCAGCCGCGCCACTGTGATCGGATTCAGTGAGATCGATGACTGTATTTTGGTGCGGGCGGGAATCAATTGCCGGATAGGGGTCAGAGGCAGGGTAGAGGTGGGCTGACGAGCGTCGACTGGGAGCGGAGGGACGGGAAGGCGGTCGGTGGGAAGAAGGATGGGGGATCATTTCCAAAACATGGCGGACGTCCCGATGGTGGACATCGGAACGATCAGGCCATTTTTATTGTCGAGGGTGAGTTGATTGCGGTGGGGAGAAGATTTGACGGCTGATGCGGAGGTGGATGGACTATTAGCCGGCAAGCCAAGTTCTGCTGTGGCTGTAGGAAGGTGATCGTAAGAATGTGACAAAGCCTAGGAAACCAGCGCAAACCTCGAGCCAGATCGACGGGTATCCGCAAATCTCTTAGGGAGATTGATGGTTGTGGCTGTTGTGCCGGTGGGTGGTGGTTGGTTGGCTGAGTTTGGATTGGGTCGAGCAACGAAGTTCGACGATGTTTGTCTGATCCGAAGACGGCAAACGTCAGTCAGGTGCACGGCAACCTTGGACCAGCCTACGATAGATAACTCCAACAAGCACGCCGTAGTTAATGGTGAAGCATGGCACAGATCGAGCCTGTCAGCAGAATAGCGGTTGGCAAAGCGCTGGCGTCTCTCTGCCTGACCAGAGGCGGCGGCGATTTGGCTGATCAACTAATTATTTTCCAAAAATGTCAAACTTTCACCCCAATCCAGCATCATCATGCACGGGATAAGTGATAGTTCTGTGTCTATTTACAGAAACAGATGACAGATAAAAGTGATAACTACTCCCGCAGTCTCACTTATTTTTCAAACCACTGGAACCACCTCTACGTATACGCCCGCATGCAGCTCTCACCGTTCCTCACAGACCTCACAGGCAAATTCAGCATTGGTGCTGAACTGGTTAAGGTTAAGTTGCGGGCTCTTCCGTGGTTTAAAAAAGCGCCAACCACTTATTCGGCAGTCCGTCTTGGTTGGCTTATTCCAAGATTTCCGGGATTATTACTTACTATTATTATATCACAGACATGTTAACATGGTGAGTAATTCATGCTTGTGAGAGCCATCTTATCACTGTGTTGGAAGGTTTGAGCGTCAATATGCGCGCCTCCTCCTGCGTTGTGATAGTTATTAATTACATCGACATCGGCTTGATGCTTACCAGCCATTCATTCATCAGTGCAATGTCTCCTTCGGACCAGGGGCAGTTGTCATTACTGTCATCCAACGTGGCTATCTAAATATCCATGTCAAGCAGAAGACATCATCAAAGACTCGGTCTAACCTCAGCTCCGTTTCTCTACAACATCACCTTTTCTGGCTGCGCGGAAAGGATAATATATCATCAGTCGTCACTATTGTCTCACTTCAGAGTTCTCTCTAAGCAACAACATCCCTTCCGGTCTCTCCGGATGATTAATTAATTCGTCGCTTTTTTCACAGCAGAAGTCAGATGTGCTTGTGCCATGTTACATTGCTAGTTATACCTCTCCTCTTTAGCATGCCTCTCACAACCAAGGCAGGTCCCTACATCCTGTAACTACGGCGTAACTGCCTTCCAGCATGCCGTTACTTTGCAAAAAGAACTATTGGGTATTCTATTGCACAACAAGAAGGGGAAAAAAAAAACAAAAAAACAAACAAAAAAAAAAAAAGGCCAAGGGTTATTCCTCAGATATCCATCCCCTTGCCATCAGTTGTTTGACGAAATAATCAACACACGGCCCAAGGTGAGCGCAGGCTGAAGAGTCGGCTCCTTACGCACCTAGGTATGTATGCATTTAGCCACCTAATAGGTGCGATATACACGACATAGCCTGTGCCCTCAGGTTTTGTCTGCCGATAGGCTCCAGGTCAAGCAGCGAGAGCTGTAACATTTTCATAACACCATGGAAACCCCTGTTGCTCCTGGCGTCCGATAATCACCCGTCGGCCAAATTATTTGGACAGTCTTCCCACCTTAAATCCATTGCCAACATCAATCCGGACCCGCAACGATCGTTGCCACGACCGCCACCCACCACTGATCAAACCCTGGTCATTGCAGTCCAATCGAAGTGGACCCCACTCCTTGGCAAAAACGTGCATTCCTGGCACATTGATTTCACCAGCTCGCACAAGGGGGAAAGAATGAGATGATCCCCATGTGGTGCTGAACGAGGATAGGCCTTGTACATGTATCCCCCCGGGGCACACGACATATGCCTGATGGCGTACACTCTATATTATCTCCACCCCTCACTTTTCGGAATCGATTGCCGGCTTTCTTTGAACAAAGCCTGGCCCGCATCAGTCAAGTAAAACGATATACAAGAACTGTCGCTTTTGCAGGACCCCTGCAATATACTAGCTAACAGTCGACAAGACACCTCTCTCCCAGTGCAGTAGAAAGTTCTCTCAACTGACAAAAAGACATGCCTCGATTCGTAAAGGGAGGGTCAAAAAAAAAAGGAAGAAAAAGAGAGAGAGGAGGGGGGGGAGAGAGATAACCATTCAACCATCCTCACCCACTTCCATTCCAATCACTCGACCATATAAAGGTATCGCACCGCCACTGATCCCCTGTTTTCTTAATACCCGTAGGTCCCAAAGGCCGCGAACATATCCAAAAGGATCGGCCGCGGTTGATTCCCGCTTTTTTTGTCACAAGGCTGATGCAAGGTTCATCGTGGCCATCACATTTCGGTGGAGGCTTTTTCGTGAAGAGCTTTGACCATGATTCCTTGTTGGCAATTGGATCATGCACTCTACCGGAATTATCATCATCTCTGTCGTATGCCGGTGGGCCAGCCGTCTGTGATTGTTGACATCCGTTTTCTTGATGGTCACAGCAATCTCCTGATGGACATGGAGGTTTTATTGCGGTTCCTTTTTGTGGACTGCCACCTTCTGCCGTAGCCGACGACTTAGAGTGATCATTTTCATCATCTGCAGAAGCAACTGTAGTACAAGAAGTTGTTTTCGGGCCAAAGAAACCTTTCAAGGTTTTCTGCCCCTTCGCCTTCGTAGTAGTTGTCGACGACTCACTCCGTTTCAAACGTTTGGGTCGTGAGGTTGTCCCATCATCCGCTTTCTGAGGCCGCTTCGGAGTGTTTGGCTCTGCTGATGTTGCTATCGGAGTAGAAGACGGGGAAGGTATATTCGACCTCCCTATTGCCGAAAGGCTGATGTCCGAGGAGGCTTTCTGGGCAGAAATGGGGATACCTACACCGCCAGCAGCGTTTCCACTACCCTGGTAACCATTTTGTGACCTCTGTTGAAATAACATATCTTTAATGCTTCTTCGCTGACAAAATTCAGGTATTAATCTACCGGAAAGTGGAAGAGTATCTGCGGGGGAGTATTCCCGCTTCCGCTGTCCATTTTCGAAAGTGCCCTTCGGGTTGAGAATGTCGAGCATGTTGACTTCAATCCCGTCCAATGACACCTTATCCTTCAATTCGGCATAAACGGGACAGTGATCGGAGCCCTAGAGTCACTATATCAGAATTCCATGTGGGGCTAAAGCATAACAGTTGGGACAAAATCACCATAAGACCCTCCTGGATATTCGATGCAGAAAACCAGTCTTGCATACTTCTGTCGCATAGAACATAATCGATCCGCGCACCGTAATTGCCGGGTCGAGCGTTGACTCTTTGTTCCCAGCAAGTATACATACCTAGTCGATCAGGATGGTATTTTCTACATAAATCCACAAGGACAGGCGTTTCCCTTCCGTGGTCCCTGTCACCAATAACCTTCCCACCATCGACCAACTGATTAAAGATACGACGAACGGGCGAAGATACAAACTCCGAATCTGTCAGGGTACCTTTCCTTACCCCTTCGAGAGCACGGGCCGAATCGATTTGAGAGCCGCTGATGTTTAAGTCTCCCGTCACGATGACGCGTTTCCCCATAGCGGCTAGATTCCGTACTCTTGCATCAAGCACATTCACAAACCCTGTTCGAAACCCGTCTCTTGTCTCATCCCTGTTCGCCGGACAGTAGACACCAATCAAGACAAATGCTGGGAACTCCAGAATCATACAGCGTCCCTCAGAATCAAGCGTGGCAGCATCTACATCTGAAAGAGCCAGCTGTTCAGCAGTAGGGTAGCCGCCGATCTGTGCTTCTTCTGGCAAGTCGCGGAACGAAGTTGGTGACGATAAATTAGACCCAGATGTTGGCAAGCACAGAATGCCCGTAATCCCTTCTTCCGCCCGTATGGGACAGCATATGGAGTTCCTGGTATATATCACGACTCCAGAATAACCTGTGCGTAATGTTAGTTACATATATACTTGCATAGGTGTCTGATTCAAAAGCTCATAGTATCCGGGTCTTACGGACCCTTTTTATACTTGGGTAGGCTGAAAAAACAGTCCCAGCCATTAACAAGGACCATGTCATCTTGCAAATCTTTCCTTTGAATTTTCGTTTCTTGGAAGATCACTATGTCTGCTTCAAGGGCATCGAACATCGCCTGTATATGGAATATCAGAAATTGTACATATACGCAAGGTACAAACTTCTCGGGTATATATTACTAAAATACTAGTACATACCTCGAAGGACCGCTTCTCTCTCCATGGATGATACGAAAACGGGTTACTAAAAAAATATATTGTTATTTTTCCATAGACCTCATAAAAACATTGTCTAGGCCATAACACTAACCGTATCCCATTAACTACAACCAGAGTGGGTTAGTTATGTGTGGAATACTGAGGTTGAGCAAGCATGCGTACCATTCCAGGTTGTCAACCTGACCATCTGTGACGGGTCCTATCTGATATCATCAAAAACAGACTTTTGGGACGGATGTTTTCAAGAACCGACAAATGGCCCGTACAGACTGTCAATTAAGAAAAGAATTATTCATATATAAAGGGCATATCCACGGTTTGGAGGGAGTGTTGTGTAGGTGTTGAGGGCATCATCGAGCGACTTCATATATGGAACGAGGAGTTGCCAAGATAATCACGTGATATAGTGTTCTCTCGGAACTGTCGCAATCCAGCCAAAGATGGACGATCATCCAACATCACAAATTCCTGATTCAACACAACACATTCTTCACACAGCAACCACCGACTGTCAATCGGCTCCCGTGTAGATTGATAGAGTGACTAAACATTATGTTCCCTCGTGCTTCCGTTTTTCGCCTGGCCCAGCGAACTGGTGTCCCCGCGACCCGTCCGTCGCCCGTCCGGTCTGGGATTCTCCAACGTCGATTCAACAGCACCGAGCAAAAGCTTCCCCCACTTCCTGACAATGCCTTTAACCGTGAAAGAGCTGCTGTAAAAGCTCATGCTGCAGCTACCAGTGGTACGTTTGCCCGTTTCTCCGTCTCAATTTGCCAAGTGGTGTCAAAACAGGACAATTCTAACCATTGCTTGTGTTTCATTTTTCGCAGACTTGTGGCGGAAACTTTCCATCTAGTATGACCAAAACACCCCTCCCTCAGTTGCCCTATACTCTACAGTCGTTCCCCATTTCTACACCTCCAGTTCATCATTCGAGTGGATTAGAATGATAGAGTAAAGAGATTCCCGAATAGGAGATCTAATTACCGTCTCAATTCTAGCGCTGTCGTGCCCGTCGTCCTTCTCGCCAGCATCAATGCCTACAACCTGTGGAATGAGCATTGGGAACACTGGGAGCACATGCCACCTTTGGAAGAGCGGGTAGAGTACCCTTACCAAAACATTCGAAACAAAAATTACCCCTGGGGTGATGGCGATAAGGTATGTCCATGTCATATTTGGGCGCTTGCCTATGTGGTTTATATTTGAGCGAATTCCATTTGCTAACTCATCTTGGAAACCTATAGACCTTGTTGTAAGTGTTTTCTATACGCGAGGATCCCTCCCGTTGGTCCTCGCTGTTTTGGTTTTGATTAGACATGAGACTGGGATAATATCCTGATCTGAATGACACCCGCGCTATTGATATATTCACCTCCCTTTGTATGGACTATTATTTTCGCTAACGAGGATGATTCAACAGCTGGAACTCTTCCGTGAACTATCACAACCAAGACAAGGTTACATAAACTGCCACCTCCCACATAGGTCTCGCCACATTCCCCATTCAGAGAGATCTCGGATGAAGTGCGAATAAGCAGATCGGGGAAGAAGACGGGGGGAAAATGACTGAAAAAAAAAACCCAAACAATGTATTTAGTACACACAACATTTTCATTCCAACTGTCTCTTTTTTCGGACGAGTGATTGGAAAAATCACCTCAAGATCCTGAGGGAAATCATGTCGGCTCTCGCAGTATTCACGCTCCCTTGTAAATAAGCTTCTTTTGTTTAATCGGTTCGCTTGATTTAGAGTATGGAATACTATGCCTACTTCAATATGCAGTGCATGTCGGAGCTTCTCTTATCGTATGATGCCACTTCCGGGACAACATACACTTTCCCATTCCGGATTAGCTCCGCCAAGTCCCGGAAACAGCGCGATGCGACTACGATTCCAAAATGTCAGACGGGGAGTTGGCCACGATGGCGTTTGTATCTCACGCTGCTCCAAACGCTGCTCCAGCTTCTTTTGCCGCGATGCAAACGGCAGTTATTGCTTTTTGAACGCAGTGAACGAGCTAGTATCCATTCCGCGACTCTCCGCTCAAACTATACACCATATCTCCGCTTCTGAAAAAGATGGCCACCAAGAAAGATATGCGGAGACCGGAGCTCGGTTGGTATCTCCATGATGTCTGATTGATGGGTACTATATCTTATGCTAATTAACACCGCTAGTTGTTCCATATGTCGAGCCGCCGGCGAAAGCGTCAGATGCTTCGGATATGAGCAGTATGCTATGCCAGCTGAGAATGCATACATTGCATTGTCCTTTGTCTTGCCATCCTAACTTGAAGTTTTAATGTAGGCACGATGTCGAACACGATGCCAATGGCTGCTGTATGTACTTTAAGCCCCTGACACCCTAATCATTTACAACGCTTGAAACATTGTTGACCAGCCGCCTTGCGATATTAGATGTTCTCGAGAAATAAGTACGTGTCGCCTCCACACGCTCCTCACCCTTGCTTTCAATTCGTGTCTCCCGTGCACCTTTGCTAACAAAAAATCTTCCGCGCCAATAGGATGATTGCCTGGTATGCTTATTCCAGCTTGTTACATTGAAGTCATGGGAATCGCATCGCGCTGATTAACTGGAAATAGGGCTGCCGTTACGTTCTCCCTGCAAAACTGGATGGCGGAAACCCCAGAGCAGCAAAAGAAGGCAGCAACGCCCGCATACATGGGTGTGATTATGGCCTGTAAGAATTGTCGCTCGCTGTTACGAACTCCTTGCTGGGTCCTATTTTCTGGACCGTTATTGCCTCGGAAACTAAACTAATCTACTTGACAACCCTTCTATATGTAGTCCTCTCTATCCTTGTCGTACGTCTCGCCTGCGGGTCCCTTCCCCGTTTCCTCTACCTCTGTACTTCTTGAATCGATAGGATTGGTTTTACACACAAACACGACAAGCGGCTAGCTAACAACTTTATATATAGACATACATGCCCATGTTTCTCCCTCCTCCCGGGAGGCCTGCACCCAAAGCAGCTGCTGCCCCTCCGATGCCACCCCCCTAATAGACCGCTATGAAAGAGGGTTTTTTATGAACCCTTTTCTATCTTCTCTGTATCCAGCGGTAAATATTTATGACGAAGGATATTTACCTGCAAGTTTCGATATTCTATGCATACTTATAGCCAGATGCCATGTTTCGGAACAGTGCTTTTCCGGACGATATACACAGGCTGCGTTAACAAAATGTACCATATTATTATTTTTTCCCTTCATCCTATTAACAATTTTTCATTCTCAAGCAATTCCGCAACCCCCTATACTCAGTGGTTGTGTGAAATTAATTCATCAAAACATTTCCCAATGACTCAACTACATTGTGAAAAGGTACAACTACGACACCACAACACAGAAAGTTAGCAAAAGTACCAGCCATTCTTCCCCATATTCACAGGTCTCCCCACCAACCAGCCAGCCCCCTCCTTTAAATTCTAATTGCTTGATTTGACTGGTGAATACCACAACACTTAGCCCATCCCCTCCCCCGCCTCCTTACACTCGTGGCCTTGACTCATCATGTGTTGCTAAATTCATACTGCTCCCAGCCTCTTCACAGCCCAGCTCCTCTATTCTAGGCCGCGCAAGCAATGCCGTGTTTTGCCTTTTTATTGAATGATTTCTGGTTAATGCTCTCAGTACCGTTTTTAGGAGGGGTTGGACGCCCAGCCTCTCCGATCAACTATTTCTGGAAGCGGGGGAGGCGGGGGACTGGGTCAGAGGAGCTTTGTGGATGATATGGTTTTTGGTTGCTAAGGTGTAGAAGGCTGGGTAGTGGCGGGTCTTTGTGAGATGGAGAATTTCCTTTTCTGAAAGTGGTTTGTTCATTTTCGTTGCTACGGTGTTGGGTCGCGATGTATAGGAGTCACCAGTCGTTGCTATGCAGAGTTAACAGACGATTCCAGAAGCTGGGGTTATCAAAGAATTCATTGTTCCAAAAAATCATCCATAACCTCCGTTTTTGATATCCGCGATTTTTAAACGTAACTCGTCGAGAGCTTTTGAACAAGGCAACCAAGAGGATATCTTCCTACCCCTAGCTCCCAATCCTTATGGCAATGCCATGCAATTCATCCATGCCTTGGGCAGACTGCGATGCAGGCCTCCTCGATTGTATGATATTGGACCCCACATGCCACTGACCAATGTTCAATTGTCGCTATTGCTAACACCAATTGCAATCCCAGGCGATGGCATTGCCACCCGCAAATGCAGCACTGAATTTCTTAGCATATTGTGCACGACATTTATCGATTGCATCAAAGACGACAAAGTTCATGTCGAGAACAGCAGCGCCAACATGATATTCGAGAGTGTGATGGCAGAGCTGCGACGGCTTTCATCATCTACAACCCTCTTTCCATCAGCAGAGACACAAACACGTTTCTGGGCTCTCTTGTCCCAAGCAATTGATGACCAAGTCGCCGCCGTGCATTCGAAAGTAGACGCACAGATCAGGGCCGACTTCCTAGTGCGGGCCAACCTGCTCGCGAGGGAAGAAGACCGCCTGTTACAGCGCCTCAATCGCCCGTCGTATAAACCAGGTTTGCTACCGTGGGAACAATTCCTTCTCAAAGGGAGCCCTGGATGTGGTGTACGCCTGCCTCGCACCACTCCGAACGCTACTCTACAACTCATGCCAATTGGCGGAGTAGCGCTCCATCTCAGGTGGATGAGAGATAGACATCTCACCGCGAAGAAGTGTGAAGGCGTAAGTTAGGCCTTGGGAACGTCCTTGAGGGATAACGAAGTTTAGTAATATATGGCGCTAACTTTGACTTGTTTAATTTTGCTGTTCGAAAAGTCCGTTCTTCCAGATGTACTACCTGGCGTTCCCTCAACCTTGCGACGAACGAAAGTACGTATTGATTAGTTCATTTTGAGCACAGTCCCTCGATGCGGGCCCCTACATTGTCAAATCCCGCGAGGGCCGACACCCTTAGACTCGTTCACACTGTACTTTGTTGTCCTTCATTACTGTTCCAAGACACGATCTGCTGTTCTAATTCTTTAATTTCACCCAGATCGCAAGCCACAGATGTCGTTAACCCTTCGCCGTTTCAGCTACCTACTAGCACTGGTGCCCTCCGGGCAAACACAATCTCCCTAACTTCTGGTATGGTAATACAATGAATCTATATTCGTCAAGATTCTTCGGAACAAAACCCCTACTTGTATATCGATCCCATGATGTAATTCCAATATTTAAACCCTACTCTCGCGCCGGTATAAAACATCAAGAACTGAAGGTGGATGAAAGTGGAAGATCTTAAATTCTTTTATATGTTGCATCAGATCAGCCCAATCTTTCCTGAGAAATTAGAGAGGATTTTCTGGCTATTAGGGCTTCAATAGAAGACGATTGACGGCAACGCCTGAGTTTGGCTTTCCCGAGGAATCCGCATGGTTAAATTGAATCTGGCATGGTTGCAAGCCAAAATGCATTCTTTAGCCATACACTTGGCCTAGAAGTAAACATACGCAAGGAAAACATCCAGCACTCGTCGGTACGAGAACTTTTGAAACGGCTTTTTTGGAATGCAAGCGTTGAGCTGACTGCGTAGGTTGTCTATTAATCAGGAATTCTGTATCAGGACTAAACTAAATATCAGGAGCTAAACACAAAGAAGTGAAAGTTTATTTACATTGAGAAGGAACAGTCTGTTAAGGTCGTTTTAACACTGTCTTCGAATACGGACACACGGCCCAACCCAGCAAAAACATATACCTCGGAAACATGCAGAATATTGGGTATCACTGCCCCAGGCCGGCAAAGTAATTATCAAACTCGAAATCCAAATTGGACCAATTCCCTGCCAACCCCGTCGTGGTGACAACATGAGACTGGGTAGTATGTTGTGGTGGAGGAGTGACAGTTGTGCCTGGGCGCCGAACTTGAAAATTCATAAATCCAGCGTCCTCGAAACCCATAACGTAATTAGTGCTATGATTCATCGTCATATTCGTAAACCCTCGGCCAGGTGAGAGCGGAACAATGAGGTCGAAATTGCGGTCGTCATTGGCTATATTATTCTCGTCACTTGCAGGCGAGAGAGAATTTACATATGCGACATCCGATTGAGATATTGGAGTGACAACCTCGCCAGCACCAAACTGGGTAGAGCTGACAACTTGCATATCATTCAACTCCAATTGATGAGTGTCACGACGAGACGTGGACCGGCGCTTTTTCTCAGATGGCTTGCGGGGAGCGTATTGATAATCTGGGTGATCCTTGGCATGCTGGACCTTGATTTCATCGGCAAGCGATTTGAAATGGGCTTTGGTCTCAGCAGATTCAGCTTTCCATTTCTTCCCAAGAAGTACGGCTAGAGAAAATTGTTAGAGAAGTCATTAATAACGGGAATAAAAAACCAACATATTTCATTATTGTGGAAGTCTGGGTGAGTTGCTTTGACGAGTGGATGGTGATGCCGGCGATACAAAATGAAAGCGTTTGGCGGCCGTGGTATTTTTTCGGGTTTTTCTAGAGTAACCTTGTTGACTTTTGGAGATGAGCTGACGCTTTGTTCGTTGCTTGTTACGATCATCGGCATGACTTGAACAACGGCAGCATCGACAATCCCATCCAATACCGGGGTAGGCATAATGCGATAAACACGGTTGACATCATCCTTGAATGCAACGACTGGAGTGCTGAGCAGTGCGCTTGATGTTATATTAGCATAAGAAATTGTGTAAAAATATGGATCAACACACCTCAAGCGGTCTTTGATTTTCTCAACATTATCTTGGCCGATTACAGTGTTGATATCGGCGGGGAGGAGAATCTCGTTCTTAGTAGACTTGAGATGAGCCATAGCATGTTGCCAAATAAGCTCGATAACCAAGTCCAGAGACCCAGACATTGGCTTCACAGCAGAAGCTGTAGCCATAGCCATTTCAATCAGTGGTTTTGAAACTCTGGCCTGATCGCTGCAAGAAGATAGAAGCCGTGAAACCGTGAAGCAGGGAGATTTCAGGGTATCATTAATTAGGTTGATAATAGAGAAGTAGATTTCGAGGGTGGTGGAATAATGGCAGAAGTGCAGGGGTTCTAAGGAAAAGGTAGTTGTCATAGTAGAAGAAGAAAGAAGAGATGGAAGAAGAGCAGAGCTCATTAAGGAGAGGTTGGGCTACTGTGTTCTTTGTTTACCACAGAAAGTGAATGTGGAGAGGATGAATTTTGAAAGTTAGCAACCCCTCAAGTACTTCACCATGATGATCAAATCATCCCGGTGACTGGCGGTTGTGAAAATAGGAGAGAAGTAAGTAAGAAAGTTAGTTAAGGAAATGTTTTATTATCATTACTTCCTTTTAAATCAACTTCTTTAACTATGTTTTAAAACGCCCGCTCTAAAGCTGCTATTTTAAACCCTGGGCCACCTTTAGATCCAAGCAGATCAGCACCGAATATGGACCAAATTCATTTCTTCGAGTCTGCAAACGTTACGACCGTTTTTGACAACGCACTGCCGCATACTCTGGGCGAGTTATCAGCCACAGAGAAGACTACACTTAAGAAGCGTGCGGAATCGCTCCTTGCTTTGCACAACTCTTGCCCACAAAACGAGTTTCGCAATGACGTCAAACGGTTCCTTGAGTCGGGTATTTTTACGGAGAAGCAGAATAATCTGTGGTTTCCCCAAAGGATTCATAACCGTCAAGCAAAAAGTGCTACCAAAGGTCGCCTTAACGATGCTCAGCGCTTGATACAACTTTACAATGTCTATCCGAAAATTGAAGATTACTCCAAGAAACCTATTTCTCTCATAGACAAAATTAAAATCCCCGGACCTGAATACATCCCAGATGTTTTGAGGGAGTTGCTCGAAAGAAAGATTTCACTGAAAGAAGAAGAGGCGACCCAGCTGGCGAACGAATACTCGGAGAAATATGGATCTGGGTCTCTATTTCGAGCTGCGTTCCGGGAATTTTTCTCAACGTGAGTTAGCTTCTTCGCAAGGAATATACCAAATTACTAACTATTCAACTCAACAGTGGACTTATTGGAGTCCAGCAGACATTCTGGAGACCTGATCCTCGCAGTCAACGAATTCGACGACAAGCAGAGGAGATCTGTCTTCAAGCAATCGACGACAGTCTCTGGCTTAATGGAGCCGAAATTCTCTTTGTTATCCGTGCCACTAGATGCTTTCCGGATGATGCCATGTCGTTTTGTAAGTTACACCATATTAGTATGGCCTAAAGTAGTGCTAACAAAACTGGCTTTTCTAGGGCGATGGGTATCAGCCAATAGGCTAACATATCTAGCCGTAATGGACATGATTGAACTTCATGGAGGGTTTATTGACAATCCTGAAACTACTGCAGCTCAGTGGGAAGGCGCTGAGTGCTTGTCATGAGCACTGTCCCAAACTGACATCGACTTCGAAGAGCGTTAAATTAGACTAGCTAGTAGTCCACTTCCAAATAACTATACAATAATGGGCGTTCATGTCATGCGCAACCTACAGAAAATATTGAAAGCAAGAAATTTCCGTGTTGGCCCCCAGTGTTAACATTTATATGAGCGAGAAATCCCCATAACAAATCAGCGAAGTAACCGCTGAGCAGTACTGGACTAGCAGGTTTAATGCTTAAAATTGGGAGTCCCCAAGTCCATGTGAAGAAACTCCCATCACTCGGGGCCATATGCAGTGTGCGGCGCGTAAACCGCTGGGCCGGCATATGAGGCTGGGGGGCGTGATTGGGGGGGATTGGACTGGGATCGGGGGGTAAACAAGGCTGTAGACGCAGGGTGTGTGGTTGGGATAAAGTTGACAAGGGGGTCTGTGAACTATCTGAAAAGCGGGGCAACCGCTGCGGACACCATTCTCTGCTGCCGCCAAGCGTCGCCTGCATCGATGGTCCGTTCTCAAAGCTAATTAATGTGCAATGGCCTAGAATTTCATTTCTTTGTTCTGGACATCCCTCGAGTTGATTTGTCTTTTCATGCTTCCACATCCACAACGGCACACCCTATCCTCAATTGCAAACAAAGAACCCACGGCAAATAAAACGAGGAAACCGTCTCAAGTGACTACCTGGTGGCTATAGGCACACCACTCAGCACGCATCAGTCACTGACGAGCTCGCCACGTCCAGAGACACCCAGGTCCCTGGATAAAGAAGTGAATTATTTCTATGTCGACCTCATGACTAAACACAACGCAACACGGTTGAAGGAAGGCTACTTTGGGAACTGGTCAGCGGATCAATGTGCAGAATGCCAAAATAACTGGTAACTGGTTAGGATAACAAGCTAAAGATTGAGGGTAAGGCTTCTATCTTGACTTGCTTAGGCGAACATGTTACTTCTACAATGATCTCCAAATAGAAACTGGCCTGCACACGGAATGCAATAGCTCATATCCAAAAATACCTTGGGCCATTTGGTTCTCGCTGCGCTGCATGCATTATTGTGCGTTGTGCTTTACATTTATTCCATTGCGACATGAGAAAATGACAGGTACAAATCGGTAGCTGATGACATTTCGTAGCGAAGGGATCGCTAAAAGTTAAAGGTTCCTTCCATGTGTAACGGACTACTCAACTAATGTAAGGGCCAGAATGTATGAAATTTACTTTCTTACAGGTCGAATGTGGTTAACTTACCGATGTTTTTGCTGTTCTCGTCCGAAGGGCGGAGTATTCGGAAGAATTGAGTCCCTCTCTTTCAAGAATCGGCTATTGGAATATAACTAGCTATTTAGAAATTATTAACAAGGAAAGGAGAAGGGAATACATAGTATGGTAAAGGCCAAGAAAAAAAGGAAGAAAAAAAAGTATAGAACCTGAATCTGAATCATCTCAAAAGCAAAATGTGCAGTTCAGGCTTCTTTCTTCTCTTCAGTACAAACGGCACGAAAGTGGACGGAAACGAGGGAAACAAGAGCATTGTAATAAAATAAATCAATGAATAAAAGCTAGGTTTAAGAGAGCTCAGACGCTCAAATGCATGACGACTCTTTTGTTTGTTGCTCCTATAAGCATTCCTTATTACCCCCGCGCGGAATGATGCAGAAGAAACATACTGCATACTCCATAGTGTCGTGGACAAATGTTTGTGGGGTTGTTTGTTTGCTCAGGAGTTTGTTTGTGGTCAAAGAGGCGTTTATTTAAAGTGGGGGCCCACGAAGAAAGCAAGGAGGAGTGCGAGGAGACGTTCGACATTTGCAAGGTCTTATCTGCAAACGGGGTCCGAGGGGTCACTATTTTATCGGTCGGGAGATCTTAGTGGGAGAACGATAGGGCTGGGCTGGTTCAAAAAATATATATATACTTTAAATCATTCTTCTTTGGGAAATTTGATACTTTATCCCGCTAGCTAGTGGGGAAACGGGCCAGGTTACTAAAAACTAAAAACCAGAAAAAGGAAGCAAAAAGTAAAATGCGTCGCTAGGATACATATTGGATGCATATGTTTTGAAAAATCGCAATGAGGGGAGGGCAGGAGATTTTAACAAATATGTAGAAGACAGCAAACTACACATTCTATTCCATGTATGAAATTTTGCGCATCTCGCCGAGCCGCTGCCGTGCCTGCGCGAGGCTGTTCTCGAGTTGAAGGATCTCGACCTGAAGTTTGACAAACATAACGGTTAGCAATGTGCTGCGATGTAATGCACAGCGAATTACGTATAATGATGGAAGCTCAACTCCCCACATTCCAGAAAACTGGATTGGAATGCAGGGACAGCAGAAACGGTGTTCTGCCTTGTGGATAGCGATCTGGCTGGGGTTGTCTGGGCATGGATGGGCAAAGTTTATGCATGCGAGAAGTATATAGGGGGACAAAGAAAAGTATAAATCCAACAAAGAAACAAATAGAAAGCACCAAAACATACCTGCTGCTCCATCTCTCGGACCTTGAATTCGTGGCCGCTGAGCTTTGTGTAGTCGACGGCCTCGTTCTCATCGCGGTTCTTTTCTGCGATGATACTCTGAACCTGCCGCACCAGACTCCTGCATGCAGCGCCTACAGCTTTGCTGGCAGTTTCCAGTCGATCTTGCGTCTTGCTCATAAAAGTTGCTTTGACTCGACTGGCAGCAACTAGCTGTGCCGTGCTGGCAGCAACATCGTTACTGGCGACGATCAACTGCTCAGGGGAGTTCCGTCCAGATATGACGCCGTCTGCCGTCTCGATTAGGGTGTTGGTGGAATTGGCCACAGCCTTCGCCGCAGAGATCAACCCTTCCGTCCAGCGATTGTTTTTCTTGTAAAATGCAGTTCTCGACGAGCTGCCGCGACCCTCCCGGACGATCTCTTGTTGGGATGCAGTTGCAGCTTTAATCAACTCCGCAATAGCAGAAGTAACTGCAATAGAGGCCTCGAGGATAGAGTCATGGATACGGAGCTCATAGGTAGAGTATCCATCGCGTGGCTTTTTCTTTAACTTCGCGAGTCTTTCGGCGGCAGCTTCGATTGCGTTGGCAGCATTGGTAAGTTCGCGGTCTACAATGTCTCCTAGATCGCCTGTACCACTAAGCTTGCTGCCCTTCGGAGTAAATGCATCGACAAGTTTAGAGAGTTTCTGCAAATTCATGAGGACTTCGTGGTTGTTGTTGATGACCACGTCTGTCTTCTGTAGAGGCTCTAGTCCCTCTAGACGGAACGACTGTAGGGAGCGGAAAAATTTGACAGTAGACTGCGCAGATTGTCGTGCCGCACCCATTAGTTGGTCTGCCTTCTTGTCATCGGTAGCAAACCGTAACAAGCCCTTTGAATTGCTAAGCACATCTGCGGTCGACCCGGAAAATATGCTGACGGTCCGAATGATGTCTACGTGAGCACTGTTGGGTCCATCCGCAATGTAGTTGTTGAAAGCAGTGGAGAACTCTGTTGCACTTGCGGAGGCCTTCTCGATCTGTGAAAGAACATAGGAAGCGGATGCATTCTGGTTTCCTGCCTGCATGCTCGAATCTAATTCGTAGAGAGCATCGTCGACTCGTTGGATACCGCTCTGAAGCACGGAGTCGATAATGTCGTTTATTTTCGCAATAGAGCTATGGAGGACGTCGTCAATTTGGTTGTCAAGAGCATGATCAGCGTCTCCTTGGCTCTGCAAAGCTATGTTAGCCATAACCATTTGACTACGCACGTTCCTCCATTTCTACATACCAACTTCAATTCTTCCAGCTCCATTAGCGCCTGCTCCATTCCAGACTTGTATACTTCGATTTCCTCATCCTTCTCCTGCAAGGCTTTTTCCTGGTCTTCATTTCTTTCCCCGTGAGTCGCTTTGATCTCTTCAAGAGCTCGTGATTTATTCTACAATAGGTTAGCTTTGAGACGGCCGGGTGCGAACATGGAAGAGTGGTAGATTAAAGCTTACCCGAAGAGACTCTTCAAGATCAGCCATCTCCCTATTGTACTTGGACAACAAAGCGGAGATTTCAGATCCTTTAGCACGCTCCGCATTTTCAGCTCTTTCAATAGCAAGACGGAGCTCGCGTTTTAGTTTTTCGACCTCCTCGCGATTCCCACCAGTAACACGGTCCTTCTCGTGCAATGCCCGATCACGCTCTCTGATCATATCTGCAAGCTCCAAGTTCTTCGTCTTCATTTCACGCTCCAGTCGCTCTCGCCTCTCGATAGCCTCCTGTGCAGATGCCGCCTTGAGTTTCAGGGATTTCGTCGTCTGCAGCAGATCAAGATGTTCTTGTCGAAGTTGTGAGTACAGTTTCGCCAGGGCTTCGTATTTTGTCCGCCAGGTGTTGACCTGTTCCTGTAGCGCTCTAATTTGGTCGTCCTTGGATTGTGTCTGCAGACTATAATTCGAATTTAATTGATTCAGTTGTTCCTCCAGGTCCTTCATTCTCTTGTCATATTGCTGGAGCAGGAGCTGGTCCCGTTCATACTGTGCACGTGCGTTGAGGTTTTCTTGCTCCAGTTCAGCTAGCCGACCTTGCGTCTGCTGTTGGTATTGCGTTTGTAACAACTGCTCTTGGGCTAATCTTTGCTGCTCGGCTTGTAATCTTTGTTGCTCCTCGAATTCCCTTTGCGCTTGTTGTTGGGCGAGGAGTTGTGCACGTTGTTGTTCCTCCCATTGCTGCTGTAATCTCTGTTGCTCATTTTCGTACTCCTCCTGTTGACGTTTCGCCTCGTTCGACCAGAAATCATTGATAGGCTCTGGATCGGGAACTGTTACTGTTTTTGGAGGTGGTGTAGGCTCTCTCTCGACTTCCTTAGCTGGTCGCTTCGGGAGAGCTGGGCGTTCCTCATCTTCCGCAAAGAGGTTTGGTGGCTGCTGGGGGAGTTTCGGGACGGTGATCAAGCTAGTAAGGTAGCGAAGGTTGGAACATTCATAATAAAACCGAACAAGTCTATGGTGTTGGGCATTATAACGGCCACGCAGAGGTTCCAATGCCTCTTCGTCTCCGGTGGCTGTGAACGTCCGTTAGCGTTGGACACCATTTATAGCGATAATTCTTGCTACGGTTGCCTACTTGTATGCATAGCCCTCAACATGCTCGTTATGAATTTGTATATTCCATAGCTCTCTTGGACGAGAGGCACCAATGCTGAAATCCTACATTCATTGTTGGTGCTCTGGCGGAAATGTGAAAATATAAGTTTCTGGAAAGCATCGATTTGATCCTGGAGCGTCATAAGATCTGTGATGGTTTCGTAACTATGCGAGAGTTAGATATTGAGAAAGCTGGACGCGGGAGATTGGCGCGGTAGGTATCATACCCTTCGTTCGGATCATTTGTTGTTTTAAGACTAATGTATTCCTCATACTCGAATAGACCTAGTGGTTGACAGTCCCGTTACTAACTGACTCAAAAATTCCTTGGCTGGGAGTGGAATAGGATGGCAAGGAGCAGCTTACCGTTGAACTCAGGATGTTGACGGTGAAATGTCAATTTCGCCTCTAAAAAGTATACATATTCCCTGATCAATGGACCGTACCCTGGTAGAATTCAGAAGTTTTAGCATGTAATGAAAAAATAATCCAGAAACGTACGAGCTTCCAATATCCGATAGCCCATTTCAGTCCACGAAATAACAAGATATGACAATTACCTCGAAGCCCCTCGCCCGATACACCTCTACTCAAACTCTCCAACCAGCCAACATGCGATTGTCCTTCCTTAACAGTGACCGGATGCCCCTCCTGCAAAACCTTATGAACCGTAATCAACGCTTTGAACGTTTGGACCTCGTCGGCAAGGATTGGTTGGCTAGGAGTAGAATATAAATGAAAATGGTTACGTTAGATTGTGATCGTGTGGGAGAGCGATTAGGGATATGGCGAGCGGAGGTGGTAGTTCCAGGACGAATTGATAACAGCGGGGTACAGCCACTCACACTTTCATGCCCGCCCAGAAACTCGTCGACGATTTGTGGTCCCACGTATAAACAATACAACTCCGGACATGTTTGCCTAGATCACCGGTTAGTTCAAACAACGGAATTCATGATCAGGTAGGTAGGTGTCTGGATTGTCGTCGGGCGGGGGGAGGTTAGATGTAGAAACATACGTTTAGGCGCGGTCTCCTCTGTTCATCAAAGCATAACGGATTAGTTTCAGCATATTGCATATTGCGATAACGCAGCAGGTTGAATCTAGACTGGGGAAATCATACCGATGCTTGTGGCTTTGCGGATATTTACCGCGAGATCCGCTTCTGTCCTATCAACAACTGTATCAGCCACAGTGGTTTATAACATCATCTCCCCAAGGAACTCCTGCTGGAAAAGATGCGGGACCCAAAATCGACCATGGTTAGTTACCTGCTCATATCGATATTCCGTGCGGCCACCGAATTGTAGGCGAGAGACATCGTCGAAGAGGTTGAAGGTGTCGTCAAGCGGAGTACGGAGCGAAGTGGGTTCAAGCAGGGGTACAGTCAGCAGCGACTCGTTCTAGTTCAGTCAGGTCAGCAGTAAGGGCTGGCGCGCAGCTGCAACACGAGAGGTCCAGTGAAGCAAAACGAAGAGCAAAAACAGTCAAAGAAAAAGAAAAAGATGATAGACAAGAACAAACTGAACTTCTATTAATGTTCTGCGCGAGGAATTAAGCTGCCTGGAGGGAGCTTGGAAACCAATTTGGAGTTTAGCTGAGTCAGCCACGCGTTCTCTTGGCTTCGTCACCCATTCTCGATGCCTGATAAGTAGATGAATGTCTGAGATGCGATTCTGGTGACTACCGGGCTTGTTTAGAATAATCTTTGCAGGCAACTGGGTTATGTCAAATCAATATTTGATGTCCTTCACTTTTACCTCAGTATACCTTCACTTCACATCCCATTCACTTATATCTCAGGAATGATACAATGTCGACTCCAAACTCTCATGGTGCCGTTGTTTGACGAAGGTTTCAATTCCGTCGTACATACTCACATGCAGAATTGGATGCAACATTTTGTCCAATCCGTGCTCCAAAGCGTATGGAATAAGCTTAAATTCTATTCACTTTGCAGGACAATGGCATGGGGTTATACAGTTGCCCTCCCCAACTTCCGCCAAACAGCTATCGAGAAATTAAATTCAAACAGGTATTCTTAAAATGATAATGTTGATTACAATCTAATTTCATCTACTATCTAAGCCAGGGTGGTATAAATAATCTAGGTAACGCCGTTACACCGCCGGTAATTCCAGCTACGCCTACTAAAGGGTGTAGATAATAAGAAAACCTATAATCCAAGTAAAGAATAGTCAATGACAAAATCTAGGAACCCAACTCCTTACTGATGAATGGTCCCCATGAATCTTCCTCAGAAAGCCGAATGGAAATGAAATGAAAGGTAAGGGAAACGGAAAAGGGAACGGAAGAACGAAGCTAAATAAATTCGCATGACGCCTGGATAAGGTGGGCAGAACGAAACGAAAATGAGACAATGAGCAACATGTAGGAATATGGCTCACGGATGGAGAAGAAAGTCTGTTTGTTCATTGTGAGTTAGTACAGAGGGGGGTTTTGCTATCGCCTCATCCTTTGAGGGCATAGTTCCTGTCGATTGCATGCTGTCTTCCTGTGCTTTCAGGTCACTGTCCTTGCTGTTCTCAGCACCAAGTGACTCTGCAATCATTGATACTGATGTGTTATGTTCTATTGGAGGCAAATTACTTTCCACGAAGTTAGTGTTCTCCTTTTCTTTGTCGTCAGGAGAAAAATCAGTAACTGGTGTTGTGGGTTCTGAGCCAAGAGGGGCTTCGATGATCAAAAGCTCGTCCGACATTTGTTCTTGGCTTTTCTTTGCAGATGAGCCAGGACGACTTGGAAGTGGAGGTTTAGGTACAGGACGAGAAGCCTTCTGCGGTCGCTCGGGTAATAGCGGCGGGGGTAATGGTTTACGTTTCGGTATGGAAGGATTAGACAAGAAGCCAAACTTGTCTGGAAGCGGAAGAGGTGTGCCTGGTGGAGGTAGTGGGTGTCCCCGCCCAATAGGATGATCTGGCATTAGTGTTTTGTTGTCTCCTTTTAAAGACGGCTCTCCATTCCGTTTAAGAACATTCAAACCCCATTTTCGCGCAGCAGCGGCTGCCGACCCTATTGATCCTATAACTTGTCGTTCAGGGGTTTTATTATTTGGAACGTCAACTATAGGCTGAGATCCAGAGGTTTTGTTTTGTTTGTTCGTCTCACTTTTTAAAGAAAAGCTTGAGCTTCGTGGACTACTGGATATAGACAGCGTAGCTGGTGAAAAACTATCGCGCGTCGAAGGTGTACGGGGTGTAATATCGATTGGTCTGGTCTCGTCGGATATAGTGCTGGATCTGGGTGACACCTGTTTTCTGTGCATTGAGGATGCTTCTTTTGGAGGTGAGCCAACTGGCGTTCCTGTGGGAGAGTTTGGCTGGGAGCGGTTAGATATCTCAATCATGGTGGCTGTTGCATCTTTTTCCTCCAATTTTGAATCCCAAACGGAATGGTCTACTTTCACGGTATCTGCTGTGACGACAGGATCGGCAACATGTGAGAATGTTCGGGATCTAATAGCTCGAGGGGGTTCCAGTCGATTTCCTCTGTCCATGCCAGAGGAAACCGACGAACCCAATTCCCCTAGCTGCGAGGGTATGGATTTCGAACCTCTTCGACTCGCTATGGCTGACGAAGCTGGCCCAGGCGTTGAAGGCGGAGCCATGGTGGCATCAGTATTATTGGGCACAGCAACAAGCGGAGACACCGGGTCAAGGGGTTCTTGTTGTGCTTCAGGTTCGTCAGGGATCACAGTTTTCGGCGGGCGTTTTGGAGGGTGATGCCAAATACCACCACGGAAGGTTTCGTGTTCGGTATCTAGGAATGGTATATCGTCCCAGAATGGAAGGACTAAACTTTCCGCAACGACTTCCCTTATCCTGCTTTCGATGGCACGAAGAATCACACCGTATGTAATCTGTCTGGTACTGACTATGGGTTCTATTGACATTTCCATATGAGGCATGCTCTCAAACGAAACCCAGAGTCGATTGCTAGGGGGGGGTTTAAATCGCAATAGGCCGTGACCCTTGAGGTTTTTTAACACAACTGCCAGTACTAAGTCAACTTCTCGAGGCTTAAAGCGCGTACCAAGCTCGATGCGAGCTGTAGCTGCCACCTCTAGGCGAAAATTTCCACTATAGTTAACATCTGCCTCGACGCAGCAATCTCCATCGATAGTAAGATCTCTGAGTCTAGGGTTAGTAATAAGCGGAGCCCCTTCCCCAGCATCGATGTTTTGGAGAGAAATTTTGGTGATAAAATTAGGCTTCGTCACTCGGGATATCTTCTTCGTGATCTTTCTCCGGATAAATGATTCAAAATCGGGAGTTTTATACATCGCCAGAAATAGCCGACCCATCAAGGCATTGATCCATCGAGTTTGAAGGTGTTCCTCAGATGAATGTAGCCGTTGTATAAGAGTGACTATATGCTTCACGTCGTAATGCTGAGGGGTCGGGGGAGAATCTGGAGAATCTGGAATCTTCTCAAGGTTCTTCAAAATTGCAAAATAAAAGTCTTCCTTTTCAGAAAGATTCTCCGAAAACAGATAAAACGGCAACGTAGAGGATCTCGATTCCAGTGCATCCGGGGTCGAGTCTGGCTTCCTCGTCAAACAAATCGCGTTTCTCTTAATCCAGAGCTCCCCTTCGGGTATCGGATCCCCGCCATTATAAATGCTAACGTTGTGGTGAGCTAATGAGATCACATAACGAACTTCTATTTGTTCTGCATCGTCATAGAGCATTAAATGGCCATGTCTGTAGGGAAAAAGCAATAGACATAAGCTTCATTGTCATTTATTATCTTATAAGTGGTACAGAGACCGGACACACCTCAAGATCACGAAAAACACATTCCTCGCCTTCTTAGGGTTTTTCCCATTTCCTTTGGTAGGGTCGATGGTTGGAGCCTGCTTTCGGTCGAATATGCTCCGGTACATGCTCTGGTAGACACTCGGGCTCTCTGTTGCTACGACCTCGCCGGCAGGAGTGGTCCTTTCGGGGGGTTTGCCGTTAACTCCTCCTGGTACATATTCCCGGCAAACAGCAAAGTATCCGCGGCAACATCGGACTCGTGGGCCCGCTGAAACTTTTCCGCTAACACATCGGTGCCAGTTTTTAAGCTGAACTGATCGTCCGTGGGATGCTGGATGCTGTCAGTCCTGGCGTCCTCGACAGGTTTGCCACGCTTTGGTAGATTGGGGAACGTCAGATGCGCATGGAGGAGGATAAAACTCAGAACGAGAGGAAGAAAGGTAACTCCGCCGAGGACATAGACGATAACATAGCCGCTAAGGGACCCCATGGAGGGCTGTTAGAGGAGGTAACCAACCGCCTCCATCGAGAAGCGCGAGGATAATGGTAGTTTCGCTGAAAGAAACGAAATGGACACGCGAATGTAATCCTCAATGAGAACAAGAAGAGGGATGGCACCCAATTCCCAAAGCTGCGGGTTAGCCGTTAATCAAGTCATTTACTGCGCAGTTCTTTGGAGTTGCTACTCGAACTGCGAATATACGCGACGAAGAAACATCCAAGGTGGTTTGGTGGCCACTTGAGAGCCCAGACAGGCGTGGTTGCCGATGCCGCTTGCCCCAGGCCATGATTGGCTGGCAATGGCAGCAAATCCATGTCGATGGGTCTTGGCATTCGCATCTGTTTGCGGAACTAGGAACAAAGCGGCGACAAACCAAGATTCCCACATCACGCGGAGGTATTGCGGCTGGTGCTGCAAACAGAACAAACAGAACAAACATTGCACTGAACTTGCTTCAACATGATCCACAGTATTTTTCTTTCGTATGTGAGTGTGTATAGACCTCCCTGAGAAGCGGGATTTAGTTGAAAACGATCAAACATATAATCCATTCGGAGGAGTCATGTTCACTGTTCGTGAAGCAGCAAGCTCCTCAATTCGTTCATCATTAGTGGATGGAACCCATGGATACTGCCCGTGATCCATGCTGGTGTTTGTAGTATATATAAATCTATGTATGGTCGTCTCTAAAATAGTTGGAAAATGTAATGTACAGTGCAATGTTAACGTTTCTACAGAACCGCATCCTTCCGGTGTCAGTGAGCCCAAATCGAGCAACGCCATTCCATATCCCTTTCATATTAGGGCATTGTATCGATTCAACAGGTCCTTTGTTTCCCCTTGCCAGTGGCCAGCCTCCATGGCTATCACGCGAGCGGTCTTGCCATCTCTTGTCTTCATACCTCGTGTAAACGTTGGATGTTTCAATACCGCTTTTAATAGGATTTGATCACCTAGCTTCGCCGCATAGTGCACTGCAGCCCACCCATCCTGACCGACAATGTCGCCGACATCATCAAGTTCCAGGAGGATAGCGGCACAGTCAATACTTTCATGGCGTAGTGCCTCAATCAACGCCGTATTCCCGTCGTTGTTCTTCCGCGTTAGGATCAATTTTCCATCGCCTGGCAGCTGCAACAGGGCTTCCAGTGAATCACTCTCCCCTTGCATGCAAGCATGGTGAATTATGCTATTCCCAGAATTATCTAACAAATCTAGCTTCGCTCCATGTTGAGTCAGACACTTCATGCACTCCATATCGTCCACAAAATCAAATATGGGCGGCCTTCCGTCCTCATCTTGCGCGTCAATGTCCAATTTGGCCGTATTGCTTGCGTCGCATAATAACGCCACTGTCTCACACTTCTTCTCCCCACGATCTGAAAGACCTGCATAATGCAGCGCAACTTGCTGATTCTCCTGTCTCACATTCGGATCTGCGCCGGCCTCAAGGAGGAGTTTTACGCAGCCCACCAAACACCCCTGCGCAGCCATAATAAGTGGTGACTCCCCCCACACGTTACTCTGATCGATATTCAACAGATCCGGATACCGTTTATGTATCTCCAGCGCATAGCTCAAGCTCTCCAGCGCATTCGACTCCACTGCTGCATGTAAAATGTTCGCATTTAAGTTCGACTTTATAAACGGATCCGCACCCGTATTCACAAGAATCTTCATTTTATCCGCTTGCCCCGTGGCACTAGCCCAATGCAGCGGCGTCCAGTGGAACTTGCGATCTTTCTGATCGACTAGGTTCTGTATGATTTTGCCTGTATCTGGGTTTTCCGCTGCCGAAACCCGGAACTGCTCGATGATTGTGACGAACAGAGGAGATCGTTTTTGATATTTCGCTTTCCAGTGAGACCAATTGGTGCCTTGTGGGGCGTTGTTAGCATGATCGACGAAGTCAATGAGTTCCTCGAGGGTGGGGCGTTCCAAGTCTTCGGGGTCGTAGAGATCCAGGACAGCAATGTGAATCGGGGTGAATTCATAGTCGTCGATATAATCGTCTTGTTTGGAGAAGACTTGGACGATGTCTTTTTCGGTTTGGGTAGCATCTGCTCCGCGAGATTTCAGAAATGCGAAGTCAACTGGCTTTCTAAAACAAGAAAATATTAACCAGTTAGCTGATGAGAGGCAATATTTGAACTCCGAAAAGGTCGGGTTGAAGATTGTTTGCAGACCTTGCTCCAAGATCAGATACTTCAGTCTCCGCACCTAGTTTAACAAGGTACTGCACGGTTGGCAATTGTCTCGCGTACGCGGCAGTCTAAAATAATCGCCATGAGAGCTCAGTTGTCAGAAATGAAACCAATCATCAATATAAGTAACAACGTTGAGTTTACACGGAAAAAAACTTACGTGCAACAAAGACCATCCATCCGGCGCCGTATCCCAAGGTGTTGCTTCACCCGACTCAATCGCTAATTTCAACTTCTCTAGGTTTCCATGTTTGACATATCGCATGGCATTGGATCCCTCCGGCACCATACGGTAGGTATTTAGCCGATATCGAACCTGGATACTGCTTGTCGACATCATATTCGATATGGCCTTTTTGAACAAAGAGACTGGGATGGGCTTTTCCTGAGAAATTGTTGCTGCACAACCTGGATCTGAACACTCAACTTTGGGCTTGTTGTTTTCTCGAAATACCCGCGCGTTGAACCGTGATGACGGTGTCTTGGATTCACCAGTAGTGGGTTCATCATGGCATTTACAGTAACAATCATGCCGGCATGCGCGACGGATGATCAGTGAACTCGTTGAACGCGAGTCCACTAATGTGCTCGATTGGGGCGATACGTCACTCCCTCGTCGGTCGCTGCGGCCTGGTACTGACAGAGTGTTTCCAAACGAGGTAGAGGTGGTGGTGGAAGAATTTTTGGACGATATCGAGCTTCGAGATGACGGTTGTGATGATCCGAGAGACATTGATATTATGGAGGATGAATTCGAAGACGGATATCTCGAAATGAGAGGTGATCTTGATTCCGACATATCGCTGGGGAATCGAGGCTCGCTTGCCATCTCCTCAACAACAGTCGAACATGCTTCTAAGAGTTGTGGGTGCTGATTACACACAGCGAGGAACGTTTCCCTGTAGAGGTTTTAGCATTTAGGTAAACTATAGGGAAGTGGGTAGGTTCTACGGACAAATGCGCCAGTGATACAAAACTATGTAATTGTGCACACTGGCTTTTGATTTGCTTAGCAAGCGTTTCAAAATGTGACTTATTCTGGACGAATCTAACCCGACGTAAACTCGAGTTTTCGGTTTTATAAACCTGCTTTATCCTCTTCTCAAGATCTTTAACGGTGGCCGATCCATCATTGATAGCTGTTCGAAGAATCTTCTCGGAGATATTGTGCTTTGTTTGGCGGCTACGTAAGACACGATCAAAGCCTCTCAGTGCTTCCTCGAAGATCTCAAGGTCATGCACGAGCTCGAAGAGGTCCTTCGGCGCATGTTTATAACTTTTGATGAGGTCGAGGGTTCCTTTGCTTGCCTTCAGGAGAGTACCAATGGACGCGATTAATCCGATAGCTGAGACAGGGTCCATAATTCAGTCATATCTCACACCCGATCCCCAGAAGACGTCACCAGCACGTCTTGAACGGTTCAAAGTAATGTATACTCCATATGCATGTTGAATATGCGATGCTTTATCGGTGTTTCGTTTTGGCATGTTCAAAATCTTAGACTTGTCCATGCGCGATGTGCCAGACAAGATCAGGAGGCTGAGGAGAGCGACCGGCGAGACAAGGCTGTCTCATCCCTGGCCTGGATGAGTTGACCCCTCAATGCGCCCTCATACAGTCATACTATGCAGGTCGTTCGACGGTTCAATATCATTGCCGCCTGCCCCCAACAGAGTCCGTTGTTGGGCGTCCCGCACGCTAATTTGAGCCTGTGCCCATGACGGTGATGGGCATGCCTTGCCTGCATTGGCATCCAACAGTAGGCCATAAGTTCCATATTAGCGTTCCCGTAAGTTAGCCTTGCCGCCAATGACATTGTTTGCTCTCGGCCAATCGATTGGAATGTCAATTACAAGAATCACCCTGCAGAGGGGAGATGTTCTCCATCCTGTGCACAGTAAGTTGGCCAACAGCTGGGAAGCGCTTCGTCCTAGTCTGGCGCTCAAGCAGAATATCCCAGCCTCGTAGAAGGTCGTTTGAATCCAAACCCCGCTCATCTTGGGATGTTAACCATGCTGGACCACGGTCGATAAATGTCCTTCCCTACCATTTCTGTTAAAAAAAAGGCTTAATCCCTTGAGACTCTACATCTTTGCGGGTATGGCGCCAACTCTTGAACCTGTCTTGCCGGATGCACTGTCCCCATCTCTCCACCTCGACCACCCGACTGACACGGAAAATAAGGCGATTTGGACGCTCACATCCAATTCGTGGAAGGATGCGCTTCCCGCGGATATCTACCTCGAGGAATCGTTACATCTCATGACAGTCCCTTTAGCGAAGGACGGGGGAATGACCCAGTGGGTGCTGGTGGATAAGAACCTCCCACGAGAGCGAAGGCCCCTCCTGGCTTCTTGCGAAACATTTCGTAAACGCTCCTGGGTCAGCGATAAATATGGAAATGTTGCTGAGTTCATTACCCACGGAGTTGCCAGTGTCTATTGTGACCCCCGATATCGTGGTCGGGGTTATGCCTCACGACTGATGAAAGAACTGGCTGAGGTGCTACCCAAATGGCAAACAGCCAAAACCAAAGAATGTATCGCCAGCGTCCTATTTTCAGATATCGGCAGGCGATTCTACACAAACCTCAAATGGTATGCCTTTCCAAGCTATCATGTTGAGTTCCCTCCGTGGGTACCGTCAGCTGGGGCATCGCCAACTGCGACGCCGCTATTCGCAGGTGATCTCGCGAAGCTCTGCAAACAGGACGAGGCACTCGCTCTGAAGACGATGGCTACACCGCGCCCATATAATGAAAAAACGCGCTTCATGATCGTGCCAGATCACGATCACATGCTCTGGCATCATGCAAAAGAAGAGTTTGCCGCTAAGGTCCTCCTCAACTTGCAACCGCAGGTAAAAGGTGCGATTTCTGGAGAGCGTGGGAATCGTATCTGGGCGATCTGGACGCACCGGTTCTACGAATCTCCCCAGAACACAATATCCAACAACACTCTCTATATCCTGCGACTTGTAATCGAAAACCAGAATGCTCTAAACAATATCACGGTGAAGTATGATTTACAAGTGGCGGGGCTGAGGGCCGTGATTCTTGCTGCGCAAAAAGAAGCTGCGGAGTGGAATCTGGAATATGTAAAATTATGGAGCCCTTCTCCTCAGGTCCAGGAATTGATCAAACAAACTGGTATCGCGTATCGAGGAGAAGACCGTGAAGAAGAAGGTATATGTAGTCTGCGATGGTTCGGGAAAAAGGGAGACACGGCGCCCGCAGTAGAATGGGTTGGGAACGAGAAGTATGGATGGTGTTGAATGAGTAGTGAAATTGGATGATATAGCAACCCATGGGACACACTCTTTGAGAAATATCCAAACCCGTCTAAAACAATTGGCCATCGATTGTAGGCATAACATACATATTTCAGTCTGTTTTTGACTTATGCGTCAATCTGTTCAAGATCGTCGATGCCACCTCCGGCTTGCACACAAGAGACAATTCCTCATAAAGGACGGACTGCCCATCTTTCCTCAACCCTTCCAATTGCATTAGAATACGCTTTTTATCCTCAAACCCGAGACTTTTGTACAACGGCCATGCAACTGTGGTGCTCTCGAGCTGTATCGGAACATTCTCCTTCACGCTGCGCTCCAAACCCCACTGTATGAGCATTGTGGCCGCACCACGCCTTTCATAACTGGGATGTGTTCCAATAAAGCTCAAACCTACGAGCAAATAAGCAGCCATCGAGTATAATACAGGGAAAGATCAAATCACCAAGAAATCAACAAAACTTACAGTAGCAAGGCGTACTACCAATAACACTGCTGCTCGCATCCTCCACTTTTCTAGCCCATTCATTCAGGATGTCCATCCTGGTGCCTTCGGGCCATCGCCAAGCAACCTCAACATACGAGTCGGCATCAAGGACAGGTCGCATCCATTTCGCAAAGCTAATGATCTCATTTTGATTGCGAACGACTAACACAGCCCATTGCGGATCGCGAATTTCTTCACGGGCTTTCTCCATCAACGAGATTCGTAATCCTGCACGTAGGGCGGGTGTTGGGAATTGCGCCTGAAGCATCATGTTCTCACCGAACGATGCTAAATGGATATCTGCGATGTCGCCTACATCGCATTCCTCCGCGTTTGAGAGTGTGAGGGACATGATGAAATAGTGACAGCAGTCTAATAAGTAGTTAGAATAAACGAAAATGTGTGATTTTTAGAAACATCTTCGACCTACTACATGCCTCAAACGTGTCTGGTTTTTATCATGAATGAGATTCCAGCTGCCAACTTGCGGCTCTTTGTAGTCAGGCTGTTTCAGCCCGTCCTAAACGACTCAAGGCGTCTTTGTTAGACGTTTGTTTCCAGGGAGGTGACAGGCTCTGCACCTTGAGAGCTCTGAATGCTAGTGGCTCCTTTATCGTTTCGTGTGCCATGGTCAAAACGGCTTGATGGAACTTAGAGGTCTTTATATGGACTTGACCATAGTATCCACATGTTTCAACACCAGTTATAGTAAATACTCAAATGCTACGGAACCTTTTTCAACACGAGGACAGGCCGCTGAACACATCCTGTATAATGACCAAATTAAACGGTCCATGAGGCATACACCTGTAATCGAAGCGGTACGCAGCTGAAGAATCGGATGTCAACAGGTATTTTGAACGCAAGAAGGTGTGCAAATGGGCACGAGCAACAAACGTATTTCACCGCTGTTGAGCGAAATCTGGCATGATTGGATTGGATATTTAAATAACACCCACTACTGAGGAAGGGCCAATCTTCCAGCAGACGGTTTCATTTGAACATACATTCAGACATCAAAACTCCACATCAATGTCCTCAGCATGGCTCTCAGTTTGTTTCTCCTAACATTGGCATTTACTCAAGCCATCAACGGCATACATCATGCAGGCTCTTCGACGGGAATACAACAACTCCTGAACGATTCTGAATCAACGGTGGGTGGAATACCGTTCGCAACAAGGGCATACTGGATGCGCAAAGCCAACAAAGCACTCCCCGATCTGGGCTCGCCTTGTCCCTGGGCTGCCTTTGGATCTGTCGTTGTGAATCAATGACAGAATCATACAACTGCGGAAGAGTTGGGAGACTTGATCTGCAGCGGTGTGAATGAAAATCTCAAAAGTGGAAATCCAGTTTCGCACGGTGAACCATACTTCTCGTTCTATTACCCCTCCGTGCTCTTCAATTTGATTCCTGCTCGCGAATGGATTAACGTCTATATCAGACCAAGGAGAGACGTGGTAGAGTGAACAAGACATGTCAGTATTTGGGATCCTAGGCTCATTCGAATCCTTTCAATACGTAGGGGAAATCGCGGCCATTACGAACTGCACCGACATTCTAACGAACAAGCATGGCCGCTTCAAATTGACATCCCTCGAAGCGCTGGAGGCGTTCAAGGAGTTTACTCTGTATACCAATGCCGAAAGCTGTCCAATGGTAAATATAGACTTCCCTCCTTCTCCTATTCGCGACACCCCCCTTATGCCTGGAATCTCAATTGCAGAATCTCGTACCTTCTAACCCGTGTACCCAACGCAAAAACAAATACAGTGCGCTGCTGCCATCCGTTGGGCAGGGTTTAAAGAATACGTCTATGGAACATCGATGGAAACGTTGATCCGAATGGGATGGCCCCAGATTCGCATTTCATCGCGGGGGGTTTTTGAGCACTCGACTGGCCTACCTTCGTCGTCAAATATCATCGGAGGAATTCTGATGAACGAGACTGATACATATTTTTGCATGGCAGTTTGACCCGTCTTCGCCATGCCCCCGGGGTTGTGATAGGCCTCGGGCCGGAAGGAATTGTAGGCGGTCCGAACGCAGGCCTGGATTCTGTTATCAGAAGGGATTGACGTGGATGTGTAGGGTTTCTGATGTGATAAAGTCATATATTATAGATTCGGGTATATCATTGAAAACGCTAGTCAGTTGACTTGGGGAATCTTAACACTCAGAACAAGAGACCCAAAAATACAAAACAGAGTTAAAACAATAGTATCATCAACACTCATTAACACCGACATCACCAACTCAGGGGATCCTCCTCACTGCGCTCCATTAGAACCTTGATGACAGGCTCAACTGCCGCTCGCGTGCTCCTGAGCTGAGAGCCCTGTCGAGTCCGCGTATAAAAGACAGGACAGTCCTTACTATCACACTTGACCTCTTCCCCCCACGAAACGCCCATGCACGAGCGGCATATTTTATGTAAAAAAAATTCTTTCCTTTCCTCCTTCATCAATCTACTTTTCAACTGCAACAGCGAAACGTGACTATCCCGCAAACAACCAGTGCAAATCTGCTCCTCGCCTTCCTCTAATTTTTCCCGGCAGACAACACACGATGACAACTTCATATATGACTCCAAAGTCTTTTTCGCCGAGAACAATCCCTCCTTATTTGCAGGCACATTCGATGCGCCACCTTCTATACGCCGCACGCGTTGGTACTTCGGCATCTCGTCGTACCATTGTCGAACATTCGCGCCAACGAGGTTGAAGATTCGCTCGAGTGGTGGAATTAGGTTTTTTGATATGTAGTACTCCGCGTCTAACTCTAGCTGAGAGTCGTGAAGGAGTACTTCCGGAGCTACACATCGGTCAATCAGTCTCGCACCGGGTGCACCGGATATTACCACGTAAGGGACTCGCTCTCCATATTGTACTTCCGTCCGTGGATCCTCAAGCATGCGCTTGGCACTTATGAGGGCGCCAGGAGGCGGAATCCCTCGCTCGCTGTACGTTCCCAGTCGAACTTCTTTTGCAAAGCAGAAGTCTTGAATGGATACTTTGCCCTGCATGATCTTAGCACATTGTTTCTGGAAATAGCTTTTAACTCGGCTCAAATCTGCGGTTTCAAACAAAATCTTCAGAGCTTTCTCTTCGATTTTTTGCTCTGCAGGCGTTCCATCGCGGCGTACGGTTTCGATGCCTTTGGCATCAAAATCTGGTTCCTTCTGCAAGCGACTCTCGTACTTGTATCCAACATATCGCTTCTTCGCTAACAGGACGCAAGGATGGTAGACCTTTTCGAACTTGAGCTTGACAGGGCGGGGATTCGAGTCTGTGACCGCTCTTGCAATTTCCTCCCCTATATCGAAGGCTTCATCTCTTGTGCGCCCCTTGAGGTAAACAAAGATGCTGTCGGTATCCCCATAGACTACCTCTGCACCCCATCGTTCGACAGAATGGATCAAAACGATGGCTTTTTCTAGCGTCTCTCTGGCTGTCTGAACGATACTATCTGCTATTTCTGCACACGGCATTCGGCCAGAAAATGAAGCTGATGTATATCCATAGGTGACGTTGGCGATCAGCTTCAGCGCTAGTTGTCGGTTATTAAGTAGACGCTGCAAGTACTTATCGTCCTTGGCAGCCTTCATACCACCTTTGACCATAACTCTAGTTTCCAGAATCTCTATTAACATTTTCGCTAGTAGTGACTTGCGGACCTCCTGCTTGGCGTATATAATACCATTGGGGGCGATATTGATCTGGTCCTTGAGCAGTTCAAGGAGGCCTGCGGGCCTCCTGAAGTCAATAAACCCCAACTTGTTCTGACCCCGCCAACTCACAACTCTTCCCAAGCAAGTCGAATAGCAGTAATTATATGCGATCATGATACTCGGATAGAGGGACTGGAAGTCGAGCACTAAGAGGGGGCTGGTGTAGAAATCGCTTTGAGGCTCCATGACAAGCGGCAAGCATTCGAGTGCGTTCTGCTGTCCCACTTGTTTCTTGCCCGGGGAGATGAGGATGAAATTTTCCGGTTTAGCAATTCGGAACATGAGGGACTCGACTTTGAACTGCGATCCTCTGGAGAAAACAGAAAAGAAATCAATGCCCAATATTCGAGCTTGCTCACTAGTTCTGGAAATCAATTCGTTCGACTCGATGATTTTTAGATCCAGTTGAACTCGCGAGAGAAAGTAATTGATGACCTTCGCAATATCCCGCGGTCTTTTGCTGGTAAACCATTTCGTTAAATCTTGAAAAGGGTAATGCGGAATTCGTTGGTGGAGGAGATGGAAGACTACGTTTTCCATAGTATATTGGAGCAAGTTGAGTTCCCCTCGCATGGCCCTCCATATGTTGATCATGTGTCGGCCAGTAATCCGAATTGAAGACGTATGATTGAAACCCCAGCGATCATTCCCCTTGCCAATACGTCCGTGAGAATTTGTCTTCACCCTGGACAACTCGTCGCAGAGGTCATAATCATACTTGTATCTCGCCCTTTCAATCAGGTAACCCCATGAGCTATTATGTACCTCATAGCCAGTTAAAATATCTGGATCACGCTGCCTTACAACATCAACCAGTCTCGTTAAAAGATCAAGCTCGGTATGTTCTTCCTCAAACTCGGAGATCATAGTGGGAGATATCCTAGAGGCGAGGCTCTCATTTTCTGATAGAGCAATAATCCCTGCAGTAATGCCAGCAGAATCATCGTCGTCATTGATCTCAGTTTCGCCATCCTGCACGCACCAGAAAACACAGGAGATTTCATCCTCTTCGGGATTTGGAACTAAAGTGCCACGTGTATTCACATGAACCTCGAGACTCATAACACTCATATATTGAGCCTCTTGTCGTACGTTCCTCGCCGGTTTTTTCTGAGAATACTTGAATCCATGGCGATTCTTTTGTGTTGGTCCCTCAATCTGAGAAAGAGCGGAACTTGCAGGCTTCTGTGAAGGAATATTATTCCCTTTAGCATCCTTCAATTTGCGAATGTCTTCCTCAAGCCACTCGACAACTTCACTACGGCTTGGTGCAGTTGGTGCAAATTCCCAAGTCCGCAATGAGCACGATTTACGGAGTTTGTTGTTTTCCTTCTCAAAAGCATCTCTGTTGATAATTATTGATGGCTTGTCTCCGAACAACGCGGGAGAATACCCGGTCAGATCAAACAGAGGAAGATAAGGCACTGTGGTGCTTTCCAACTTGAACTCTCTTCCAGCATATTCGCGTGCACGATCAGGGACGTCTTCCTCGTTGCTGTAATGGGGGCCCTGGTATATAATTGATGGCCGGCCATCCGCTTGCATTGTAGTTAGAACCTCAGAACGTGAAGGGCAGGCTGGAATGAAACTAAAAATTCTACACTCTGGTGGTATGTTGAATGACTCGTAAAGATTGTGTTGAGGTTCCAAAACGGAGGATGAATGCGTCTCCGATTGATTTAACTTGGAAGAATCGTCAAATGTGCGGTTGCTAACTGCTGGTTCCAAGGCGGATACAGATAGGGAAGCGACTTGTTTTGAACCCTGCGATTGTGATTTCTGCGACGAAATATCCTGTTGACTCAGCCTTGAAATAGTAGCTGGGTCGTGCGGATCCTTGACAACATGGAAGGAGATGCGCTTATTTCCGTTGTTACTTCTGCTAAGCTTCTGGGATTGTTTAAGTTGAGATGAAGATGGGAAATTAACGGTTGCGGATTCTAACTCCGTCGATTCACCCACTAGCAAGTTTTGTGTAGTGGCGCTGTTTAAACGGTCATGGCAAGTGGCATTCGTGATAGGGGGAATCTTGCCATCATTTCCTAGTTTAAGCCGCTTATTCTCCACATCAGTTTCACGTAAAGTTGAATTTGCGCGCTTCAAACCTTTCAGCCGGGAATCTATGTCGCTAATGAACTCTTCGTCGATCTTGAAAACGTCATCCTGGCTGTTGATGAAATCGTTAGACGGTCTAACCCCGAACCGTTTGAGATCCAACAGATCTACCTGATTTTCAGCTTCAGTTTCCTTGGACCCCTTGGAACAATCCTGGTTGCTAAGGCTTGAAGAGATTGTTAGATCATCCGCTGATTTGGGCTCTAAGTCTCCTGCAATCTCAACTTCCTGCTCGTGCAAAAATGAGTCATTCACATCACCCTCATCCGAATCATACGAGAAGCCCTCCTGTCTAGGGGTAACTATAAGGCTCTCATCTACATCGACATGCGCCCTCGACTCCTCCGCCATTTTATCAATTCCAAAATCCTCGGGCTCCATTACCTGTATGTTACCAGGAAACAGATCTTCAACACTGCTTAAAGCTGATCGAATGGTAGCTTCGAAAGGCGTCGTAGCAACAAAATCAGTGTAAGTGGGCTTTCGTCCAAGATGCTCCTCATCTGCAACAGCTTGCATTTTTGTTCTGTACTCCTCCTCATGAACCCAACCGCCAGGACCCGTTTTTCTAGGATCTGCAGACATGGATACCAACTCTTCAGGACGGAAAGAGGAACCGCTATCCGCATCGGAGGGATTAAGCTTGCTCCTCCTTCGCTGGGCTTCTTCTTCCCATAGCCCAGCCAAGCTGGGTACAAGCTTCTTGTCCGGTTCCAGAGGCTGAAGCATTTCGACGAAGTCCTGATGTATGGGCCGCTCCTTAACCTCGGAACGATTTATAATATCTTGAACATGGATATCAACTTCTAAATCGCAGTGACTCTGTCGTGGCAAAATGGAATTATCAAGAACAGCGCTCTCTGGAATGGAACGGTCATGCCAAATATGTGTCGAGTTTTCCAGATAGGTCGGTATCGGCGCTCGGAAAGTCACTTTGCTGCTCTTGAGATACGCACAGCCGTACAGATTGTAATCACACATCCATTGTGATAAATATTGCAGATGGCTCTCGTACGGCTGCAGAACGCGTTTCATGACAGCTCCTTGTCTCAGTAGGTCGGCAAGACGCGTCATATTCATAGGGTTGAACAGGTATATCTTAAAAAAGAACCTGTATCCAACATGATACCCGTAAAATGGAATGCCCTTTACGAAGGTGATGTGGGCAACATACGCCATTTTCTTTTCATATGCATTTCGGCGATAACTTATCGCCAGGGCGTGATCGATAGACAATTGAAGCGTGCGAATGGCAGTATTTACTGGGACATATTAGGAAAAGCTCCATAATTTGTTTGTAATTTATCAACTTCTTCAGAACGCGTCTCTCACCTTCTTTTGGATTCAAGCTTCCTTGATACTCGATGTAGAGATATGGGAATGCGCCATGTACGTGAGCGCATACCTTTTGCCCCGTCTCCGTCGTCCCGAAAACTCGGATGACGGGGACCTTCGGGCGTGCATTTTTCGGGACTGGTCCAGCATTGACAGGAAGTTGAGGATCAAAACTTGTCGGGACTGCCTGGTAGTGATCAACGCAATTCAGCAGAACTTGAAACTTTTCCATCTGCTAACTGGTGGTGGCCAATCTGGGGATGGACATTGCTCTGTGTTTGATGCGATATCCATAAATCAGATATACTATTGACACATTGAACATAAATCCCAAAAGGAGGTATAATCCAACAGAAAGTTCTTTTTAGGCAATGTTTATCCCCTTTGGATACGAAATCGAGGCGATGACGGCGTGGCGCCACACCACGTGACGTACCTCCGGTGTGGCATCGCGATTTTGAGCTCGATCTTGCTTAACCTTCTCTTCGTCATCTGAACTCCCACTCTAACAGTCTGCGAAGAATGCCATTGGTTTTTCTGTCACAGATCCCTAATATCTGATAAAGTGAAGTATACAGAGACATTTTACTTTTCATCTAGCCAATATGTCTCGAAGACCAACAGATGTGGCGTCGAAGGAGCGCAATGAGTACATCCCCGCCTTTATCTCCAAGAAGCCTTTCTACGTCGACGATGAGTCTTCCGCAAATGACTACCTCGAGCATCAGCGACTCCAGAAATCCAAGACAGAGCAAAAATGGTACGAGAGAGGGAAGCGTGTAGGACCAGCTGCGACCAAATATCGCAAAGGCGCATGCGAGAACTGCGGCTCCATGTCTCACAAAGTTAAAGAGTGTCTGAGCAGACCAAGGAAACTTGGAGCGAAATGGACGGGGAAAGATATACAACCAGACGAAGAGATTCAAAAAGTGGACCTAGATTGGGATGCGAAGCGGGATAGATGGAACGGTTATGATGCTTCGGAATATCGGAATGTGGTGGAGGAATATGAAGAGCTGGAAGCGTTGAAGAGACAAGCGAAGGATCGCACAGAGATGAAAGAGCTACGAACTGGCGACGATGACGAGGAAGATTATGAGGGAGACGACGGTGCTGAGGAGGCTAGATATGCAGAGGAGTCTGATATGGGCCGTCAACAGAGTACCGCCACACGTAACCTACGTATACGAGAAGACACTGCGAAATATCTCCTCAACTTGGATCTTGACTCCGCTAAATATGACCCTAAGACCCGCAGGATGGTGGATATGGGCGCACAGTCGGATCTGGCTGCAGCTCTGGTAGCGGAAGAAAACTTCATTCGGGCCTCAGGAGATGCTGCTGAATTTGAACGAGCTCAGCGATACGCGTGGGAATCTCAGGAGCGTGGCGATAAAGACAGACAGCACCTTCAGGCAAATCCTACATCGGGCGAGTATTTCAGAAAGAAAGAAAAGGAGCAGGCGGAAGAAAAGCGCAAGGCTCAACGAAAGGCGTTGCTAGAGAAGTATGGTGGCGAGGAACATCTACAGCCAGCTCCCTTGCGCGAAGCTGCAGTTATTGAGAACGAACGATTTGTCGAGTATGATGAGACAGGAGCTATTAAAGGGGAGCCCAAAAAGGTTGCGAAATCACGCTATGCTGAGGATATACTCATCAACAACCACACCTCGGTATGGGGCAGTTGGTGGTCAAACTTTGTATGGGGCTATGCGTGTTGTCATTCTACAGTGAAAAACAGCTATTGTACTGGGGAGGAAGGGAAGACTGCGTTTGAGGAGGCTCAAAATATGCTACTTAATGATATGGAAAAGGCTGGAGAGGAAGAGGAGGTACGGGGAGAATCAGAGAAAGATATCTCGAAGGAAGCATACCTGCAGGCAAAGAAGCGTGATAAAACCGGCCCTGATACAAAGCTCGGGAAACGGACCCTCCAAGAGATGCGGCAGGGGGTTACCGAGGAGGAGCTTGAAGCTTACAAGAAATCGAGAAGTGCGGCAGCTGATCCAATGGCGGCGTATCTCGGGAAGGATGAGCTGGTTCGATGATAATCTGGCGAGCCGTTAATAATGATTCTCCTTAACATGCTGAGTGTGCAAGCGAATTGCTATAACTAGTTATGTTTGATCGCCATTTTTCTTACTTGAAACAAATGTACGGGTATTTGTGATATGCTATAGACTAGGTATTTTAATTATATCAACATGCCAACTGGCCAGCATGTCAACAATCGGCCCCTTATCAATTCCTGTCCCTGACATACGCAGTCCGTGCTAGTCCCAAGCTGGACGCGTGCCAAGACGCTGCAGTATCCAGGGGGTGCAAAATCAAAAACGCGACGGAGCAAGAGAGCGCAGAACTCAGCGTGGAGGGGACACCCCATTGATGATTAAATCGTAGTGTGGAGGAAGATACCTGGTAAATCTGTTTCTAGAGAGTATGCAGCCACTTCATTATCTAGATTTCAAACATAGGATCCTTGGCAATTCTCTGTGATTTGCGGCTTGTTTATAGGGGCACACGGGTCAGCCTCAAGGTTTCCCTAACGACCAAGCTCCGGCTCAGCAGCAACGGCATGACCTTGGCCATCTTCACCTTCCGCTCACATCAACCTCTCGAGTCAACGTCTGACTTCAATCACTTGCACTCCCTCTCAATATCTCGACCCACATTCCCTTCCAACGCGTGAACAGTTGACCTTGTCCGTCGTTCTCTTTTGCCGTGGTCCTTGTCGAGTCCTACATTCGTTTGGCCCAGAGACTCGCTCTGATCCATAAACGGTTCGATATTCAGCGATGGATCGGTAGCATATCGTATAAAAGCCGGAACTCAGTTGTTCGTCCCTTCACTCTCTCAACATCACTGGATGTATTGATATTTCGAGAATCCGTTCGCGTCATACTTCACCCTCCCCACTGGCTGGCGGTCGCCCCGTCGCGGGCGAAGAGAGCAAAAAATTGGGTGTGATCTGGGGAAATCTGGGGAAAGAGAACATACCCTATAGTTTGGCGGTAGATAGATATCCTGGCTGGTGGACGCTCTTCGATCCCTTCCCACGCATACCCGCATACGAAAGATAAAGCCACTTCCCCCCACAAAAAAAATGCCGTTACAGAAGAGCATGCCGCAACGGACTCCTCAGTCAAAATCCTCCAATCTGCCTCCCCACACCGATGATTCTGGCTCTGGAGGTAGGCATTTGCCCGTTCAACAAAAGTCATCCGCTTCAGCCAAAACACAGGCTGCGAAGACTAACAGGCAGGTGCAAGCAGTGGAGGGTCCTCCGTCACGAAGGATGCAGAAAAATTCGTCCTCAGGTAGCATCACGACGGATAGCTCCAATTCCAGTTCGTTGCCTTTTAGGAATAACACGGAGCAGCGCGCTGGCGGTGCCCCAACTCGCCGAAGACAATCGATTAGGGAGCAGAACACGACAATTGGCCCGCGAAATGGAGATCCTGTGAAACGGTACTTACTATTTTTTACGTGTTTTTATTTATGTTTTGTCAGTGAGCTAACAGTGACCCTTGTTCACTATTATTTGTAGGGCGTTCACCAATTATTCGAACCCTCAAACGTATTCCGAGAACCCTTCCACACAGCCCTCCACGTCTCACGAACACACGGGAAACTCAAGCTCCCGTTTGAGTTTTGGCTCAGCAACAGCTAGTGGTTCATTGAAGGATGAGAGTCCGACTCCCGCCGATAACAGCGAGTTCCTCGAGCCAATCAGTTTCGACGATTTCCATAATAGTATCATGTCGAAAGAACCAAGTTTAAGTCATTTCCCCCTTCCTATGGCCAGCAGTTATGATTTGAAACCTCCCGCTCCACGATCGACACCGAGGTGGTCAAGCCAACAGCCACCGCAAAATGGGAGCCATGTGCGGACAGGTCAGCTGGCCCGAAGAGAAAGCAATGCTTCACGGAGCACAGTGGGGAGTGTAACGGGAGTAAATGGAAATACTCAACCTCAAGGAACTACTGCATCTCGTCCGCGTCGGCTAAGCCACGCTCCTCCTCCATCTTCTACTGTTACAACGTCGCGGCCGCCTAGGAAATCTATTGGACCGGGTAGCTTGATATCTGACAATGGAGATCGCGTTGCTCCGCGGCGAAGACCAAGTTTATCAGCAAGGAAAGCCTCGGATGCAAATCGTCCAGACCAGCCAAATTTTAACCCTCAAAACTTTGATGTTGGTGGTCCTCCCGAGTCTACAATGTTTCTAAATACACCTAGATATCAAAAAGCAAAATCGTTGCAACCACCTTCCCGAATAACCAGGGATAGTAGGGATAGCCTGTTTGTTCCATCTACTGTGCCAGAACCCTTGAGGTCTTCGTCAAATAATGCTGTTCGAACTCCAGCCAAGACTGGGCTAAATCGGACGACTACGCCCTCGTCATCCAAGCGGATCTCTGTTATGCCACCACATGCTCACGGCTTAGGGGCACGAACGATCAGCCCTACCGATGCTAGGCGTATGAAACGAATGTCGCTGATGCCCCAACCGCCGCCCATGCCACATACTCCTCCCACACAGCAAAACATTGTGCTTCCCAGACCTCGTTCTTCTGCCCAGTCTCCTTCCATGATACCGAGGAAAAGCGTTACCCCTTCCTCTTCAAGGACCACTCCTGATCCTCATCGCAAATCCTACAGTTCGGGGATTTCATTATCATCCAATACCAGTTACAATTCTGCTCGGAATTCTAACGGGTCCTTGCAACCCAGGCTTTCGCAGAATATTTCTACCTCTAGATTGCCAACTCCGAAACCACGTACAGACAACGCCTCTAATAACGATGAGGAAGAAGTCCCGCCGGTTCCAGCAATTCCGAAGGCATACGAATCGCCTAAGACTGAAGGAGAAGTCCAATTGCCTCCTGCTCGAAAATCTAGCCTGCCTTTTGAAACCGGATCACTCAGAGATAGTTTAAAGTTGGATTCTGGTAGCTTTGAAACTCCTAGCAAAGGACCTACAATAGATGACTTTCATGTTGCGAGACCAGTTGTTCATAGGATGGAATCTAAACCTCGACCTGTTTCAAACATTAGTCGCAAAAATCTCCAACCATTGAAGCTCCCACCACTCAATTTATTGCCTCTAAGCGTTCCTATGACTAACAAGATTGAATCTTTGCGAGATAAAGCGACCGAGGATCCGACCTCGCACGTTTCCCGTACACCTCCACCCCGCCAAATAATGACAAAGACTCCGACTACCCCAATGACCGCTTCTAAAGCAAGCTTCTTTTCCCACAGTATACACGATCAAGAACCCCTGCCATCCACCCAACTCAGGAGCACAAGTTCGCATCATGCCCTCCTCACCGACCCAATACGGTTCCGGGCCCAAAATAGCTCAAGTGCTCTTGAGCCTTTGGATATTCTGTCTGACCATAGAAGCATTTCTCCCTATGTATCTTCATCGTTACCAAAGGCTAGTGGCGAGTTTTCTCATGTTCGACCTCAGCTTCCCAGCGAATACTCCAGGAATAATGCGAGCAGGCTGACCGGCCCGCGACCTCAAACCCAGTTTGCTACTATTTCACCACGTCTTGAGGCGTCGAGTTTGGGACCTCAGACGGCTGACACCGAATCTGAGGGCAGCGCACCGTCGTTCACGCGGCGAAATCCTAGCTTGGATCACCAGAGGACAAAGTCACATCACACCATCAAGGAACCAAGCAACAATTCATCCAAATATGGCAACATGCCTCCTCCGAAACTTCCAGCTTCGGCTACTTGGAATGGCCTATCAACAGTTGGACAGAACACAAGTTCCACCAAGCCTACCTATCTGCATTCGAGACGGAAAGCATCGACGTCGAGTGTCACAAACGGTCTGGCCCAACGGACCCAAAGCATCAGCAGCGACCAGAGCTTGGTGCTCAACCCTAGCCCTTCCACGGATGCTGGCGATGTAGACAGCCAACCGAATCGCTCGACGTCATCCTTATTATCGCCTGTGCATAAACTTCTATCGAGTTCCAAATCAACGACACCAAAGCTTCGTCTTCAAGACCAGAATCTTGATCGTGATGACTTGTTAGCTGAAGAAGAAATGAAAAGACTAGGCAGTAAACGGAAAGATTTTGAGACTGCTGCTAAAGAGTTGGAAGAATTGAGGCGTAGGGCGAGTCCCAAGGAGCGGGTTGGGCCAGGCCAGGCTCTTAAGATGGCTAGCTTGAATATCTTCGAGAAAGGTGAAATCATTGATTTTAAGGATATCTACTTCTGCGGTACGCACAAGGCGAAAAAGCATGTCGGCGATCTTAGTGCCCAAGCTGCCAATTTTGGATATGATGATGAACGCGGCGATTACAACATCGTCATTGGGGACCACCTCGCCTACCGCTATGAAATCGTGGATATTTTAGGCAAGGGAAGTTTTGGTCAGGTGGTCCGATGTGTTGACCATAAAACTGGTTCTCTCGTTGCGGTGAAAATCATCAGAAATAAGAAGCGATTCCACCAGCAGGCACTTGTTGAAGTAAATATTCTGCAGAAGCTTAAGGAATGGGTATGTTTCCCCTTATCTACACTCCGTCCATCCTATCTCGTACTTTTCTAACAAAGCTTATAGGACCCTCACCGACGTCACAGCGTAGTGAACTTTACTCAAAGTTTCTACTTCCGTGGTCATCTGTGTATATCGACTGAACTTCTAGGAATGAACCTGTACGAGTTTATCAAAGCTCATGACTTCCGTGGATTCTCCCTCAAGCTCATCCGCCGGTTTACGAAGCAGTTGCTCGGTACTCTAGTCCTTTTACATAAGAACAAGGTCATTCACTGTGACTTGAAACCGGAAAACGTACTTCTAGCACACCCTTTGCATTCAGAAATAAAGGTGATCGACTTTGGCTCCAGCTGTTTTGAAAACGAGAAGGTGTACACGTACATTCAGAGTCGCTTCTACCGCTCCCCTGAAGTTATATTGGGCATGTCATATGGTATGCCCATTGATATGTGGAGCGTGGGTTGTATACTGGCGGAATTATTCACTGGCTATCCTATATTCCCTGGTGAAAACGAGCAAGAGCAGCTAGCATGCATTATGGAGGTGTTCGGTCCCCCCGAAAAGCATCTCATTGAAAAAAGTACCCGGCGAAAACTCTTTTTCGACTCTCTTGGGAAACCCCGCTTGACGGTCTCATCCAAGGGGAGAAGAAGAAGGCCAAGCTCGAAAGACCTCCGCCAAGTCCTGAAGTGTGATGATGATGCTTTCCTAGATTTCATCACTCGTTGCTTAAGATGGGATCCAACACGAAGACTCACTCCAAATGATGCTTTGAACCATGAGTTCATAACGGGCATTAAGTCCACCACTCGGTCGCGGGGCCACCTTCCTCCGATAAACTCACCTGGAAAGCGAATTACCTCTGGACCCGCTTCGTCGACGATACGGCCGCTCCCCAATCCCCCGTCCCTTAGTAGCAAGGGCGCTGGAAGGCCCCGAGACATGCCAAGTCAATCACCCATTAAAGGCACAGGACCAAAGCGGAGTTCAGCCACCACAAACGTATCCGCGGCGAACAGTACTACAAAACGGACGTCCAATGGAAATCCAATTTCTGGTTCTGCCTTACCACGGGTTACGAGGGCTACGAGTGGAAAAGCAGATCTCGCAACAGCGGCAGCGGCGACCAGCTTGGTAAGCTGAAGTCCGAACTCCCCGACGTCGCGGTTTTGCTGCAGCTCCACGAAGTGTACTGACCCGAATATTTCAATGGTGCAGAAAGCACGGTGACAATGAGGCCTATCTCCTGTAGTGTCATAAATTAATCTTGGTTCCCTTTATCAATGTCTCCTAAAAAGGAAGCAGAAGGATATGCTCCATTGACAAAGTGTCATAACGGTTCGAAATGTCTCCCCTTGTTTCATATTTCATTTACACATTTATTTTCAGTTCATACCCCATGCTCTGCATTTGCGCTTCTTTTCTGTATCCATTCCTCTACAAGAAAACTCGCTTTCTTGGTCATTATACATCGCGCGAGTGTTGTTTGATATGCCTGTTGTATTTAATCCAACGTCCAGTATTCACTTTTGCTTTGGACCTCATTTTCGTCTCTCATGATGTATAGCAAATCAAACAAGCTTCTCTTTCCCTATGTTTATTCCAACGGGAATAGGAACTTTGGATTTTAATTTCGGCTTTTGATCTCCCCTTTGTTGCTTTTTGTTTTATCAAGTTTCCATCATCGTGTATCTTTTCATTAGCATCTCTCGGTCCTCTTGCATCTGCCAAATGCCATATATCACACTTCTTGGAAAGACCATTGACTCGATTATCCCGCTCGCGACTGCTGCATGTCAATTTCGCTCATATTCACTTTCTGTTTGTCGTTCGGTTTTATGGCTGCTTTATATTCATTTACATCCCCTCTTTCCTTTCCTTTCTCTTTCTACCTTTTTTTCTTTTCTTTTCTTTTTTTGAAAAAGACATACAGCATTCACCTCTTTGTTGCAGCTGACGGTTTTCCTTTTTCACTTGAGAAAGAGAAAAGCCTTCTGGTACAGGCTATCAATTTTCCTTCCAACTTTTCTTCTCCTGTTTGTTACTACCTGTACCCTCTTCGGTCTATTTCCTTATTTCTCCTTGTTGGCATTTTTATCCCTACCCAGTTGTTAATTTTCCCCTCTTCATTTCCATTTCGATATGTCACATTTCACTGTCCATATATAGCATATATTGACTCAGGTGTTTTGCGGTTCGGGCTTGGTCTAATTAATGCGCTATGTTTGATATGCTTTTTACCATCATCTCGCGGGCAGGCTCTTCTCCTTTTCGAGTTAGATTTACTATTTTGCCTCTCATGACAGTGACGCCTACTTTTTTCTTTCTCACTTCTTTTCTGGGCATAATCAGCCATATACCCATTTGTACCAGATGGCTGTTATGGACAGACCATCCGCTATTATCATATATTTAACTTAGTTATTATCAGCTATCCAATACAAAATGCGCGATGATTGGATCTCTTAATGAGGAGATTTGAAAAAAAAAAAAAAAAAAAGAGGCGCCTGGAACTAACAATATATTTATCGACACCTGTCCTGTCGGGACCCTGATTAGTCATCATCCAGGTAAAGAATCGCCGCAGCTAGCTCAAACTCCTGGACACGGAACACCTGCTTCATATTTTTATACGATACCAGATCGTGATAGTAACTGATGACGGGGTGGGGGATTCGATTTTTTTGTTTCTCATTTTGAATTGGAGCTTATATCCCTCCATGTTGCTGGTCCCTTTCTGAACGAGCACTGGTGGTTTTCAATTTATACAGATCTATATAGCGTCGTTTCCTCCGCCCCGATGAACGGATTTGAGAAGCATAAACTGGACGAGGATGCATTTGGGGAGAGGCCCGGAATTGGATCTGGGCTGAGGACTTTCGATGCTTTTCGTAAGTTCTCCTCCTTAATTGTGCAACCTATTTCCAAGCTATCTATCTCCAACCGCCACCTCACACGGTCCACAGATCAAACTCCCAAGGCTAACAACACCTTTTGAAAAACCAACCTATAGCTAAAACCAAACCCACATATACCACTTCAACTCGACGCGGCGGCCAATGGACCATCATCGTCTTCGCCTTGTGCGCCTTCCTTTCCCTGAACGAGCTCCGCACCTGGTATCGGGGTGTAGAGAACCACCACTTCAGCGTCGAGAAGGGCGTCTCGCGCGAGCTCCAGATGAACCTAGACATTGTCGTCGCAATGTCGTGTGACGCGTTGCGGGTCAACGTGCAGGACGCAGCGGGCGATCGGATCCTCGCCTCAGACCTTCTCGACAAGCAGCCAACTAGCTGGGCGGCTTGGAATCGTGAGCTGAATGGGGTGACTAGTGGAGGTGGGCGCGAGTACCAGACGCTGAATGAGGAGGATTCGTCGCGCTTGATGGAGCAGGAGGCAGATGCACATGTTGGACATGCGCTGGGAGAGGCGAAGAGAAGCTACAAGCGCAAATTTCCCAAAGGCCCGAAGTTGAAGAGGGGGGAGAAGGCTGACTCGTGTCGGATATATGGTAGTCTGGAAGGGAATAAGGTGCAAGGTGATTTCCATATTACGGCGAGAGGCCATGGGTATCCTGAGTTCGGGGAACATTTGAGTCATGATGGTACGTTTCTTTCCTAAAAACCTGGACCCTGGGCTTTTTCCAGCTTCCGCTCTTTTGAATAACTAAACAATATTGATGTAAAAAAATAAAACTAGCATTCAATTTCTCCCACATGGTAACCGAATTATCCTTTGGCCCACACTACCCCTCGCTCCTTAACCCCCTCGACAAAACCATCTCCGTCACACCAGCCCGCTTCTTCAAATTCCAATACTACTTGTCTGTCGTGCCAACCATCTATACGCGCGCTGGCATTGTCGACCCTTACAACCACGTCCTCCCAGACCCCACAACAATACGCCCCTCCGAGCGCGGGAGCACCATCTTCACCAACCAGTACGCCGCCACCTCTCAGTCCCACGAAGTGCCTGATCCGCAGTATCATATCCCCGGTATCTTTTTTAAATACAACATCGAGCCGATTCTACTGGTTGTTAGTGAAGAGAGGGGCGGCCTGCTGGCGTTGCTTGTGCGACTTGTGAATGTTTTAGCCGGCGTGGTGGTGGCTGGTGGTTGGCTGTTTCAGATTAGTACGTGGGCGATGGAGAATTTGAAGAGGAGGCAAGGGAAATCGGAAGGAGTGCTGAATGGGAAGGTTACTGGCGATGAGGATGAGTGAGAGGCGAGTGCGTGTAAGGGAGAAATGAAACTCTACGTTTTTTTTTTGGGGGGGATTCCTATTTCTCTATTCACATGGCGTGTTCCTTTTCCACACAATGTTTTACTACATTTTTGTATGTCTTGGGTCTCTCGCAACATTTCGATTAGGTATTATTTCATTTTTCATGATTTCCTTCCTATTTTCCCTCCAGGCGTTGCAATTGTCAGTAGATGATAGAATTCTCAACCTAGCATTTCGTGTCATCTCGTGTCTTAGCCCTTACTGAGGCAGTTAACTGGTTCGTCTAATTCAAAAATGATGGAGAACTACGGTCCGCTTCATGGAAAGCCCCAGCAATGAGGCATTTTGCAGTCATTGAGGAACCGGAATTGTGTTGGAGAATGTGTTGGTTTATTTCCATTGTCGGCAACCTTCAGGAAGGCAAAGGGTTGTTGTTAGGGGTTATAGTTATAGCCAAACAATAGTATACAGACAGCGAGAAGTAAGGGAACCCTTTGACCATCCAAGCCACGCCATTCCACTAGTATCACAAAACAATAGGAAACAAAACAAAAAAACCCTGGATAAAAACCCGACCCAACAACCACCAGCCAACATCCAACATCCAACAAATACCTGAAACCTTAAGGCATTCAAACCTCAAAAATCTCACCAAGTCCCACTCCGGCCCCCTGGGCTCCATACCTCGACTCCACCAAATCCAACCTCCACCCTTTCCAATTCTTCAATGTCCTATGGATCTCCTTAACCCGTTCGTCCCGCACCTTCTTCTCCTCAGCCGCCTGGGCAGCCGCATATGCAGCCGGATCAAAATCCCCATCATCCCAATCGCCATCGTCATCATCGCCCAACTTCTCTGACAGAAGCTGATGACGCGAGAATCCTGTACCACTCCTAGTCGATCCAGCTCGGCTACGGCGTCCATGATGCCCCACTGGACTACCCGAGTCTCCCCTGAAGGCTGCAAGGCCGCTTGAGAGCACGGTAGTGAACGATGAATGTTTCTGCTGCTGCTGAGAAGCCTTGCGACGGGCGTGCTCGGGTCCACTGCCAGCAACCCCGCCGACGAGATCTATATCATCGAAGGCACCGGCACTAGCAGAGGACGGGCTGCCAACACGATAGCCGTCGTCCGCGCCGTCGCCCTCCCGATGGTGTCCAGCCTCTGACAGCTCGCGTTTCCTCTCCTTCCAGATACCGCGGCGCAGATCGAAATTTTCACCCTCAAGCTCGCGCACGCGTCTCTCGAGCCGCTGTCGCTCCTCGTCCTCGAGCTCGTCGAGGACATCCTCGTCTCCAACGTTGCTTGCCTCGCGTTTCCGCATGCGATCGCGCTCTTCTCGGAGTCGCAGGTTCTCGTTTTCGATTGTGACGAGCTTGCGCTTGAGCATCGCTGCGTCTTTTTCGAATTTATCCCGTTCACGGATACGGACGTTGTTCCTGTTTTCAGATTCCTTGTGGAGATTGCCGAGGGCCTGGAGCTTTTTCTCGAGCGTTTCGATCTTTTTATACGCTTCTGTTTTTGCGGCTTCTGCTTCTTCAAGTTGTCGTTGTAGATTCTTAATTAAAGTTTCCGTGGAGGTTTTTTCGACTCCTTCCTTTACAGCTTTCTCTGCTGCACGGTTGAGGGAGTGTTTGGTATCTGTGAGCTCGCGCTGAGTTGCCTCCAGTGCTGCTTCGCTCCGAGCGAGCTTGTCTTCCAAAGCAGATATCTGTTCCCGACTAGCAGACGAAGTCGATGATTGAGAATTAAGCTGGGCGCGCAAGTTCGATATTTCTAATTCCATGGCTTCAATCGTCGCTGATTTAGAATCCAATTGAGCGAGCAAAGCTGACTGAGGCGACTCTGAATTCCCAGGAGCTCCGCTATTCGTCCGTGATTTGCTATGCAGTTGCGCATTTTGCCGTTGTAGCACTGTGATTTCCGCTTTCTGCACAGATTGAAATGTCAGCCTAAAAAAAAAGTGAAATGAAAATGAAATAAAACGCTTCGTAAAAATCCGAAACACACAAAAACTCACCAGCCTCTCCACCTCCTCCGCCCTCTTCTCCGCTCTCCCTAACCGATCCTGTACCTCAACCAACTCCACCCTCGCATCTCCTAAATCCTCCAGCTTTTCCTCTGACTTCTTCCACCGGGCACCGGCTTCCTCCAGCTCCCTTTCAAGCCGTCTATTCTCCCGCTCCAACTCCTCAAGTCGCAGCGCCTGCTTCCTAAATACCTCAGGCACTGCATCGCCATCAGGATTGAGAGGAGGTAACGTGGGTGATTTGACATTGGAGGATGGGGCGACTGGTTGAGCACCGGTCTGCTGGCTGACGGACGTGCGGCGGAAGTCGGAGGAGCGAAGTTTGGATTGAACGGATAGGGATTGTTTGCGGGCGTGTGGGGTTCGTGTGGAAGGGGATTCACCAGTGGTCACTTCTTTTGTGGGTACCGGGGCAGGGGGTTCTGGTTCTGGGGTTTCGTCGGATTCCGGCGCGAGAGGAGCAATGGGCGATTGGGATGAGGGTTCTTCTTGTTCTTGTTGCTGTTGGTCTTCCTCCCGAACTGGTGGAGGAGAAGAGGCGGAGGGAGGAGTCTCCGTCTCGTCCGTTTTCGTCAACGCCGACGCCGCTTCGCCCTTTTTGTCTTGTTCACCTGCCCCGGTACCTTTCTTCCTAGCCTTCGCTTGCTGTTTTTGCAACTGCGCGACCTATAATATTAAAACCCTTAGAATTCTTGTAATTTTTCAACAACGAACAGTAATAACCGAACACTCCGTAGCAAACGCGTGCAGAACCGGAAGGTTTCACGGCGGAAGATTGCGCAGAAATTGATCTATCAATCTACCAGTTGGGGGAAGGGGAGATAATGCCAGAGTATGCTGGTTACTATACGCAGATATAACACAAGACGTACCCGTTTCTTAGCAGCGGCAAGCTTCTCAGCTTTCGCCTTATCTTCCGCATCCGCCATTGGTACCCGCAGGAGTGGAAAAGCAGAAACGTTGTCAGAAAAGAGTAGTGAACAGCGTTCAATGATCTTGCCCTTGCGCTGTTTCGTATATCAGAGCGGTCTCGGGAGAAGTCCAACCTGGAATCTAGAGCATGTGACCGCATATCGCGCTTATGTCATTGGATCTATGAGACAATATTGAAACATTATGTGTACATACATTGCTATGTAAATTGGCTCATACACCAGCGAAGATTCCTTGAAAAAGAAATGAGTAAAATAAAAATAGTAGTAAAACTGCAATAGTAATAATATGTAAAAATATGCAAATGCCACCCTTCCGCCAAAAGAAAATCCCAGCAAACCGCCCAACCTCCCATAACCGGATTAGTATGCACAATACCGTAGAGGGGGAGATGTGAATAAAAAAAAAAACTGCAAGCGAGGCGCCGTGTCATTATCATTCATAAAACGGGTAGCAAAAGAAAATAAAGTCAAACAAGTCCACGGAACGCCACTCCAAAAACTGCCGTCGGACTCAGCTGGAATTGGAAAGCAAAAAGTCAAAATCAGTGTAAAAGAATAGCAATGGGCATGATAATAGCATGTTCGAATACGCTGGAAATATTTCACGATAGTTTCACCACCCTTCACACCGAGGTCTGGCGATGAATGTAGACGTCATTTAGTAACATTCCGTTGCCTAAATCAAACGCAAGCAGAGAACCATCGTGCCAGATATTTAGATGAGAACAATGAGATTTGTGACTTGAGTTGAACAGTCGAGCTGGGAGAGTAAATCACTCCTCACTTAAACCTCCATGGCATCGGCGATTTCTTCGCTCACTGCGCGAACCGAGCTCTTGCTGCGAGACCTTGAGCGGGTGTCTTCGTCACTAAGAAGATAATTATCATATTCGTCAACAACGGGTCGGCTCGGTCTTGCGGTTGCCGCGGGTGATTCATTCTCATCGCTACTTGAATCGCTGATTCTGAGCGACGCACGATCGCCCAGCCAGTATCGTGCACGTTTCCGTGCACCGTAGTCAGGCGTTGAAAATCCATCGTCGCCGTACCGTTTCCCAGCCAATGATGGGGTCGTGGTCCCATCTGCTGGGCCGCTGAGGATACTGATTCCACGAAGATAGATATAGCAAACGCGTTTCCTAGTCTTGTTGAAAAAGAAGTAGTTCAAGCTCCAGATTGCGCCATCTTCACCATCGTACGGGTCTTCCTCTGGGGCATAGCAGAATACCGCGCACTCCTTCAAAAACATTTGATCATCTATTATTTTCCACATGCGAGGTCCCCATGAGTGGGCTGTAACAGTTGGATGAGGGCCAGAAGAGGTGGCAGGTAATGGAGGGGTAACGTCTCTCTCTAGGCGTGGCCGAAGGTTGAACAATGTGGTATCGATGGTATTCATCACCCGCTTCAGGCTTCTTTCGCGGCGGAAATCTGATGGACGGAGGAGATGCGAGAAGTCGTAATCGGGATGGCTGGCATTGAGTGTCGCGATGAGGTATGCGAATGTCCGTCGACTTGAGTGTTCACTCAATGGGCCAAAAGGACTTGAACGGGACAAGTTCAGTGATTGAGCCGCATGCGAAGCGTTGGGAGGCGAGAGCGACGCCGAGAGCCGCAAGAGTGATTCATATTGAGATTCGAGAGAGTTTTCGATATTCTTGTACAGCTTCTTATCCCCTCCAGCAGCTTTTGTTGTATATAGATCACATCCCCCAACTACGTGGCAGTCTTCCGTGTCAAAGTTGAGCGCACTTGTCACGTCCTCAAACTCACTGAGCGGAAGGAACTACACAAAATTCATTTTCATCAGTAACATTAACAACCGAGAGATGGGTATCCTGAGGGTTGTTCCTTCGGACCTTCATGCTTGTGGATGTTTTGATGCCGGAAGCTCCGTAAGGTGGCCAAATGAGCAAAGGGCAATGGGTGGACCTTGAACCCGAAGTTGTGGAGCGGATGAGGTTTAATAGAGGTAACAGTCTCCAATAATTGAAGAGCGCAACCGAACAAAGTATTCTGGATGAAAACCGATACAGCTCCCGCTTGTTTTGTTGTGAAGTGGAGGTGACGTATCTGGCGGAGATAGCTGTGTGCCAGACGAAGCAACGATGAGCGCGTTCCCGGCTGGGTGCAAGGACAACTCTTCGGTGACCGACTGCGCCAGACGATGGACGCCTAGCAAGAAGAATATCTATGATTGTTTGCCATAGTGGCGATTCACTGGAAAGAGATGTTGACGATGGGTATGCGAGATGATGCCGGATTCTTGCTGTTGTTGTCGATTCCCGGATGGGTCGAGATAGATGCGCACAGAGTAGATCACGTGATTGATTTGGAACCCGAGTGGCGCTATTTCCCAGACGGCAAATTGGCGCGAATCAACGGCCACACGTGCGGTCGAAGGGAAAACCAAGGAGGAAGCAAGAGGAACAAGGGGACATGGAAGAAGTAGGGGGACAAACAGACAATAATGGAGATGTTGAGACTGCGGCCGAGGTGATGCGAGTACCTATATTAGTACAAAAAATGAAATGCTGTCGAGTCCGATCCTCTTCTACTGTCTAAGGGATCAGATGTCAATATTGAGAAAAAATAATGTTTCGTTCATGATTAGAACTCCTCCAGTGGAATGGGGATATTGGGGTGAAAGCAAGGGAGGCCGCAGCCCTTTAGATGGAGAACAGTTTCAGCAAGACGAACGAAATGTCAGATACGCCACAACTGCTATAAAACGCCAGTCAATGAACTGCCTGTATATTAGGCAGACACAGTGAGCCGGAGACCAGCCCATACCCCTTCCCACAAAGACGATGATGGAAACATTGAAGAAAGATCATTCCGCAAACGGAAGTCTAAAAGCCAAGTGCTCTCAATCCAGCCAATTCAGCTTCAGATTCCTGTAATTTTCAATCGAAAGTGATTAGCATTTTCAAATTCGTAGTTGAAAAGTATAGTATATATTATATATACGTGCGAAATTCCAACAGCAACAACAGCAACAACAGCAACAGCGGCCAATTGCGAACTCCAAAAGGAAATATTCAAACGGAATAAATCAACAAAAGCAATACAAGGACTTGCGCGGCGTATATGAAGCCTCGATAAGCGACAGCGGCGACGGAAAGAGAAGGATCTGCAAAAGAACATGCTACATAATCTTCGTGACAATATCTTGCTCGACCTGAGTTGCGGATCATGGGTAGACAAAATCATTAGCATGGCTTGGCGCAGCAAACTGAACAACCATGATCACAGTATTTAAAAGAGAAGAAGGGAGACAATCAAGGGCCCTAGAAATTCCCCCCACCTAAAAAGAAAAAGAAAAAAAAAAGGGGGGGGAGGGGGGGGGGGGGGGGGGAGAAACCAGAGGATATTGCCAGGAACACAACAAAAAGCACGCCCCCTTCTTCTGATGCCCGTACCAATACCCGCAAATGATTCATAGCAGAAAATAAGACCCGACCTCACTCACCTCCATATCCTCCAAGCTATCCTGCTGCGAAATACAGCGCAGTACATTCTTCTTACTACTCTCCTGCATCTCCCCAGCCAACAGCAATTCATCCAGGATGAAATAAGCCTTTTGGAAGTTGAATATGATATCCAGCTCGCAGACGTTGCCGTAGTACTTGTCCATCTGTTCGACGTACCGATGGACGATTTCAAGGGTGATCAGCTCGTTGTCATCCGACGAGCAGCCGGCGATGAAGAAGAGGGATGCATAGCGGCGGTAGACGACTTTGGTGTCTGTAATAAGAGATCCGAGTCAGTGTATTAATTAAAAGTAAAAAGAAAGCTCAGTTCCCATCATCAGGAAAGCCTAATAGCAAAGTAGGTGGCTGGAGTGGAGTGAGTTGCGTGAATTTTTCTTCTTGTCCCGCACCTTTATACTCGAGGAAGTTGCACATGCGCGTGCGGCGCGAAAGGACTAGCTGTGTGACATCTTTGATGATTTTGGCCTTATCTTTGGGAGACAGGGTAGTGAACCATTTCGCCAGTCTCTGTGTAGGTGGAGAAAGAGAGAGAGAGAGAGAGGAAAGTTGCCGTGGTCAGTTTTCTAAAGTCATAGCGGATGGAATGTGCGAGGATCATGGTGGGCGACGAGCGAGTTTGGACGGGACTCACCACTTTACCCTGCCTTGACAGCAGAATTAAATAGCTGCAGAAAGGGTGGTACTCATCAGTCACATCGATCTTGAGGATCAGAGGAGAACATGCCGCGGTAACTTACTTGATTGCCATACTCTTGATGGCAGAGAATGGGCGAGGAGAGAATCGGCGAGGTTGGTGGAGGTATTTTTTTCGGCGCAGGAACAAAACAAGCCTAGTTCGATTGCCCCGCGGAAAGCTGTTTTGTGCCGCCAGATACCATTAATAATCCCGGGCAAGGCAAAAGTTCATCGTATCACCGATTATCTCTGTCGAATGCATCCCAGCACCTGATAATATATTCTTTTATTCACTGAATTACTTTCCATTATTAAAATTGCACTGTATCTGATAGTCCCACCGCCCGGAGGCTCGTGGCGCAAGCATGAAGCTCATTCTCTCTACATCGTCAGTGGCCAACCCACTTCCTTGCCAGGGTGCGAACTGTTGAATTGCACCCAGGTAAAAGGGCGGGAATTCAATTTAATGGAAATTTAACATCTGGGCTGTCTCTTTTTACAGGAATATCATGAGTGGCGGTCCATCCGTCATCCGCAGAGTGACCAGCGATAAGTCGAACGTCGAATTGCTAAACGCCCTACGGTCCAACTTCGTCGCAGCTCAACATATCGAACCCTCGCACACAAACGGCACTTCCCTCGACATCCATGACGTTCCACAGAGACTCTCTTACAGCGACTATACAACCTGGACATCTAAACAAGGGGATACCCTCTACGTGCCCTCGATCAATTTTTCAGAACCCGGCCTGATCGAAGATCGTGACCAGTATGATATCACTGTCAAGCTCTTCTATCTCCCAGGAACCCCGACCTCTCGTCGCTGTGCACATACCAAGGAAGCAATTGACCTCGTCCTGAAAGAACTACACACCAATTCCATTGACCTGCTTATCGTCTCGTTCCCCGGCATATCGTTTGATGCAGACGACTCGGGCGAGGATATATCCGATGGCGATAGTAGCAATCATAACAACGGCAACAACGACCTCAGACGGCGAGAATCCGAATCCGGAATGGATGGCATAATTCAAACATGGCGGGTCCTCGAATCCCTCAAGGAGCAAGGGATGATATCCCAACTGGGCCTGTCGGAGTTTGACAGCGAGCGACTAGCGGAGTTCCTCCCGCACGCCAAGATTCTGCCCGCGGTCGACCAGATTAACGTCAAGGATTGCTGCGTCGTGCCGAAACCGTTGATCGTGTTTGCGAAGCAGAAAAATATTAAGCTGCTGACGCATAATGATTGCACTGACATCCTCCCGCCCGGTACAACTCGAGACCTCCTAGCGCGCGGGGAAAGGGGAGCGGGGATCCTAGCGGCCAGCGCAACGGCGGAAGACGGCGGGTTGAAGGGCGAGATTGAACCGCAGTGGGTTGTGAAGTATACCGCTGTGGTGAAGGATCGAGGCGTGATTGAAAATAAAGGTTATTTTGCGCTTGCGGAGGTGCGAGATTGTATGTGATAATATTTATTGTGCAGTGCTAGCCTTTTCCACGTTTTGAGCGTTTCCTTCTTTCCTTCTTTTCCTTCCTTCTCTTCTCTTCTCTTTTCTTTCTTTCTTTCTTCTTTTTCTCTGGTATCTCCAAATGGCTCATGCAAGTCCCCGCGTTTGTTCGTCCAGTATGGCGATACATGTAATTTAATGGGATTTTGGGTTGTATTTTCTTTTCAATTATGTATCCCGCATGTATCGCATTTACTTCTCTTTTTGGGATGTTTTTTTCTCCACAATAGGAAAAACGACGAAGAAGTGATAATATTCCATGATGCGCCGCCTTCTTGTCCAGAAACAAAATGACCCTCACCCGACCATACTCCTCTTCCGTCCGCGCAACCTGACCTGCTCCAGCTTTTTCAACACCACATTCGCCGTCTTATAACTCTCCGCATATCCCTTAAGAACCTCGTGAAAAAAAGGTTCGGTTCTCGGATGCGAGCTCCCAAATGCTCGTTCCAACACATATAGGTCGACAGCCCGATCCTCATCCTGAATACTCTGGCTCGCGAGGCCAAAATCAATAAGCACAATCTCCCCCTCCAGCGAAGGCTTCTCGCCTACATTGGTAGTAGTGGCAGTAGTGGTAGGGGACTGTAACTCTGCATTTTGCCTAATGGGCCCGGACGCTTCCGTACCCTGCCCGTCCTCCTCTGACAACGCATTCGAGACAGGCGCAATGGGTCTGAGAATGAGGTTGCTCGTAGTTAAATCCCCATGAACAATGCCGGCCCTATGCATGGCGCCGACAACACGCCCGATCCTCCGCAACAGCGCACAGATATCCTCTTCACCTTTCTTGATACTCTCCGCCGCACTGTCGTCGTGTTCCGCGTCGGCCGGGCCCACGGCCTTCTCTCGTGACTTCAGCCATTTCTCCCACCGGTCAACCACCTGCCTGACAACAATGCCCTCCACCCACTCCATCAGCAGCCATGCAGACCATCCGGTCCTGTTACTGTTATCGTTATCATCGTAATTATCGTTAACACCCGTGATCTTGTCCCCCTCACACACATCAACATCCAAAGCCAGCACGCCGGGGACAGGAACCTCCTCGCGCGATAACTTGACCAAACATCGCGCCTCCTGCAGGATGCGTTGGCGGGTTAATCTGCAGTCGAGGACGGGGTGTCGGTAGGGTTTTGCGGGGCGGACTTTGAGGGCGGCGGGGGTGGAGGGGGTGAGGAAATTGGTTTTGTAGAGGCGACCCTCGGCACCTTGGGCCAGGAGGGTAGCGGGAGAATTGGTGAAGGGCGCGGGGAGGGGGGGAGGGGTATAGCTGGTGGTTGTCGCGCTGCTGGACGACATTGTTGCGGTGTGCGGTGGGGAGGATGCGGGATGCGGGATGCGAGAGGTGAGATGTGAGGTGTGAGGTGTAACGAGGGTATTGATAGTACGGGGATGTAAGATGCGTGTTTCGTCTAGAGGCGGAGTGTGGAATACGCTGGAGCGGGGGATGTTGTGTTTCTTCCTCCCCGCTTTCGTTGATTAATTCCTTTTGTTAATTGTTGTTCGTTGGAGTTGGACGCATCTTAACCGGCTGGCGCTTGGCGCTGGTGGTTAGCTAAATATTTAACTAAGTCCAGGGATGTGATCCTGTTCTCTCTCCGCTTCCTTTTATCGATTCTCCGATTCTCTTTCTGCGGCATGCAGTCATATCGCACTGCATATTGTCGCGATAACTCAGCAGTGTTAGTCCCGATGCTCCATCCAGTCAGGCTGAGAAAAGGCCCCGGTCCATATTTGCACTTCGAAAGCAGATACAAGTTACATCTCGATATTCCCTATTGAGTCGGCGCTGTGATACCCAAAACCATCCCAACATCCCAACATCCCACACCGTGACATTCTTGCATTCTGGAAAGATAAGAGAACAAAGAAACGATAGATGATGATTCCGTGGGATTTCACTGCTCTATATACCATTTTTTCAATGCGCATGACACGATGACCCTTGGCTCGTATCTAATACCATGAGGCGATCGAGGGTGCCAGTTGTGCATCATCTTGCCTCGAGATGACGAGCATATAGCTGCCGACCACGGTAAAGGCAATGAGAGCCCTGTGCTTTATTTCCACTTAGGCCTGGTAGGCACAAGGGATATATGTGCAACCTGTCAGTCGCATCTCGAGCTGTGGTAACCATGCTCGGGGCCCGAGTTGCGGTGTGTGTGATGTGGTTATGGGGGGGACTGACAACGATGTGCTTTCAAGATCTTCCAACATGCTGTGCATACGATGTATCCCTATGATCACACAGCTGCGAATCGAGGTTGTATTCGCAACTCTCGTCTGAGAAGAATGATCTATTCGAGATACCTACTTCTCCGGTGCTGCGTCATACACAATAGTTGTTGACGAGACTAAGCCTGTCTGGTTGCTCATTCTTTTCTTTTAATTTCCTTATATCTGCCACCTTTTAATCCCGAGATTAAAATGTTTTATATCTTCCAGCCTGTCTGGCCAATGCAAATTAGAGCTGTGTTCGTCTCGCCGTTTGTATGTCTGAGCTGGAGTGATAGCTCGTGCGGTCACTTTTCACCTTCCCGCCGTCCTATTGTTCTCATCCTGCAGACATTGATAGCGCTGATATTGTTCTGCGAGCTTCACACCCGCCCTTACATCCCACGATTCTTATATTTTGGATTGATCAATCCGCAACGGCTTCAAGGTGGGGACCAGGTAAATTAACGCCCTGCCGAAACCCTATTTTTAGTTGTGTTCAAGTCATCCGGGTGTATTTATCCTGTTTGTATTACTAGAAACTCCTCCGCGGTCCCTTCACTCATACAGATTGTTCTGTCCTTCTCAATGCCTCGTATACATATACAAGGCCTGGACACAATATGTCCTCGTCTCCACCGTTTGCTGCTAGGCTTATTATACCGCTACGTTCCCAATGCCTCTACGCATCTGACATTGGTGCGGCTACCTTTCACTGCTTGTGGTGATAGGGGAAATACCTGATAGCATTTTAATATCTCTATCAGATCTGCAGCAAATTTCTCTCATGCCTTTTCTCTCGTTATATCTCCTTGCATCCTCGTATCCGTTCGCATTTTTTGTCCCTATTTCTCGTTCCCTTTTTACCCAAATTGCTCTGATAAGTTGATCAGACCATCAGCTCTCTCACCCCTCGACCCCATTCGTTACCCTGCGTGCAGTTGGCAATTCGTTAACCCCTGCACGTCGCCCAAGGAGATCTCCGTGTATTCCGACAATGTCGTCGTCATTTGATCCGTTCGACCAGAATGTGGTTTTCCACAAGGCCGATGGGACGCCCTTCAATGTGTCGATCCATGACTTGGATGAATTTGTTCAGTACGGAATCAGAGTCTGCATCAACTACGCTGCTCAGCTCGGGGCAACAGTAATTGCGATTGTCATGTTGGCCCTCCTGACGCAGTCGGACAAGCGTCGAACACCAGTTTTTTTCCTTAATACCTCTGCACTGACCATGAACTTTGCCCGCCTGCTTTGCATGACCATCTACTTCACCACGGGATTCAACAGCACCTATGCATTCTTCAGCCTGGACTATTCCCGAGTCCCTGGCAGTGCCTACGCTGACTCCATTTTGGGAATTGCCTTCGCTACTATTCTGGTTATTTGTATGGAAATGTCGCTTGTCATCCAAACTCAGGTCGTCTGTGCCACCCTTTCAGAAATCCAGCGACGTCTCCTCCTGGTTGTCTCCATCCTTATTGCGCTGCTGGCCATCGGATTCCGGATGGGGTTGATGGTTGAGAACTGCATTGCCATTATGAACGCTTCAAATTTTCGCCCTTTCATCTGGCTTCAGAGTGCCTCAAACATCGCCATTACGATCAGCACGTGTTTTTTCAGCGCTGTTTTCGTCACCAAATTGGGATATGCTCTCGTTACTCGCAGACGACTGGGCATGACGAGATTCGGAGCTATGCAGGTGATGTTCATCATGTCTTTTCAAACTATGGTGATTCCAGGTAAGGATTGTGTTCTCCCATGTCTCCACGCAAGATAACACAACCAATACTAAGGACGTTTTGTTCGTGTTCCGCCTATAGCCATTTTCTCAATAATCCAATATCCGATTCCTCTCTACGAAATGAACTCTAACGTCTTCACGCTCGTGGCCATTTTCCTCCCCCTTTCGTCGTTGTGGGCTGCAGCAGCGACGAAGCACAGTTTCGAAACTCTGACTTCCGGACCGCATCAGTATCTCTGGTCCAGCGAACGTAGCAATAGCACCAGCTCCGCGACTGGCCATCAAGGCAGTTTATGTCAAAATCAGTCAACAATTCGATCTGGAGGATCCGTCGCTACGTCTCTCTCACCAGACCAACTTGACCGATTGTACACCGGGCTCGATTTCGATGCGTGTGCCAAAGCCTGAATGGAACTGTTCTATGTTTTGGAATATATCCATTCCCTCCTTTTGTGTATATTGTGTCCACTCACATACATAATTGTACATGGGTGCTCCTGTTTTTCTTTTGTTTTACTTTAGCCGATTGTTCCATCGATGGATTGAAGTTGGTTTTCCCAGCGCCTCGTTTTTTAATAGGTTCTACTAAACTCTCCTTTCCCCCCCTTTTTTTTCTCTCTTGTTTTCCCTTTATTTCATCTTTTTCTTCTTCCCCCTCTTTCCCTTGTTTTCGTTCGTTTCTGGTTGGAGGATTAGTTACTTTTTGCTATACTGTTTGAAACAGTCACACCCTTTACATACTTTATTTACATTCGTGGAGACATTACCGGGTGTATTTTTCTTTTAATTGAGGCCACTTGTAGTGTGCATACTTTCGGAAGCCTAGGGCCAACTAGTTAGTGAAAAATAAAATCTCGATCGTTGAGAACAATATCATAAATGTTCCTCATGCATGCATAGTGTAGTTCTGACTAGTATTGTTCATCCCTTGCTTCCACCAACGTGGGGAGTTCAGGCACTAAACCCGGCAACTCAAGAAAAAAAGGTCTCGGCGCTTTGCCCGACATCAGCATCGTCACACATCACCGACCTCCGCCAAACCCAACCATCTCCACCGAGACGGATGCGCCATGTCTGCTGAGCTTCTCCTGCACCGCAACCATGGCAGTAGTGCCACAGAAGACATTGACCTGGCTGTATCGAGTGCTCACAAATGTAAGTTTCTGCGCCTCTTGGCTCTCGTGCGGCAAACGCATCGGAGACTCCTCTTTGCTCGCTAACCAGACCCCCCTCCTGCCCGCTTGCCCAACAGCCCGAATACGGGCCCAATCAAGCATATCGAGACCCAAACAGAACATACAACGACGTAACAAACCTCCTGGCACAATATCCCGGCTTCGTTCTCAGGACGGATGTCTACAGTTAGCAATCCCAATCCTCCACAGCCCTCCCATCACAGCAATCCCCTGCCACGATCTGTTGTAGCGGGATTCGCATATTTGCGGCTTAAAAGCTAACCCAAGTTTTACCATTTGTTTCTGTGGTTTGAAAAATAGCATATGAGAATGGCACACCTGCTTTACTCCTCCAACTCGCCGGAACGCTGCCTGTCACGTTTCGCGGAGCACTATATCGATTTCCGATAACGATATGGGTGCCCAAGGCCTATCCCCGTGAGCCGCCTTTTGTGTATGTCACTCCGACGCAGGATATGCTAGTTCGCCCGGGTCAACATGTTAGTGGGGAGGGAAGGGTATATCATCATTATCTGGCACACTGGTCAGAAGCATCAGATGTGCGTGGTGTAGTTTTCTCCAAATGCGGAAGGGTTAATTTTGAGCACAGGGTTGTTTCGGGCAGAAGACAGGACGCCGACTGGGAAGGCAGTGTGCTAATTTGAATATGAAAACTATTTAGCGGTCAACGATTGTCGATTTATTGTATATCCTTCGAGACGTCTTCGCGAAGGAGCCTCCAGTTATATCAAAGCAACAACAGAATATCCGTATCTCCGCGCAACAAAATGAGCCGCCGCCTCCCGTTCCTCCTTTACCACAAGAACTAGCTAAAACAGTCAGCCCATCTCCCCCACCTGCTCAACTGCACCAGGCTCCTCCGCAATTACCTCCGAAACCAAGCCAGGTGGTAGAGCCAGAAAGGCAGCAACAGGAGCACCCCGCGCAAGCGAAATACAACAAACCACCGCCACCTTTACCCCCCCTTCCCAACGATATCGGTCACCAAAGGTCAGTATCGCAACAACGGAACTATGACCAAGTGTCGAACAATCATGATACCTACCGTGCGCCGCAGCGATCTAGCAGCTTGAGACAGCCCACACCACAATCGCAAATGGCGCCCCAAACTCCACCATTACCACAGAAACAAGGCTATCAGCAAGATGGATATCGACCAACTCATATGGGACCTGTGAGCCCGGTTCCCGGAAGCAATATGATAACTCCACCCCATATCCCCCAAGCATTCTCCCACCAACACCAGCAGCAACCATATCCTCCCCAGGGTCCACATTTACAACCACAAATCCATCCCGCTCCGCAAACACAGCCATTATCTCGTCCTCTTCACGTACCACCGTATGGACCTCCTCCAATGTCGCATCACACTCTGGGGTCACAGCAACCAGCACCACCAGAGAAAAAAAACGAATCGCGAGACCCCCTCAACTCACTCTTCGAGCTTGAGCTCCCTTCTCTATCTTCACCTCAAATTGCACCCCCTATCCCACCAAATCCAGAAAAAGACGCCCTTCTCCGCAGCCTTTCGGAAAGCCTCACGCAAACGCTCCAATCCATCATCTCCCAAACGGCCTCCAACCTTCAACCTCTGCAGTCCCAATCCCAAGCCCTCCATGCCGCTATCACCACCCTTCAATCCGAAATCGCCTCCCTGAACTCCTTCCACTCAACGCTGCAATCCAATACGTCCATCCTTCAACAATCCCTGCAGCGTGCTGACGGCGTTATTGCGGATGCAAAATCACGCATTTCTACCGGCCTTTCGACAAATGTATCATCTACCGAGCCGAGCTCATCTAGCACAGCAGCAACGGAACGTCAGACCACGACAGGGCTGCCTGCCATCGATGACGTCCTCGTTGCGCCCACCGTTGTTGGAAAGCAGATATATGACCTTGTCGCTGAGGAGCGGGGGATTCAGCGGGCCATATATGCGCTGCAGGCTGGATTGGTAAAGGGACGGGTGAGTGTTGAGACATGGGCGCGGTTGACGAGGGGATTGGCGAGAGAGGCGTTTTTGAAGAAAGCGCTGGTCAGGAAGGCGGGGTTGGGATTAGGGTTAGTTGTTGAAGGCGATGGGGAGTAAGTTGTTATAAAGTAACGCTTTTGGGGTGGTGGATATTTGGTTCAACCCTTATCGCGTTCGCGAATGAATTGGGATCGATGACTACGCTTTAAAATAAACATAGAAATTTGAAAAGTTTACGAGCGAGATACCTCGATGCATGTGTACTAACTAGTATGTCAGCTACCAATTAAGGTGTCTGGCGAGATGAATATCATTCTTACTTTACGGACCTTCTTGGTCTCCGCAACCATTCAAGAAATGCTATACGTCGATGATGTGAACGTGACTGCAATTGATTTTGACAGCATAGATAGACACTTGTCCTCAATGCCCGCTAAGATGAACGTAAAATTTTGGACATGAATGCCAGCGACTTGCGCTTAACACCTCCTTTTCAAGATATTCGCAAATTTTTAAAACATATTTTTTGACTGTATTTGAAGCTTTACATTTGGGTGTGATACGCGACTCCCTCCACTTTTTTTTTTTTTTAAGTCTGTAAATGTAGTAGTTATCTCCCTCTTGCAATAATAACATATCTACTGCTGTTGCAAATAAATACCCCCTTTTTTACCAATCGTTCGATCGGAGACGCCCCTGTCCGCCTTAGGTAAGCAAATATTTCTCTGCCGAACCACCATAGACTATAAATATTCATATACATATTTTTAATTTTATTTTCCTCCTTTAAATCGCACCTCCAAGGACACCGTAACTGACTGGAGGTTGGAATTGATTATAGCGAAAGAAGGGAAAAGGAAAAATAAAACAATAATGCGCTTCCTCCACTTCCTCCCGCTCATTCTCGTCGGGCTCTACAAGCTCGACCAAATTCTTCCGAGATTCTACATCTTTGACCCGCAAAGGCTTCAGGAGCTATCCAAGGCTTCAATTGAACGGCACCCGAACAATGTTACGGAATTGATGACGGATCTCAACCAGGCGTTGCGTATGGAATACGGGGATAAGCATGTACTTCCCTTCGATCAGGATCCGGCCCGCTGGGTTTTCAGGTAAGTTTTCTGAGCGGTGATATGATATTTTCTCCCGAGACGTGAAACCTTCCCCCAAACTTCTGAGGGGGAAGAGTGTATTAGAATTACTGAAAAAAAAAAAAAAAAAAAAAAAAAAAAAAAAAACGAAAAGAAAAGGGCCATAATTGCTTAACAGCGACGACGCTTCAAAATTTCATTTGCTAACTAACGCTTTTCCTTTCCCGCAGCAACCACGGAAACGCAATGGGCGCAATGCTCATTCTCCACGCGTCGATTACCGAATATCTTATCTTCTACGGCACACCGCTCGGGTCCGAGGGCCACTCGGGCGTGCACCTCGCGCACGACTACTTTACGATACTGCATGGCGTCGAACGACGGTTCTTGCCTGGCGAACTCGAGGCGACGGAATATCATCCTGGTGACCAAAATTGGCTTAAGAGAGGGGAAGGATCGCAGTATCAGTTGAATGGGTGGGCGTTGGAGTTAGCGCAGGGTGAGGATTTCAAAATAACCCAACAAGCCCTTTTTCCTCTCTCATTTTCCGCTTATCATTTTCTTTTTCCTTTTCTTTTCTTCCTCTTTCGGCATTCTCAATATTCCGATTGATTTTTCGTGTAAACATGCTGACTCCTTGGCTGCGTTGCCCTGGCAGGATGGATCCCGTCGATGCTTCCGTTTGGCTTTGTCGATACGTTCACGAGCACGCTGGACCTGGTGAATCTCTGGAAGACTGTGTATTGGACCGCGAAGGGGATGGGTTCTCAGCTGCTGATTGGGAAATTCTAATCGCTGTATTTTATTTTCTTGTTTCCCTCTTTTTAATTTTTAATTCTTCTTCCTCTTCCTGTATATATATATAGATAGGCCATCTTGTTGGGCATTTGGCCAATTCGGTTATTTTGGGATAGACTTCAGGGTAATAATACGATATGTCCTTCCAAAAGAAAGAAAGGGAAAAGAAAAATTCCTGCCCGCTTATGGGTATCTGCGATGTTTCTTGGTAAATCACATCTGTGTCCTCGGAAAAGCCTCGCAGAACCCGGCGTAGCCAAACCCCTAGATATTCAGAAAAGTCCTCTGACGTCGAGTGCATGAAAGTCACAGCAGAGACAGAGCCGACCTGTGCCCGGAATTTCCCGCGCGGGTGACAGGGCTGGCGCTTACGTAGCACCCACGCTGATCGCCCGATGACATCAGGGAAGCGTAATGAAGGCCAAACCTGCGCGAATGATATCATAGGGGCAAACAGCGGTGCGATGATATCAAGGTTTTTTTTTTCTTTTGCTACCGTTGAACCTGGCGGGGATGAGGCAACGGAATGGGGTCTATAAAAATGCCCAATACCCCTTGAAATCTTGAGTATTATTCCATACCAGCCACTTCGAAACTTCTCATATTTTCATACCTTTTAATTAACTCAGATCTGATATTCAAAAGCAAGTAAGGGCTGTTGGTCGACATATATCCAACTCGCAATATAGATTTACAGCCGAACATCATGTCTTCCAGCACCAACGAATCGCAGTCCCAGGAAGCCACTTCATCCTACCTGCAGCAGGCGTCCAATGCTGTCAAGAACACCGTAAACAAAATGACTGGAGCCAATGCCTCTGATGACAAAGAGAGCAAGAATGATGTATGGACCTCACTCCAATTTCCTCCAAGTACACCCCTCCAGAAGACATATATCTAACAACACGCGCCAACCATAGTCCCAACCAAGCGGCCAATACAACCAAACCATCGGTTCCGCCAAACAAGCCGCCGGCGCCGCCATCGGCAACGAAGACCTCCGCAAAGCCGGTGAGCGCCAAAATGCAGAGGGGGAACAGCAAGAGGCACATAAGCAGGCGCAAAAATGGGGCGAAGGAGCCGGGGACCGCGTAAAGGGCAAAGTCGGCGAGTTCCTCTCTGGACCTGGGTTCGGTGGTAGCGAGCAGGAGCGAATGGACGCTGAGGCTGAGCGAAAGAAGTATACGCAGATGCATGAGGAGGGGAAATCTCAGCAGAAGGCAGCTGAGCAGGACATTCAAAATCGATGGGGTGATGATGGTAAGAGCGAGGAGAAGAAGTAAGCGTGTTTGAGGAGGGTTTTGTAAACTAAGGTGGATTAATTATTGGGAGAGTTTCTTGCTTGTCTGAACTGATTGTGATACCCGGTCGGGTTAGCAGTAGTTTTTATGTATATCTTTTTTCGATCTTGACGTCTCAATGATATATTGCTCGCGTATTACCTATTCCTCCCCGTTCCAAAAATCTCATGCGATTCCCCTAAAGGCCCATTCATCGTAGGACGAGAGTACTGAGAACCTGAAAGGAGAGTCGCGGCGCAGAAGTCACCATTCTACCTGAATAGGCCTTCTAATATTTCATTCAAGCAAACCCTCGCAAGGTCAACTTGCATCTGTTCCCAAACGCTTACCCCCATTGCTTCCAACCTAACATGGCGTATACCATCGCTGGAGGGTCGTAATCCCATCGCTGATCAGAATTGGATCAAAGCCCACAGGCGACTGGGCCTGTATTGTTTGGGCTGGGTGAGAGCATGGAGCGGCTCCGACTCGTGCTCAGATGGGGCACAGATAGAGCACATGCCCTATCAAGCGATTGACTTATTTAGCTCTGCAGAAGCCCTCAAGCGCGCGGCGGTTGGGTTAAGACTATTTGTTCATACACGATAGCAAAAGGTAATTGAGCCAGGACGACCGAAGTCTCTCCAGGTGAAACTCGCCCGCCATTACGGGAATGGGGACGTCCAAGGGGGATGTTCCGGCCATCTCAATAGCTCTATCAACAAGGGAACATGTGTCATCTTCAATATTCAATGCTAGGGACTGTAACCAACATTGAGAGGTGGATGGCCGCCCAGTCAATTTATGTGCAGAGGGCATCACGCCCCTCAGTTTGGAAGAGGTGGATGTAATGGCGTCCCTTAATTGCCTCGATTTCATGCAACCTGAAGAATGGGAACGGGCTATCCCGATGCGTTCCAGCAAAGAGTGAAAAATATGCGGTAGGTATTGGTTCGAAACTATCCACCTCCTTAGGTCAAAATCCACATCGGAATAAGCTTTCATATTTTGCAATGAAAATGATAAAAGTCCTTAGCGAAAGTTCAAGTCTGGGCTGGTTGGTTGCTGGCCACACTGCTCTAGGCACACGAATGGCACTTCTGTGTTGTAAAACGTGCAATCTTCTTGATGGGAGGGCTTTACCGCCACACTAAAAAGGATCAATCCTTGAGGTGGGAACCTATTCCTCAAGACATGTATGTCCTAGGTCCTGTATGGGATGATGGGAATGTTGGCAGTGTCACCTCTGGTCCAGGGCGGAAAGTTACATTCTCGACTGGCGCCGGAAAAACTCATGGTTCAAGGGCACGACCTCCGGAAATGTTGAGAGTCAAAAGGGCATGAATATGAATGTCCCCTTCTGTTGTGATGTAGGAATCATGATTGGCAGACAAGATAAATGGTTCTGTATCTATTGTTCGGTTTCACCCACAAATATAATATTTAAGTGGAAAACATTGGAATTGGGGGAGTGAAAAAGATTCCTTAGAAATTGCACACCAAAACAAAATAAAACAAAAAGGTTCGCACAGAATATAAAATATAAATATATTCTATTCTCCGCAATGGGAGGAATGATGTATACGCTGCATGAAGTGAAAAATAGACACAGCTCCAACCCGTCAACAAAGAAATAGGATGGAGGAGAGATAGTCTATGTACGCCAGAGTATATACAACAAGAGTTCAATGCGTTGCGAAAAGATCCCCAAAACATCCACGCACAGGAAAAAGATGAGAGAAGAGGATGATGGATGTAGCATACATAGGACGAGCGTGACGTCTAATCCATTATATCAGAAAAATCGCAGAAAAAGTGACAAAAGAAAAATGCAAGCCCAAATCATAAGAACAAGAGCTCATCATATACAAAACTCATTCGAATCCAGAAAAAGAAAATAAAAAAAACAGCTCCTTTGCCCACCTTGCTCTCAGTCATCCTCCATTTCTCACGAACCCCACCAACAAGCTTCGTCCGGCTACCTACGGCCTCGGCACCCTTGCCGGGCCTTTCTTCGCCAACTCGTCCACCAGCAACCCCACCGCCGACTCGCCCGTCTCATCCCGCGCCTGTTTGAGAAAAGGGATCAGCGACGTCCCACCGGTCCCTCTGAGACCCTTGCTTCCGCTCCCAGACGCTGGCGTGACATCAGCACCAACCCCATTCGCCGCCGCCGCCGCAACGGGACGAGCAAGGTTGACCGCGTGCGACTTTCCCGGCGCAGCAGGCGCCGCACGGGGGCTGGTCGACTTGTCCTCATGTGCGCGCGCCTCGCGGGCCTTGATGATGATGTACCGCGAGACCATCTGGATGTGCTTGTCGCGCATGCCGCGCAGGACGGCGAGGCAGGAGTCGTATGCGGCGCAGAGCGCGGTGTCCGCGCGGTGCTTCAGGATGTAGTCGCGGATGTTGGCGACGCTGGCGACGTGCTCGAGGAAGCGCCGATGTGGGCCCGGCATATACGAGCGCATCTCCAGGATGAAGTTGTGTCGTTTAGTCGAGGGGGTAGGGCTGCTGTTGCCATCGTCCGGTGGTGGCGGGGAGAGCTCGGGCTTCTCGCTGTGCTTCCGCTCGCCGGTGGGCCGGTGCTCGATGTTCAGGACTATGTCGAAGAATTGGATCAGGGAGCTCTGGGCGTTGGAGCCGCCGCTGTAGTAGTGCCGGGTCTGCGAGCCGGTTCCGTCGTCGTAGATGATGCCATCAGGCAGACCGGCGTCGCTCATGTTCCGGCTGCCGGCGAGAAAAGGGCGGACGCGGTGGTAGAAGACGTGCGGGTCGCAGTTCTCGTACATGCGCTGGAGGATGTCTGAGATCTCGTGGATTCGTTGCGCGAAGGTCCGTAGGCAGTCTATAACTACAGGGGTGTTATTTTGGCGGGCGGCAGCGATAGCGTTGAGCATCAAGGGGATGGTAGAGGCGCCATGGGATTCCATGGCGATGGAGACTAGGTAGAACCATTGCTCGTCGAGGGAGCCGGTGAAGGTGAAAAGTGAGGTGATGTTTTCGATGTTGTCGGCGGGTTCGTCGGGGAAAATAGGCCTGTAGTTCCAGAGGCACACGCCGGAGTATGTGGCAATGGGGGGAAGTTCGTGATGAGCGGAGATTTTGAGGAGGGGAATTGAGATGGATTGGGGGATTATCTGTGGTGATCGAAGTCATCGTTAACGCATGGTTGTACACAAAATATGCCGTGAAACCAAGCCCATCCCTGGCAGGCCAAAAAAGAAAGGAAAAAAAGCCCCACTAGGAGGGGTAAAATAGGGCCGCATATCAAACAACCACAGAGTGTTCCGCACGTACCTCAGCAGGAGAATCACCACCCCAGATATAGGCATGCAGCATGAACACCAGCAAAACATAAGCTCTTCGCCACTCTGGTTCTGTTTTCAGCTTCGCCGTCGACAGGATTGGCATGGCGTCAATTGTAGGGCGCAACCGATGGCTGAGCAGCAGCGCCTGGAGGTTGGCGGCGATCGACTCCCATTTTGCATAGTAGGGATCTGGGAGACTCTGCAGCGGCGGTTCTTGAGGGAGGAAGCCTGTGACGGGGGAGATGCCGTAGTCCGCAAGGGACGGGAGCGGCGGAAGCATTCTAACAAGTACTGGGCGGGATGGGCAGAACAGCCAAGAACGTAAGGAGAAGCTGCGAAAAGCTGCGAGTAGGATCGGATACGGATGCGAAAGAGGGACGAGGAAGAGATCGGAGACAAGGAATAGATAGAGGTGCAGACTGGATATTGATCAAGCGGCGGGGTATGTCAGCAAGAATCACTCATATGTTGAAAAAAAAAAAAGTAAAATAAACATCACGAGGGAAATACCTAGGCACAGAGACGCCAAATCCCGGGAACAACGAACGGGATTCCAGGGGCCAGATGAAGCCAGCAGGAAGCAGTCGAGTCAATTATTCAATGATGATATATCGCAAGAAATCCAGTCTGTCATCGCCACACTAGAAAGAGCTAACTCCTCCCTGTCTGCCGTGGTGACCGCTGTTGGATGTATCAGACACGGTTTCAAGTCCTGAAGGATCTCGCCGATGCCGCCGCAGCCACAGGAGGGCGCCGGCGTGAACTTAATTCGGCTGGGACCCCCGACTGCGGATTGGGGCCAATCGAGCCTAAAAATGGCGGTTCGAGTCTCGAGGAACTGTCTTTGCGGTGTCTTTGCGTCTTCCCGTGGGTCGCGAGCTCTGGACGAGCTGTGGGAATCAGCACCGCAGCCGGAACTCTGTCCGCTCACGCGGAATGCCGCGTCGATATCTACTTAACTCAACAGTGGTGTTGTTGGTGTTGATGATTGTGGTGTGTTATATGGTGTGCATTGTTCATATGGGTTCGTCTCAATATCAAGATTATTCATTCATTGGTGTCAACATCGGAGAAAGTAAATGAAAAAAGAGATATATATATATATATATATCTCTCTTTATATATACATTTATCTATGTAGTCATGCAAACAAATTGACACACGTTATCCTCGGATAGCACCGTTCTCCCTGACCATGGCTGTGGTGGCTGCCAGTCCGACGATAACCATCGTCCCTGGCTGGCCTGCCCTGGCTGGCTAGTATCCCGGCGAAAGACAATGTATGTACGGACACGACGTCGAAATAATACCTCACTGGACTAAACCTATACCCACGGCTTACATCAGAGGAGACCTGGACCATGGCTCGTATCATACACTATCATGACTCTTTTGTATTTGCTTTAGGCAGTGGCCGAAGTTTCCCCAGACCTTGTCGGCTTCGGCAGTGGACATGCATATATACATCCATACATCGACATCATGTACACTCTGGGGATACTACGGTAGCATAAGCGGAGATACCTCGTAGTTCAGACAAAAAAAAAAAAAAAGCCGAGATAAGTTGCTGATTGAGGTTTTGTTTTTGTAGGTTCTGCATGACGTGATCATGCGGGGGATGTGTTGTTGAACAAACTGTGCTAGATATAGTCATTACATCATTCTGCTGCCGTGTGCTAAAAGTGGCGCAATTGGACCATCCGAACCCATATGCTTTGTTGAAATACTTGGAGGGCAAAGGCAAATTGGGTAATAATAATAATACACAGAGAAGGAGAAAGAAATCATACAGATATGCACACAGCAAAGACCGGGCTGTGAAATGAGATGTAAATGAGGGGGGAAACACCTATTGTAACATGGAACTAGATGCTTCGCATAGTAGAAGAGAAGACGAAAAAAAAAAGTATCGACAAAGGTGGTTACGAAAGATGGGTGATATGAAGTTTGCTAGGTGTTTAGATATCATTCTGATCGTACAATCAGTTAGTGTAAAACACATCATCAAGGATTAATAAAACCAAAACAAGGTCTCGCCGAATAAGAGAGGAGGGTATTTTTAATGTGAAATCATGTAATGAGACCGGGCCGGTTAAAATACCAGCGCTCAATGTTGACTCCATTCGATGGTATTTAGGTCAACGCCCTCCTGCACTAGCTCCCACAGCGGGCTGAGCTCCCGCAGGAACGACACTCGCTCTCTCACCGCCTTCAACACATAGTCAATTTCGCTCTCTGTTGTGAACCGTCCAATGCCGAACCGTATACTGCTATGTGCGCTCTCGTCGCTGTTTCCGAGCGCTCGGAGCACGTAGCTGGGTTCCAGCGAGGCAGAAGTACATGCACTACCAGAGGACAGTGCGATATCCTTGAGGGCCATCAGGAGGGACTCACCCTCGACGTAGGCGAAGGATACGTTGACGCAGCCGGGATAGTGTTTTTCGGGGTCGCCGTTTAAGGACGTATGTTCCATCGAGAGGAGGCCATCAAGAAGCCGTTTGGATAGCGCTTTGATGCGTTTCGCATCGTACTAGATTTTTATAGAATCAGTAACGCAATCCATATCGTATACCAAACACGTTAGATGTAATAAAACACATATCAAATGGTAAAATCACCGAACCAATGTCATAACCCCTGCTATGTAAATCAAAGGTGGTTGGTAAACACAGCAAAAACCGTGCAGCTACGGCCAGCCAGTCTCAGAAAGCCATGCATATTCTAAGCAATATAATCATTCCAGGCGCGGAGAGATAGAAATGGAAAACGATAAAAAAGTCAAATAGAACTGAGCAGGAGTTTTTCTCTTACCTCCATTTCTTCCTTTGCAATGCGGCACGCCTCCCCAATGCCGACCGCAAGGTGAGGAGCCAGAGTGCCGCTTCGAAGTCCTCTCTCTTGGCCACCACCTGTAATGATGGGGTCGATACGGACTCTCGGCCGCCGTCTGACATAACAAGCTCCGATGCCTTTCGGCCCGTAGATCTTGTGTCCAGAAATCGAAAGGAGATCAACGTTCCATTCATTGACGTCAATGGGGATTTTGCCAACCGCTTGGGCAGCATCGGTGTGGAAGAACACCCGTTTGGACCGGCATAGAGTGCCGATTTCTTTCACGGGCTGAATAACGCCAATCTCATTGTTGACCGTCATGATACTGACCAACGCCGTTTCCGGACGAATTGCGGCCTCAAGGTCTTTCAAATCTATTAATCCGTTGCTCTGCACGGGGAGGTAAGTCACTTCGAACCCTTCATCTTGAAGGTGTCGACAGCTATCTAGCACGCACTTGTGCTCGGTCTGTGAGGTGATGATGTGCTTCTTCTTCCCTGACCGGCCGAAAAACTTCGCCACGCCCTTGATGCTCATATTGTTACTTTCCGTCGCGCCGCTGGTGAAGATGATTTCCTTGGGATCCGCACCAATCAGCTTGGCGACATGCTCTCGGGCCTGTTCCGTAGCCTTTTCGGTCTCCCATCCGTACGCATGCGTTCTCGAATGCGGATTCCCGTAAAGGCCTGTGAGGAACGGAAGCATTGCGTCAAGCACACGTGGGTCTGTAGGCGTCGTGGCTTGCATATCGAGATATATGGGTCGGTTGCCTTGGTCTAAGACGGTAGCTTGCTTCAGAATACCAGTCGACGGACCCATCATGGCATCACTGTCGACTGCGGTGCCCGGTACAGTAACATTATGTGGCCGGATACCGGTTTGTTCAGCGAATGGCCTTTGCCCAGTTTTGATGGCAACGTCCACATCCAAGTCCACACTGGATTGGGCCCTGGCTGGCTTTGATTCGGATGTATAGCACCTTCTCGCTGCAGCTGTCCGGGGAGCCGCCGGCCGAATAGAGGCACATCGTCGTGGGTACGCACGAAGTGCCTGTCGGAACGCGGAGGGTGCCAAATTCGACATCGTGATGGAGGGGAGAGATGCAGCGTGGTTGTTGAGTTGGCCAGTTTGGGGCGAAGCTGGAGAGAAATCCTCGATCTGATAAATGGGAGCGGTGCTGACTAATGACATTAGCCAATTTGCCGAAAAATACGGGGAATTGATGCACGTGATCGGCATTGATATCCATCTCCGAGCAATAAAATAAGAGGATGATGATGTACTGGGCAGTATAGAGGTAATACGTTCACCTCGAAAGGACTTCTTATTGATATAGGATAATGATAGCTGGTCTCAAATTACTACGCTTCCAATGCAAGTAATTGCACCTTGCCCTCTTCTATTCACCAATACGGCTACGCAAACCATCCCATTGGCATCGCCTTGCCATCTGGTCAAAACGGAGGGATAAAAAGCCCCTTATTCAACCTACCTTTGGGATCATATTTTGTTTTGATATGCCGGAGTCGTTCATAGTTGGGCCCGAAGATCTATGGCATTGACAACATCAGCTTTGCCTCTTGGGACTCCTAGTTTACCTCGATGCCGTGAAAGAGGAAGACATAGAGGAGCGAGAAAAAAATGCGATTGCCCTACTCACCTGGTCCAAATCTTGAGACCCGTTGATAAAAGCCGGCCAATATTCACTGGGCTTGTGTGAAGGGCATATCTGCGTGGGGGCTTTTTCTAGCAGGCCCAAAGCTAGCTCCTGGGAACAGTCTGCTCCCGGAGGATGTCCGACAACCAATTGAAGAACATGTTGTGGCTTTGTATGAGGCCAAGCTGTCATGTTGGGCCCTCCAGAAGATGTTAAAGCACCCTGCGGAAAGGAGTCAATAACGGGCCTGAGCGGTAATGTTTGAAATGCCACTCACTTTGCCCAAGACTTCCAGAACAACCAAGGTACCAGACCCCAAAGCCTTGTTCGCCTCCACTGCCTGCTCGTAGAATTTTGCTATTCTTACAACAAAGTCGGGACCAATTGAACTAGTGTCGACAAGTGGTGAAGACAACATGATGGTATTACCCGCTAGCGATCGAAGCGAGGCTGAGAAGAAACGAGTGCGTCAGGGACAAGTCGGTGGTATTGCATTAAGTTTTGTGTCTATACGTACCTCCCTCCTCATTCACCTCGCGGATATTCATCACCTTGGTCATGTCCACTGCGCCTTCAATGTCGAAGGCCCATTTGAAACCCAATTCGCTTCTCCCATGCTCCTCTCCATGGGAATCAAATATTACGATTGCAATACCGGGCTGCGGGACATCGTCCGTGTCCGTAGGCGGATCGAAGTTCATAACAATGACGTGTGCCCCAAGTTTTGGATCGGTGCATCGTTTCATGAAATCGGACAGTCCTTGAGACACAGCTTTCATTGCAGTCTTGGGGAACGCAATCGTTCCCGCATGAATCTTTTGTGGGCAACGGTGCACCTTGACTTTGAAGGCAGAAACAACTGATCCCCAGAATCCAGTCAAACGCTGAAATCACTTGGGGCTACTAGAGGATGAAAGTTACGGCCAACGTACCTCCAAAGTTCCCACCTCCACCACGAAGTGCCCAGAGAAGATCTGGCTCCGTCGAGGCCCAGAGCATTCTACCATCAGGTAGCACGACATGGGCGTCAAGAAGGTTATGAGGGTCTGAGCAAAGGCCGTGCTCTCCGGAAAACCACGACATCCCTCCAAGGAGAAGTGAACCTGCAACCCCAACGAAGGGCACCCTAGTGCTCAAAACTGCATAACAAAAAAAGAAAAGAGAAGGTAAAAATTAATAAACTAACGGCCGTAAAACTCGAGAATAAACACGTCATCGGGACAAACCTGTATACCCCGGAGCCGCCTCCTCCACCTTCCTATCAACCTCTCCCCACGTCTGGCCAGCACCGATAGTTACCGTCTCGCTATCCTGATCGAATTCAAAGCTGTCGAAAGCACTCATACTCAGCTGAACATGCTTCGCACCGGATGTATTATTACCACCGGATCGGACCGAGAAATCTAGGTCTGAGGCACAGAGGTACTGAACAGTTTTCTGGAGAGCAGGGAGCGACTTTGGCCGTAGAACCAGTTGCGGTTTAGGATTCTTGTATGCGGTCCAGAAATCCGTTGCTGAGGCATACCGGTCGGAGGTAGGTTCGATGATTTCTTCATCGGTCAGAAAGCTCCGAATAGTTGTTCTTCCTTCAGAGGGGAGCGCCATCGTGTTGTCTGTTATACCGGATCGAACAAAAAGAGCTTCCTTTGCTGTTCTTCCTGGTGGTATGTAGGAGGTATACAACCAAGCGCTGGGTCAAGAAGATTGCATCTGACATGTGCTACTCGCCCTTTCTTTTATGTAAAGTAGTTTTCCAAGTTCCTATTAATAAGTTGGGGCATCCACTGGACATACAACATCCCTGTTACTGTCTGTCGGGGTAATCTTGACCTGGAGTGGAAGCTTGCGGAGCTAGTGAGAGCGGCCAATAATGACAACAGACAGTCACCAGCGTCCTGTTTTAGGAACGGGAAATTCAAAAGCATGTCGATTACTAAAATACGTTACATGGGTTTCAACATCGAACCCTGACGAGGGTCAATGTTTGAGGTCATACTCAGCTTTGACTAGGGCGGGGGTTCAAGAACAACATACTCCAAACTATGGTCAAATCCCTACTCAGCTCTCGATCACTTAAAGGGTGGTGGTGCGTTTTTCTATATTTTCTGACTCTTACCCACCATCGCCATGAGTGCATTTTACACTATCCTTGACAAAAACTCCACCAAAGCTCATCCACACCCTTTTTCAACCCCGTCATAGCTGAGACTTTTGAATCCCTCGGCTAAAATCTGAGCCCTGATCGGAGCTCTTGAACCCCTGTTTCAATGTCCCATTGTAGCCCAACATTGGAGTGCAAAAGCCCGCTTTGAAGGTTCAAGGTTTGCTTAAAACTCCAATTAGCCTAGTTGCCTGGCTCAAGACGCCGAAATGTGTCCGATGGTTGATGTCAGCAGCCGAAAGTCGTGATGGTAAAGCCCAGCACAACCAAACTAAAAAGGTTCAAATAGAGGGCGATTCCCTGGTAGATATCATCCCTTGAGAGGTTCCAAATTTTGAATAAGACGCCTGCAAAGTGAAGTTGAACAGGGAGAGAATATCACCTTGATCGGTGTCAATTGTTTCCGGGGGCTGTCGTCCTGGATGTGCAGCAGATATCACCGATCACAATCGGGATCGCCAAAATACTGTTGAATAAATCGCCGAATAATGAGGGGCTAGAGGACGAGAAGTGCACATGGAAAATCTACGAATTGAGCCAAAACATGAGCGGCAAGAGTGGCCAAGCTAGCCATCCATGGATAAGTTAGAATAAAACACGAGTATTCAGTAAGATTTAATATTTTCCTCTCTGCTTTCAGGAAACACACCAAGACGAAATAAATATAGCAAGCCAATTCTGCGCCTGCGCTGTACCGGGTTTCGTACCTGTGATACTTCAACAGATAAAATTTCCCCGAATAGCGGAGTTCAGGCTTTGTTGAAAGCACGCGCTGCTCAATGTTATCTGCAAAGGAACATAGCGCAGACCACTCTCCCTTAAGTGAGCGTGAGAGAGATAGCGATTCTCTCGTCTACTTCAGTGAATAAATATGTCAATACCTATAATTTGTTGATTACATTGCGGACATTGTCCATGAGCTTATCGACGAATAATGGAGAGGGCCAGAGGGAATGAAGCAGAGAACGTGAAGCGGCCGCCCAGAAGGTAAATTGACAGAGAGAGAAAGCGCCGATCTGGCGCTTTAGAGTTCTTGGCCCTTGTTTCTATGTAGAGAATTGTTCTGAAGAGTCTGATGCGGATGATTTTTTTTTTTTTTTTTTCCGAAGAGCACGGCCGTTGAGTATTATGAGTACTTTCTCCCTTCGTGCACTGTCGCTAAACGCACAAGAGGGGAATATTCAAAGCAATGCATTGTAATCAATTTTTGTAACATTGGGAGAAAATAGCTCCGATCTCCGAGCGGATGATTGGCACACGGAGTGTTGTCCCCCACTCTAGACAATGTGCACACAGATAGAATGGGTTAATCAGCCTAACAGCCCATCTGCAATTGTGCAGAAGCTGATGCTCACCCTGGACTCTTGACGAGACCCCATTCGACAACACCTCATCCTATCCCTGAAAAGATGAGCATTTGGAACACTCGCCATAGACAGCTCCTACCTAAGCCCCTGCTCACGCTAGGAATATGTATGGTATATCTGTGCAACCACAAGTCCCTGCACAATTCGGAGCAGGCCAAAGCGGCTTGCGGCCTAAAGATTCACTGACTGTATTCTTGCATTTCGCATAAATGTGAAGCCTGGTCGCCTCTAGCATAAGGGCTACGTTAATCAGATTTCCATTGAGATTTCCATCTATAACATTCGGAAATCTCATGGATAAACTGTTCAGGCTGTGAAAAAATACCAAGGGAGGGCCCACCCGTACCCGGAATCACCACGATTGCCCCAAGCTGGCAGAGAAGAAACAAGAACTCCTCATATTCTCTTGTCCGTAATTCTGTTGCCTCATGATGATCAAGATATCTATCTGCACAGAGTTCCCGACACATGTTTTGCCGGGTCCGCACTGCCGCACGTGATTAGGCTTCACGCCCCTCAGCCTCACGCTAATCGTCATGGCAGCCAAGCCAGATCTGATCTGGCCAATCACTGCCCTGTATATCATGCGGAATGCCTTGGCTGTTGTCATTTGTGTGGCTGAAGGGATTCGCTAACTATGAATAGACTAGTGTCAAGGCTTGGCCAAGGCTTGGCCACCTGTTTTAACCGTATTTGGAGTCAGCCGTCAAACTGGCAGTTTACATAAGCCACACCCGAGGCGAGAATCTTCCAGGTTGCGGTGGCAGGAAGAAAACCTCCCCGTTCAGCTTCAACTTCAACGACAACAACCTCAGTTTATACGCCCACTGTACGTCGTCTGTCTCCTGCTGCTGCAGTGACTCTGCATAGAAAGAGGTGCTAAGGAGAAGGAAGGCTTCCTGCTCCAGATACACAACTGTTTTATTCCACCATATCACCTGAGATTCGTTTTCTATTACCCCCTTCTCGCCCCTCTCGGGACACTCTTGTTTTCACTTTCAACTTGTCACCAGCTTGTCACCAGCTACCCCCTTACTTCCGTGGGATATATCCTGGTGCTTTCGCAAAATCCGCCGGTTTCCGCTTGAGGTGGGAACCTCCTAGACAATGAGTCTCAAGGGGTTCCAAAAATCCGTTGTGCGGGCGCCACAGACCTTCAAAGCCCGCTTCAATGTTGGGGAGAACACCAAAGATGCCGTCTATATCGATGCCGAACGGAGGTTTCAGGAGTTAGAGAAGGAGACGAAGAAGCTGCACGATGAATCTAAGAAGTACTTCGACGCCATTAATGGTATTCCAAGTGTCATAGAGAAAATATGCCCTTCTTGAACCCCCTTCCCTTTCTTCCTCAGATATCCTAGCTATATATTCCAGTGGAGTTGCGCGATGGCTAACTCATGTTATCTCTTCAGGCATGCTTAATCATCAGATCCAATTCTCAGAAGCTATCAAAGAGCTCTACAAGCCTATCTCCGGTCGGGCCTCAGATCCTGAATCTGAGATTCCTCAAGGGAACTTGGAAGGAATAAAAGCCTGCGACGAATATGCGTCGATCGTGCGCCAACTGCAGACAACCCTAGAACCGGAATTGGAATTGATAAATTCCCGGGTGGTTCACCCGGCCGAGGAGCTTCTGGAGATAATCAAGATCATTCGCAAAGTAGCTGTAAAAAGGCAGCATAAACAGCTGGATTACGATCGGCACCGCGCCACGCTGAAAAAGCTACAAGATAAGAAGGATAAGTCACTGAAGGACGAAAAGGCTCTGTATAAGGCTGAGAATGACGTCGAGCAAGCAACTGCGGATTTCAACTATTACAACGATCTTTTGAAAAAGGAGCTCCCTCAACTTTTCTATCTCGAAGCAGAACTCATCAAGCCCCTCTTCCAATCATTCTACTACATGCAACTCAACGTCTTCTACACCCTCCACGATCAAATGCAAGGGATCAATATCGGTTACTTCGACCTGACCTCAGATGTCGAAGAGGCCTTTGAACTAAAACGAGGTGACGTCAAGGAGCGTGCAGAGGAGCTCTCAATCGTCCACTTCAAGGCTACCGGCGGTCGTCGCCCGGGCTCCAAGCTTCTTCCAGGCAGCATCAGCGGCAAGGATAAACTCGCTGCGGAACAAAAAACTATCCCATCACGCCGCACGACGGAGGCCTCGGAGAACAACCCACCGCCACCCTACTCCGCTCACACCGCGTCTACACTTATCGGCGGGAGCAGTTCGCTGGCTGCAGCGGCAAAGGCAAAGAAGCCACCACCTCCACCTAAACCAGCTCGGTTCGGGGGATCTCCGGCTGTGGAGACCGTGACGGCGTTGTATGACTATGAGGCGCAGGCGCATGGGGACCTGAGCTTCTCTGCTGGTGAGGTGATTGAGGTGATAGAGCGGAGTAATAATGAAAATGAGTGGTGGACGGGGAGGGTTAATGGGAAGACCGGGCAGTTTCCAGGTATGACGTCGACCTTTTACCTCACGCTTTCCGACATTTTTCCCTGTCGTGGAACAAATTGAAACTAATTGTTGTTTTCCCCCGATGTCAACAGGAAATTACGTTAGATTAAATTAGACGTGATGTCATCTTCTTTTCCTTTTTATCACTACCCTGCACTTAAACCATCTAAGCATTATTATATCCCTGCCCTTTTTTTCTTCTTCACATTTGCATAACAGCAATGCAAACGCCAATGCCAATACTAGAACAGAAAAATAAAAGCAAACATCCTATCGGCCAGAACCATATCACATATAAGTAATATTTCAAATTGCGCTGTATATAACGTATCATATATACATGCACGCATAACCTACCATTGTCCAACCCATCCCTGCCTATATAACAATCACGGTAATAATTCAAAGTTACGTTTATTCTCATTCATTTATAACACATCACATACCTCACGCATGATTCTCTTTTAGTTTTTGAGCGGTATTTGTGGTACACTCTGCCAACTTTCGCAGAATTCTGTGGGACAAAATTCCAAAAGCGTGTGATATGTAACTATTGATGTTAGTTGTATTATTATTGATATCCATGGGTAGTCAGTGAGCGTAATCCATTACCGTCCATTCTTACATCTGCTTTTTGTATTGTCATTCGTATCGTGGTTCATATCAGCTCCAGCATTTTTACCCTCCTGATACTTTTTTGAAATCCCTCCCATCGCACCGAAACGTAAGATGTCATAATACCAAGTACTACCCTGCCATATTTTGCATGGCTTCAGCAAAGATGGAAATCAACCAGATTCCAAATTATTGGTAGGATAACTTTTCATTCACGTCGCTTCAGTTTCTAAACCAAGAAAGGGGGTATTTCCAATTTTGATTGATCTTCCAATGAATGACAAGATGGAAGACAGAGAGATATCAGCCACCACTGAAATAGTGGAAAAATCCCGAAAAAAAAAGAAATGAAAAATAACAAGAACCTCTAAATCTCATTTTTCTCGTTCCTCGCCTCCTTGTCTGCTCCGTTCTACATGATCACTTAATTTCCGCCTCCGTCCTTTTTTTTCGTATGTGTGTGTGTGTGTGTATGTTTCGCAGGAAAGAACTGTAGAGTTCCAAAGCCCTCTTTTTTTTTTCACCAATCAAATTGATACATGCAGCTTTCTCTCTCGCGCGCGCGCGCATTTTCTACTCAGCCTTCTGTAACGCCTCAGGTAAAGTCTTGACTTTCTCTCTGAAGAGTTTCTCCGCCCTCTGCCAGACAGGGTGAGATGCACGGTTCTTGATCTCCATCATACAAGGGAGGAGATCGGTGGAGAAGGCATCCGAGGACTCTGCAGGGAGAAGACTGGGGAGGTGGTCGATTGCTGGTTTAAGAGAACGGGTAGGTGTTGATGAGCGGTTAGTGGGGAAGGATATATAGTAGAGTGGTTATGTGAGGAAGGGAGGAGGGAACATACAGATTACGCTGAGGGGTGGGTTGGAGAGAGGGAGCGGAACGGTTGGTTTGTCGAAGGTCTGTTTGCATTAGATTCATGTCTGCATTTTTGTTCTTTGTTCTTGCTTTTTCTTTTTCTTGTGTTCTCCTCTGTGATCTAATTCAGGGGACGGGGTATTGGCTAGCGGGCCTTACAGTATTTATATTATAGATTGGCTAGCAGGGACCATCTGTTAGCTTTGCAAATCGCTAGAACGGGAACAAAAAGGGATATACTTACGATAGGGTTATTGGGGTTTGTTGTATCACAGCTCTATTCAATGTAACAGTTAGGAGCAAGTTATGTAGCCAGCGGACAAGTCGAAAAACGCACCACGTCGCAAACAACAGAGAGCTTTCTGTTGGGGCTCTTTAGGCTCTCCATATCAACAAATGGGGGGATCTTCTCATTCAAATAGATACAGTTCACAAAGCTAAATATTATTAGTATTCAGATGGGAACACTCTGCAGAACGAGGAACTGACATATCAGACTCCACAATTTCCTGGAATGGCCCTCCCTTGGCAGTTTCCGCCATATCCCAGCGGAGGACATCTTCGCATCCTGCTTTAACACAAGCATCAACCGCACCCCTATTCTCACGCCGGTTAGTCACATAGCTTTGCAAATTTGCCATGTTTAAAGAGGAAACAAACCTTCCGCAGCGGCCCAAAGCTCCGATAACAAGAACCCGAGGTTTGTGGCCGGCAATCTTCTCTCCACGAATAACATCCTCCCTAATCTGATTGACCATTTCTTTCTCGTTCAGATAGTATCCCCTGCCATCGGTAAAATGATCTACACTTGGAAGCGGTGTATCAGGATGCTGAAGCTGCCAAGCCCAAGTCTTCAGAGCAAGAGCAGCACCAGCAAAGCCAGCATGGTATCCTATCAGCACATTAGCCTTGCTCTTTTAAATTCTTGGTAGCTGTAATCTACTCACCAAATGCAGCAATTCGTCTCCCGGTATCATCCTGCGATCAATTCGAATATTTCCAGAAAAGAATTAGCTCACGTGTCATAACTCCGCTTTGAATAACCCCTGATGGGATCCAACTTCACTCTCTAACAAGTTGCCGGCAATGTATATATAACTATCTTACCTGCAAAAACTCTAAATCATACAGCACTCCATTTCCACGGCTCCATCTTCCCAATGCCTTCTCCCACCCTCCTTGACCCTTGTAGCAATGTGCAAACGTGACATGGGCATGTCTAAGGGGGAAATCTTTCGTCTCATCCAGCTCCTTGAGACCCAGGATAATATGGTCAAGAGGTGCATCGACCCAGGAACTTCCGGCACTAATGTAGCACCAGCCTTTTCAAACTCTGCATCTGGGAAGATCCGCTTCCGCAGAGCAGAAGTGGGAGAGCGCTCAACATTGACGATGTAGCCTGCGTCTACAAGGAGGCGGGTGGTTTGGGGTGTGAGGGCAGATCTATGAGTATGGTTAGGGAAGCACCGAGGAAACTTTTTTTTTGGGGGGGCCGATTGTTTCCTGATCACATTAGCCTGGCAGGAAGTCGAGAGTACCTACCGATGTTCAAGGATCTTATCCTCCGCACGGAGATGAAGGGTTACTGGAGCCATTGTCATTGCCAGAGGTCTACGGTGGTTGAAGTATATCTAGTATACCTGGAATTGAAATTGGAACAGGAATTGACCTCGGGAATGTTATCTACAACTATTCCCGGCAAAATGGGCTAAATCGGCGGGGGTTTGCTGATGACTCAACTTCGGCAAGTCATGTGATATCCAGGGTCCAGGCCTGGCTCCAACCTCAATGATCGAACTGCATTGAATACACGAAACATCGACAACAATCGAGAGAATTAACAACCAAAGCTACTGATCTTTGTAATCAGGGGTTGAAAAGAAAGATGTCTCTGAACTGTCGATGGATATTATCTGGCAGTCGAAAGGAGTTTGTTTTGCATACCCACATTCCATTCCGACGGTCCCAATGTCATCCGATTAGCCACACCATATCCTACAAAAGCAAGGTGTTCGCATGATATTTCCGCTGAGTCTCAGCTGGCGAAGATATGATAATGATGACGCTTTTCCGTCATTATCTTGACAGCGACTATATTGATGTACTCTACATCGGTGTGGAATTTCTGCATCTTCTGTCTATCTCCAAGAACCGCAAGCGAATGGGTCTTTACGCCTTGCATGAAAATGGACCAATTTGTAGAAGGATCTGGGAAATGGAGCAATATTATTTGACTCCTTCTCTCAGATTTGACTTGTTCGTAATGCCATTCTTCTGCACTAGTGCAAGTTGCTCTCATACTAGAGTGAATTTAATCCAATCGCAGATTTTATTTACAGTGCGGACCCCACACTATGAAGATATCGTTGGAGTCGGTCTTCCGGGATAGTTGTATCCGTATTTAAATTGGTTTCATTAAATGGAGGCATGAGAGTATCGATCGCACTGATATTGAAAATGAAATCTTGGAGGTCAAGATGAGGTCTGCGGAAAAAATCCATGACATTGGTCAGGTATACTTGATATATTTAAGGATAGACTGATATACACTGAAGTTGGACTTAAAAAAAAATCCTTGAAATAAATAATCAACCCGGTATCTAGCAGCGTTCCGCATTCCCTCTTTCTCTCAGCAAGTCCGTCGATGGAGCAAGTGGTAATCTAGCTCTCTTCCTCTCACGCTTCGTTGAGCACGCCGAAAATTCGCTCCTCAATTCTAGAGGCTTCTACTTCAGCCCCGCCCTCCTCCCTTATGATTTTGATAACGTCGCGTATCCGAGGACCATACGAACCGGACCTATCAACTCCCCGCAGCCCGTCGACAACATCCCACATGCGCATGCCAATCATTTGTACGGACCAGCCATTGCGGATACTGTTCTCCTTCTCTTCATCTCCGTCTCCATACAACTTCACGCATTCATCTTTTGTTCGCTCCAAGCTATACTCTGCAAACGTCAAAAGATAAACAGCCGCATCAGATATGTTGTCTGTGCTCGGATGGATGGAGCCTCTGCACTTTTCCACGCCAGGGCCTTCGGCCGTTGTACCAAGGCGGATAATGGTAGCGGGGAAGATATCGCTCTCGGGAATTCTGCGCATCGAGTTCTGGTCATCGGCCCCCGAGATATGGGACCAAGCTCTCCCATATGAAGCCATGAATTGATCGACAAAGGACATCGCTACGAAACTTGGTATTCGCCGGTTTTTTTGCTCGACGAGAATATGGCAGTTTGGTGTCGATGAAGTTCGCCCCACAACCTTCAAGTTTGAGCACAGTTTGTATATGTTCTGGAAAGGGTCCGTTCTTAAGATATCGGAAAAATTCTGGATGAAGCTTGATTCTAAAAACCGGAGGAGATGAGAGGATGAGGATAGAGATGATGATACACCATGGGCAATGGGAAATGGTGAATCCAGTGCTCTACAGGAGACAAGTGCAGATATTTATATTCAACCCTACCACAGCCTTCGCTTCTCTACTATCCGTTCTCCCTTTACACGGCCGCTTCTTTCCAGAAGACACAAAACGCCAAAGTCGACTGAGTGAATAAATGTTCCTCAACCAGTGCTTGCTTCCTGCAACGCTTGATACGAGGGTGGAGGGTGACGGGGAAGTTGAAGGGAAAGTGGCGGAATGGAGAAAATGTGAAAACCATATGGCAGAAGTCCAAATACCGAACTCTCCCGTATAAAATGACAATGATACCCTCTCTATGGCTTAAATGCAGAGCGGCGAATGCTTTGTACTACAACAACAATTGCAAACGAAGAAGCAATGTTGGAAACTCCCATTGACGCACACTGATTACTACGGAGAATCTCGCTAAGAATTATATTCTATCTTAGGAAGTTGAAAGTGTAACATGCTCACGAAGGGACACAGGATCGGCTCACTATCATCAAGAAGTGTACATAGAAGGATGACCTACACACAGATAACGTGCGCTTCCAATCTCAGCCTTCCTCCCAGGCCAGGATCTACAGTTTCACGGCCCGGCCACAGCAATGCTAAATTAAAATAAAAGCAAGAAAAGTTAAAAAAAGAAAACCTTGATGGTGGAGGTGGAAGGTTGGTTCATTGTAAGTATCTAGCGGGCGCAGCACTGCTTGAATAGGTGTGGTCACGTGGCGTTCTAGCGAGCAAAGGGATGCCAACAAACCTCCTCTAACAAAGCCCTGAAGATACCGGCAATTTTCTACCTCCTGTGCCAATAAAAGTCCACCGGGGCGGCAATTGATAAAAAGGATTTTAAACTAGCCTTGGAGGAAATTGGGATATTCTATTCCTGCGTAGATTGGAGTTCCATGGGAAATATTTTCCCCACGTTTTATATCCACCTAAGAAATTTGTATAATGATGAGTTATCGCTCCTCTGTTGTGGGTATATCATATGCCGGACTTCTTTATTGTCATCTAATCACTCTGAGCCAGAAGCCAAGGTCCTGAGATAATTATCAAGTAGTTTGCGATTTGCACAGCCTGGTTTCAACACATAGTTCAACTGCATGGTTTGGTGCTGTCAGCAAAATAGAATACTGATATAGAGCCGTATTTTGCAAGGGAGGGAAATTCCATTTCCACAATTTGGTAGAACCGATTTTCAAAATACCCGACATGTTCGTTTGCTGGACTTAATTTTTCGTTTTTCAGCTTCATCAGCCACCGGTAAGCTCCTCACAAGCAGGAATGGCTGAAAACAATGAATTACGGTGCTCCGTGTTTCAAAGGGATGAAACCCACGCAGATGCCAGCAGAACCGTTGAGCTTTGAAGGGACCTGAGTTGTTCTAAGCCCGGATAGCTGCATGCATTGTTTTTCTTAGTCGGGAGGATGAGAAGTATGATGAAGGTTATGTGTTGCTTCGGGAAACATCCGGATTAGAGAAAAACCCCCAATCAAAAAGGGCAAGGAAAGACCCGGCATCCAAAATGCAGTCCTTTGGTTAAAAGAGTATATACTCGAGCGGCGAGGTGAAAAACGCTTACGGCCAAACCTAGGAATCAGACCCTTCGGGAAATTTCCCTCACTCCCAAGAGCCAGAATCGCCTCCACCAGCGAATTCGATATAAAACTACGATGTGGTAAGGTTCAGATCATTGGAAAGCTTGCTCCTATTATAAACTTACTGGACAGAAATAAGAAATGTTCGATTCCAAGGCCTCCTCACAAAACCCCCATTGGTGCTTTTGACATCCAGTGCCATCCGTCAAACCCAGCCTGGAGCTGAAATATACTCAGTCAATACAGCAAAGCATTCATGCCACATTTCCCCTCAAACGCAAGTTACGCAACCAGCCGACTGCCATACCCGGTACGATCATTGCATGAGGATTTCCTAGCCGTGTATATCCCATTCGAGGCTAGTGATCGCAACGGAAGTTTTGGGATATGGTTTTCGTTCTCCAGCGACCCGGTTGTCCTCCAGCGACATAACACCGCTAACACCCAAGACCAGTTCCAATCCCATGCCCGAGGCAAGGGTGGATTTCTTCATTTTGTTGAGCATGGAAACGGCCATTATTCCAAACACGAGCGTGATATAGATGGTGACGTCAAGATGGCTGACATATTCGATCGCCGCGACAGCACAAGCGAGACCATTGAACGAGCCTTGGACGAAATTTTGAATAGCAGAAAATGATATACAAGGCATTCCCCTGACCTTACATCTCCATACGGATCATCCATCGACCATTCACTCAGTTTCGCCTCGGCTCGAATTTTCTCCTGTCTTGTTTTCTGTTCGTTTTCTTGATATTTTCTCTTGTTTTTGTTAACTGACCATGAGTATTTGTACTGTACCTACCTCGAATCCCAAGGGCATCTCGCTCCCAAAGAAGACGCTGCGTTCACCACCCCAAACAGGATCCTAAAGTACTGAATTAGTTAACACCTTTATAAAAGCTCTGAACTTAACTTCTGGACGGCTCTTTCTGAGCAAACTGACATTCCACCATGCTCAAAGCTGGCTTGTTTAGAATCGTATCTGTCAGAAGCACTTCTAAGATATGCTCTACCTGTTTCCACATGTTCCTGGAAAAAATACAAAGCCGCAAGACCCTTTAAAGTAGTCACATGTTACGCTAGCCATAGTCCTGCATAGATGACGACATATCGCAGCAAAATTGCGGGCCGAGGCTGTATGGTATGGTAATAATTCCGGAGTTTATGGTTGATCCGGCCATAATCTTGGCATTATTCATCAGAAACACCGCAAATTACAGTGTCACCACGTGACTCTTGGCGTTTTCGGCCGAACCGGGTAACGCTCCGCTACCCCATCCATCCCCACACTACTGTCGGCCACCCTCCACTTGTTCCCATTCATTGACCGCTCTTCGAAACTTCTCCTCCTGCCCCTTCTTCGTTCTCCCCGCTCTCAACTCTACGCCCTCACCGGATTGCTACAACCTGCGCCTTTTCATCGCTCGTAGAGTATGTAGCCTAGAGTTGATGAAGCTGAGATAACGACCAGGGAAACCCCAAGCCGCCCTCCCGCGAAGCAGGATTCACCTTCCCCTTCCCCTCGTGCCTCGTGCCTCGTGCCTCCACGCCGCTGCTGACACCAAATGCTGGATAATTTAAACCCATTGACCAGCGATCTTCTTCCTGACCTCTATACATCTGCTGCAACATAGAACTGCGAGCATCTATTGAATCTACCCACTCGGACGCAAATCGATTATCTTCAAGAGACCATTCTCCCTCGGCCACTACCAGTTCTTCCAAATGGCTTCCCAGCAGCAACCTTATGGGGAACGTCACTCCTCTTCACCCAGCTTCCACTACACGACCCATACAGCCCCGACAAATACAACCTCTCAGCAACAAGAGGTGCCCAGAGCCCCCCACCCGGCGTCGCAATACTCTTCACATCCTGCTGGTTGCGGGCAGAACACCACGGCGACATTCCTGCAGGATTTTAATCTCGTCGCAGAGGCCGCGAAGAGGGCGCAGATGGCGATTATCGCGCGGGACCTGGAGGGTATTTCGCTATAGCCAAGGTACTTACAACTATATACATGTGCTGTACAATACATATATCTTGGGCTACTAGGCCTGGCGTTCTTGGACAAGGACATCAAATGCTGGCTGGTGCATTTCAGCGGGATCATAGGGGGCTTTGCATATTGGTACTGGCTTTCTTCTATACACACATATATGTACGATATATGGATATATATAACGCTATTCTTCCTTTTCCTCCTTCTTCCATTGTACGTGTACATTCCTTAATTTAACCTCAAACTGGAGCTGGTCAACCTTCTCGGGCGGGGTCCGGAGTCCTGTAATTTGATTCGTTCCATTGGTTAGTTAAGGAGTTATTTGATTCGCTTAGTCAGTGTCCTTATCGCTTGTTATCAAATTTTGTCGCGTACGGGTCTGAACATAAACTTTGTCGCAACACTATATAATTGACAATATGCCTTTTTTGCAGCTTCTGAACTGATTAACTGCGACACTATTGTCTTTGCAGCTGCATATGGATTCAACTTCGGATAATGGAGCAGACAGCGAATTCGGAAACCTCTTCCAAGAACCGGAGGGATTCTTACCTCCCTCCAAAAAACCAACTTTTGAAGAATATGCCATGCGTTCTGGTCAAACATTAAAATTGCGACTCGTGGGCAATCATCCACTTTGGGTACGGATATTTCGTTTTCTTATAATTAAAATATATATATATATATATATTAAAATTGACCCTTTCCCCCCCAAAACAATATTACTCTCCTCGAAAATCCGTTTACAATCTCCCCCAGCTAACCGATTCCTAATTCATTGAGGGCTTCCTACTCTGGAATGCAGGAAAAACAAGTGCAGATTACCTCGAGGACAGGGCGCGGGAATGGGTGGAGAGGAGAGATGTCCTAGAGCTAGGTGCCGGTGCTGGCCTGCCTAGTCTCGTCTGCGCAATCCTCGGCGCCCGCACTGTCGTCGTGACCGATTACCCGGACCCCGACCTGGTCGAAAACATGCGCATAAATGCACAGGCGTGCGAGCCATTGTTGCCGTTAGGAGGAAACGGCCAGGGTGGTCAACTTCCGTCAAAGTCGTCACTGCCGCCGCTGAGAGTTGAAGGATTTAAATGGGGTGCGGATCCGGAGGTGGTTTTGAAACACCTCCCCCCTGAAAGTGCTGGTCGTGGTGCCGATGGCCGTCGTGGGTTTGATTTGCTGATCCTGGCAGACGTGATATATAACCATCCGCAGCATGGGCAGTTGATTACGAGTGTGAAGCAGACGCTGAAGAGGACGCGGGATGCGGTGGCGTTTGTGGTTTTCACGCCGTATCAGCCATGGTTGTTTGAGAAGATTGTCGCGTTTTTCCCGCGTGCGGAGGAGAGCGGGTTTGTGGTTACGAAGCTGTTTGAGAGATTGGTGGAGAGGGTTATGTTTGAAGAGGATCCGGGGGTAAGTTGTAGGGCGTTTCTTTTTTCCCTCTGGGTAGCCAATATTGAGCGATGCTAATTATTTCATTGTTTTATCATAGGATGAGACGCTTAGACGCACTGTGTTTGGATATGAATTGAGGTGGAAGGAGGAGGAGCTGGGCAAATAACGATTCCAATGATTACTTGAGAATATAATACTAGAAAAGTCGAGAGAAGTCTTATAAAATAGAGAATTATACAATTACAGAGGGGTTTCAAAAATGCAGAAATTCTCTCCCATCAGTGGGTATTCATGCGGAGAGGCCCATAGGTGGCTCTAAGGATTTGCCTTGTCTGGGTATTTGTCTTTTATATCGAACTACTTTAAAATCGTTTCAAGCCATAGCTTCACTATTTTATTCAAATCCCAGCGGTGGATTTGCAATTTCGTATTTTATTTTTGCCCCTCCATCCATGCGCGGACTGTCCACACCAAACTAAAAGTAGGCCCAAGCTCAAAATTATTTACGTCGGCGCAAAACACAAAAAAAAGAAGAGAAGAGAATGAAATAAATAAATGAAATCTCTCCCTGAGAACTTCCATAATTTCCTCACCCTCAATATATGAAAATAAGCAAATGCCTGTAAGCAGACACAGATCTTTTAGATACTACCTTTTCCGCTTTCTAAATCTCTCCTGCAGCTCATCATCCTAACCGGCTATCCATGCTCCGGCCTCTCCTACCGCGCAAACCAACTCTCCACACTCCTCTCTTCCATCCAAGATTCCCTCACCGCTACCATTGCCTCTAAAGGAAGATATAAATTCCACGTTGTCCATTCGCACGATGAGTCCCATCCGCGCACCGTATACGACACTGCGAGATCAGAAAAAGAGGCTCGAGCAGTGGTGTACGGGCGGGTGAAGAGGGCGCTTGGAAAGGATACGTTTGTGATCGTGGACGGAATGAATTACATTAAGGGATGGAGGTATCAGTTGTGGTGCGAGAGTAAGGCGGCGGAGACGGCTTGTTGTGTGGTACGTCTTAAAGCTTCACTACGTTTTCCGTATAGGAGCATGGTTACCTGAATTGGGGCGCCATGAAGAAAGAGCACGGCTCATCAGTGATTGACATGATGATACCTTCACAAATCTTGTGGTCACCTACTGATGATGACATTGTTTGCTATGCGCGGAAATTCAGGTTCACGTTGGGACACCTATTGACCGATGCATTGTAAATAATGAATCTCGGATACGGAAGCGGGAAATGAAGAAGGGGGGAGAGGACTTGGGAGAGAGAGACGGAGCCGGAGCAAACCAGGAACCTGAGGCGGAAGTCGATAGGCACTCTCACTCAATAAGTGATGATGAGGAGCCATACCCCCCCGAACTCCTTCAAAACCTCATATTCCGCTATGAAGAACCTACAACTCACAGCCGCTGGGACAAGCCACTCTTCACCGTTCCGTGGAGTGACCCTGCTCCTCCGGTTGAGGATATCTGGACAGCCTTAACAGGTATATCCGTATCTAAAGAAAAATCCGCAACAGATCCACCCCTTTCCACCGCATCGAACCCCATTTCGCCGCCCTCCACAAACACACCTTCCATCAGCGCAACGGGAACCAACGCCCGTACATCCCTTCCCCGTCCCAAAATCGTCCCGCACCAAGCCACAATTCAACCCGCGACAACAGACCCCAGCGCTCTCCATGCACTCGAAAAGTGCACCGCAGGAATAATAAATGCACTCCGAAAATTCTCCCTCGAACACCCCTCCGCTTCTGCAGCCACAGCCACGACTGCTGCCGAGACCGCTAAACTCTCTCTTGGACCTGGGATATCTATATCAGTCCCTGGCGCTGAGACCCCCGTGTTCATACCCGCCGCCGCCCTTGCGTCCACGCCCACGGATGAATTGGCTGGTGCGGGAGGCATTCTTTCGCTCCCGCGCCTACAGAGGTTGCGGAGACAGTGGGTTGGGATGAACCGGGCGTATCTAGGCCAGGGCCACGCGAGGGGTCAGAAGGGATTGGGGACTGAGCAGGCGGGGGATGCCTTTGTGAGGTTTCTAAATGCGGAATTTGAGGGGATGGAGGAGTGAGATGTCTTATTTTTTTTTGTGCTGGGCAATTTTTGGTTTACTATTTTTTTGGAGGGGGAAGGAGGATGACGGGTTGAGGAAACGAAATAGATATTGAATGAGTTCACGAATTGGTAACGGAATTACGACGGGTGATACCCATTTTACTGGAGAGAAATTTGTGCAAGATAGAGGATGCGGATACTTCGAGGTCAAACTATTGCATGCAATCTGTCCTTCCGATCAGAAGCTGGCAACATGGGTGACTTACAGAGACTCTCAGGGCACAATTAGACCCTTCTCAATACACAATGGGCAGTTAGCTTTTCCATGGCCTTGTCAGCTGGCTAGCTTTAGTCAGGCAAGAGAGATATAAAGCGACGAAGTAGATAAAGAAAATAATTGGAAGGGAAAGTGGATACTCGAATAATCAGAATGCCTCCCGCTCACGACATAAAGTATGAGAAACTGAGATGAAGCATAGTAGACACACATGAACTAGCAGCACAAATGTTAAATATGTGTGTGAGAGAGAAAAGAACACCGATCAGGTCAACACTTCTCCTATTTTCTTTGAAAAAGCAAGAGGGATATAAAGGGAATAACACACACAAAAGGTTAAGCTATGTATCTGTCTTGGTTTTCTGTTCTGCGCAGTAAAATCAAGGCGTGACAGGTCATTAACAAGTCATTCGTCATAGTCATCAAAGTCAATACAAGAAAAGCAGCTGGAGAGGAAATGAAAAAAAGTAAATAGAAGCAACACAACGAAGAAAAAAGAAACAAACATCTTAGCACGAGTCCTCCAATGTCATGTGCACATTCCATAAAGTTGTTGTTGGGCCAGTTTGAATGGCGCTCCCAAAGTTCTAAAATATTCCCAACATGCAAGAAATAACAAGAGAAATCAAATCAAATAATCAGTACAGCCGGATCCATCTTCCATGCGTCCAAAACAGGTCCCGATGCCCTAGGGACTGTGGTATAGATATATGTATAACAAAACAAAAGTGGCATAAAACAAATATCAAGAATAACAACAGATAAACGAAGAGTAAGTGCAAGAGAAAAACAAGCAGGTAAAATGAACACGATAAGAAGCAGAATGCAAAATTCGAAGATATGTACCCAACTAGAGCTGCTCCAAGGTGAGTTGGGGGGAGGAAAATTGTTCCAATTTCCAAAGAACATGTCCATGGGCTGTTTGGTGGCAATCTATCGTCTGAGCAATTGGCCCATCCATTTAGGTTAACAAAAAGATAAATCCATGCAAAAAAAAGGTTTTGTGGAATTCCCATATCTCGCAGGCATGTCTATGCTGTCGTGGAAAATAAACCCACACAAAATGGCGAAGAATCTTGAAACTCATACCAAGGGGCGTCAAAAGTGGAAGCGAGTACCCCCCAAAAAATCAACATTTACAAGTGCGAATTCCAAAATCCGCATTGGTTAAAAAAGGTTGCCCTGGGTCAACTGGGAAGCCCATCGATTTTAATGGCCTCCAGTCATCGAGAATACCCTGGGGATCGCTCATTTGCAGCCTGGCTAGCCCGAATGCAACGGTAATTCAGGGCAAGCGTATGGAGTTCCTGCAAACTAGCATTGGCCTTGTCATGCAGACCAGGATCCTGTGGGTTGATGTTGTTCAAATCTTCTTGAAGACGCGCAAGGCAGTTATAGTAGTTCCGCTCAGCATTTTGGAGTTGTTGTCCTTGCTGAGCCTGCGTTTGGGCAGCCTTGGTTAGACTAGATGATTGTGTTGGAGATGATCGGACTCTTTTCATAGTTGTTGCTTTGGCTCCCTTTCTCCTACGGACTGTAGAATCCTTCTTCTTTGGTTGCTGGCCGTCAACTGGTGACTGTTCAGGAGAGCTAACTCTCTCCGACGAAGAGTAATCATGGACTCGTTTCATATGGTCATGAAGATTCCACCGGCGGGGGAATCCATTTCCCGGGACGGACCGTTCGCAGGTGGAGAAATGGCAGAGATGGGGATTCTCTCCATGGCCATGCATTCCATGTGCTTCTCGTTCATGGCGGAAGAGGCAAGCATTGGAAGAAAAATGAGCATCCACGCACTGGCTGACCTTGCAGCGGTATGGCTTCAAATGCGAATCAAGATATTTACTGCGAGGTATCCGTTAGTCGGGAATACATGTTTGCTGGAAAGCGAAGGGCACTTACTGGTAACCGCATTTTTGTGTGGTTGGTGGGTGAGAACAAGGCTTCTCGTCGTTCTCAAAGGGGCAATGGTATTTCCCATCGGCCTGTGTTGGTAGGGAATAATAGTCATGGTCTCTAGGGTTCCTTGTCTCCTGGGCATCCTTAAAGCTCGGATTTTGTCCAATAGAATGGGAATATATCTTTTGGTCCTCTTTTCGTTTCTGAGGTTCAGCAGCCGATAGCAGTGGTCGTTGGGTGTGCTTCGAAGGCCTAACGGTTCTAACCCGCGTGATAAATTAGCATCAAAGAGTCGACAACATGAGAAGTAGGTAAGCTTATAAAAGGAGATTGTTCGTCATTTTACCTGTTGAAATCCTGTTCTTGTGTAGTAAAACGACAAAGTGGATCACGGACGTTGAAACGTTGGGGGGAAACGGAGGTTGGGATGTCGGTAAACATAGGATCATCGTGCCCAGAAAATGGAGCGTAGCTGTCTTGTGAACATGACGAGGATACAGAGGCATCGCTGCTTCCCTCAGTCAGGGGCGGGGTGATCGGACCATGGTGGAAAATATCAGGCACTTGGTTCGCGCCACCTAGGGAAAATCCATCGGTATCCATTGACATATGGTCGTATGAGTGAGCATCACCAAACATTTCAGATCTTGCAATATCCTGGGATTCAAGTCGCATTTGCTTTGTGTCCTCTAGGTCGCAGCCATGGGAGTCATTTGGCTGAGAGCTGGCATTATCAAAAGTGAAACAAAAGACGGAAGATAAGCTGGGCTGGTATCCTTGGGAACTACTGAATGCCAGGTGAGGACTGTTTCCTGAATCTGTCGCATCAGACAAATCATGGACATCAGACAATGAGGAATAGCTCGTAGGGTGGTCCAAAGAACTGATATGCCCTGATATCACTGGATGAGAATAAGAAGTAAATGTAAACTCCTGGGAATTGGTGATATCTGGTTCCGTTACTGGCATCGAGCCTGTTTCAAACGATTCATCTGTAGCATCGCTTGTAGTACTGGAATTTGAGCTCAGGTATGGCCATTGGCTGTTATCTGGTAGACTGCTAGAACCGCATAAAGGAGAGAAAGAAAATGCATCCTGAGAATGGAATTCCTCATCATGGGCCATGGCAGAAGATGGTTGAGAGCAATCCTGTCCAGTGGAAAGTTTGGGTACATATGGCGCCTTTATTTTATAAGATCTTTTTGTTATCGTAACCCTTGGAGGGCTGGTAATTGTTTTGGTGGACATGGCTGTACCCTCCCAAAGAACTAATACACATAGGAGTTAGTATTACGTCAATTTGAAGCACAACAGCCTATAACTCCATATAGAACTCGTAAAGAAACATCAAAGCGTGAAAGAAAAAGCGATGATCCTGGATCCAAGAACTCTGAGGGAAAAGCCTATGACGGCGTTAGCTTGTGAACCATGATAATTTTGAGTTATGAACACCCACCAGACATCTGCTGCAATCATTCGTTGCCAGGTCCATGGGCGTGATCCAGGTGATAAAAGTTGAAGTGTAGTCCATTTCGGGTCGACGCACGAGCATTTCTATTGAACGATCCGTTGGTCGCGACTAGATCAATCCGGAATGGAAATATGCCATCTGAAGGAAGGAAAAGAAAAGAAAAGAAAAAACATCATTATAAAATATCCTCGGGAATACCAGGCAGGAGGAGCCTAATGGACAATTTTCTAGGACTGGTTCCGAAGTTGATCGTAGCATTCTCACTGCAAGTAATATCCGGCATCCATGGCTTGACAATTCTGATAAAGCATTTATGGGTAACAGCTGTGGTACATTATCTGCTCTTCATCCAGGCGCAAGCATAACCGCGAGCAACGGTGAGCTGCGAAACAAGTACTCCCTATATTATGGAAAATCCCAGGAATGAAATGGCCAATATCATATTGAAGGACCAGAAGACAAAGAGACTGTATTGGATAAAGCGGACAGTATCAAGTTGGCGTTCCCAGGTCGGATAACTTTACCTACTGAAGGCTGGATCTTCGGTTCAAGAACAGAGCATTTCACTGGTGTCCCCACCAACCACACCAGGTACTAACAACTGCATTATATTTACCGGCATGCCGACAGCTGCAGATGCTGTGCATTCAAAACCCGAGGGCCATCATCAAGGCTAAGATTCATCAAGACTGCTGACGAAACACACAACATTATGCACCGAAAGGTGTGAGCCGACATGCACCCCTCCGCGATGGCTATCGCCGGGGTACATGAAGGTATGGGCCCTCAGAATAGGCACCCAATGATGTATCCAGTGAAATCTCCGAGAAATGGCATCAAGGCTGCTGAAGGTAAATCCTAAGGCTTCTCCTAGTCCGCATGGCTATGGCGCTCAAGACGAAATGACAAAAAAAAAAAGAAAAACATGACTTTGGAGGGTACATGACCAGAGGAATCAAGGAAAAAGGAGGGGAAAGGAAATATAAAGGGGACTACCTGATGAGTTCCAAGCGAGGTTTGCTGATGTTGCTGTTCTGGAGTGAATTGAATAACTGTATCCTCGACGGGTCGACAAGCTAGATCAAGTTTAAACAAAAATAAAAAAAAGTCCTTGTCCTAGATGTGGATTTAATTCCCGGGAATGTAGCCAGATATGTTTTTTTCGAACAATGGTTATCCAAGTTGCAGGAGAAAGAAAATGACAAAAAAAAGCACTATCTTGAGTTTGCACCGAGGTGTTGTTGACCAGCAGAGTAGCAATGATTCTGGGGCAAAGAGCGTTAAAATGGGGCATCAAGGGATCAGCCGGTCCAGTAGACAAGATCAGAAGCAGACTGAGAGCAAACAGATCAATAGAGATAAAGGGAGTTTGAATAGCACGAGAGTAGTGATGCCAGTTGTGAGTTCAGGAAAATAATACAGAAGCAAGCCAGAAAACCCAAGAGAATGGGATTTGCCCTGGCTTTAACACGTTTGCTGGGTTGGTTTGGCCAGCTCAGCAGCAGCAGCATCCTGGCGGCCTGTGTGGGAGCAGTAGCAAAACCGACGCGGGGCAACTCGCAGCCAGCACAGCACCATGCATGATATCTCACCAAGTGTGCCCCGTGGCGGAGGGTGGTATAGGCACGACTGGCTGTCGTTTGCTGCGCAGTTTCGCAGCGGCTGCACAGGCAGCGGTTCCGGTGCAGGACGATGGCAGGCATAGGCTGTGGTCATCCCACTCCAACTGACGTGGCATTCGATGCGCCGCCCCGACTGTTGTTTCCGTCACCAATCTCACCACCGGTCACCACCCGCTGGGTGGGGTCGTATCTTGGAAGAAGCCTGGCGGTGTGCGAGACGTCATTTCGCAGCCATTCGATTCGACCTGAGATGTCTTGCCCGTGAATTCGCGCTGCAGCTTGCATCTACAAATCACACATCACAGCGTTGGATTCTTGGCTCTTGAGATATTAGGATTTTCCGCAACCATCAGCAGTTTGACAAGCCAAGCTGTTTTTTGTTTGTCTTTTCTTTTCTTTTCTTTTCTTTACTGTGGGAAACAACAAGGTTTGAGGGACGGAATCCAAATTCAGTGATACAATGAAGGCTGTGTGTATGTTTTATTGAGTCCAAAAATACACGGATAATTGCTTTGTCTCTTTGTCCATTTGACATGGATCGTTTTCTACGTTTGCAAAGTAAAATTTATTTATTTGGTTTTCATGTTTTGCACCAAGAAGCTACCCGTGAATATCACTGGCCACCCATGTCACGCCTATCTGGTCGTCCTCGCGAGGCTCGGAAATGTTGGGCAGCAATGCAGTAGCGCAATCCATCGAGAGTCTTAATCCCGCCCAGTCAAATGAGCCTGTGTTCCAACAACAGAGTTAGCAACGATCGCGAATTTGGTTGTTGCTGGGAGAAATTGTCAATGATCGAGGGGCTCAGGAAAAATGAAAGATGGAAATGTTTGTCGTTCAGGATCCGGAGATCTTCAGTTGAACTATGCTTATAAATTTTGGATCATCACGAAAACGGAGGGAAAAAAATGCAGGAATTGCAAACAAATTTTTGCTCATACATACTAGGATCGCAAACATCCTCCGCTTTCGGATACAGACATGAATGTGGCCAGCATTTTAGCGCCAGCCTAAGCCGGATGCAACTTTGAGGACGTTGACATATTTCTGACAGTGCTATCTTTGTTGGATTGAAACTTTTGAAAAGCGAAAAGTTGAGAAGCAGAGTTTTATTGATGCCAGAAGTAGGCTAACCAACTCGGGATAGCTAAGCGAGTACGACCAACCGTTTCACGGATTATATTAAATCCAAGAGAACAAGGCGAAGTAATCATCTTGAGACCAAGGTTCAATCATCATTTTTGATGAAAAACCACGCCGTCCTTCATTCTCACTCTCATTCCCAACTGAACTCAGCTTTGATTTTTTTAAAAAAAAATTGCTTCTGGATCTCCGGCGAATTCCTTCTCCTTACTGACCTCATGTTTCGAGCATTCAAGAATTGCATCAGAATTTCTGCACTGATGCTTTGCACAAAAATCTGGCTCTCCCTCAAAGAATGCCCCATTCCAAGTGATGACTACGGTATCAGCGTGGCACATGAAAGCCAACCGAACCATGTCGATGCAGTGGCCTTTATAAATATATGAAATACGGTTAGCCATACATATGCGATTTCATGGTGCGTAGAGATTTACTGACATGATCCCTAACGGAGGCTGAGGAATCGAGCTCATCCATTCGATGATAGCTGTCAGGCGATAATACTCCTTCTGATTCTCGCTTCGTCTAGGGAAAACTTACTACACAGTGTAACTGATGAAACACCGTTATGGATGCGAAATAACGTCTTTATGACGTAGATACTTCAACACTCGTCTTGATCTGCTTTTTGAGATTTTTTCTGGTTCCTGCAAATGGATCGACTTAACACCACTTCATTAGCCTCGTTATGTTGTAGGCTTTACAAAGGAGCTGGATGTACTTTTTTACATACCATCATACAGCCCATTCCATATCCCATTGAGCCCATTTCCTGGGAATCTTTTATCCTGGTTTGTGGCTGTAATACTTGCGTCCAAAACCACCGGCTGGAATGGCACTGCCACTTGCTCAATCAGCATCTCTAGAGGCAGAAGATTTCTATTTAATTGCTTATCCAGAGCCATCCCTATTGCTGACTGAAAAAGCAAATATATTGAAGATCTAACCAAAGGGGAAAAAAAACCGGATGGTGATCCTAACCTTCTATCTGCCACCTTTCTCGCTCAGTCTATTCGAGGTATGTAGCCTCAGGATGAGATTCATTTTGACGAAAGTCTGCCACGTAAGCTGCGAACGCCATGCCATAAAATTTTTACCTTCTCACTAGCTATGTTCACAGGTGCCGGAGGAGATATTCTTTAAATAATGAGATTTTCCATGATAGTTTCATTTTGTCGTTGCTTTGAACGGGAGAGCTGAGGCATGACGTCAGATCAATTAAAGTTGACACATGCCAATTTAAAGTTAAGCTTACAATTAGTTCCCGTCAAACTTCGACTTTTATTTCAGGATTTGGAACACGATTCAGGTAAAAAAATGTTTATCCTATTGTTCGGGAAGCCGATGGAGTCCTTTTTCCATCTTATTCATAAAAGTAAAAACGGTCGACCTGATCGATTTCAAGTTTTTATAGGTTTTTGTGGGAGACTGGGCTTCCTAGTACGGACTAGCGCTCCACACATATAATCCCCAGAAGCTAGCAACCAATAGAACCACTCAGACGTCCAACAGTTTTTTATTATCTATAATTTAAAAGCCTCGGGCACTTCGTGCTAACTCTGTCCTGGCATCAATTCTGGAAAATTGTCTTAAGTCGGGCGTCTGGTTTAATTTGAGAAACTTGCGAGATGATAACGGTCTTAAAATGCTTGCCCTGTAGTCCCAAATAGCGAATCTTGGTGGTCCTTGCGCTCCAGGCTTTCCTTGGCCATACGTCATTCTCCTCCTGCACGCTTTTCCCATCTTGGAATCCCAATTCTATATGAAGGAACATTGGTCACTGATTTGACTTCGGAAGTTCTCAATATAACTTAGCGGATACTCAAGACACTGTTTTGGCCAATCTAAACGTCAAATTTGAGATCCAGTCTGATCATTCTGAGACTTCCCCGTGAATTACAATCTACATTATTGAAATTAGCCCTGGCAACATTGATAATGTCGCGAATTCGGCACATTAAAATGTTGGCCACATAGGAGTATACACCTGATCACCGCATTATTACCGGTCATAGTTTCTTAGTGTGCCGACGCTTCCATGTAAAAAATAAAGTGTTGAAGCACAGCTGCAAATGTTCATATCACTTCGTCTTTTAGGACAACAGGGACTTGAAGCATGTCAGTTTTTCGTTCTTTTGGCTGTCTTTACACATCGTCTTCCTTCAATTTACTGATACGATACTGGGGGCCTGCCATGTAACGGGCGTCGAAAAAGCGGGAGAATTCATGCCTGGGTCATTAACTAGTCTTGGAATAATGCCATACATATTGCAGTTAAGTCCGCTGCGGCGCAGTAGGTTCATTGTGTCTAGTATGTTGTCCAATTGAAGTTAACCGATATCCCGGTTTGGCTAATTTGCATAGTTCATTCCGAACTAGACTTTGGAAAGTTTTTGTATATATATATACATTGAATGTCTTTCAAATTCTGTATTTACTTATCCCGTTTAAGGCAATCTCTTCAATTATATGAAATTAGTTAAAACGAAACGAGTGAAGTTCTGCCCAGGTTTGGTTATTATCCCACTATTTAACCTTTTCTGTAGGCAACAGCTTTGGCTCCAGAAAACAATAGCAATAATAATAATAATAATAATAACAAGTCCTGGATGTACGAGATAAGCTATAGCCCAGTCGCTTTTCTAAGGTGAGAGTAGAAGAACGCCATGGCAACAGGCCAGTAGTGTAGACCAACACCATGTACCCTTTTTGGTACGAGAGGCCATTACATGTTAGCCAGGAGATGTGCAGATACCAGTATATAGCCACTCCACACTCTGAGTGTCGGATTCGGATTCGGATCCATTCGCCGTGTACATACCTTGTTTCCCGAAAGAGACGTCGTGATGCTGGCCCACGAAGGCACGCATCCAAACCTTACTTCAACCTCCATCGACATCTCAGTCATTCGTGTCTAACTAACTGCAACGTTGTTTAATCTAGTTGATGGACGCCAGCCGTGCCTAGGAAGCACAATGCAATCCCTTTCATGCCATAGGATCCTCTAACTTCAACATTCCCGAAATATATACCACTACCTTAGAATTCCTGATAGATCGTGACGCAATGAACTGGACCGGGGGGCGCTTGCAACGCTACTCTTATAAAAACTACAAATCTCAAAAGGCTGCTCAGAAGCAGTATTTTGCAAGGACAAGACTGAAAGCCCAGAAAAGACTCCACCAAGGGCCGTCTTCATCCTCCGCGAGATCATTGCTATCGCAGCGCCTGCCTAAGGAGCTATCCCACTCACAGGAACGCGAAGGAATCGACCATTACATCGGGAATGAGAGAAAAGTAGACAAAGACATCTCATCGGATGGATCCAGCAATCGCAGCCCTGAAACTGAAGAGTCGCAAGACTTTGACCACCTCAGGCGAAAATTACTCAAGAGACAAGACTGGGCCAGCTTGGCTGTCGTTCGGCCACTTAGGACAAGTATGTTTCCCAGGAGCAGTCCACATGCGGTAAACATAACAAGAAGGCGACATCGCCAACAGCAAAAGATGAAGCACCGGATACCCTTCCAAGGGGAGGGCCTGGACGCAGACATCGCAATAGGACAAATGACGAATTTTCCCGGGGGTTATTTAAACGAAAATAGGTTAGATGCGGTCCTTTCGAGTTTTCCCAATATGGATTGGGATGCCATTTATATTGAAGGCGAAAAGCTAACAACTATGGAAGTAATAGCCCTAACGACAAAGAAAGTCTACTCCTAGGGCTCGAAACGGATATGGAGAAAGCAAGAATCTCCAACTCACGTAAATTTCGTCGTACGGAGGCAAACTCACGCACTATCGGCTTGTGGAACACACCGAATCATAGTGAGAAAGAAGGGGCGGAACTCCCTGTCTTGGTTGCGGGGGGGAAGAGCAGCTGGATTTCATCTGCAGATTGCTGGATCTGGCATCCACCTACCCCAGCCAAGCTGAATAGTCCGGGCCGAGATAACCTCTATGACGAACTACCAGATGACTACTGGTCTGTGGTGGGAAGCGAACCAACTGCCCCGAGCCAAGATCCGTCAGAATCCATGTTACTCGAAATTGAAGAGATGCATACCATGGGGCCATTCGAGAAAGAGTCGAGAAATAACATATCGGATTGTCAACGGACTACTTATTCTAGTAGTGAGTGGTGTGAAGAGCACTATAGAAGCGAGAGTAGGAGATCACCGATGCCGAACATCGCAAATACATCTGCTCCCTCCACCATGTCACTAAGAAACTTAAATAACATAGAAGTCGTACATCCTCGGGCTCACTCTTGTCCAGGTGAAGGATCACCAAATGCCGGAAATAGTCAGAATTCAGCACACAGCAGTACATCTGCGATAACAAGCGTTTCTCCACTACTCATTCCAGAGATGCAAGGCAGACATTGCAGGAACCCTGAAAGATTCCTTGTCCATGGCCTGAAACACCTAGTTCCCAATACATACGCTGGACATGAATTGCCCGCTGTACCTGATGCGCGAAGAACATCTGATTCCGGGATCTTTGATGGTCAGTTCCAGTCCGGAATCGGGAGCGAGTTGAGCTCTGTTGTCAACGATTCGGCGAGAGGACAAAACAAGGTTCCTAGCTTGGAACTTAGGGATTATCTATCATCGTTGTATCAAGTTGAGGACATAGAGCAGGGTAACCCACAAGAACTACTCGTATGTTTTCCCACGCAGCAGACAGCCCTGGACGTAGATTGGGCAGCAAGGCCCGAAGTCCGCGTTCCAGCTTCTCGAGGCATTGATGATTTGAATCCTGTCATTGACACGGACGGAGAAGGTCATTTATTGAAATATTTCATGGGTTGGCCAACCAGTCAAGAACAGAGTGACCATTATACGCTTCTGTCCCCAGTATGCATGGAGGCCAGCGATCTGTCTACTGCTGAAAAACCAGCCTACCCAAATAGCCTGACAGAGCCTAGGAATGCTAGCAGCGAAACTGGGTCTCAGGTATGGGGTAAAAAGGCAACAACTTCGCGCGATTCTGCGGATCTCAGCGAGGTGGGAGGATCCGATCCATCCAGATGTGAAATTTCCTCACAGGATGCCGTGGTCGGTACCACTAGCGATAGTTCTTCTACACATCAGCAGCGTTTCTAAATTCGGTGACATTGTCAATGATGCTCAAGCATCCGAAGAAATTACCACTGTAGGTAAGCCCAGTTTGTCGTAATTGGGGTTATTTGGATGGCAAACAATTGTTGTAGGCGTGGGCAACTCAAGGCCTGCTTCTAGCGAAGACAATTATCAACTGCCTTTCTCCCTCATTTTCTGGACCCGGAGAATGTCCCTTCCTTAGAGACGATTGATGAATTAGGATTGATAAGAATGCATAATGTTCGGCGTTGGAAGTCATATCAACTTTGACCAAACAAGATGTTTGAAGGGCCAGTTATCGAGGTATTATTTCATACAATCAACTCGTATGGGTGTACGAGTCAACTTGAGCAAGGAAATATTGATGATTTTCTTTTTGCTCTCGTCTTTCTTCCTCTCTTCTTTTCTTTTTTTTTTTTTTCCTTTTGTAAATTAGTTATTGCCGTTCTGTCTGGCATTGAGATGGAAGAAGTGCTTTCGAAAATCCTTGACGTCTCCGCAACTTATTTTTAGCTAAACATACAAGTAGTAGTTAAAAAAAGCACAGTTAAACCATGCGATGACACTCAGGCGTGCAATCTATCCATGGTTGGGGGAATAATTTGCTTGTGTTGTCGTCGTGGTTGCCGGTGGTGGCGCACGCCTTCCCCGCTAATAAGCAAGCTCGGCCTCCGTATTTTGCAACGCTTGACCAGCTTCAAACCTCATCCAACCTCCACCTTTTGCACATCAATCCCTATATCCTATATAATCGTACGCTACCGAACTCCTAGACTGTCGACAGTTTAACACACATATATTTATATACCGAACTCCTCTCAGGGATGCGTTTCCCCGTATCATTAGCCCTAATCCTCTCCCAACTGGCAATACATGCCTCCGCCGTCTCGAAACCCCAACCAGAACAAAACATCCTCAGGAAGGGCCCTATTCCCCTAGTTATATGGCATGGGCTAGGCGATGACTACGGGAGCGGCGGCATCCAGAATATCTCCAACCTTGCCCAGATGGTCCACCCAGGAACCTACGTCTACGTCATCTCCCTTGGCAGTTCACGCGCAACAGACCTCCGGGCCAGCTATTTCGGCAACCTCAACGAGCAGTTAGAAGAAGTTTGCAAAAAGCTAGGTACGGAGCAGATCCTCAGTACCGCTCCCTCCATCAATGCTTTGGGCTTCTCGCAGGGCGGCCAGTTCCTTCGTGCATATGTCGAGCGCTGCAACTTCCCACCTGTCCACAACCTCGTTACCTTCGGCAGTCAACATAACGGTATCTCAAGCTTCCAGGGCTGCAGCACCACCGGTGATTGGCTGTGTAGAGCTGGGGAGTCGCTGCTACGATGGGGTACGTGGTCTAGATTTGTCCAGTCCAGATTCGTACCTGCGCAGTACTATCGGGATCCTGCAGACATGGAGCAGTATCGTGCCTATAGCAATTTCCTGGCAGATATCAATAACGAGCGCGCTTCGAAGAACGTGACGTATAAGGAGAACATGGCGAAGTTGAATAAGTTTGCTATGTACATGTTCGAGAATGATAAGATGATGGTGCCGAAAGAGTCGTCGCATTTCGCGGAAGTTAATACGACGGATGGGACAGTTACGCCACTAAAGGAAAGGAGGATATTCAAAGAGGACTGGCTTGGGTTGAGAGAGTTGGATACAAAGGGGAAGTTGGATCTGAAGACGACCACAGGTGGTCATATGGAGCTTACCGATGAAACACTGCGCACGGTCTTCCAGGAGTATTTTGCGCCTATTGAGCTGGGTGGTGATGTGCACGCAATGCGCACAGATGCGGACACGCAGAAAGTGCTATCGGGGTAATCAACTCCGGGAATTCGATGGTAACACTTCCAGAGGATGGAATTTGGAGTTCTTGGGGTTTTCAGGCTTTGTCATGTGTGTATAGATTAAGCAATTTTCATACTTTCGCCCATTTCTGTCATTTTCGGTCTATCACTCTTTTTGGTTGAGACTGCATCGCTTCAGCTTATTGATGACGTTCCGTCCGCTTCCTCAGCTAAGCCCGTCTTAAAGGCACGATGGAGAGCCAAGTTATAGATGCCCATCGATTGGCCGCCAATAGTATTTTTATTTTGCCTGCTGTTATTTCCCACATATTACTTCAGAATGATAAGTATCGCCAAATTATCACTATGCAGCGAAAACCATTTTCGTAACTAAGTAAATACTATATGAAGTTTTGCCAACAGGCTTAAATCGCAACGGTCAAATACGGCTTTGTGTGTCGATGTCGACAACTTCCAGCGATTCGTCAAAAACTCCACATATCAATCAGGATGTGGGGCTGGCCAAGGCAGAGTTGACTCATAGGCCAATCGACCGAAGGGTGGATATCCTGATTGACTTGCCAGTTGGATTGGACGGTAGTGATATGGATTGATCAATTCCAAACCCTATTATTTGAGTTTTCGCCTCCAGTGGATCATTCGAGCCTTCACCTCTCATAACAACGGATATATATCTGACTGTGCCAAGAACATTCGGTAATAGCAAGGGGGCAAGGGAAATAAAGAGAAAGAACCAGAAGAACTAGAAACATGGCAGAAGCCCAAGAGAAATATCAACACCAATTCCAATCCCAATCACCTCCTTTCCCGACTCAGGAATGGGTACAGTTCTTCCCATCCCCATCTCCCAAATCTCCTGCTGGAACCGCAACCACAACAACATCATCAACAAAAAAAGACGAAAAAGTGAAGTACATGATTTCGACAGACCCGTCCCTTCTCTCCCTCTCCGCTCTGGACAGCGCCTTCACGCAAGAATACATGTACTGGGTCAAACCGCTCCCAGCACCCGTTTTGAAGGATATGATAGACCGCTCGTTATGCTTTGGGGTGTACAGATGTAGTCACAGTAACATCGCCAATGATAATGGTAATGTTGGTGTTGAGGTTGATATCGATACCGATGCCGATCCCGCTACCGCTCGCAATATGGATGCCACCACAAACCTCACCCAAATCGGCTTCGCACGCTTAATCACCGATAACGTCACTTTCGCTTATCTAACTGATGTGTACATCCTCCCTGAATACCAGGGGACAGGCCTGGGCTCTTGGTTGTTGCAGTGTGTCAATGCGTGGGTAGATGGAAGGGGAGAGTATTTTAGACGATTCATGATGGTGACAGTCGGCGAAAGGGCGGAAGGCTACTACCAGCGCGTCATGGGCGTGGAGACGCAGGGGAGAAAAGGAGATGTTTTTATTATGGGGAAGAAGGGGAAGGGTGCCGTAGTTTAGATTTGACAAGTTTGTTAGGTAGTTTCTCTCTCTCTCTCTCTCTCTTTTTGTTTCCCCGTTTTTGATTTCATATGGAAACTTGACCTGTTGAGGAATATTTTGAGAAACTTCCGTGTTTGTTGCTTTGGAACTGCTAACATGTCGAAGTACGCACTCGTTGTTGGCATCTATCCCCTCCGTAGAGAGAGGCAACGCTCCTAACACTTCCGCTAAAACAGGGTGTGTTTGATGAAAGGTCGCATCTATGTATTATATGAATTGACCAGGCCTTCAAATCATACACCCCGTCCAAGCATTGTCGTACTGCCCTATTAGTTTGCTCTTGTGGAGACTAGAGCGGCCGCACGCACACATCACCTCAGGTCTATCATTGAGGATTATCACCGTCAGGGGAGGATATGATGTTAGGAATAGGGAATCTCTTTGTCTGCACCGTGAATCATTATCTGATATGAAAATGATCCCGATATCACATATCAGAAAAGATCTCAAATAATTCAAAACCTGGCGAAGGATGTCTCAATGCTCCCGTGAAAAACCATCTCAAATAAACTTAGGTTTTGAATATGTGGTGTTGTTCGGTATCTTCTGCGTGCAGCACGTAAACACGAAGGATGAGATTATCCAAATAAAATTGACCTCAATTGTCTTCCCGTGATACCAAATTACCATTTGGCCTCTGTGTTTGTCCGCCAACTGCCCTTGCAACTAACGTTCGTAGTAACATCTCATTTGCTCTCCAAACCGATCGGGCTTCCCGGCCATCAGGATCGTCATTCTCCTGAGTAACATCCGCATCATCAAAAGGGATCACCCGCCCGGGGTTGGCAATTAGTTTCACCCTCCCTTCACTACCAAGTACAAAAGCTCCGCAAGATACTTTGCTCAGTCTAACCTGTCTCTTTTGTGTATTGGTAGGCTCCTTGCCAAAGTCACTGATATCTAATTTCATGGCGAGATTGGCATCGAAATAGACAGCCAGTGCTGCTAAAAACGGAGCGGAAGGGCCATTATCTTCCGCGGCAGATGGGGTAGTGTCCGGGTGTGATCGCTTCTTGCCACGGTTTCGTGCTTGATTTGCCAGATTTCTTTTCTCGTTTGCATGTAATTCTATACCGCGAGAGAGAAAGGCGCTGAGAGACTCGCTTGGTATAAGTACATCTAAACTTCTCAACGCGGGAGATATTGGCGTAGGGAAGGATAGCGTAAGTTGTGTCTCTTTGATTAATTTCTCGACAAGACCCCGTGAAGAAACTGATGTCTGTCCATACGCAGATCGATTCAAAATCGAGAGATAGTTTTCAAATGTCGCGCATAGAAAACTAGACGTCAACCGAAGAACTGTACAGCGTGTGTCGAAACTGGTTGACAAGAAAGAAATAAAAGTTTGACGCAAAGAGTTTGGAAGACGGGTCAGAAGTAAAGGAAGAAAGGTTACATTTTTCTGAGTATCATGGTAGCCATCTGGACCTGACATCATGGCTGCTTTATAGGTGATATTCTCATATTCAAGGGTAACCAGAATTCCCGCTGAGACTTCTGGAGATATGACAGATTTTGCGTGGTCGGGATCTTCCAGCAGAGACTCCTCTTCATTCCAATGACTCCAAGTCGGAAGCACATCCCACCTGCACGATTTCAAATGCCCTGCTTTTGAGATCGCGTCGTCCACAGCACCCAGGCCTTCAAGGCCAACCTGCACGCCACGAAGCACATCACCCCGAAGGAGGTCACGCAAACGCGTTGCGTATAATTCCAATCCCTGTGGATTATCTAGAAGCGTTTCACACTCCTTTCCATGATATAGAGGGGATAAGCGATGGAGTGTCCAAGAGGTGGAAAACAACTCGTCCCCTGATGTTGCCATTGCCTCGAACTGCTCAATTGAGATCACGTAGAATACGGCAAAATATGCTGATTAAATAAACCATGAAAATCGGATATTGTAGGACATTCATCAGTTGTGCCCATAGCGGTCCTTTCTCTCCATTTGATATCTTCATTCCTTGACATTGATAGTAGAGCTCAATTGAAGCTTTTGGCTGTGGAAATTAGTTATAAACAGAAGCAAACAGTGCAAACAAACACACAACTAAACCCATGCAAATCGAACATACGAGCATTTCAACGCGTTTTCGTTGTAGTTAGAGATTGACCCTTTAGGTTGCTGCAAGCCAAGGGGGCCTTGGTGCCCGTGGTCCTTCAAATCCTCCGTTTGGTTTCAAGGTTAGGGACCATATTCCATCGACTTTCCTTCTAGTTGGCGCCGACTAGTATTATTATATTGATGCAAGATATGCGATGATAACCTGATTATGAGCGTCTCTGCGTCGGGCTGCTTTAGAAACAACAGCTTAGCACTGTTTTTCTATGTCTGTTGCTTTGTTTTCTTTTTTGCCGTTGCCTTCTGCTGAGTTCAACTTAAGGCTTTTATTCAACTCTGTGGCCATTTTGTTCTGATAAACACCATTGCCGGCTCACTACATTTCGTGCAAATGCTCTCGGATCTCTATATATACCCTGTCAAGTGGAAATCCACTTCCACTCTTTTAAACCATCTGGCCTGGTGAACGGGACACCTATAGCTCTTGGGCTCACGCTGGTATAGATGATCCACCCACGGAAACATCTTACACGTCCGTCCAGACTCCACAGCTAATTCAACTACCAGTATCTGTGACGGGGAAATTCTCTATCAATGGCCATGGATGATTGATTGATAGTTGAGGGCCGTGGTAAATCATCGCTGGGACTCAACACTCCATCGATGTCCCCCCACTGATGGGTTGGATCATAGAGTAGAAGCCTCAGCGCTGCCAGACTGTCAAACCGCGGGAGCTGTTTTAGTTCTTCACCTCTGGGTACCGTTTTCTGTCAAGCTAAAGACGTTGTGGTATATGGCAGACTGTTTGCATATATGCGTTACGCCTCCTCCACCTTCCACATAACCAACTCGAGGGTTCACACCTTCCGCCCTTCCGATTCCAACCTCCTATCCCCTACAATCCGTGCTCAGATATTCCTCATATCCTCCTCCAGGTTTCCTCCCTCCTCGACTCTTGTCCTGCAATCCGTTCCACCCCGGTCTACTGCGCCTAATCAGAACCCAGCTCAAAACAAAGTACGGTCAAAATTATGGACACCTTCGAAGGCATTGTAGTCGTCCTCGTTATCATCCTAATATTTACTCCTACTCCGGTGGCACAGATCTGGCATTGGCTTGGCGTCCAATTCGGCTGGGAGTGGCTCCTGCCGCACCCACCGCCCTTGGAATACGTCGCGCCGCTCCTGGAGGAATTGCGTGGTCTCAGGAATGATATCAATTGCCAGCTTGTGCCGATTTTGGGTCTGGTTCAAGATCGGATGGAATCGAGTGGGCGGCACGCGGATTTCCAGAGGAGCGGGGATGTTAGTGGTAGTGGTGGTGATGGAGAGGAGATGGTATAAAGCTGAAAGATGATGGGCTGATGCCAGAGCATTCTGATTGGTATGTACGTACAAGCACACTATTGTTCTTTTGATGTGTTTTGTTGATTTGAAGATGGTGGATGGTACCATGCAGAGTGCAGCGTCCAGTATGCAGTACGCGATTTTGTCTCGTTAGTTGAGATAAACCAGTCGCAGATTCACCGGTTTTCTACCTTGAAAAACAACCCCGAATGAGGTCATTTATATATTGAGTTTGTATTGTGGGGTGAGTTGGTTTGCTAAATATGCCAGCTCTCCATTCACGAATCTTCCGCGAGGCCATAGCTTTTTGACTTCATCTATTTTATATATTCTCTAAGGTTCTTGAACTGCTGATCTGATTTCGAAGCAAATAGCTTAGGGCTCTAGGTTATATTACACACCGCGGATGATGCTTCAGCCCTTAATTATCCGAGAGCCATTCAACCATTCACTCCGTACGGCCTCTGCATGGTGGAATTTGGAATCATAATGGTGGAGCTATATATTTTGTACTACCGAGGTAGAAATGGAAGCAGTTTTACATTGTGTCTGAGATTGCTATGATTCACTTTTTTTTTGAGGGATAGAGCACGCTAATCCCATCAGGAGATTTTTAACCCAAAAAAAACCCCTATGGGTGCCCGTACATCTTTTTGATATATAAGAAAAGCCTCGGGGGACGGAAATTCTAAAAAACAAAAAAGCTCATGAAAACAAACTTAACCTTGCTAAAAGACGCGCATTCTGGTATAATACATGTAGAACAGTAACAAAAACGAGGAAAAAGAACTCCTGGCAAATCCAAAAATCCCAAATTTCATCAAGTCATGCTATATGTATACATTCTTGCTTTGATTTATCAACATTCTCCGCCCATTTCTCCTAAAGACACTCCGTTATGCTACGCACATCTCAAACGTGACATCACGGCCGATCCACCTCTACCGTCTCCGTCAACTGGAGCGCCTCATCAACACTGCGAACGAAATGTGTCGCACCCCCAACGGCATCAACAATTCCGCTCTTTTCCATCATCTGGAATATCTCCGTTCCGGGTTGTGGATACCTGCAGAAAAACACTCGCACCCCTTGATCAACATAGCCCTGGACAATTTCACTAAGCACCTGGATCCCCGAGCCATCAATGCTCGTGACACCGTGTATATCAAAGATCATATTCCGGTTGTGTTCTGGGGGGCGTACGCGTGGTAGAGCAGGATGCGCAGCAGTCGTGCCGTAGAACTCCAGGCGGCGGAGCCTATTTTTCAAATCGCCTGTGTTTGCGAACGTTAGAGGCTCAGGGATCTTGACGATTAGACAGCCGTCGATAAATTCGACTTTCTCAGGCTGCACTTCTGCGTTCTCAAAACGGTCTTTTGTGCCATATACTTTCCCGAGGATTTGGATGCGCGGTTTGGTTGCGTGGCGTATTATCTGCAGGATGGAGAGGCCTATGCCCAGCGCGATGCCGAGATAGAGCGAGTAAAAAATTGTTGAAAAGAAGATTATGAGCATTAGGCTTAGTTCGGACCAACTACGGAGACGGAAGAAGAAACGTAGGTCGTGAGGTGCTTCTTCGATGAGAGATACGGCAACAACAGAAATCATAGAGGAAAGGATAGCCATCTGGGATGTGGGATATGCGTTAGAATTCCGAATATTCTATTCGAAAAGTTTTTCCCATTCTGGGTAGGCACAATGTGAACACTTACTGGCATATAATAGAAATAAGGCAGCAGAAAGAGAATGCAAATCAGAGTTATTAGGCCCAGAAACACGCCGCTCATAGGGGATTTTGCACCAGTGGCGGCATTGAGCTTGCTTCGGCCGTATCCTCCGAATGCAGGGAGTGACATGAAGCATCCACCAATTACATTGGCTACACCAAGAGCAACGAGCTCGCGATTAGCGCTAAAAGATATACCTTTTATTCCGCCATTGTTTCCGTCACCAAGGCCCTTTGCGGCGATAGACGACTCGAAGAATCCGAGTAGTGCGATGATGAAGGACGTACTCATCGCGCTTGGAAGATGTCGCATGTGTGACATTTTATATGGCCAGCGGAAGGCAAAAGTCGGATTCCCTTCGTTCTTGAGGGAACCAAGGACATCCAACCCCTTCTTATCCCATTGGAGTTTCCAGGTGAGGATAACGGAGAGGAAGACAACAAGAAACCGATCAGGGAAAAAGACAATAGAGGGGAAGCGTGGTTCCAGACGTCTTTTCAGAGTCCTACGCCAGGGGCATCAGCACATATTTTTAGCGTCTTAATCCCATGTATTTAATAATAATAAAAATCTGTACCTGAAAACCATGATGGCTGCAAAGCTTCCAAATGCAACCGCACATGTCAAGCCATGGGCAGAAGATATGTTTCGAAATAGAAATCCCAATTTGTCAATGCTGCTACCATGCGCGGAGCCACTTTTCTTCGCCAGCGAGGTAAGGCCCAGTTGCGGGATCAGCTGATCGACGATGATCATGAAGCCAATGGCACTAATAAATCCTCTTAGGAAGGGCCGGCTAAGGATATTGTCGAGGAAACCCAGGCGAGTGATCCCGCCTATTAATACCATCGCTCCCGAGAGCCCTGTGATAACACCAACTATTTGAGATATCATACCTGGGTCATCGTCCATAGCCTCACCCGATTTAATTGCACCGCGGATCACAGTTCCGACTAGGAGGGACCCTGCTGCTTCCGGGCCCACCACCAGGAGAGGGCTGCTCCCGAGCACAGAATATACGAGGGGATGGAACACGAACGCGTACAGCCCATTCAAAGGAGGTGAATGGGCAACGTTGGATGCGAGAGAGAGACACATTGGGATATATATCGAGGCCACGGTAATAGCTGATATTAAATCGCCTTTAAGGAAGGACCAACGGTACTGCGTTATCCAATTGAAGAAAGGAACGTAGTATGAGATATACCTAGTTAAAATAGACGGATGTAATTAGAAAAAAGCTCCAAATAAACGTACGACGCATTAGGAGAGAATGTATACAACACGCACATCATTCGACGATTGACACCATACTTCTTGGCTAATTGCTTCGTTGTGACTCTACTGGGCAGTCTCGAAAGAGAGGGCATAATATCGTCCCTGTTGTTGGTTTGAATACTAGATCCTTCGCAGGAACTATCTCCAAACTCAACAACCCTAATTGATTGGACGGGACCGCTGCTCGTTTGCTGACTGGCGGAGGAGCCGGGGCGAGGGGAGAAGGTCCCATGATTGCATTGGCGGGAACCACACGCAGGCTCATAGCTCTCATACGATTCCAAAAGTCTTGTTCTGGGATTTATCTCGCCCTGAGACGGAAAACCCGTGCGCTTTCCCCATGTATCCCGGTTGATGTTGGATGGCGGTGGGGAAGGTGAATGACGTTGAGCTTGAGCGGGCCAGCCATGACTGCCACGAAGCGACGACGTCTGTTGAAGTCTTGGCGGGTCAGACTCTGACATTGTGTCCCCAGATTCACAAACCACTGACTACTAGCCCGGATCTGGACACCTGGATTGTTAGGGAAGTTGGGAATTTGGAGGTTCTTGTTCTTGGATTGTGGATGTGAAAATCGCACTGATGTCCTACAGCCCAACTAGTGAGCGAGGACGAGATGTGAGTGGAGCATGAACTGAGTTTCAGAACATAGATTGTCGTGAAATTCATTGGACGCAGGCAGACCAGAGGAAGTATTCTCTACCACTGGTAGGACTTTGCATGGTTGGTAGAAACAAAGATGCAGTTATATAAGCCGGAATGAACAGACTTCGATTCCTGAGCTCGTCGTCGTCGCGAGATGATGGTCAACATCATCCACGGCAATAAATAGTAATCTGAACTCGGTTAAGGCCGAGAGCGCGATCTGATGACATAAGCGGACAATCAATCACCTGTTCTGAATATTCTCCCGCTTTTGCGGCCACAAAAACCCGAACTAGCAAAGTGTCATAGTAGAGGTCGCCAGATTTTACAGCGCACCAGTACATCCTCCTGTTTTGTTGATGCCTGTTTTGAAAGCAGATAACAACTCCCACACCGTCTGATTCTCAATTCTGGGCCATTCCCATTAGCCGTGAACTCCCAAGAGAGTCTCAATTCCTTACCTCTCCCCTCTTCACAGTCCACTTGCCTACAATAGGCACACTCCGCCCACCATGTCGTTAACAAACTGCCGCTTTTACGAGGAGAAATTCCCGGAGATTGATAGTTTTGTAATGGTGAACGTGAAGCAGGTACGTCTCAAAAGAAGATAATCTGCAACCATATGCGGTGTTGCCGAATGCCAGTCTAACATACCCCGCCAATAGATTGCAGAGATGGGCGCATACGTTAAGCTGCTGGAATACGACAACATCGATGGAATGATTTTGCTATCGGAGCTGTCGAGACGACGTATCAGAAGTATACAAAAGCTTATTCGAGTGGGAAGAAATGAAGTCGTGGTAGTTCTTCGTGTGGATAAGGAGAAAGGTATGTCATTGACAAACCCTCTGGTTCCTCATGGCTTCTGCTGTTGTTCACAGACCAATTGATTGTGCGCACGACATTGCGAAACAGGTTATATCGATCTGTCGAAACGAAGAGTATCCCCGGAAGATGTCATCAAATGTGAAGAACGATACAATAAGGGCAAACTCGTTCACTCAATCATGCGCCACGTTGCGGAGAAGACAAAGACTCCAATGGAAACGCTCTATTCGCAAATTGGCTGGCCACTGAACAAGAAATATGGACATTCCATTGATGCCTTCAAACTTTCTATCACGTATGACTATCGCCCAATCGAAGGGGATTGTTTCGTCCCCCCCCCCCCAAACCCCCCCAATGAGGGGGAAAAATAGGAATCGTGGCTAAAGGGACCAAAATTTAACTCCTGCGCAGAAACCCGAGTGTCTGGGATGATGTAACATTCCCTAGCCAGGTGGTTAAGGATGAACTCCAAAACTATATTAGCAAGAAGCTCACTCCACATCCTACTAAAGTCCGTGCAGATGTCGAAGTGACTTGTTTCGGCTACGATGGTATCGATGCTGTGAAAGATGCTCTTCGGACTGCGGAATCAAATAACACACAAGATGCACAGGTCAAAGTTAAGCTTGTGTCTCCCCCGCTATACGTGCTAACGAGCCACTGTTTGGACAAGAACCATGGAATCTCTGTTCTGGAGGAGGCGATCAAGAGCATCGACACAAAAATCCGGGCTTCTGGAGGGGCCTGCGTGGTCAAGATGGCGCCCAAGGCTGTTACGGAGCACGATGATGCGGAATTGCAAGCTCTCATGGAGAAGAGGGAGCGGGAGAACCAGGAAGTTAGCGGAGATGAGGATATGAGCGAGAGCGACGAGGGCATTGTCGATGCGTAAACACTACGGCCAAAAATTTGACGATTTGCTCTTGTCTTATTTTTCTTTTTCGGTCTCCTTGTTATACCATTTCCAAAGGCTGTTGGTCACGATTCTACGGGTTTGATGACCAGCCGTGATTGCGATGCTTTTTAGGGGGGATAGCGGTAGATAAAAGTTAAAAATCAGGACAGCTTCAATTTGTGTGTTCTTTGTGCATGGATACCCACCAATCGACCTGATGTTGACTTCTCTCGCAACTCATACTCTTGTAGATAGTTAACTCGCGGTTAGTTAACTATGGCAGCGTGTGACTTTCAGGAGCTCCAAGACCAACCAACCTACGTAATGGTGATACAAAAGTCTGTTTGCATCAAGATTCCCAACCAACAGAACTGAAAATGGGTCGATTGATAACCAAGCCCCGTGGCGAATCGTGCCGACAAATAACAAGGCATAGTTACCTCTATTTGTTGTGGTGGCTGGCTGTAGCTCTTGTCAACTCAGCTTTAACTGGGAGCTAGTTCCTCCAAGCGTCTGGACAATCCCCGCAACAGTTGGCTTCACAGATCAGAGCTCATCCCAGTCGAAATCGCCTCATCTTACCTACCCATGACCAAGAGATCGAAATGGCTACCCATTGAAGAGGACGAACTACTCCACTCCCCTTTTTCCTGCCCAGCGATAACTATACCAATCTTCAATTTCCACTTCCAAGCCGTATCCGTGCAATAACTGCTCAATCATGGTGCGGTGGGGAAGTCTGTTGGGTGCTGACCATCGTCATCGAGCCCATCGGGAGCTCTATGAAGGACGCAGATGTAAGTGGTTTTCCCGGCTTCCTACATATCTATTTCAATTTGCTGCGGACAACTCTATTTTTCATTCTCTCTCTCTGGCAGAGAAGGTCCTCCTTGCATACGTAAAGAAGAGAAAGCAAGAAATTGACAGTTAGCTGTGAACAGTACTCCCTGTGCGACGCAATGAAGCCATACCACCGGCATTGCCAGCGAAGGAGGTCACCAAAGTAGCCCTCCGCTTGAAGTACCAGATCGAGCAGGTTATCCCCTGCGAACTCGACGAAGATTCTGTAACCAAGGCCAATAGCAACATTCTCACCAAGGCCGTCATCCAGACCACACGCGAAGCGGGTGGGGAGGAGAACAAGGCTTGTGTAGTGTACTGCCTGCTTGTCTGTTTGCGATGGTTCAAGCTGCAAGCGCTGGCTGAGTTGTGGGATTCAGATCTCCATGAGCTGAGGGCCGTCGCATGTGAGGTCCTGGCGAAGAGGATGTATGTTTATTTTTGACCCATGAATTCCGCACACTATATTATGCACCATGTTTATTCCAATTATGAACCCATTATTTATTTACATTCCACAGAATCGAAGCTGAAGAAAACAACGAATACCTCATGAACGACGTGCTCTTGAAACGCTATTCGATGTGCATCGATGGAGAAAATACTCCTCCCGTCAATGCTGTCGAACGGGCGGTTGATCTGCATGCGTTACGAGTAATTGGATCTTCCGGCTACCAGAAATGTATCAAGTACCTTTGGCACGGCTGGCTGTGCCAGGACGACAAAGACCCCTCCACCTTCATTGAATACCCTGAAAGAGTCAATACGAAATACTGGTCACACGTCAATCCTGATAGACTGAGAGCTCCAATATACCAGAATACGGTGCAAATATTCTTCTCTCTGTTGTACTTGGTCCTGTACACCATCGTGATAAACACGATCAACCCATCAGGTGATCTTGATATCGTGGAAGGAATCCTCTACATCATGACACTGGGCTTCGTATGCGATGAATTTGCCAAGTTTTGGAAAGTGGGCCGCTTCTACTTTGGTTTTTGGAATGCTTTCAATTCCACCTTGTACATTCTGCTTGTCATCTCATTCATCCTACGTATTGTCGCTCTCACGCGCTCGCCGGATAGCGGTGATGCTGAGCGGATCAGGTTTAATGCCCTCAGCTACAACTTCCTTGCATTTTCTGCTCCAATGTTCTGGGGCCGGATACTGCTCTACTTGGACACATTCCGCTTTTTCGGCGCCATGCTTGTGGTCTTGAAGGTCATGATGAAGGAAAGTTTGATATTCTTTGCGTTATTGGGAGTTGTCATCATTGGATTCCTGCAAGGGTTCATGGGGATGGACCAAGCCGATCCCAAGAACGCCATGACAGCTTCGAATATTCTTCAGGGGATGGCAAACAGTGTTATGCAGAGTCCGGATTTCGGTGTCTTCCAGGAATTCGCTGCACCCTTTGGCATTTTGCTGTATTACTTCTTCACCTTCGTGGTGATGGTCAGTAAGTAACGTTCATGAAAGCCCAGCCAGTGACATCCCTTCCTGCCTGAGTGATAGTGCAGAATACGTCCCCATCTAACAACCATCCGTCCAGTTCTCCTTAACATCCTCATTGCTCTTTATAACAGCGCATATGAGGATATCACGGGAAACGCCATAGACGAATATATGGCCCTATTCGCACAGCGAACCTTGCAATTCGTCCGCGCCCCTGATGAAAACGTGTTCATAGCCCGTACGTCTGCAACCAACTCCCCAAAGCTTGTCCTACTCTTAAATACAAAATTGAATATCACTGATTTTCCACTGACAAATCCCAACGCCCATTTAGCCTTAAACTTGATCGAAATCTTCTTCCTCATCATTCCCTTCGAGTGGTGGCTCCCCTCAGCCCGCTACGAGCGCCTCAACCACTACGTAATGGGCATAATCTACTCTCCTTTGCTCTTGGTCACGGCTCTGATCGAGACACTAAATGCCCGGCGTATCCGCCTCAACCGCCGGCTGGGCGAAGAAGATGACGACATACTCCAGGAATGGGAGGAAGCGGCACAAGATTTGCAGGTCGATTTTCAGGCGGAGAATTGGGATCTGAAGGTTGCGGAGACGAAGCCGAATGTTGAGCTTGACCCGTGTGTGTTGGAGATTAGGGAGTTGAAAGGGCAGGTTGCGGAGTTGATGGGGTCGGTTAAGAGGTTGAAAGAGCAGGTGGAAGGCGTCAGGAGGGGTAGTGATGGTGGGACGTTCGTTAACGGGGTCGATGAGGTGGGTGTGACGGAGGTGAGTAGCAGGGATGGGAATGGAGAAGATACAGGACCGGTTAATGGGGAGGAAGGTGGGCTCACGGCAGCGACGGAAGCTGGAGGGGATGCAACAGGAGAACCACGAGAATGATCGTAACTCGCCGCTTTTGACTCCGCATATCCACAGAACAGTTTTCCTGCTCCTGGCATGCTACACCGTAGTTTAAGATGGCGTGGTCTTTTAGTTCCCGTTCGTCCCCCCTGCATTACAAATGTTTCTACTATTCTGCTTTATCGACCTTTGAGTTCTGCATATTGAATCATCCCGCTTGTTTGGATTTTGTTCCTATCATCTTCTCATTTTATTCAATATCTGTTTTGTAGGGTGGCAGGCGGGGGGTTGTCGTGGTTGCATACAGTTGCATACACACGGTGCCCATCAGACACCGTAACGATAGACACCATGACAATAGATTCAGCCGCAAATATCTAGGAGCCACGAACGATGTCCCTTAGCCCCTGGGCTCATTTTACATACATACTCTAGCAAACTCGAAGCTATCTCAATAAAAAAAACTACAGAAAATTCATATATATCTTAGTATCAAGTGGTATGTATATATGCATAGGTATAGATAGAAGGGTGATGAAATACACACAGCGACACCGATAGGAAACTCCAACTGGGTTCACGCGCCCAGTAACAGAAGGGAGGCACAGATATAACAGGCAATGGCTAATATCCTTATCCAGAAAAGCGGAGAAAAAAGAAAAGGAAGAAGAAGAAGAACGCCTCCATGTCCCTTCAATGCAATAAATACCTCCTGCCCCGTGAAAGAGAGACAGAAAAACAAATCAAAAATAGGTGGCAAAACTAACAGGAAACCATATCGATATGACAGTAAAATAATAAGACCGAAGGGCTAACAGAAGATAAAGGAAGCTATCGCTTGGATATTGCGTTGGACTTGCCCCAGAGATATCATAAAGCTCAGGAGTAAGAAATGTTTCGTTGAATTCGCGTCATGTCGTCAATATGCCGGACAGGAAAAAGATTGAGGGACCAAGGGGTGGATCGGAATAGGTAGGGTGCCCGGATGCTGTGGTTGTGCCGTCTAGGATGGGTTGAGAGGTTAATATAAAAGTTCAAGTTCGCGTAGATACAAGTCAAGTCATCCTTTTGAAAAAAAAAAAAAAAAAAAAATGTATGCAGCTTCAACTAGCGGAGTGTGAAGCGGGAAAAGGTCATATCAACGATTTGAAAAGCCATTTGGTTTTATGCAGTTTGGTCGGAATAAAGTCCTTCAAAATCCAATTGTCCGATCATTCCATTAATACGATCGATCTCTTTGCTAAGTTCCTCAGCATTTTGAACAAGACTACTAGCCTCGTCGTATTTGCGCCTGCGGTTCGCGTCAGCGATCATCTCAGTTACGAAGAATTTCTGCTCCTCAAGCACGATGAGACGTTCACGGAGGGATTTTTCTTCCGTTTCAAGCGCGGAGATTGCGCTGCTATTATCACTAGCTAGACTGGCGGTGCTGTTTGCGCTCTCCCCGTTGCCGTATTTTATGGCGGCAAGAGCACTGGTGCCGCCGTTCGCTACTCCGGTGTTGGCATTTGGTGGAAGTCTACTACCGTGGGGAGTGGCATGTTTTAGGACTTTGGGGAGCGATTTTAAGGGGAGCATGTGGAGATGCAGGAAATTAGTGGCTTGATGGTATATGGCTTTTTGAAGTTTGGCTTGTGTTGGAGATTGTGTGGGGAGGTCGCGGATTCGTCTGGCGGCAATGTCATACTGAGCGAAAGAGTCCATCAAACGCTTACGAACTTTGGAAGCCTCAGTAAGCTGGGTGGGGGAAGGTGCTTTTTCCGGGTCTCTGTATTTGGATGGGAGAGTAAGTGTGACGAGAACAATGTGGAGGCTTTGGAGTGGTTGATCAAACTGACTGTAATGCGGAAAGTAATTTCTGGAATCTTGGTAATAACAATCGAATGCCTTTCTCGAACTGTACAAGATTCTTATACGCCCTAAGATCCGGAGGTTCTTTGAGGAGGTCTTGCGCGACATCCCTTCGGCTAAATATAGTAGATTTACACTCTTTACAAAGACGAATGTCAATGTTGAGTTTCGTACCGGTGGTTGTTGGTTTCTCCGAAACTTGAGTCGCTCACTGATCAGCACACAGGGAAACGAAACTGGGATGAATAAACGTACTTGGAGAGATTTCTAAGCAAACTTCGGAAGAGCATCCTGTTACTGGATCGCCACAGACCACTCTCCCACATGTTCGACAATGATGCCTCCGAAAAGTGTAAGTAGTAAAATCTTGTTGGCAGAATGGACATCTTAGAACATTTGCATCATCTTCCCAACTAACAACGGATTGTTCAAGTGTTTTCCTGTGGTCATTTTGCCATGTTATAGACCATCGTTTATTGGCCCCTGATTGAATCTGGTCTGCGGGGAGAGTAGAGAGTAGCTGAGTGAGTCGAGTAAGCCGCTTTTCCAGCCGCGAGACTTCCAAAAATGCCTTGTCCACTTTTTGCCTCCGTAGCTCAGCAAATTCCGCAGTGTGGTCGCGTTCCTGGCCTTATTAACGGATTAGATACAAACGTCCAATCCCACGAAAATATGGAGCGTACCATTACGGTTATTGTACCCTTCCCTTGACTTGTAGCAAGTCTCACATACCCTGCACCAGAATCCGCGAACTGGTTCATGTTGAGCAGATCGAGACAGCTTCATTTGATACATAGTATGCTCTTCGCAAAACAGCTTCCCGCACTTGCGGCAGTTGACGCTGCCACTGCTAACCGTAAGTCGCTTCTGGCACATTGGCTCCAAACATACATCATACATGCCACGCCCTTGCCAATGTTCTCTTGTGACCACTTCGTCTGGGTCCAGTATCCTTGGTAGCTCCGGTCCTGTCTGACCTGACGAGATTCGGGTGGGGCCCGAAACAGATACCGCTGCGTTGTGGTTTGATTCAAAGACATCGAGGCCCTTTAGCTTCTGATTCAGCACAGCTAGTGGTTGGAATCGTTTCGCCTTTTCTACTTGGATCTGAAACCAGTCCTTCACTTCAACTTGCCGATCACCCTCGAGATTCGCATGTGTATCGTCAAGGTGCCTAGCTCAAACGTTCACGATTAGTATGAAGGATATAATCAAGCGCGAGCATATGGTTACCTGTTCAGTTGCAGCAAGGTAAGCTGAGAAAAGCTAGTCAGCATCATAATGGGTCTTTCCAAAGGAAGAAAGAAAGGAAACCAAAAAAGCTAAAATACATATGAAAACAAAACGAAATAAAATGGAACGATGAATTGCTTTCCAGCATGGAAAGAAACCGGATGTAAACTGACCATCTCTTCGTTGCAAATTGGGCAAGCGAGCCTGGAGCTTCCTGCCGCCGCCGCAACTCGGGATATAGATGAATCTCCATTTTCTAGCGATATTCTCGACACTATATCCTGCGTATCTACTGACATCTGAGAGACAGCGCCCTGCGAATTGAGGGAAACACTGCTAGGCGACGGTGAGTGGATGCGGGAGTCCTTCTGCAGCGAAGATGTTGGGGCAGCAGGGTTCAAAGACCTTCCACTGCCCAACACTCGGCCTCCCCCCAGAGTCCTCTTTCGCATATTTCCGAGAAAGAGGAAGGCTTGTGGACACTGGACTGCGTAGTAGCAGTAGAGAGGATTTTGTCGATATTCCGACGAAGTATGGGCGGCGTTCCGAATGCTGGGGAACGGCCGGGCCACTTTTTGCTTGGCGGCGGGGATCGGCTAATTGATTAGCGGAAGTTTATCCGGCGCTTAGCTAGCCGCGCGGGCTTACAATACTAGGCACTCCATCTTTGACACTGGAGGATCGGCTTTCGGAATTAGAGGCATCCTTGGCAGTAAGAAAAAACTTGACCCATTGTGGTTTTTGGCGGCTCACAATTTGGACACTTGACCGTAAGGGAGGGCCACGTACGTGAAATGGTGGTAAAATTTGTTCTGAGCTCGAATGAATGAGATAACTCGGTGGTTGTTGGCTTAGACGGATTGATCGGGAAATACTTAAAGCGGTTTGAAATCCGCTTTTGGTAGTCAGGAAGCGTGAGCAAGGAGTAAAAAAGTCTCTGCGCTTGGGCTAAATTTATTCAGAAACGGGTAACTTGGAGATAGGTAAGATTAGAAAGCGCAGAGCCATTGGGGAGAGTAAAAACGGGTTCAAGTGCATTTGATTTAATAAAAATGTATGCGTCTCTTTAATGTGTCACTTCATGTTACAATTGGTGGTATATCAGTAAAAGAGTGAGCAAACAGAAATGGGAAGATATATGAAATTGTGTTTGATCCAATACGATTTATTTGCTCCAAGGTATTATATTGTGGGCGCAAATGGAATAATCATCCAGAGGCAAAAATAAGTCATGGAACGAATGGGCGCAGAATTGGTTATTGAGCGGTGCAGACGCAGGGACAATCTGGACCTTTGTCGCCTAAATCTACCACACGGCAAGAGAAGTTTGGCGGGAACGGTTAAGGTTTAGATCTGCCAGTAAATGGTCGGAGTCTGCAGGAGTAACACCCTAGCTGTTGCGCGCTCCTCATTCACGCCACCCGTTCGAAAAGATGGTCGCTCCGGATCCAATCAGTAAGAAATTCCACCACATCGTAATGATCTTTGGTGGCAGCAAATTCCAATGGAGTGACATTTCTAGAATCCCGTGTATGGGGATCTGCATTTCCAATCTGCAAGAGAAGTTTTACAACCTTTAAATGACCCCGTTCCGCTGCCCACGAGAGAGCTGTGCGCGCCGCATGGTCCAGACGATCAACAACAGTGTTGGGTGCGTATTTGAGTATCAGGTGTACACAATCGGCGAATCCCTTTATGGCGGCGATGTGCAGGGCTGTCTTCCCTAACATATCGCAATACGCCAAGGTTGCGTCATTTTCTAGTAGGAGGGATGTGGATTCGGAATTCCCCAGAGAAACAGCGGTATATAAAGCATTTCCGAAATATATATCCTCATGGTCAATGTTTGCTCCCTTTTCCAGAACAATTTTGATAAGGTCAACATGATTCTCATATGTTGCCGCTGCTAGAGCGCGGTCCAGAGCATCTGTTTTGCGAGGGGAGCTCTGGTTCCTCAGCCGTAATTTCACGGACATCCTCGAATCGGTAAGATGTACTAAAGCCACCCCACAAAGAGACTTGACACAACTCTCGAGTAGTACATCCCGGTCCTTCTGATAATCGTAGGGGAGATTTGTAACCATGTAGTCCGCTGTTGAACGTATAGCATTAACAAGCCCGCAAGATTCTCGAAAGCGGCCCCGAAGAGATAGTTCGACAGTCACCCGAGCCATAAATGCCGGATACAGCTGCAAGAAACAAAATAGACCTGGTGACGTATCTGATATCACCCGTTCAACAAAAACGCTCAGAACATGGACGTCAAACCTCCCTAACAGAGAGTGTAAGCAGCAAATTCTGATCTGGGTGCATGTGGCCGCATTAACTATGCCACTCAAGAAACATTTTATTACTCACTGCATACATTTCTCAATCCTAACAGAGCCCTGAGAACGAGGAGTTCTTCATCATACTCGAACTCGTGGACTGTATGCGCACACATACCCTCGAATCGGATACTGTCAAGGGCGTTCTGAAGAACTAACCGCCATATTTCGTCTGGCAGATATGGGGTGCCTGACATCTCTATTGAGCTCTCCAATGCTTCAACTGAGATAAAGGATCAAATGATTCCTTCTGAATGAATCTCTGGGCTCCTGCCTGCGGTTTGGGTTGCAAATTAAATACCAAAAGAAAAGAAGCCGTTCGGTTAAAAACACCTCAAGACGAAAATTGGTAGTAATATCCAAAGAATCGGCCAATAGCTGTCGTTCACTGGGATTCTAGCCCCAGCCACCAGTTATTTATTTGGCTGCTTGTTTGAATATCAAACAAGGCTGCCAACATGATAATGTTCTACGGAGTTCACTCTCGATTATACGCTATTCTGATAGGCCAAAACAATATCAGGCACACAACGAACATGACAACCATTCAATTTCCACAATGCCCTTTCATCCCTTCAACAACAACAAAGTTAACCCACTTGGCAAAGTTTGAAGCAATGGTGTCAGCGACCGTGCGATTTGCCATTGTCGTTGTAGAAATGTTCATAACATAAAAGACCATCCGTCACAGCCGCATCACATAGCGCCGATCGTTCCTTAGCAAGCCACCCTGAGAATGCCTATGCTGCCAACAGAGAGTGAAATTAAATGCTCAGATGATGCCATCTGTTCCTTTCATTGTGGGCAGTTCCTCATGAAACTCGCTCAAAACACATTTGAAGTCATTGAAATATATCCTCGCCGTTCTTGGGGCTGGGCTGTCATCGGGACCTACATGGATGGGCTGGCTTTTAGAGTACTCACAATGTTCGGCGATTAAGTACATACGGCGCATTCTGCGAGGACCAAGTTCTGAGATCATGGTTCTATAACGATGGGCGGAGAAGGGTGATGAAGGCAGAACCCAACAAAGAGCATTATCCCTTTGCAGGGCTATCTCGGAAAGTAGGAATGTTGACCGTGTGTCGGAACACGGATGGTGAGCCATTCTCGATCGGATAGCTGGGGTTCCACAGGTTTTTTAAAACTAGGATTAACAATTGCAACAACGTAGGACTGTTCCCCGTACCGAACAACCCGAGCCTTCTCCTATCTACCTGCACGTTGATTTCTTCACGATCAAATGTGGCTCGGAGGCTGCACATATACTTGCAAAGATGATAATGATCCAACAGTGGTGGCCCTCACCCTTCCGGGCACTCGTTCTATCTCCGATCCAGATTTCCCTTCACCTCAAATCCCAGAGGAGTCACTTCCTTGCTGACCCATCTGCTCCTCTTTGCTCCGGCCCACTAAGACATGCCTGGTGAAGTCATGCTTCCTGCCCAGGTTAAGAGGGTTGACGACTGTTTACAGCAAGCTGACAGAGACTCTGACAAACATGATCATATGGATTGGGTGCTTATAATCGGGTGCTTGTAATCGGTATTTCTGCTACCGTCAATCCTGACCCAGGCGAGGAAAAAGGTTGCGGAAGTCAGCTTGGTGAACCCTGGTCGTGAGTCTGCGCAAAATGTGGGAGGATTGGACGAAGGAAATTGGTGGTTTGGAGGCGGTGCGGAAGAATGATTGCCGGAGATTTCCAGGGGAGTCATCGGGAACTCTGAGGAGGCTTCGTAGAAAAACCATTGCAAGCGGCAGTTCCGAAGGTTTGGTTAGACTCAACGGTACTCGTATTCTCGAAACATCCGTGAATTGCCCAATGGTTGATATATGTTTATGATGTTTTTATCCAAGTTAGTTTGACTAGTTAGTTAGTTAGTGATTCCAGCTGGCTCGGTATGATTACATAAGCGCCTAAAAGACCACCTCCCAGAAAATCGAGGTTGAGACTAACCCCTAGATAAAAATCCATGGATACTATGTACAGCTCCGATCAATCAACAACTGCGAGCCATTCATTTTTTCTCGTGAGATCCTAGCCCTGACCTTGCCCTTGGCATTATTGCCGCGGTGTATTCTCTCATGGGATCTAGTTTACGTATACCAACTCTACCTCCCTGATCGCGCGTCAAGAGCCAGCTCTGGCATCATGTAAGTGGATGTGGTCATAGACAGCAGCGAGTCTTTATAATAGAACCAATCTAACATTGACACACAAAGGCCGCGCCTTGTCGATAACTCTCAGATACAGTCTGCGTCGTTACATAATCCTCTTCCTCTTCAGCTTCATGCCTATGTGTGGCCATTTCTGATCATATGGCCTACCTTTCTTGCTGTCTATCTCTCTCCCGAACGTTATGATACGTATATCCAGGGTTCAGAATGGACTTTTCTTTGGGCAGGAGGAATCTTTACCCTACAGGCCCTGGTATGGCTGTCGACGAAATGGAACGTTAATGTCCAAGCTTTGTTCACGACGTCTACGGCGAAATCGGTTTACTCCGCCAAACTTATCAAAGTTTCGCCGGTAGTCAACGCCGGGTCTGCGGAAATTTGTCCATTGCTTCGAGAAAAATACGCAGGAAAGGATGATATCTCTTTTCTGTTTCAGAAGCGCCGATTTTTGTATTATCCGGATAGAAATACATTCGCACCCCTTTCGTACGCTATTGACGCGGAACCGAAGCCTCTCCTCAAAACCTTCCAACACAGTCAAGGGCTGAAGACGGATAAGGAAATCGGTGAGAATCAAAACCACTATGGGGACAACACGTTCGACATTCCTGTTCCTACTTTCACTGAGCTCTTCAAAGAACATGCTGTCGCGCCCTTCTTCGTGTTTCAAGTCTTTTGTGTCGGGCTCTGGCTGTTAGACGAATACTGGTATTATTCGCTATTCACCCTCCTTATGTTGGTGACTTTCGAAAGTACCGTTGTGTGGCAACGGCAGAGAACACTTAATGAATTCAGAGGGATGAGCATAAAGCCGTACGAAGTTTGGGTTTACCGAAAGAACGCCTGGACTGAAATCACGAGTGATAAGTTACTTCCCGGAGACGTTCTATCGGTCAACCGGACAAGGGAAGACAGCGGCGTAGCTTGCGATATCCTCATGATTGAGGGCAGTGTGATCGTTAATGAGGCCATGCTCTCTGGCGAAAGTACGCCTCTCCTCAAAGACTCCATCCAACTTCGACCCGAGGACGACCAACTTGATCCGGAGGGCTTGGACAAGAATTCGTTCTTGTATGGTGGGACAAAGGTTCTACAAATCACACATCCCAACTCTACGGCCTCACCCCCCAATGGTATTCCAACTCCTCCTGACAATGGTGCCCTGGGTGTTGTCGTGAAAACTGGCTTTGAAACCAGCCAGGGCAGCCTCGTTCGCACCATGATTTATTCGACAGAGCGCGTTTCTGCGAACAATGTGGAAGCATTGCTATTTATTCTGTTCCTCCTAATGTTTGCCATTGCCGCCTCTTGGTATGTCTGGCAGGAAGGTGTAGCAAAGGACCGGAAACGATCCAAGTTACTGTTAGATTGCGTTTTGATCATCACAAGTGTCGTTCCTCCTGAGCTTCCGATGGAATTGAGCCTAGCAGTTAACACCAGTCTGGCTGCCCTCAGCAAGTTTGCAATTTTCTGTACCGAACCATTCCGAATCCCCTACGCTGGACGGATTGATATTGCGTGCTTCGATAAAACTGGAACCCTAACTGGCGAAGATCTCTTGGTGGATGGAATCGCTGGCCTTACCTTGGGTCATGCGAGCGCAAAGACTGACAAACATGGAGCTCACACCGATATTACCCCCGTTGAGAAAGTTGCGAATGAGACAACTCTTGTTCTCGCCACAGCACACGCCTTGGTGAAATTGGATGAGGGGGAAATTGTTGGTGACCCGATGGAAAAAGCGACATTGAACTCTCTCGGTTGGGTTCTGGGTCGTGATGATATTTTGACAAGCAAAGCCACTGGTGCTTCACGGCAACCTGGAAGGGCTCTCGATTCTGTTCAAATTAAACGACGATTCCAGTTTTCTTCTGCTCTAAAACGTCAGAGTGCAATTGCCACGGTTATTAGCACTGATCGTCAGACCTCGAAAAAGCTCAGAGGGACATTTGTTGGCGTCAAAGGAGCCCCTGAAACCATCAGGACCATGCTTGTTTCTACCCCTCCTTATTATGAAGAAACATTCAAGTACTTCACCCGGAACGGCGCCCGAGTTCTCGCGCTTGGTTACAAGTATCTCTCTACCGAATCAGAACTTGGCCAAGGGCGAATTAATAACCTAAAAAGAGAGGATGTGGAATCGGAACTACACTTTGCCGGCTTCCTCGTTTTGCAATGTCCTTTGAAAGATGACGCTGTAAAAGCGCTTCGGATGCTCAATGAGAGTAATCACCGTGTTGTTATGATCACCGGCGATAACCCTCTCACTGCAGCTCATGTTGCTCGACAGGTAGAAATAGTTGATAGAGAAGTGCTAATCCTTGATGCACCAGAGAACGACAACTCTGGAACAAAACTCGTATGGCGAACTATCGACGATTCTTTCAGTGTTGATGTTGATCCCACACAACCTTTGGACCGTGAAATTCTGGAAACCAAGGATCTTTGCGTTACAGGCTACGCGTTGACAAAGTTCAAAAACAAAAAGGCTCTCCCCGATCTTCTCCGCCATACCTGGGTGTATGCTCGTGTCTCCCCGAAGCAGAAGGAAGATATTCTTCTGGGTATGAAGGATGCTGGATATACGACTCTCATGTGCGGCGATGGTACTAATGATGTTGGTGCACTCAAACAAGCTCATGTTGGTGTCGCCCTGTTGAACGGCTCTCAGGATGATCTCAATAAAATCGCAGAGCATTGGAGGAACACCAAGATGAAAGAGATCTACGAGAAGCAAGTCTCGTTGATGCAAAGATTTAATCAACCCGCCCCCCCAATTCCGGCAAACATTGCGCACCTATATCCTCCTGGACCAAACAACCCTCACTACGAAAAAGCATTGATTCGTGAGGCACAAAGGAAAGGCATTACTGCCCCCGCCGCCATTGGAGGAAATGGAATCCCAACCGTCACCTCTCCAGGTGCACATGCCATACAACAATCGACCATGAACCTAACGCCTCAGCAACGCCAGCAACGCCATGCGTCACTTGCTGCAGCCGGTTTTGCCGATAAGCTGACGGCCACGATGATGGAACAAGAATTAGATGACAACGAACCCCCCACGATCAAGCTTGGAGATGCTTCGGTTGCCGCTCCTTTCACCAGCAAACTTGCAAACGTTATTGCAATCCCCAATATTATCCGTCAAGGCCGATGCACGCTGGTTGCAACTATCCAGATGTATAAGATCCTTGCGCTTAACTGCTTAATCAGTGCGTACAGTTTAAGTGTCATATACCTTGACGGCATTAGATTTGGTGATGGTCAGGCAACTATCAGCGGCATACTAATGAGTGTTTGCTTTTTGTCAATTTCTCGTGCGAAGGTATGTACTCACCACAATCCAACGCTCTTTTGGTACTGTGTGAACCGGGAATCTCATATACAACGCTCTTCAAATAGTCTGTCGAAGGTCTTTCCAAAGAGCGTCCACAACCTAACATATTCAACATGTACATCATGGGGTCCGTCCTGGGCCAATTCGCGGTCCACGTCGCAACCTTGATATATCTATCCAACTACGTCTATACCATAGAGCCGTAAGTCCCCCCTTTTGATTCCAGCCAAGCAAAAGGACCAAACCCCACAGATCCTGCTAACCTCTTTTCCATTTCCCCATTATATCCTACAGTAAAAAAGAAGTCATCGACCTAGAAGGCGAATTTGAACCCTCCCTCCTCAACAGTGCCATCTACCTCCTCCAACTAATTCAGCAAATCTCCACCTTCTCCATAAACTACCAAGGCCGTCCGTTCCGCGAATCTATCCGTGAAAACCGCGGTATGTACTGGGGCCTCATCCTGACATCCGGCGTCGCCTTCTCCTGCGCGACGGAGTTCATTCCGGAACTCAACGAGAAGCTCCGCCTTGTTCCATTTACGACCATGTTTAAGGTCACGTTAACAGCACTGATGTTGGCGGATTACGCCGGTTGCTGGCTCATCGAGAATATCTTGAAGACGTATTTTAGCGATTACAGGCCTAAGGATATTGCGGTGCGGAGGCCCGATCAGTTGGCATGGGAAGAGGAGAGGAAAAGGAAAGAGGCAGTGGCGGAGGAGAATGAGAAAGAATCGAAGAGGAAGGTTTGATCTTTATAGAGATGTTCTCCGTGCGATATCTTTGGGCGTGAGGGGATTGGAAACATTTTCCATCTTAATTCCTAAGTTTATCAATGATTATTACTTTTCTTTTCATTTTGGCTTGTTAGAATTAAAATAGCCCGTTTGATTTAGTATAATGGTAAGGAGTAGGGTATCATATCTCTTTTGCTTATAGATTCATTTTTGCATGTGTTCCTGTTCAATTTTCTTTTCCTTTTTCCTTTTTTTTTTTTTTTTTTTTTTTGTCTACTCTAGGAAGCAATGGTGGATAGGCTTCAAACTGTCTGTCTGGCTTAAAGCCCCAGGAACAAAACTATGCATTGTGATGACAAAATTGACTATAATTAAATCAGTTCATTGGTCTTACTTTATTAATTCCATCAGTGTATAGGCATGTATGTACAGAACCTCACATTGTTCTTTAGCAAAACACCTCTGTTGGGGCTTTATCTTCAATGTTGGATGTTGGATGACAATTCATACTACAACACAATGGATAGGATATCATATAATCGAATATCTGTTGTGGAAATCTAGACTTTGTTTGGTCTGGCGACCAAATGAAATCGTGCCCATATCTCAAACAATGAGAAAGATAGAAAACCAGACAAATGGGAGGATATTAACCTATCCAACACTACTATGAACATGCTTTCTTCACCTCCGGTGTCTCCAGGAATTCCTTAAGGATGGACACTATTTTCTCCAACGAAGCTGTAGACAGCTCCAGAGCTGCCTGGCACTTGGCAGGATCATTTCCCAGTTTCGCATAGAAATCCTTGCGATAAGGGGTCGCTCCCATGGCGGCGACAAAAATAGGTTTCACGAGGAAATTGTGGTGTGGTTTCAGGGTGTCACCGTAAGCTGCACGGAATGAAGTGGACAATTCGTCATTAGGCAAGGATATATTATGGCGAAGGGCTTTAGCAGTGAAGTCAAGACCCCTTCATAAATTGTTTTTTCCATGGGGTAGAAGTTAGTAACTAGTATTCATGTGGACCGCTTTTAGGTAGGATGATTAAGGTTTGAAAATATTTGTGTCCCAATTTTCGATGGCCGTGTAAAACATACCGGACAAGCCAAAGGAAACCAACACTGGCAGTGTTCTTTTTAGCTTTTATTTCATTAAGAACGAGGGCTTGCAGAGTTTCTGATTCTGCGGGTGCCGCAAGCTGTCTATCTCTGATTTTCTAAAAGGTATTCCGCAATTAGGACGAGTATAACTTGTAGAACGGTATGCTGGGGATTGAGGTTTCAGTACCTTGATGTTGCCCAGAAGGTCATTTTTCACTGGAGTAAAGGCAACTGAACCCAGGAGATCTAGCGGTAGCAACAGGCATTAGTTAGGTCAAGCTACTCCATGCTAATATAAAAGACAGATACACACCAAAGAGCGTAGTCAAAGACTCGGCGGCTTCGAGGAACTCGGAGGTTGAAATCGCGTTATCGCCGGCGACAGGGACGGCATCAAAGCCCCTCTTGAGAGTATCAAACCAGGTACCGCCTTCAGGAATAACCTGGGTGTTGGCCATTGCTATTTAAACGTATCTTATGGCAGTATTCAATGTAGAAATGGATCAATTCGATCTCTGTATCAGTGAGAGAACTACGGATTGGAGAAAGTCTGCTCCCCCGCCTTTGATAACCTGCCAAAACCTGCAAACAGTGCAAATCGCGCAAACTGGGGCATGGCAGGCGCCGACGTCATTACTTGTCGCCAGCCTCATCCACAGTGTATAAACCAAGAATAGACTTCAAGAGACTTGGTGCATACTACGGTAGTCGCTTCATTGATGTTTTATCTCTCATCCCCTTTTCCGTGCCATCTGGTCCTGCCGTCATATATCACTGCGACGGCCTAGGGGGTAAATCAACCCACAAAATGGCGAGATGAGAGCTTCTCAGGACCTCAGCCAGCCCCCTCGAGCTCTTCCGGAGACCGAAATCGATGAAGAAAATTTTGGGTTGAGTCCTGATTCATACACGGCACGGAAATTGGTTGGTCTTTCTCTTTTTTTCAGGTTATGTCGTGGTTTATCAATTTGTGCTCGATTTATAACAACCGGCTCCAGCAACATGCCTCTCCAGAACATCTTCATATCACGAGTCGACGGACGTTTATTGGCCCAGTGCCCCAAAGTTGGCTACAGCATCATCGCAAATCATGGCGTAAAACGTGGCTTGGACTGAAGGATTCCTCGTCCCGCCTTGCTACCTTCTCTGTGAACGCTGCCTTCGATCACATAAACACCCGGCAATTGACCGGTTTCACTACGACTCCAAATGAGCGAATTTATAGCTCAAGTTTCCCACAACCCGATGACACTTATGAAAATCGGGAGCCAATGAAACCCACATCAATAGCGCCGGTTGATACGTCCCAAGAAGAACTTGCAGCAGGGAATCAACAGCTGAACCATATTGAAAGTGAACACTATGGCGACTTAGGCCATATGACTAATGCATTGGACCGACAACGCTCAAACGTGAGAAGGTCGTCGACAGATCATGCTACCATAGAGGAGTATTTTACCCCGAGTGAGTCGCTAGAGTGGAAGAACAGGTCTGGCATTTTTGATTCAATAGACACGCACACCCAACACCCAGGAATATTGAATGCGGACCAGAACATTCGTCGTCAACCTACACCAGCGAGCGATTTAACACCAAACCAACCCGAAACACCGTTTCTGTCATTACCGACTTGTGAGAGCCCGCCTGGGACGGATGCAACAGAATCTACCACATCTTTAATACCACATAAAAAAGGATGTCCTGCAAAATTAATATCTAAGGAGTCATCAAGGCGTCTTCGAGCAAGAGAATCCTGTGACGGAGCTGTACTATCTGGGAAGGGAGGCACAGGCCATCCCCTAACCGACCAGGGAATATTGAGTAATGTCACCTTAGGAATGGTTCGATTCCAACAAGATGGTTCAACAGCTAAAAATACGCAACCGCGCGCGGAACCGCGGAAGCCAAAGTCCCGCGAGAGGGCAAAGGGGCGACGTCGAACTCTTCTACCGAGCAACGATGGTGAAATCATTAGAGCAGAGCGTATGCTAGTTCGCATTGATGTCACAAAATTGGGATCACTTCCAAATGATTTTAGTGAAAACAACAGCATTAAAATAGAAACCCGAATTTCCGAAAAGTGGAGAGAATATCTGGTTGCCTGCCGCCGGGGCGCTGATGAGGAAACCCCTATTATCCTTCATCTCTATAAAACCAGAGTTATTCCCCAGGTACAAGTTTCACGGGTGAAGAAAAGTTCATCTCACGAGATTCCTCTTACACTAGGATTTACGCGGGTTAACTTATTTTCATCCCTCGATAAAACCATCGTTATTTGGCACCCTAATCATGAAGGAACTGTACTGTTTATAATGCGAGCAAAATCATCAGCTCATTCCATGGAATGGTACACGTTTCTTCGTACGACACTTGGATGGCAACGCCCCACAAACCTTATAGTTCACGTCCCTGATCTCGACATTGCTGTGCTTCTCAAGCACCCGTTTTCTCACTTACAGAGTGATCGCATTATGACTGACCAAGATGACAATGAGGGACGCTCAATGCTTCTCAGGACAATGGCCGAGGAACGGGCAATTGCAGCTGGCATAATTAAGACCTGTATGGATACGTTATCTGAATTCCCAGAATGGGCTTCTATCCTGAAAGTATGGCCGGGCTCTGAGAAAATGGGTTTGGCCTGGCGAAGGTATGATAGACTAGAGTGGGTTCATGGAGCCAACGAGGAAAGAATGTATGGAACGATAGCCATGAGGACATCCCATGAGCTCGAACTACGACCCAAACGGCATTATCCGACGAGTATAAAGTACTGTGGGGCTAAAGAAGCCACAGAAGAGCCACCACCTGTTGAAGGGTTCCTGATACTGCTTACTTCCCAAAAAGGCAAACACCAGCGGTTAGGAAAATCCTACTCTCGGCGGCTTTACTTCCACGTTCAGAATCAATACCTATGTTTTTGTCGACCCGGGAGAGCTATGCCTCCCCCTCCTCCACGGCCACCAACCACTGCTGGGTCTAATATTCCAACCGTCTCTCAACTTTCCAAGGACACTCCTATGATCTATTCCATCGATCCATATCCCCTGCGTAATGGGAAAATCACGTGGCTTTCAAGAGTGGCGCGACATCATCGAGAACAACATGATGCTGAAGCCTACCACGAGAGCAGAAGGAATCTAAAAAATCTGGAACGAGCTGAGGGTTATTTTGATCTTTGCCGGGTATCAGAGGTCCGAGTTGCAAGCAAACATCATTTTCCTGAAGAATCACACACCAATGGGGGCGACGTTGATTTCCATGGGGAAGCGAGAGATAGCACAACACGGGGCGGTCCAGAACAAGATCATCAGTCCCGATCAAGTAGGTCATTTGAGCTAGTGATGAGTGGTGGACTTGTTGTGGAGTTTCGGGCCTATAATATGCAAACAAGGGACGAGTGGGTTCAGCGTCTTTCGGACCTTGTTCGATACTGGACTGCGCGAACGCGAGAAGATGTAGCTATTATGAAATCAGTTCGACGGCAAAATCTCGAACTGCTAAACATAACGGAAGACCAGGAGTTCATGTTCGAACAATTTGCGTCAACCTGGGAGGTTTCTAAAGCACAGACATCCCCAGAGCTGTTTAACATATGTGGGATTTCGGGTTGCCGAACAGTCAAGGTAGGGTTCGCATCATCCTGCGGGAATTATTAATCAAACCTTTCGCGTATCAAACTGACAATCGAAATAGATGTCCGGTCTTTTGTATTGCAAACCTCGAAGGCGCTCAGCGTTTACAGCTTGCAATGTGATCCTCACGGAAGGCCAAATTCTCTGCTTCCAGAGCCTCATACGTAAATTATCTGGTGAAGAGACGCCGCATACCCACCATGAACGCGAATGGGTCCTAGATCTCCACGACTGCTACATATACAGCGGTCTAATAACAAACTCTGATCTCCTTTACCAAAACCGCACCATCGATACCAACTTACCAAGTCAACATGCTTCACCTCGTGTTTATACCACTGACGGATGGACATCGTCGGACGAGGATATAGCGACATGCTTCGTACTCTGGCAAAATTCACGGAAGTCCGTGTTCCGCAGTCAGGCGAAACAGGGAGAGGCTGGAGAGCGAACGAAAAAATGGAAGAAAGTATCTACCTTGGGTGTTCCCGGCAGGTCCATCGTGTTTAATACGAGAAGTCGAGCTGAGCGAGATATGTGGGTGTTGATGATTGAAACGGAGATCAATCGGCTGCAACAGCTGGAGGACGTTCGAATTGTCTCTCAGGACAAGTGAGATGTTCACAGAATATGTTTGTTCCATGAGAGGAATTTTTGAGTCGTTGGTGCTTTTGGGTCTCATATGGTGATGCAATACACGAGAAGCGTCCTTTTCCTCTCCGGGGGGGCATGTTGATGGAAGTTCGGCTCCTTCCAGGATTCCTATTTTCCTCGAATGATGAGTAGAAAGCGGGTGCATATATGCGTTATATATATAAAATGTACACTAGTTACATGTGCCAATGGTATCATAACAGATCCGTAGAGAAATAATTATATACATATCCCAAACCCTGAACCAATTTCCGGCGTAACAGACTCCCTCCATAACAGCAATATACAAATACAGATGAAATTGGTATGATATAAAAATACACTAACCGAATTGAAAAAAGAAAATAGGTCATGCGACCATTCTATGCTCCAATATACGGCTTCTCAATTTTTACCGCGTCCTCCTCAACTCTCAACCTCTTCGCGGCAGCCCCCGTCCCCTCTCTTGCCCAATCATCCCACCTCAACATCCTCATTCGCGGCCACAGCACACACATCACCCGTCCTGAGATTAGACTCATCGACACAGGCCCGTACGTATTGCTGTCCATCGTCTTCTTTGCATCGGATGCATCGCCTTCCACCCAAACGTGGTTCCAGGGGACGATTTGCGCGCTGCCCCCAGATTGATGGCGTGGGGTCACCCGGTCACCCGGCAAAGCTATTATGCGTTTAACGGTGGTTTTGGAGGGATTGAGGTGGGAGCTGTTTTGGTTGGTGGGCATACTTTATTTAATTGCTCTTCAGAAAATCTAAATAAACAAGGGCACGGATAAAATGAAAAAGGAAATGAAATTAGGTGCAATTGGGTGATATGTTTTGTATTATATGTGTATATGTATGCATGTACTAAAATAAAGACTTACGGGAATGTAACAACCATCCCCCTTTTAAGATTCCGCGTCGGTTCCCACTTCTTCACTAATATCATGTCTTTGACAAGATTTGTCTCTCCATAGCCTTCATTCAAGCAGGGTGTCATTGACGGGCCGTTCACCCACATCACCTGTACGAGGTGGTCTGAGAGAAGAAGAAGGCCGCCCACCGCGATTACGCCGTATCCTCCATAGCGGAGAGCGACCCGACGGAATCTGGAGGAGCGGAAAAAGCTGGACAGATTTGTAGAAACAGATGAACCTGTGGATGTTGTCTGGGAGAGATCCGATGATGGGGTGAAGGATTTCCCATTTTTAGATGAGAATGAAGAGGCAGTGGAAGTTGGAGAAGACGACGAGGAGGGGGAGGAAGCGGTGTTGGATCGGTCTTCGAGTATTTTCGTGTACTCCACGACATCGAATTTTTGGTTCTGGAGGTTGATTTTTATATGCGTCTCTGCTGAAGGGGCGTCATATGCGGGATACGGAGGCTTGGAGGATGTGGAAGGCGGAATGACACGAGATTTCGTCTGTTCGCGCGGCTTTATAACTGTGCCTTTCCGACTGGGAGGGGGTTTAACCGGGGGAGGGGCCTGTTTAGGAGGCATGGCTAGCAGCACCGCCCGGGAGACCACGTGCGGTGGGAGGGTGTGCTATTTCCGGTCTGCTTTTCAGCCCATTGGTGGTAGATTGGAGTTAACAGCCGATTGAAGTGGTTAGCGTGTTATACAATTTTTGTGTTGGTGACGGCGTCTAGAATCATTCAGAGTGATGGAGAGAAAAGGTTTCGATATTGCAGGAAGTCGGTGAGGTGATGTTTGTTCTGTTTGTTTTGCTAGGTAGAATGTTACAAGGCACATATGGAGGAGTAAGGTTCTGATTGAACATTGAACCCTTTTTCTTTCAATCAGCTAATAAGAATTCCTATTCCTAGTCGCGAAGCAATAAAGCATTATGAATCGGCTTCCCGCATCCAGTTTTGAATATTGAGCAGAAATACATTGTGTCACATGCGAAACATAGAACTCCATCTTCCCACGCCCGCATTGTGCGAACCCTATAAACCATAATATTTTTCCATCCTCCGTTAAAATGAGTCAACAATGGAATAAGTAGGCGACTAAAATGAATCAGCAAACAAGAAGAAGATGAAAATATACGCAGCCATCCCTAATGATTAGCTGTCAGTCGGGTGTCAACGTCTCATTTAAGTTTCCCACGCGATGACAATTCGAAGTTCGAGGTAGCAATTGGTTAACAATCTCTGCGGAGGAGTCCTCTGCTGCGTACTCTCTAAGCAATTGTTGCGATTGGAATTTTGGTCGAGGGACGGTGAAACGGTGTTGGGCGCGGATGGGGAATAAAACTGGAACACACATAATTGAAGACGAGAAAGTCACAATAAAGCATACATGGCTCTTTCCTTTTCATGAAAAGTCTCGTTTATTCCATTATGTAGAGTTGCTTTCCTTGAGGTCTGCAGTACTAGATACGACGCTTTGGACATCTGCGGAAGTCGGCGCATCGTCCAGCTCAACGGGCTCATCATCGAGGCGCTCCGTCGTCGGGTTTGTCACTTCAGCCTGATCAACCTTTTCCCAGTCATCTTCACTTCTCTCACTGTCTTTGTCGAAAGTTGTGCTCCCAGAAACGTCAGTGCCGACCTTGAGCTTTTTGGCACCTGGTTGACCTTCCAGGGTAGGCTCTGAAGTGGGAGGATCAGGAAGACTAGCAGCGAGTGTCGCGGGTGAGGATGACGGGTGAAATGGAGCCTCATTACTTTTCTCGGTCTCCGTCGATAGATCTTGCTCTGTTGGCGGGAAATACTCTCTATAAAATTTGCAGTTAGTACACTTATATTACTTGTAGAATGACGATCGACCCAAGGGAGATATGTAGGCCACTCACGGGAGAAGTATGAGATAGGCATCCGTATCCTTTTGTTCAAAAGTACAAAATATAATACGTTCGAGGGGCCCGGGGCTTGTTTCCAGGAAGTGTCTAACTGCCGAAATAGCCACCTCTGCTGCCTTTAAGCTCGGATATCCGTAGACCCCCGTACTGATCGCCGGGAAGGCAATGCTTTTCAAACCACTTTCTGCTGCGAGAGCTAAGCTGCGCGAGTAACAACTGCGTAAAAGACTCTCCCTATTCTCGTCTGCCCAGAACATGGGACCAACAGCGTGGATGACATTTCGGCAAGGAAGGTTATAAGCATTGGTGATTTTAGCATCGCCTGTAGCACAACCGCCCAAAGCGCGACATTCTTGGAGCAGACCGCGACCAGCTGCCCGATGGATTGCCCCATCAACACCACCCCCTCCTAGCAGCGACTTATTTGCTGCATTTACAATGCAATCAACTTCGAGCTTTGTAATATCGCTAGTAATAAGACAGATCGAGTTGTTTAGGAATTGGGAGGGGTTGCTATTTCGAGGACTTGACGCAGGAACCAAATGCTTAAGCTTGTAAAGGAGAGACAGGTTGGGAATTTCCGATAATGGAATCCGAGACGAGGTCATTGTGGTAGTGTGCGGGAATGAAATCCCAGCGCACTGCTGCAGAAGAAGGGGTATAATGTTTCAAAGAAACAGAGCTTTGAGTGAGTCGAGTGCGAGGCTGGAAGTGCTGAACAGACTATCTGCGGAAAACCGCAACCGCAATGGTATCACTGATTCAATCCACTAAATAGAAGAAGCAGAGCCGTAGACATGGTGAGGAGCGCTTTGGATGAGAAAGGGGATGGATGGGCCATGACTGCAATATTGGCGGGGAGCTTGTCTCGATGCACGTGCTCTCGGATGACGTTATGATATATGCGCCAATCTGATTGGTTCTGGATCGGCAATCATCTTATCTTATCTTATCTTAGCGTTAGGCGGGAAAGCATCGAGTTAAGTCACAGATCTATGTGCATTCTCACACACTCTCTCTTTTTATTTTTTTTGGCTTACTGTTTTGCCTTTGAGATATTGCCCTTGGAGAGACCAACGCAGCTTCGGAATGCCATATACCCACAACGGAGAAACTGAAAGTCCTTTCCCAAAATGCATCTCAAAATCCGCTCTGCCACGGAATCTGACCTGCACCAGATCCACTCGATCTTTACCCACTACGTACAAAATACTGTCGTAACATTCCGTGTCAATAAGCCACCATTCTCATACATAGCGAGAAGGTTTCATGAAGCACAGGAACGTGGTTTACCCTATCTTGTTGCTGTGGAGAAGTCTAACCAAGATAACCCCAGTCATGAAGGGAATACGACAGAAAAAGTCTGTGGATACACTCTGGCTTCGGCCTTCAGAGGTTACATGCTCGCATACGCACCCACAGTTGAAATGTCTCTCCTTGTCCACCCTGATTACCAGTCACAAGGGATAGGAAGTGCCCTCCTCTCGTCGTTGGTGGAAGCTCTGAGTGAGGCAAAACATTTGTCCTATGAAGTCGGCGATGCAGACTCTGAAGCGCGTCTTCACGAAGCTGTGAATGTGAAGAATATACTGGCTGTTATGGCCGTCAATCCGGAAGGGAAAAATGGGGGCGAAGGCTTAAGAGATTGGTATGTCCAAAGGGGATTTATAGAAAGAGGGAGGATGCGGGAGGTTGGATTCAAACACGGTAAATGGTGATTCTCCCTTTCCACCCTTCTCCCCTCTTCCCACTCTGTGTTTCCCCATATTGGGCGGGGATGCGTTTCTTTCCCCACCATGGACTTCATGTAAAAATTAAGGTAACGTCACCTAATATATAGGATTCATTCATCCATCATTCCTCAATTCCACTAATACCTAACACCCCTTCCTTCGCTTTAGGATCGACACAATATATCTTCAATACATTCTATGATATCCGTTGCCAACTGAGCTAGATTCTAGGATACATTTCAGGCTCTCAGTTGCTGACAACAAAGAAGTAAAGTAGAAATCGAAGAGGAAAGATTGGGGTTGCGACATTCATTTCCCAGCAGTTAATACACAAACCATGTCTTTCTCTTCGCTCGCCACTTGGTATCTCTTAAGAGTTTTCCAAGTAATCGAGATTATCAAATTGGCAATCAAGATACCTTCCGGTTGCCTTTCCTTGCGCCATTCTTCGCCATTATGTGTGAAAGGTGTAAATGCGTTAACCAGGAAATCACTGGTGCAAAAAGGATTGACATCCAGTGGTCTCACTGGATATAATGGAGCAAGTCTAATAACCAGAAGAGAACTAGGGTTCTCACAGATGGGTAAATTCAGTCGGTAAGGAAAATCGACGACCTCATGAGGGACGGTGGCTGGTATATGAACAGCCATATCACCGAATAAACACCTGTAGGCTTTCCACCTGGCACCACGCCCTGAAAAGGGGGAGCCGCTCATTCGAAACTTGTGAATCATCAAACCTGCTTCAGCGGGTGGCGCGCGATCGATACCCATTTAATTATTCTCACATCGCACATGTTTCGAATTCCTACAAGTGTTTTGTTCTGGACAAATTTGTACCCATGGAGCCAGTAGTAGTGCCACATAGCAAGGTAGAGATGAACTTATTCTGGCACAAAAATCTTGTAAACCGGTTGAGCTAGAAATTCTCACTTGGAACAATTGAGTAATTATATAGGAGTGGCTGAACGACAAGTTGAACACGCCCCATAGTCGTAATCCATATTTGAATCATATGTTGAAAGTTAGGCTACTCTCTGATCGAAACAACCTTCTTGAAATAATGCGAAATGCTGAAGTCAAATCCACTGACTTCATAGAGAACTTCTGATCGCTGCGAAAACAATGGTGTTGTAAATCCAGGGGTTAACTTTGTCATGTTCTTTTGAATAGTTATTTTATAAGTCAGCGCATTCCTGATCATTACCTCGGATTGTCTTAACCCAAGGATGAGTTTTTCGGATCCGTTCAGTTTCTGAAATCCAGCAGTCTTCAAAAAGAGCTGGTCGCGAATGTAGGATTGAGAAAGAAAAAGAAAATTCATTAAAATCGAATAAATAACAACCGAGGCAAGTCAGCACAGATGGAGCTTGGACCTCTGAACCAAAGCTAAACGCAGGCATCTGACCGCTTCTTGACCCATTCAAAGCCCATGATTATTATTGATATTATTGTCGGAGTAAAATGCCTCCGGGCTGCTTCCTGTGTACGCAAATACAATACCGCGCCGATTCAAAAATCTCTCCTTCGCTGGGACGTTGAGGAACGCGTGAAAGCGTTACCGATAGGAAAGGTTACAATGCAGGGTGACAAAACCAGATTGCCCAAGCACAGCGCTGAGCTGAGCAAACTGAGATTAGCATGGGATGCTGAAGAACTTTAAATAATAACGCATCAATCGGGCCATTCAGGACACAGCCTAATGTTTGCCTGGAACTACGCTGCAAGACCTATCCCAGTTGATCTCCACCGACACGCTGGCCAGGGTTCCCAGCCGAAACATTTTAGCTCACTGACCACCCTCGGCAGCCTTCCGCTGGTCCCCGCTGCAAGCCCGAAGAGGATCCGCGCAGGATGATGGGAAGAGATTCACCCTTGCCTCTGACAATCAGGTCAGAGGTGAGGTGGCGCCCCCTCACTCGAAAGGATTCCGAAGATCGTGGTGCGAGTGCGGATTGTCCATCGCGGTCTTTGTTTTGAAACCGCGGCGTGCGCAAAGCAAACTCGCGCAAAATGACTTATCACAAGCAGAATCCACCAATGTACGGTACATACATTTGCATCTGGGCCAGGTGCGAAATTGCGGAGAAAGCTCTATGATCAAGCTGCGTTGCGAAATTGTTTGCCAAGTCGGTTTCTGGAAGCTGTTTTCAGCCAGCCAGAGGACGATCCCACGTTTTGCTGATACATGATCATCACGCTGGGGAAATATATTCTCCGACCGTTTCGCGGCCGAAATTATGATCCGTGTAATAAATCAAAGAGGGCATTACTTTGTCTTAATTCTGCACTGCCATCTCAACCAAATATTTTTGCGCTCGACTTCAAAACACCTACCTCTTTTCTGGCCGGAAAGTTTTGGTCCACAAAAAAATTTCCGTGACGAACTTGGCAGAGTCCTCATCAGCTCAACAGTTTTCGAGTTCAAGCTCATGGTCAACGCCTAGAATAACTTGATAAGCGCCTCCCAGAAAAGCGAAACACCGGTTCGTAACTCCACAATGCGGAGGAATACAGTAGAATACTCTTACCAAAAAGCTCAAAAAGCTCGGTGTTCCGATGCATCTACCCCTTTGTAATTCGGAAGAATAATAACACCAGCATCTATCTACGCAGCAATTGATGCAAACCATGCCAGCACCGATACATGCCGCCGGTCCGAGGTTACTTTTATTCTTCCTACATCTCTTTCCAGGTATTTTCCTCATTGTCTTTGACTAGTTTGTTATTTAGTAGACATTTTTAGACGCGGTATGCCGCTGGGGATGAATTCTTATTCGGGGAAAACAGAGTTCCAGGGAGAGCACATACCTGGTCGTATTGTTCACATGCTCTCCTATGTAAGGAAGAAAGCTCTTCTGTAGTCTGTACTCCGTAGTGACTCCTTTGTTCGTCATTACCGTCCGCCGATGAGAACGCAAACATCTTATCACTCTTAGTGAGATTTTAATCTCGGATACAACTGGCGAGTTCACAGATCCTAGGAAGCAATACCATTTGTCTCACCAGTCCAGAGGAGGTCAGGATCATCCAATTGGATACACAAGTAGAATGAATCCCAAGGCGAGCATTCGAGGTTCAAAAAATTGATAGACTTCCCAAAGGATCGAAGCACATACTGTGTAGTGTGCAGATGCAGTCGATCTTCAAAGAGATCGGACAGATGATCCTTGCTGCGTCTTCTGACAGCCAGGAGGGCCGATCGACAGAGCATCGTTGCCTTGTCCCAAATCACCGCCAACATCCCAGCCATCCAAGAGCAAAAAAGAGCTCACAGGGATGAGAGAAAGCTTTATGAGCTGACTTAATTCAGAATTCTTCCTTGTAAATACGCAATAGGCCTGTCATGATTCAGGGGCCCGTTATGCTCTTGTGACAGCACTTTTCAGAGCTTACGATGGACCCTCGGAAATCTAAGGAAATTAACGGGGATTATTTCTCCCCTTTTCCTTGACTTCTTTTGCTTTGTATTCTGGAAAATGATAGCTTGAATCCCACACGCAGGGTATTCAACAGTTCAGCCCTCTTCTGAAATTTTTAAAAATAGCGACTCGCCAGCTGGCCAAGGGACAGATCGATCCGCTGGGTCCAGCACCACATATCCCCCAAACCCCCTTACTTCTCACTGAAAGTAGACATCAATGAACTGCATGGATATTTATTGCCATCACGACGGTTGCTATTGTTCTCGTCAAACCAATTCTCAAAAATAGGTTGCGGCCGAGATATATGTCCCCAATGACTGATACCCGATTCTGCCGCTCCTGTGTGATTTTCCCCTCGAAGCACTTCATAGCGTGGTTTGTTCGAGTATCTTATTCAACCCAATAGGACGATCTGTTGCGATACACTTCAATTGCTGTCGCATCCACTCTGCAATGCAGTTTGCTACTGAAAAAGTCAAAATAAATAGCAGATCTAAAACCTTCCCCTAATCCAGGCATCTGGAAGATACCAGTTAATAATTAGTTATCGACTTAATGGAGGAGATTGTCCCTGACACTGCGAGATGTTCCCCGAGGATGCTGCAGGGCCAGATAGCTGAATTTCGAGCCGGTAAAGGAACAGCGTTAGGCCAAGCGTCCGGATGATGCTTTTCTTGTCGGTTACAAGCTCCAGCCACACAAAGCGCGAGAAAATAGTGGGGGAAAGGAGAGGCAACAACGCCAACGGCCGGGCACCTGCGACAAACACTTGGCGATCGATTAGACTGTGTGGCACGATGCGGTTTCTTGAAACACCTCGGGCCAATATGAATGGGAATGCTAGTATCCGAAATGTCTCTAGTGTATCTCAATACGGAAATCGTTAGCTAAATGCAATCTCGCCATATTAATTGCGCATCTTACCATTTGTGCTCCTTGAAAGCTTAAACTTAATACAAAATTGTCGCCTTGCTGTCGGTTATTTACATGTGCAGCATGCGTGAAGGGAGCACTACCTCGCCTTGTGATAGGTAGATTTACCCAGCAGACGGGTGTCAATTGTAGCTGTCCATGATGACTCGCTTTGCTGTAGTCCGTTAGCCTTGGCACATGAAACCTACACATGAATCGGCCACAAATATCCTTACCAAGTCTCTGGCTGAATATGCATTATTAACAGGGATTGATGTGATGGAGGCCGGCCTATCCCTTCAGAACACAAGATTTGAGGAGAATCGAGATAAACGTTTCGTTTTTTACATTGGCATGTGTAGGACGCGGTAATTTCAGGTTATCACGACATGGGGGTAGCCTGTAATAATACGCTGGGGTTGGCGTATGTACGGCTGTACGTGAAATGTTACTTTCACGTACAGATCTGTATTCCGCACAACGGGCCCAAGTTGCTGCGAGGACCCACACCATCATCATACATGGAGCAAAGAAACTGGCCAAACTTATCATGCAGTTCCCGCCAGCAATAAGAAGGTGAATATGCGATTGGCCGTTTAGAGGCCTCGGTGGAAAATCATCACGATTTGTATCACAACTGGCAGCAACGAAATGATACGGATTCCGTGAGCGACTCCTTGCTCAGCAGCTGCTAGGGGTAACAGAAGTAAGACTGTCAAGAAGAAACAGATGGACTTTGGGATGTAGGGCTGATAGTGTCGGACTATTCGGCGATTTATAGTTCTTAGGGACAAGTCAGCTGGGCTGACTTCAAATGAGCTGGAGATTGGAATGGAAATAACATCACTCTGAGTAACTTTCGTCTGTTATTCAATCGCTTTGGGAACTGATGTTGCTTGTGAGAATCATTTAACGCTGATGGGGATGCGAAAGAATGAGCCGCTTCACATGAATGACAAATGACCAGTCGTTCGTTTCTGTGATTTTCGTACAGGACAAAGTCCCTCTGAGATGTGTTGGTGCATGCAGATAGCCCTACAGAACTTGACTTTCAGCAACAGCTGTGGGCGACTCCCTGACAGGGGCCGCCAAAATGTATGCACAGTACGGAACACTAGCTCCGCAGATGGCGATATCACGGCGGATGTAAATGTCAAGGGAGTTTGACAAAATTTGGGCAAGATGGAGTGAACATGTATCGTTCAAAGTTTCTTTTAATCCCACGAGGAAGCATTGAATTGAATCCCAGGAACTTGGAACAGAGTCGTAAACAGTAATTAAAAGTTGAAAGTTGTACCCGGGTTGGGAACTTCCCCGGTCCATGCTTTGCCAACTCAATTATGGGGATACCCTGGAAAAAATAAAATACAGCTCAGTGTCTGCACCCCGGCTCATCCTGATTCTCCACTCTCACGTCACTGCCCCGTGCCCACCGGCCAGCCGCTGTCTTGGTTGCAACGAGCTTTGGTCATAACCATGATAACGTTTTCTGGCGATCTTGGGACCAATGCTTAGTCTGACACCAGAGGAATCAACTAAGGGGCAAGTTCGAGACGATAAGTGGAGACTTCCCAAGTTCCCATTAACGCCTCGGGGCTCAAGCTAATCTCACACCATGCCCGTTATCTTTCTCAAATCCCCATCGATTATTCTCCTTCTGCATAAACGGCCCTGAAGCACCGAATTGACGTTGAAGTTAAATTTTCGTGATTTGCTCGATGAGCGCACACCTCGATGATCTACTAAACCATCAGGCTGGCTTGTTGACGTTGTGGAAGGGCTGATCTCTCACCAATTTTTTTCCATCGTGGGTTGCGACAATGGTGATTCTCTGGGATATCCTCTCGGGGTTTGAATTATTAGCCCAATCACAGCTGTTTGTAAATTTCTTTTTTGGATTTCGCTGGCTCGCTGCCATCGTACGCAGTCTCAGAACCTTGAAATGGAAAATTTGCTTGTCAGATCTCCAGGGAGGTTTGTTGAATAACCCTGCTCTAAGTGGATCGGAAATACTTGATTCCGGCGCATTCCCTCCTTGCTACAAGAACTAAAGCAGTCCGTTTTCAGAGCATGGCGTGCTGGGGAGAATCTCCAGCGTCAGGTATGCCTGTGTTCAAATGTGTATGCTTTCAATTTCCGGGAGAGTTAAAGCTCCACATGTTAAGGGTCTTAAAGTCTTGTTCGTCAGATTGAGTTCACTCCACCAATCTCACCGGAAATAACCAAACATCCCGGTCTTTTCTAGATCGTTCGAGAGCATGTTGGAGAGTTCAGTAACGGAGAAGAAGGTATTTCTTTCCATCAGTTTTGAGAAAGTAGAATGTATTATAAGTTCCTCTCATGTACGACTGTATAGTATAAACAATGAAGAACGCTGTCGGAGTATTGTGATAGACCACTCATAAACTTCGACAGCAATCTCATCTTTTCTCAGCCAAAATTAGAATTTTAAATAGAAATATATCAATCACACATTACTATTTTCTGCCATTGGTAATTTACAATCTTTGATGTATTTTATTTATTGTGTAGAAATTGATGAAAAACCAAGTGCACAATACATAACAACATACTGTAAGTTTGAAATACATCGGCTTGTATTCAACATACAAAAAGAAATATACCAGTATAGTACAGTACATAGGAACTTGAGGCACTTATACATGACCATTACCAGCTACCCTATGAACTGAAGCTAAACAGCATGCATATAGATAAATAGATATCCTTCTCACGAAGATTTCCAATCATTTTGCTTTCCAGCCAATACAGTTAGTCTCAAATAAGGTATAAAGGGGAGTGTTAATGATCATTAAGAAAGATCTTCCCTTTACCCTTTCCGCCCATTTTGCCTGGCAGTATGGAGATTTTTCTCCTTCAAACCAAAAAAAGTCTATGAAACAAGGAAAAGAAGCTTACACAAGCTTAACTTAGTTAGCTATTTTGCTCTATGCTCCTGTACAACGGACGAATTCCTTCTGGCAATCTGAACCCCCTACCCAGCACTATGTCCCCAATAGACGCATCTTGCTCTCGCTTGCGGAACTGCTGCAGATCTTGAGACATGGAAATTAATTTATACAGCCAATGAACAGTTTAGATTCACTATTTTTATTACAGCTCATAATTTCACATCCTGAAGCAGTTTTGTTCCCAGAGTTGATGGAGTCGGCATTTGACACTTTCGGACACTTGTGCTGTGCAGTTGAACTGCATACAGAGAGCTATTCAGCGGCACGAAATCCATTGTCGAAAAACCCAAAAACATGACAATTTTAATCAGGACTCCAACACTCTCCTCAATTTTTGGGCCAAAGCTGTAGTTCTCAAGCGGATTGCAGGAGAGGAAACTAGATGCCCCAACTTTGCGAATAGAATGGGATGAATTCGCATGTCCGGGGGTGTTGGCAGCTTCTGCAGCGGATGATTGCATTGCCTATTTTTGAGAGCAGTGTGACAGATATATCAGTAATATCAGCGATTGTAGTTCTCAGATTGCTCTACAAAATACCAAAATGCAGATGTATCGAATTTTCCGCCATGAAAGGACCTGCTTCCTGAACAAGTAAGTCATTATCAATCTCCCTCGGGGTTATATTTGAGTTTGTCGAGTCCGGGAGTAGATTTCATCTCCGACGAAATCATACCCTGCCGTCGGCCCTCACCTTTCAAGATCTCTTGATTGATCCTTAAAATAAAACGAATAGTCCCAGGTTTGTTTTATTCCCCCGCACGGGTCATGAATTCATTTGGTCAACCGATCCAAAGCAACTGTCTGACTTGGAAATGAACGCTATCCTGTTTCTCAGCACGTAATTTGCACTCAACCATACGGAAGGCGTATCTTTAGCATGCGCCTTTGATCGTAATATTTCGGTCCCGTTTCTCGACTATTTTTAGTATCGATCGTCTTCAGGTAAGGAGCGAACCCTCGTATTTATCCCACTGGAGATGCATCGCTGAAGAATGCAAGTTCCCTCGGGTCTCCAGCGTCCCGCCCATTCTTGCTGGATGCATGTTGACCGAGGCCAGCGAATCTTCACCAGATCCCCTAATCTCGATCCGCTGGACGGGCGGCATTAGTCACTCGTATTCCAATGTGCCAAATTTTTAGCATGTTTATTGACCATTGACCATTGACCATTGACCATTGACCATTGACCACTGACCACTGGGTTCGCGCTTTGTTTAATGCTAGGAATTGTAATTGTCCTAGCTTCACTGACTTGCTGGCCACTCACGCTTCATGAGGAGAATTAATCATAATATGACAATTAATCAACGGGAATGCAGTTTTTGCGTACAAATCTTGGTTTCTCCATTTGTTCATTGAATGTTGCCCCATGGCCTGGATGAAAGGTACTACAGTTACATTCGAATCTCCTCGAAGTTTTCCACGTTTCGGTGTATCAACCTCGCCTCCTGACAATTACATCTTGAGACGTATATGGGAGCTGGGAAATTGTCGTTATTATTGACATCTCCCAATAGATCTAAGGTGGTGGCGCCCGCTAGAATCTCGAGGGATTCAATCATCATTTGCTTATAAGGTTACCTCCACCAAAAGCAATTCGACAAAAGACAAATTCTGGCTGCTTTGGCAAACATTAAAATAAAATCTGTGTACGGAGTAAAGCCCAGTTCAAATATGATAGATGTGCCTGCTGTGCAATGCATAAAACGGCTGAAGTTCGGGGTTGAGTATGTTACTCTACATCATGCAACCAGTACACTTTGTTCAGGGGCTGGAATGAACATAAAAGAAAAGGACCAGGGCAAATAAAGAATGTAAACAGATCCATGGATGTGAAGAAGGTCAGCGGAATACATACCGCGAGCGCATCATTGAAAGTGCCGTGGTTTCAAATATGGTTTAATCAAGCGAGATCAATGCTCATAACCTTATTACAAGCCAATGGATGTTCAACCCGACCCTTATACTACTTATCAAAGAAATCGAGAATTCAACAACCTTCTCCAAAGCAAAAAGCTCGGTATGCATTTATGCATCCTTAAGCTATCGATTGCATTGATCATCTGTAAAAAGCGAGGATTAAGGACCTCCCACGGATGTATGGAAAATAAGTCCTTCCACACTCGGAAAATCGATGAAAATATCACACTCGCTCACACAAATCCAGTCGTCACAATTGAAACGATTGGGTCTTTCAGAGAGGGCGAATTTTTGCAGCCAAGCTTTAGGCTGCAAGCCTCTAAACCCACACCATCTATTTTAGAAGGGCTTGCTGCTGGGTTGTAACGTGCGTACCGTCTGAATTTCTAGCCCTTGTAAGGACTTATTTACTACGCTTCTCTAGGTCTTCCAAGGTTTCCTAGTTGAATACTCGTTGTCGTTGGCCATCTCTCTGGTTGGTTTTTGGCACCGGACTGCAATATAATCCAATTGATGTACGGCGCCATTTGGCTTTGCATCGAGAAGTCAAACTACAGTAATTAAAGGTGTGAATCTTGGGAAGGGGAAAAAAGAAAGAAGAAAGCTAAATTTGAATCACATTCTGCATGTCTTCGGAATATTTTTGTGATGTGGTTCAAAGTGCATATGACGGGATGGGCGACGTGCAGCATCGTCGCACCGGATTTTGCTTCCAGTCCACTGGCCAATAGCCAAGTTCAAGTGTGATAGCAAAATGGAACGCCTGCATAACATCAAACAATCACGATTGCAAGGGCTTTTGTTTTGGCGAGACGTGTCATAATCATCATGGAGCTTCCTCGACTGCAGGCTCTGGTAACGGAAATCCCTTGCGTTGTTGGACATGTGGCGCCAACAAAGGGCAGTGAGCGTGATACATAGTTCAAGGAAGGGAGAATGTCATGGAGAGAGATGATCGAAAGCGGCGAATTAAGACTGTTGGGGGTAGCACAGCCATGTGCAGTACCATTGAGATGCATTCGATCTTTTGGTGTCTCGGCCCCCGCATACCAGAAATATCGCCGTCATTCTTTCCAATGTCTCGAACGCCCAACATCGACAAAATACGGAACCGATCGCGGTTCGCTGGGATGGAAAATACAACTGAGATTAAATTGAGCCTGATGGAGCGCAGCCAACTTCAAAAGTGGCCTGCCTAGCTCCCAGTGCATTGATATAATCCGTATGTAGAAAATTTCCCGAGCTACAAAAGATATGAAAAGAAAATTTACTTACTATTCAAAAATTAAACGGTTCACAACTGAAAGACTGACTTTAATAATAAAATGATCCTGCAAGATGATAACAAACAAAGCAATATCTTGGACGACATATCATTGGCTGAAACACGCTTCTCATGATTTGAAAAGGAGGAGTAAGATATGATATTAAATTTTCGAAAAAAACTAGAACTAGTTCGTTAGTTATAACTAACTAGTTATTCTGTTGGATTATATAATACTAGCTGAATTCTGTCCCGCTTACTGGGATAATTTCATTAATGAAAGCAAGAAGGATAAGAGAAAGGGTTCATGCGGTTGAGAAGATCTAGATGTCTACATGTATCCAGCCAGTGATAATCTTTCACATCTTAAGGACAAAAAACAAAAACAAAAAAAAAGAACATAAGACGACTGGCGCTCTGTCAACCGCGCCTGACACAATCCTGACAAGCAGCCACTAGACGTCCCGCGAACCAGGGCCTACCGTTACAGGTGCGTTTTCAGAGACAGAAGAATAGCTCTGGTCCTTGTCGATTCCTCCAATTGGAAAACCTTTCGGCAAATGAAGACAGACCAAGAGCAGAATACCAGCTAATCAGTAAATGCTCTGCGTAAGGAAAAAAAACCGAAATATGCGCAATAGCTAGAACATGGACTGTTCACAAGTTACATAGTCCGATACACATCGCCACTTGATGCTCGGTACTTTCGTCCGGAGCATATACATTTTTCTTGCTGAGTTGGTAAGTGCAGTATTAGTTCTATACTCCGCAAGTCACCTATTGATGCTCAATTGACCTAAATACTAGTAATATATTATAACACACCTCAAATTTCGTTCCATCGTTACCTTCGCTACAATACTGATAGCCCACTCATCTGTGATTTCTTAATTTCTTTTTATCACATTGAAAAACAATATCGACTAATCTCACCCTCCATTCATCTTTAATCTTTCATTTTTCGAAATGTAAAATTATTAAAGATAATTGTGAAACAGCCCAATCATTGGGCGTAGCTAATAGTGAATTAAGTAATTTACGAACTAGAACGAAGTGATCTTTAAGACACTGATTTGATTTTGCACCTGAAATTCCCTGTAGAGATGAGAAAGAAATACAATACAAAAACCATGATCAATATGTTAATTATATAGAAGACACTAAACTTTTGAGAACCCCAGTCCCGAAGATTAGAACTATCTAGAAGGTATTTTTTATTGGACATCAATGGATGCTGAATACAATTTCCATTGAATCTTAGGATAAGATGGCTAGCTTCCATGAATCCAGCACAGCCATTCCGTCGTAAACTGGTTGCGAGAAAGATCTGATTCCACCAAATGAAAATCGGTTGGCGAGCGACCCGGCTTGTAAATTGTGTGTTTCAACCGCTGGAAGATCTGCTGAATTGGCGAGCCAGGCTCTCCGGTTGGCTATCCGGTGAGTTACCCGAAGAAACCTGGGAAGCCCTTCAAAACGTCACCGTGGAATCCCCAACTAGGTATGTGGTCAGTAGACGGTTCCATGTCTCCGAGAATCATCCCCTTCCATGTGTCATAAACCCCACGTTCAAATCCATTTTTCTCGCTCTTGGAGTCAAGGGTGAAATGGTATCATGACTCCCAGCCACTGCTGGCCATGGCTCATTGGGACAAGCCTCCCAACACCATCGCCCTATGAGGCTAGCACAATGTATTTGAGTTCACCTTGACATCGGCAGGACCTCTATACACTCCCGTGTCACAGCTGTATTGGACGCTGAACTGCCGATAACATGTCCTTGGCTGAACTCCCGGCCTTGATAGTTGAGATCATTGAGAATGTTGGTTCATGAACAGAGCAGATACACGAAGCAGTGGGCTATTCATCAGGATGCCGTTGGATCACCACGAACGCTCGGTTTCACAGTACCCACCAGCCTATCCTCAGTCTCCGAATGCATGGAAGTGGGTGGCGATAGAAATCCGGAGATGATCCATACAAAGATTGAAATCACCATCGATCCATTAGATCAATTCCGGACCTTAGTTATTTGGGCTATGTTATATTATCATAGAATGAAAGATTATGAAGGACCCGATAGAGATCTTGGTCATAGATCAGACCTAATCCCGACAGAATATGAACAACATGCCTGATCTTGGTTGCGACCGGCTTAAAGTTCGGCAGGCAAATTATTTTTATTTATTTATTTATTATTTATTTTTTTGGGTCAAAATCAAGTCAATTTATCTTGTGCAGCCAGCAAGAGCAACGTGTGCACACGGCACGGAACCGCTTTCAACTGTGGTAATGATTCAGCGAGTCCAAAGGAAGAGCCCAAAGGGAATTTGACTTCCCACTCACACACATTAGGTAATAAAACCATACAAGCTTTCTTCCTTCCAGAAACACCCGAATCTCGAGAACTCAGTCACCCCTTGTTGACAAGCTCTGTCAACCACACTTGTGTTGGTTCTGACCTGACAGTGACTTGTGGCAAGGTGCAACCCTGGCCAACTTTTGAATCTTTCGAACTGTCGCGAAATCTTGGAACGTTTTAGTGCGCTCCGCTGTGGCCGTTGATCGTTGCTGTGCAGCCCGTTGGGATGAATTTTACGCCAGTTTCAAAACTTGTAATTTTCTTGACATGTTACACCGCTTTAACGTGTGATGAAATACCGCTTACAAAGCCGAGTTAGGCCGTGTGGCTTGGCGGTACGCACGGGGTCTGTTGAACCTCTTCTCATGATAACCATTATCCGCTCGCTGCGCGAGAGTCTGATATCTACTATGTATAGACCGGCACGTTAAGAGAAATGGACATGGGGCCAAGGGGTGCACCGCTAGAGTCAAGCGCTGCCTCGCTAAAATATTATGATATTCCGGCTTGTTCAAGCCACTGGTCTACTGGTCCTACTGTCTGGGATCTCGCATTGAGATTGCTTTTTAAACATCGCAACCCTGTGCACGCACCCAAGTCACTTTTCCATATGCGGCATGACATACGATCCATCGATCTTCTCTGCTGGGATCTATTCGAACGTATCTGCCTGCCCCACCTGGAAGCAAAATCGACGTCAAGGGCATTATTTCGCTTCTTAAGGATCCCTGCCTCCCCTAATCCTGTTGTCCCCTACCAGGCGCCCACACTGAATAAGGCCACTAGCTGGATTGACAACAGCGACCCATCAAGCTAGCCCGATTTTATCAGGTTCTCCGTCAGAGCGGCAACTTCCACCTGTTTATTGCGGGTTGAGACAATCAAAAAAGAACTGCATCCATATGGACATCCCAAGAAAATATTACGCCCATAATTATTTTGCTTGTGGCTCACTCACGGTGAGCTGGCAACGGGTTGTCGTGCTGCACCTTGAAACGTAGTTAAACGCCTCAGGCATTCCGTTGCCAACGAGGACGATTGATGGGCCGTCTTAGAACTCTCACACGCGGAAATTGGAACAAGTCGCTTTCGGTTTCCATTAGGAGCATCCATCTGATCAATGTTCAGTCCTGTCTTCAAAACCTGGGGAGAGGTAACTATGATCATCCGTATCTTGGACACTGATCATCGAATTTGCCCCGTCTGATATCAAAGAGCCTATTACTACTATAATCATCGGTTATTATCATTAACTTAGTTCCTTCAATTATTCTTACTCTCGTCGTTGTACCCGCTGGAGGATCTTGTTTTGAAATATCGATTGCTGGAAATACGCCGAAACCATACGCCACCCGATACAATACATACATCACTCGTAAAATACAATCATCCCTCCAGGACCGGGGGATGCGTTTTATTACGGGGTACGTGTACCTTTACAGATTCAGTCTCAGCCCGTCTGGGCAGACGTACGGTACGTACCATACTGGACCTGCCATCTGCATCTCTGGCTCACGCAGACGTCGTAGTTCGAAGCTGTCCATCTTCTTTTAGTCCACTGTCCACCCCGTTTTCTGCTCGCTCTCTCCCACCACTCTTTTGCATTCATCTTCTTGTCCGGCAGGTCGATTTTGCATGCTTCTGTCCTCGAAAGTGCCTTGCCCTACTCGATTATCGGTCGAGAGCTTCCATATTTGGTTCATTGCCCCCCAGTTCACCAACGACCCATATTCTGCTGTTTCCCCGGCGGCAACCTTGGTTCTATATGGTAGTTCTTCCAGAGACGAAACCCCGGTAGATGTTGGTTTGGTAGCTTCAGGCCTGGTTTCCTGGGTAAAAACAGGAGGTGATTTATTTATTACTACTTGTTAAACCAGACAAAGCAGAATTTGTTGCACCAACTGATCTGATCTGATCATTTCCGCCCCGCCGCTCCAGATTGGGTTGCTCTCCTGTCAATTTTCTTCACATAAATCTTAAGCCGCAGGCTCCCTCTTTGCCCATATAAACGAACAAACCCAAATTGCCTTTTGACACTGCCTCCGGCCCCACAGCCGCCCCAGTTATTATTATAGTGCATTCCCATCCCTTCATTCTGTTTCGATCCCAAATCTTCTGCACTGAACGTGGAGAAAAGATCCGCAAGGAACAGCTTCTGCTTTTTTTTGCTAGGAGATAACCTAATGCTCTTTTCGATACGATATATTTGTCTGTTAGCCTAGAAAACTTGGCGTCGTGTGACGTTGGAGCACCCGAGCAGCTCTTCCCGCTCGGTTGAGATCATTGTGCAAGCAGAGAAATTGGTCGTCAAGCGGTTAGCGGCAGCAACTCCGTATGGTGCCCGGAGATTAAAGTGAAGGCAGCAAACGTTTTTGGGACTTTCTTTGGGTGGGGGGGTGATAGAGCGTATCTGGTCGGTTATGTCGGTCTGATTTCGCCCAGGAGCTCGACGAAGTCACAAATATATCCCGGGCAATATGGTCACAGTGGATACGGGTAGGTATCTGCCCGTCTATGGAGTTTCAGGGTCGACAACCGCACCATTCCAATCACCGAGAGGAGAAGAGGACGGTATCAAGGAACTTCGCGGCGGCTTACATCATGGCGATGCACATAGAGATTCTTTACCGTCAATAGGACAGCTGGATTTAGAAACCGCCAGCAAGGACCGTCAACACAACAGTGCACAATTCCCATCCGCAACGGCAGGATTGTCTGTTTCCAGTTTGACAATGGCCAATCATCCAGGTCATGCCCCTTTTGGCTATATGACATCTGCAACACCTAGATCGACTCTAGGCGGATCCGCAGAGGCCTCTCCTGGAGACATCAGGTATCCCGGAGACGAAAATAAGGAACAGAAAACCTCCAGCGAGCCTCAGCATACCGTTCAACGACAGTCTCTCCCTTCTATACACGAGGCATTAGGCAGCCACACTCTGCCCTATCCTCCTCACCCATCTTCATCTTCCTCTAACCCAGGACACCCACCTGTATCGATTTCTATCCCGCCGACTGCTGTTGCTCGTGTGGGTGCAGATGTGCCTTCTGGTCCTCCCAATCCGTTTTCAATCTCATCATTATTTTCAAGGGATAACCCATTCAATGCACATTCGAGTGTCCCCGGCATACCTCCCCGTCCCGAAGGACAGCGAGCGAGCTTTGCTTCAACCCACTCGCAGGAATCTCACAATCGATCAGTCCCATCCTTAAGCTCTGGGAAATCGCCAACCCAAAGTTGTAAAACAGGGACACCTTCGCTTACAAACTCGCAATCTTCCACTTACGAATTCAGCGCATCACCTTCTGCGGCGCTGATGTCTTCGCACCCTTCGTATGCACCATACCCACAACAAGCACCGTATAGCGGCCCAGGTCCTAACACTCCACCTTCGATGCAGTACCCTCCTGGACCTTATGAAACACGACCAGGCTTGGTTCACCCTTGGAACCAAAACGGTATCGATAAGGCCCGCATGGATCAACAAGGGGGCATCAGGGCAAGTAATGGCACCGCCGCCCCTCACAGCGAAACTGTTAAACGACAGCTTGATGTATATGATGTGGAATCGTCTTATCATGAGGTAGGTCTCTTTTCTATACTTCGGCATAACACTCTTGGTTAACACTTGAGCAGATTATTGAAGCTGGTAGCAGAGTAGTTGAGTTTGCTAGACATTTTGGTGCCAAAGCCCACCAAAGTAATCGGTCTGGGCCTGTTGTAGGGTTGATACCGCAATTATCGGAGATCGATGATATTGCACAGACGATTCGCCGAACATCTGACGCCTTGGCTAGGATTCGAGGGCTGGCTGTTGAACAGGCGTTAGCGGATCAGCAGGTGGAGCAACGAGCTCAGCGACAAGCTTACAAAGCTAACGGCGCGCGTAATGAGGAACAAGCAACTCCGTATCGGGAAGATTACAAAAGTGGTGGTGGATTTGCAGGCGGTGATACCAAGAAGCGCCGAGGGGTATGTATACTTTTTTTTTTTACCCCGTCTCTCCTGAACACCGTATATCGTCTACCTATTCAACGTACAACGTTAATTCTCCCTACCCACCCTGGGCAGAACTAACGACATCTACAGAAGGCGGCCCCACCTGGCCGATGCCATAGCTGTAATCGAGCAGAAACTCCTGAGTGGAGGCGAGGACCGGATGGCGCTCGAACTCTCTGCAACGCCTGTGGCCTTCATTACGCAAAACTAACTCGGAAAGCTGGCAATAATAAACATTCCTCGCTGGGACCAAATATCAGACCTAAAAACAGCGCTGAATCTCGATCTCCAACACGTTCTTAACTGCCGATATACCGTTACGTTCGCCTTCCTAATGTGTACTGTTAGTACCCAATGGAGTTAGGTATTGGGATTTCATCGTTTTCGTTCTCAAAAAAGCTGTGATATATCCAACTGGGTAGAACAGATTGGCGTTCTTTTTTTTTTTTTTTTTTCTCTGCTATCTCCTCGTTCTATTTTCTGGCTACATCCGCTTCTATTTTCCATTTGGTCGACGCCAAATTGTTGTTCCTCTTGTTCCTTTATTTTTCTTCACAAGCTTTCTATTCTTTCTTTGTTTATAATATCCTTGGGTCGGTCTATTGCCTGGTCGCGAGAACGCCAGCTTCCCTTTTTTTTATTTTTTAAACTTTTCGGGGGTTCCGGATATTCCTGTCGAAGGGGCAATGGGGGTGGGTTCAACAACGTTGCTTTTTCTGCTCTTGCAGGTCACCGTTTCATCGGATAGGCTTCATACTTTTGTGTTAAAGGGTTGGACATTGTATTGGCAGATAACCCAGGTGGAGTGGGCAACAAGATAACATTACAATTGTCAATTAATAACATCTATGGTTCTTTTGGGGATTTTTTTTTTTTTCAAAATTTTTTTTTTAATTTTTTTGGGGGCCTTGTTCTGGTGTAACCGGTCGATCTACGACATATCAGCGGAGATTTGGCGCTTGGCACAGTATCAGTAGGCACTTCTCTAAGAACTCAGGGTGGAAACACAACGGTTTTGATATCTATGTTGCTAACTTTATTTGAGCTGTGGGTGGGCCAGATAAATGTGATTCTATCATCTATCAGATAGTAACTAGTCTAATGCCTACTGAATACCTAATAAATAGCTTCTCTATTCATTATATTCAAGCAGAAGCACCTTTTTTGGTAGCAACTATGCAGAAAAAATTAATTAAATACGTTATGAGTTAATCTCCATCCTCGAAGAGTATGTGTAGGTAGTATACAAGAGTTACTGCAAGAATGCCAAGCTCGCTTCGCTTCTCATCCTCCAGAGCACTTGCCAAGCTCGCTTGTGGCCTGTTATGTAAGCGTAAATATCATGCCAGAGAGATTGCTATATTATAGAGCTCCCAAATCATCCTCATAATTAGTATCTACATACAAATCTCTATCATTATATTTGTCGTGATTGTGGTCTCTGCCCGTCTCACTCTTAAATTATCGCTATAATATTTATGGTAATCTCTTTTATCCCTAAATCATCTTTCTATCTTCTGCCTTCTATGGTCATGTGACCTATTTCTCCTTTTCGCGTTGTGGCTGATGCAACGACAACGTCGTCTTGACAAACAGTTGGTGAGCAAGAGGAGGTTGGACACAACAAGGAGTATGAATAAAGACCAGCGGGAGTTTCCATGATTTTTTCTTTTTCACTCTCCTCTGTTCTCAGCGTGCATGTCCTTTCGCTCGATAAAAGACTTCAACTGCAATCCAACTCAACAGGTTCACTTCTTTATCATGACCATGTTGAGCAGCATGATCATTGAATCGTCAGGAAACCCGTGAGCCTACTTGATGATTCCATGATCAGACAGTGACTCTCAGAACTACCAATGGATCACTCAGAGTGCAAGTCTACATCAAAACCTCAGCTATGTTATTTCATCCACCATGACAGACCTTATCAAATGTCTTAGGTGTGGAGTTTTGTGTTTTACCATATTGAATGTGAGGGCAAGTCGTACGCTTTAATGCTGGTATGTTGGCTACTTTTTCTTTATCCAAATTAACTCAGATTGTGATCTGTTTGCTATATCCTGGTTACATACCACAAACACATTTGTCCTGCATTTCTCAGCTAGGCACTGGCCATACCCAGGGAGGGATTTCTCATGCAAACTCAAAAAACATGAGAGGATACTGACAACTCCTTTCATTCATGAGGCCTGTGCTTTTTCTTGTCTTGACAGCATTGGGGACAACAGCACATGAGAAGTAAAATGTCATGAGTGCATTAAGCTTGATAACAATCAGTTCAAAGGCTTAGACAACAAGGATCACATATTCTGTCAATGAGCAATCATCAAGGATTTTCTTCCTGAGAAAATCAGCATAAGTGATATCTCTGAAGTACATCACAAAATACAAATAGCTTGTAGTGCTATGCTATGTGGCCTGATGATGTCAAATCCAAGAACTGTAGTGGCTCATTCATTGTGGATTTGGGTAGCACAGCCACTTACCCTGAAATCCATTGTTTCTGGTTGAGTACAAGACGCAGGTAGCGCTTTGCTGATATAGATCAATGTTTTATGGATTGGGAGCCATCTGATTGGGACAGTGAACTTGTGGATAAGTTTTTCAATGACATGCATAAGGAAAATGTGGCAATTTCAAAAAAAAAAAAAAAAAAGAAAAAAATGGAGGAGAGGGCGTTGAGGAAGGAGCAGGAATAGCAGAAAGAGCGATTTGCAAAGAGAGAACCCCAGCGACCAAACCCTAATTGGGAAGAATTCAACATTTACCCAAGGGGTCGGTTGACTACGATTTCAATATTCTTGAGTTGATTTTAGCAAAAGGGTTTTTTTTTTTTTTTCAATTGACATCTATTTAGTTTGTTTTATATGCGTCAGCTTTTAAATTGATTTATGGAGGTCTGCACTCTCAATTCTGGAGCTCAAATGAAATCTGATCCTCACACAGCATCAGTTATGTTATGGGGCGCTGATGCCTAAGCTGACAGCCAAGTTTGAGGTATCAAGCCTCTCAACCCACCCCAACCGTTTAGGGGGGCTACAACTGATCAGTGCCATACTAAGCATATAAATTTCTACCGTGAGCAGGGACTTACATTACTCATCGTATGTTCCGTATGTCAACTATGACTTTCAGATTTTCAATGATGAACGTCCCATCGCTGGGCTGGTCACGGGACCAAGCTGCCTTGAACCTTTTAAAGTTCTTCACGCAGAAGATGGGAAGGATAGGCAACAGACCCAAGCACCGCTACACCAGGCAACAAGATGCCACCATGACGCCTCGGAGCGAAAACTCTGTTTCCTCCACGTTACGAACAGAGAAAGTTCTTCCTTGTTTGAGAGAGCGGGGACGGAGCCAATCGCCAGCTTTGTGGAGACTTGCTCATGCATCGCTAGCTCGAAGCCCCAGGATCCATCCCATTCTCGTCTGAGCCACTATCCATCGCTGAAGACACAGGACGAAGCAGCCATGCCGATGATTGGTCTTCCTCGCCTCCTTCTCTTCAAGGCTGAGAAGGCTGCAAGAAGGATAAAAGGTTGCCTCGATCGCAACAACCTTTCGACGTTTTGCCATTGATGCCAATGTTGTGGTGTTCAATTCATCAAACCTTTTCCTGAGGACAATATTTGAGAGGCTTATCTTCTTGCTGCCATCTCCAAGTACTAATACTGCGCGTTGACGGTATATCTACATCATCCTATCCCTCAATCATGCCCCGCCACGGAAGTCTGCAACCGCTGTGTGGTTGTTGGTATCTGGCAACCACAACGCGCCAATACATCCCTCAAGTCGACCTCAAAGCCCATTCAACCATATTATCAGCTTCTTCCAGGACAATCTTAACCCAGACTTTCATCAACCCCACATCAAGAGACCTAGGAGATGTCAAGTACACCTTTCCTTTGCACGATGGCGTCAGCATTGTGGGTTTTAAGTGCGAAATTGACAACCGAGTCATTCGTGGGATCGTGAAAGAACGGGGGAAGGCTAAAATTGAATACCAGCAGGCTGTCCAGAAGGGCCAGGCTGCAGCTCTGCTTGAGCAGTCCGCTTTGGCATCTGATACTTTCACCACCAGCATAGGAAAAATCCCCGTCGGTTCCAAAGCAGTTGTGGAGATTATATATCTAGGCGAGTTACAACACGATGCCCAGTCGGATGGCGTCCGTTTCAGCATTCCCAGCATCATCTGTCCTCGCTACGCAAATTCTTCTGTCGACACTCACGAATTGAGTCAATCCTTAGCGACCCTTGTACAGAGAGGCGCCATCAACATCACTGTGGATGTTTCAGTGGACAAAGGATCGAGCATCCGCGGTTTACAATCACCAAGCCACCCCATCGCAATCACACTAGGCCGGACGTCAGTTGCTGCTCAAGACGTATTTGAAGCGAATCTCGCTTCTGCGACCCTAACGATGCAGCAAGGAAATTTGTTTTTTGATGAAGACTTTGTGTTGATTGTCAATGCAAAAGATCAGGATGTGCCGAGCGCTTTTGTGGAAACCCATACGACTATTCCCAACCAGCGAGCTATAATGGCAACGCTTGTTCCCAAGTTCAACATACCAAACAATAACCCAGAAATCGTTTTCATAATCGATCGAAGTGGTAGCATGGGGGGGAAGATTCAGACACTTCAGACAGCATTGAGGGTTTTCCTCAAATCCCTACCAGTTGGTGTCAAGTTTAATATTTGCTCGTTTGGCTCCTCCCATTCATTCATGTGGAAGAAAAGTCAAGCATACGATGCTTCCTCCCTAAAGGCTGCACTTAAATATGTGGATTCGGTGTCTGCGAATCTTGGAGGAACAGAGATCCTTGGCCCTGTACGGGCCACGGTGGAAAGGCGTCTCAAAGACCTGGATTTGGACATTCTGTTACTCTCGGACGGTGAAATTTGGGACCAGAACACGCTCTTTAGCTACATTAACAAAGCGGTGTCTGACCAACCTATTCGACTTTTCAGCTTGGGAATTGGCAGTGGCGCGTCTCAATCCCTTATCGAGGGCATTGCAAGAGCTGGGGATGGGTTCGCACAATTCGTTAACGACAATGAACTTTTGGACAAAAAGGTTGTCCGCATGCTTAAGGGGGCTTTGACGCCGCATATTAAGGATTATACGGCTGAATTGGTGTATGAAAATGATGGGGAAGACGACTTCGAGATTATCGAAAAACCAAACGAAGTTCCCACGGGTGAAAATTTTCGTTCTCCGGCAAAACGCTCAGCCGAAACCATGAACGTAGATTCAAAGAAAGATGTTCCAAAATCGATGCAACCGATCTCCCTGTTTGACCCTTCTTACCAGGAACCTGACATCAAGGCCACTGCCACCCCTCTTGAGGCGGATCTCCCTAAAGTACAACCTCCCAACGTACTCCAGGCGCCTTACAAAATACCCAGTCTCTACCCATTTAACAGGACCACTGTTTACTTCCTCCTCTCTCCAGACGCTCCTCGAACAAACCTCAAATCATTCGTTCTCAGGGGCACTTCGAAACATGGGCCTTTGATGTTGAAAATTCCCTTAGAGAATATTGGCCAAGGCACAAGGCTTCATCAACTGGCTGCGCGGAAACTAACACTTGAGCTGGAGGAAGGTCGAGGGTGGATATACCATGCGAAGAACGAGAAAGGACAGCTGATTATCGACGAGCATGAAAGCAAAAAGGAAAATATCGTGAAGCGCGAAGCTGTCCGGCTCGGAATTGAGTTTCAAGTGGCTGGGAAATATTGCTCCTTTGTCGCCGTAGAGTCACCTGCTGATGGGAAAATGGCGGAGCGGAAGGCAAAAAGGGAATCGGCCTCAGAAGCCGGCAAACCCCCTGGTTTTGGTCCTGGGGATATTCGAGACCCTGCGGATGATACGGACGAGTCTGAGGAAGAGATCATAGATTCAGAATGCGAGAGCACAGTTAGTTCGTCCAACATACATGTACTCTCCACTCCGTCCCATTTTGGTAAGGCTTCGTTCAGTCCTCCAGGCTCCTTTGCATCCCAGTCTGCTGCCCCTCTGCCCCCACCCCCGCCATATTCATTTGCTTCGTTCCCTCCAGCTCCACCAGCTTCAAACACCCGCTCTCTCGGTAGCTCAGCGCCAAACAGCAATCCACGAGGATCAGGTTTTGGAGGATCTTCGGTCTCTGGTGGTTTCGGATCTGCTTTCTCTACGACCAGCTCTTCGCCCACTGCATTGCCCTTTGGTGCACCAAGTCAACCCATCGCTAGGTTTTCATTTGGACCAACCCCCACAGCCGCAGCTCAAACAGCTCCGTCACCTTTTGCTGCACATCACTCTGAGCCATTATTCGGGTCAGCTTCCGCGCCCCAAGGGCCCGCTGCTGCCTCCCTTTTTGGTGCGACACATACCCCTTTTCTTTCCAGCCGCTGAATTAGCTCCTATGAACCCCCCTCATCTGAGATACCGTCCCCTTTCTCACCAGTCCCTAGCACCTTATCGCTTTACTTGCCAATTTCTAGTACTAAATCATTAATATCTACTTTAGGTACAAGAGCCAAATCAGCGTCAGTCGTTCCCGATAAGAGTAAGTTTTCACCACGTATAGATGGCGCCTTTTGCATTTCCAATTTTGCGTGTTGGATGTCTACACTAGCTTCCTCTGATATACTTACGAGATGTTTCTGTTACTTAGTGCTTGAACGTGGCGAACGACTAGGTGGCCGAGTAGACAAAGGTAACGATTTGGCTGAGCAAGCAACAACTGATTCCCACCGCAAAAGCAAAAAAGCCAGCCGTGCACCTCCAGGAGCTCGGCTGATCCAACGGTTTCTCAAAACGGATTCTGGACCTACAGCGCCTTCGCAGGATGCAGTTCACGCCTTGATAGCACTTCAGTCCTTTGAGGGATCGTGGCAGTGGGAAAGCAATGTATTTGAAGTCATGGGGCTCAATGCCGCTGAGATCGAAAGCAAACTGGATTGGGCAGCTATTTTGGGAAAGAAAACTGGAATAGACACCAAGAACGTGAAGCAGAGGTCAATTGTCGCGACACTTATTGTCTTGGCGTATTTGAACAAGAAGCATTTGGATGAGAAGGAAACATGGGAGCTTGTGGGAGAGAAGGCCATGGGTTGGGCTGTTGAGGGGATCAAGGAGATCGGAGGCAATCCAGACGGAGGGTCTGATGTGCTCTTGAGACAGTTTGATGCCTTGCTCTGAGGGACTTGTTTGATATCATTGATAGTTCTTTTCCCTCACACGTATATTTATTTTTTTGTACACGGGAAAAGGCTTCCAGGGTTAGAATCTACCCACACTCCAGGTTTTGCATACGCATAGTTTTCCTAACTTTCCGTTGAATGAACCTTGACCGAAACCCGACCTCACGAATACTATGTACGCCATCTGACCTCATCATATAAGCCAATTTCAACTTGTGGTCTGTGCACAAACCAAGGACTAATGGACCTGGAAAAAAAAATAAAAAAGTGGACACAGCCACGGCCAATCCATATATAATTTACGTGACACACATTGGCAGCCCACTGGAGCTCAGTTTCCAATCCAATCCAATCCAGTCCCTGCAACACTTCTTTAAGATATCAAGCTGGATCCTTGAACTCGAACAAGGAAGATCTTCAAGTTGGTCTTAACATTTACAGTAGTTCGCCTAATTGCGCACAGACAGCGAATTGAGATAAGCTTCTGCATTGAGGTCGGGTGGCGCCCTTAGCGAGGTTGGGTTCCCTTCATTCCACCTCTCCATTTTTTAAACAAATACGGAGGCTAGGCAATCCAAAGATCAGGGCCCGGGATGACTCATTTCCCCCCACCCCCCCCCACCAATAATAAATACCACGTATCGTTCTTGAACTGCCAATATCTTGAGAGGCTGAAACAGACGTCCCAAGGGATGTGTCGCATGTTTTGCTTCGTGGAGGAGAGCAAGCAGTATAAAACCCACCGCCACCCCCGCCACCCCTACCCCACCAGGGCGACTCGCCTTCTCCCGTTTATGTTTGATCTATACGGTCTTTCTCAACTCAACCATGCATGTCCGTAGATGGATGGATGCGGATTCATCGACGAGAAAGGGGCCAAGCGTGGAGCAGACATGATAAACATGCGGCGTTTGCTCTCTTGCAGGATCGAGAGACCCTCGACAGGGTTCCAGAGATGGGTGGATCTAGGGTGATCCGGGCCCATGGTGCCTGGGATACGACTCGCATACGGACCATTGAGGAAAAATGAGGCAGAATTTCCATGGTTCGCGAAGTTGTTGGGGAGAAATAAGAGATAGGCTTTTTTTTTTCCCTCTTCCGTCTTCTTCTACTACTTCTTCCACCTTCTCTCTTTTGTCGCATGGAGAGAAGAGGCAACGAATGGAATGTGCTATCGAACCGGTATCTCGCATCCAAAGTCGGCCTTTCTCCCCATCCATGGATGCAGGCTCTCAACTGAGCCATCTATCAATAAACGCCGTTGCCTGCCGGGCAATAAAAGAAACTGTCGGTTATACTTACCGTACAATAAAGTACGCGGCGTAACGTAATAGTAAGGTAATGGAAACAGAAAACGTTCGTCTCGGCGTAATAGGGCTGTATTTTACACGGGGATACCGGTGATACGGGGATAAACGGCTCAACTGATATATATGTATATGTATATATATATATATATTGGCATTCAGGCCGGTTGGATGGAGATGTACGTTGCTTGTACAGTTCGAACTGCACTGCAAATTGGCAGTGGCATCTCTTCCTGATGAGAGACATTAAGTATGCGTGTGAACATGAGATGAGACGATCAACACAAGGAAATAGCCCATACTCATCTCCGATTCGAAGCACACCCCATTGTCCATTGTTCCCTCCCACGACAATGAATGCCTATTGAACTGCGAAACAACGATCAAAATATTTCACCATTAGACAGAAGCTATGAGCTTTGGGGATGAAAAAAGCAAATAATATAGTATAAAAAATATAAATATAAATATAAAGTAAAGGATAAAGGGGCAAAAAAAGTCAGGGATGAGTTTAAATATTCAAGCAAAAAAAAAAAAAAACGCTGCCACCCATTGAATAGAGAAATGACATGCGTGGCAACATACACCAAAATCTACAATGAAAAGAACGGAGAGATTCAAGGCGCGAGTGTTACGCAAACAACAACGAACGGGAAGGGGGGAAAGAAATGAGGAGGGGTTCCGTTAGGGCGAGAGGGAAGGAGAAGGAGATATCACTCCTTAGCACCCCTCAACATCTCCCACCCAACGCTACCACCCTTCCCCCCCTTCTCTGTAACCTCCTCAAGAGCGTTGACAAGATCAAAGCAGATCTTATCCGAAACCACGCTGTCATGCTTATATTCCGGATGTCTGGCTACAAACTCGCGGATCCACTTCGCATTCGTCCACAGAGTGCCATCCGCACGCCGGCGGATGAAGTCCAGATACGCCGCCAGCCGACACCGTGTCTCCACATCGACATTGACACCGTTGAGATACGACTCGACCAGCGGAATTAGGCCGGGAAACCCGTCCTCCGTGCCGTTGACGATGTCTGCGATGGTCATGAGCTCATACTCGGATTCGATGGGACGTAGGTTCGGCGTTGAGAAACCGGAGGAGTAGCGGGAGCTGGAATCTGATGTGTTACCGCTAGTGCTGTTCGGGTTACTGTTGGGCTGCTGCTGGTGCTGGTGCTGGTGCTGCTGATGAAGCCGTGATATACGGTGTGGAAAGGGGTCTTTGCGGAAGTAGAATTTCTGCTCGAGGACGGCATTACGTGCGTGGGCGGTTTCCATGTTCATTGTTGTGCGTGGGATGGGGATGTAGAGATTTAGATCGAAACTGAGAATGGCGCGAGTGATGAGGACCATGAAGACGCTGAAAGCGGCATTTTCGAAATCGGTAATCTGGATCTCCATCGGGCGGAACTCGACGCGCCAGCCGATGTCGTTTTCGGCCGGCGGCGGTTTGAAGCGGATGTGTTGCCAGTTTGTCGACTGCAGATTCTCGAAGTGATTGGTCTGGTTGAGGTCGAGTTCCTTCAGGTCCTCGGAAAATACTACGATAGGGTCGCGGATGAAGAGGTGGGCGAAGTGCGTGGCAAGCAGGTCGTCCATACCACCATCTAGGAGGCGTTGCTTAATATCTTCGTCTATGACAAGATCTGGGTCCATGTACTCAGGTCGTAGTCGCGGATCTTGGGATATATATGTGGAGTTGGACGCATATCTTGACTTTGGGATGCGCCAGCGATCATTCTTCAGCGGCTACTCTCATTTTTCGTTAGTACTAGGATCGTGTCGCATAGGAAAAGCAGATTATTCGCTACTATATTAGATTGGAATGTCATGCATACCTTCTCTCCCAGCTCTTCAGGCGTGCGGCAATCAACTGCCTTGCTGATCTGATTCCACCGAACGTCAGTATCAACTAAGAAGCCTTTGTAAATTGGTGTACCGGCAGTCAAAGCCAACATTATCGGCCCCAGGGGGCTTAGCTGGTCATAGAGCCTTCTCCCCTCATTGATATTTTTACACTGGAACGTGATTTGCAGACAACAGCTTCCCATGCCAAACGCCATTGCATCCATATAGACATGATTCTGTTTCACAGCACCATTACGGACATCATCGTCTTCTGGCCAGTTATGGAGATCGTAATTGACTGTTGGGTCGTTGAATGGCCAAGGGGTATTCCTATCTCGAAACACAGGAACGTTCAGCTGCACCTTTCTGCCTCTCCTCCATCGAATATTTGCGGCCAGTGTGGGGAAACGGATATGCGGGTTTGCGATTTCGTCGGGGACGAACTGTGAACGGAGCGCGCTGCCCGAGACAGGATAGAATGGTTGTGTGAAATCACCCTTGGTGCCTAGTTGTGGGAATGTGGTGAGGGTTATGGGGTATTCATTCGGTGCCATATGTTTTTTCGCAATAACTCTCCTATCCACCCGAGTCCAACATTTTAATTTTAGCTCATTTCAGTTCGTGGGGAACTCAAGCACATTGATGGAAATGTTTAAACGAAGTAATGTACCTCCACTTCATATTGGACTCGACTCTCAAGAGGTCTTGGAATCCAATCCCCCATGGCTTTCCTGGTGTTGCTTCCAGCATAAAACGCCCAAACTCGGGATGGAACTTGGGAAGCGGTTCTTTTCTGTAGGACCAAAACAGGCCAAATTAGAGGCAACGCAACAAAATAAATCCCCATATGGATCAAAGAACGTAGGAATATAGCGAAGAGACGCGGGCTAATTCAGTGATGGTAATCACATACACTCCATCCAGGAGCCCCTGGACCAATTCCCCATTTGCCTGCACTTCCTCTTGCGCCAGCGAATTCAAGAGCTCGGCCTGGTGGAGTGAAAGTCGCACTTTCTGCGCCTTCTCATCCACCGCTACGACGAGATACTCAACCTAGTTCGCCGCAAACCCATTCATCAGCAAAACACTCAAGAAATATGTATTTGAATATATATATTCAAAACATAGACCGGGAGGTCAATCCATACCTCATCGCCCCAGAGCAGCGCATCTCGCTCTTTTCCCTTTGCCTTCCCCCAGATGGCCAGAAGTTGCTAAGCGAAATAGGTTCAGCGACGCAGAACGGGAACATTTTAAAACATGGCTGGCTGGTTTGCGTGCAAAGGAGAGGCGCGCGCTTACTTCAATCCCCCATTCTCTGACTTGCTGTGCACTTTTTTTTGCTTCCGGCCAGGCCAGCGGGGTGCCAAGCGCTCTGGAATAAGAATTTTTGGTTGTAAGAAATTTGTTGTTCTGTAACAAAAATGCGCACGGTGAGATGGGGACAGGGTTTCCATATTTCCTTACAGCAAGCCCATAGCGAGAGGGTGCGACCCTTGCCAATTGTAGCTCTCCGAGATGATAAGGATAGTTATTTCTTCGTTTTTTGGTTATTTGTTCGGGAGAAGAAAGTAAATAGCGAAGCTTCCTCAGGCCTCAGGGAAGAGTGAGGGAATGGAGGCAAAAATGACGTGATACTAGTATCTTTCGTCCGAATAGACGCACAAAGCTACAGCGCCTGCGGCGAAACAAAACGAAGCGGATTCTGTGAGGGACGAGGAAGAAATATAAAGCAATATATATCCATGGACTGCTCCCATGCCTGGGCCGTATATAAACGATCCTTAACGCTGGTAAATTATAACCTAGGGCTTTTTCGTCGTAACCGCTAGGCCAGGTTTAGCTCCAGTGGCATGAAGAGGGGATTGGGTCTTCCGCATTATTCTTCACGCGAAACGAAATCATTCCATACGTAAAACCATAGGGCACGTTGTTTTCAGGAGGCTAAATCAATGGACTAACAGTTTGCCTCTATATCTGACTATATAGATGTATACATCTGCGTGCATTATCGATATTACACACAATCGCTGAAATTGGAAGTTCGCCCGTAGTCAAGATCAATGAATCAAGAGAGGCGCACAGAGGGAAATGAACAGTCGACTGATTTGACACTTTCCACCCACTTGCTAACAATTTGATAGTAGCCATGCTATTCTCGGGTGCAGCAAGGATATCAGGGAAGGGGAAAAGACGATACGACTTCCACAGCCACTACTTCATGGGGGATGAATCAATTCGAAGGAATCGAACAAATGGATTCCCCGCTTGTCCCACATGCACTGTAACTTCTGTAAACCGTCGGAAGTTTGTGAAACCCGGTGGAATCCTGCCCAAATCCTTCAATCAGATCTACCCGGATGTCGCCTACTCCGCTTCCTGCTTATAAATCAGAAGTCCGGAACGCGGGCGTAACGGCGGGAGACCGCATGATTCTTAGCAATAGTAATGGCGCCTGTGTTTCACTGGGGCCGGCCAAGAGGGCGAGACGAAATGCGGACTGATTGTGCGACTTCTGGTGGCTGACAGGCCATCCATCAATACCCACGGGTTCTTGGCCACAGGGGACCATCATATCAGCTGGTCCCTACAAAGTTACGAGCCTGCACTCGAAATCTAAAGTAATACCGGGTGAGGTAAGTCTTTTTCTTTTCTCTTCTCCTTTCTTCTTTCCTTTCCTTTCCTTTTCTTTTCTTTTCTTTTTTTTTGTGGCAGGGCGAAGGTGTCGTGAAGGTCTTTGAAAATGAGTGCGACAGATTGCTTTCGGCAATTGAACAAATCTCCCCTCAAGCTCTTTATTATATACAATCCAATTAATGGGGAATTTTTGTAACATGATGCCCGAGAAAAAAGAAAGAAAGAAAGAAAACCATATAGAAACAACCCGAACAACAACTCCAGATTCCCTCTAATGTCTAATTGCTTCGAGCACCACCCTTGGCAGCCCGTAGTTCATCCATCTTCGCAACCCGCAGCTTGAACTCGTCATACTGGCACTTTTCGTAGGAATGTCTCTCATTCTGGCCAACACAAACAGATACCGTCAGCATATACGTATATTTGGGGAGGGGAGCAATTATGTAGAGAAAGGAAGAGAGCTGATCGCACCTCGCACTTCCATGGCAGATAGAATTCTTTGTATCGACACCGGTTCAATGGGATGAGGAGATGTGCGCAGCTGTCTCGGTAGGCAAGAGGCAATCGAGCCTCGGACATTTCTTCTCTGGTTGCAGCTATTTGGTTATAGGATCGTGTTAACAAAGAATTGGCGAATTCATTGATTTTGTGGTGTTTTGAAAGTGTTTCTGAAGGGGAAAGAATTACTCACGCCGGACATCTTTAACAGCGTCTGCATGCGCCATGGTTGCAGCTTCTGAATTCCTCTCAGCAGAAATCGCCGTGTCTCTGGTATATTTACTTGTATGTGTGTCGTCAGCAAGCCAATGACTTGTTGCTCTCGTCGTCTGTGGTCGCCTGCGTGATGCGGCTCTTAGCGTTCTCGGAGCCCGGAGCAGTTGGTTCCGGGCCCAAGCCAGCAAGCTTCCACTTTACGCGAGAAACGCGTCTCCCCGTTGTCCCGCAAATCGCATCATCTCCCAACAACTTGCGCATTGTAGTCGCCATCACGGGGGGAATGCGCTATAGCTGTTCGTTTGAATTTGTTTGGTTTCTATGCCGCTCGTAGCTCTCTAATGCCAGAGCGTCCCATACCGCCCATTTTGCGACCCCGCTGCTTTTCCATTGGTGCATTTCCGTCCCACGTTTTCCCTTGCCAGCCCGACTGTCAATCATCATCATCATCATCCATCCACCATGACTGCAGCAAATGTGTGGGGTAATAAAATCTACTCTGCTACGTACAGCAGTGTGAGTCCTTTTCTAGATTATTTATCTCAGACTGTTTTTGCGGACATATGGCTAACATCTGACTTTATGATATATAGGTACCCGTCTATGAGTTCAAAGTTGGCCCTGATAATGTTATGCGACGACGCGCAGACGACTGGATCAATGCAACTCATATTCTGAAGGTGGCGGGTCTGGATAAACCCGCAAGGACCCGTATTCTTGAGAGGGAGGTACAGAAAGGTGTCCACGAAAAAGTCCAGGGAGGCTATGGAAAATATCAAGGTATTTCCTCTTTGCAACGGTTGCTCAATGGACCACTGGGCGCATTGTGTAAATGCGACATGGAGCTGACCATTGTGTTCAGGAACATGGGTGCCGCTTCAAGAGGGTCGAGAATTAGCTGAACGGAACGGAATTCTTGAAAAGCTCCTGCCCATTTTTGACTTCGTGGCTGGGGATAGGAGCCCTCCACCGGCTCCAAAGCATACAACGGCTGCATCATCGAGACCAAGGGTGCACAAAAATGTCGCCCCCAATAGGAGGCTGGTGTCGGAAGAGTCGTCGTTTTCTCCAAGGAAACAACAGCAACCCATCCAGACCCAGCCGCTACAAGCAAGCTTTAGTCAAGACCAGCATTTCGCTGCTGTTAACCCGTCGTTACGTGATGACGAATCGGTTGCACAGGCAAGTATGGAGTCATCTTCCATGATTGCAGAGGAGGATATGGCTCCGATGTCCCAACACTCGACGCAGTCGCGGAAACGTAAGCGTGGATTGAATGATATCAGCCTGAGCATTCTCGAACAACAGCATATCATCTATGGTGACCAGCTCCTGGACTATTTCATGACTGTGGGGGATGCCCCTGCAGCAACGAGAATACTACCCCCAGAACCACCAGCAAATTTCCAAGTTGACAGGCCCATCGATGATCATGGAAATACTGCCCTCCACTGGGCGTGCTCCATGGGTGATCTGGACATTGTACGTGACCTGATAAATCGTGGCGCGAATGTGAAAGCGTTATCAAATCATGACGAGACCCCGCTAGTTCGCGCGGTTTTATTCACCAACAATTATGAAAAAGGGACTATGCAGGAGTTGGCAGACCTTCTCCAAGAGACCATCATGTTCAGAGACTGGTTTGGGGCGACTGTCTTCAATCACCTTGCCGCCACAACTAGGAGTAAGGGCAAGTGGAAGAGTTCGCGATATTACTGCCAAATATTGATAGATAAACTAAACGAGACTCTGCCTCCTCATCAGATCTCCATGCTCCTCTCATCTCAGGATTCGAATGGTGATACTGCTGCTCTGGCAGCTGCAAAAAATGGATGCTATCGGCTGGCTACCATGCTTTTATCACAGTGCCCCGAAGCGGGCGATATTCCCAACAAGGCGGGAGAAAGTGCTAATGCAATACTTCGAACAATTTCCCGCCGCCATAAAGATAATCCACCTCCGCCGTCCTCAGTGACCCACAACAGTGCGACTGGCACAGACCACGCCGAATTAAATAACGTTTCAGACAACACAGCTCTTTATCGACCCCCCACTAGCTCTGAAGCCACCGCATCACTTCTATCAAAAATAGGATCCATAGTGGATGAAGCTAGCAGGAAACTAGCCTTAGCTTATGGTGATACAAAATGGCCTCCCCATGGCGCTGAAGATATTGGCAACCCTCAAGGGCTATATGAACATGTGGAGTCCGATCGGGAAAATATTCGGAAGCAAGCAGCATCTCTAACTTCAAAGGAGATCGAGGCCGAAGAGCTTGAAGCCAAACTAGAACGTTTCAACAAAGTAAGGCGGGACTACGAGTCACTCCTAGAACAGGTTCAACGGCTCCATCTCCTCAAACGGTTGCGAAGTGCTAGCGTCGACCCCGAGTCCCAGGCTCAGATAAACGTCAACGGAGAAAGCTCGAGCTCGAACAGCAACGCCAGCAGCAACAATGACAACAAGAGGAAGAGTCCCCAAGACCTCAACCTCTTGTACCAGGTTGCCAGCCAACTCTTCGAAGCCCAACAAGCCCGTCAACAAGCCATTAAAGAGCTCATTCAGCAAAAAGCGGATGCCGGCGTGAGCACGAAACTTGACGTTCACCGTAAGCTCGTCTCTCTTGCGACCGGCCTACCAGAAGAAGAACTGGACCCGATTTCTAGTGAGCTGGCCAACGCGCTAGAATTTGACCGTGCGAACGAGAAGCAGCTGGATGACCGAGAATTTGGGTTAGATGGTGTTTCGGATGGGAGCGAGCGCCACCTCGTATATCAACAAGAGAATCAACAGCAGCAGCAGAAGCAGGCGCTGGCAAACCGTCATGACTCGATATCCATGTCGATGTCAACGCCATTGTCGATGCCTGAACGGGCTGTTGCTAGCTAATGCGGTGTGGATTTGAATGGCTTTCTTCCGGTGATCTCCTAGGTTCACATAAGACACCATGAAAATCTACCATGCCAAACCCGCCACGAAGTCTCCAGTCATGTCCCTCATATTATGGGACCACTTCATCCATTATCTAAAACATACCTACTATCTCCCTACCTACTTAACTGAGTTAAACCCCTCTTTCTTCTTTTTTTTTTCATTTCGTTTCACTTTCCACCGCCTTCTGTGCCTTCTTTTAACTGGTTGGCGTTCCATTGGCTTGGAAAAAAGGAATTGTAAGTGTCTATCCATTTTCGCTTCTTTGCTTCCCCATCCTCTGGACTTGATGGAATGTTTCTTGTTCTTATGTTTGTGCGTATCTACTGGGCTTTTCGTTTCTCCACCAGGCGATTACTATTATTCTCCTATAATAACTCACCGTCCAACTTGTCTTTTTTTATTTTTTTCGCCATGTGTGCATGTATGTAGGTGAGTCGATAGTGCTGGTTTTCACTTTCTCTGTACTGTACATTACAATTATACATAAAATTTCCGGGGTAGCCCAGGGTCTAGCCCTTGAGGGAACTTGCTGCGTACTAAATATAACGGCCTTTCGCTCCATTCTATTTTATCTTCTCCTTCTCTTACGCCTTCATATATATAGAATAGATAAGTCTTCTGTGCCAGGGGCCTTCGTCTGCGCGATCACCTTTTCTTCTTGATTGCCTCCCTGGCCCCATTTCTATTCCTAGGGGTATCGTCTGAACAGAACTACAAGAACAAAACGCCAATAAACTCTCCTTTGTTCAGCCTCCCTCTTCTCAGCTTCAGAGCTGCATGCACATCTTCACATCATTCACGTGATATAAAGATGTTCACCCCCCTGAACTTCCATCACACATCCACATTCACTCCCCCAGCAACCCCGCCCCAAAAACAGAGGAGAAACAGAAAACATAACACACAAACAGTCCCTCAAAACCCCCCATATCACCTTCATGGACAACAACCAGCAGCCCCGGTGACGCAGTGGTAGTGGCGGCAACAGAACCAAGGAGGACATTCACTCTTTCCCCCTTTTCTGTCCCGACGCCACCAACCCGCGCCCTTCCGGGTCTGCTGGTTCGAATCGCACCCAGGGCGAGCCAGGGACCGACCTGGTCCTAGGCCCGCCCTTGGGGTGTGTTTCGAGAAAACCCCGCCGGCAGGCCCAGCACGAAAGCTGTGGCGAGCAGGCAGGGGAGAGATGTAGCACTTCTCGGCCCTGGCCCCTGAGCACTTCATGGGTGAGGGGGCTGAGGGGTGTGAACTCTTTTTTTATTTGTTTACTTGATTAGATTTACTAAAAAGACTGAGAGGTCTCAACTAGAAGTTGATTGATAGACAGAGTATATATAGAGTATAATAAATAATTGATTGAAAATAGAGCTGTTTAAATACTTTTAAACTATTATTTTTCTTTTATTTTATATATCACCCTCTGGTTTCTACTTTCTTTTGACTGATACAATTAGCAGAAACATGTGTGTTCTAGCGCTAAGATGTTAAGTCACAGGTAACTTGCCTCCTTCCCAACTTCCGGTGTTAAATGACACTGTGCTGAGCTCCAAAATATGCACTGCTGAGAATATTCATCATTTCCCCAGTGCGTCATACTTAGTTTGCCAACCAGGGGCAGCGAACTCTCGGGCCTTGAACTGGAGCATAGATTTCACTCTTGAAAGGAGGTTCAGAAGAACACTCGCTCGTCAGCAGCCGAGAAAGATAGTTAGCTTATCCCACTTCTACCAAAAGCCCTAATCCTTTGTTGCTTCCGCTCTACGCCACGCCTCGTCCACGATGGTTTTGATGCTGTCGTGGAAGAGATAAGTTGCCTTCGTGAGGTTTTTGATGTCATCACTTCAACCGCTTGTCTCCTGTTATCGCCAGCGACGCCATCGAGAACAAAATGTTTAGAAGCTTGATCCATTCTCTGCCTTCCTCATCGCGCCTGAACCACTCGAGGATTTCTCCGCGTTTCTCCTCCACATTTTCATCATTCAGTTGTTGACTCTCACCTGCAGTCAAAGTTTTGCCGACTGCAGGGGGTCCTATCTTGCGCAGTCAGAAGTTGAGCGATGTTCTGGTATGGAGTTTCAACTTGCCATGTAGCAGAATAACGAATCCTTTGCCCTTCTCTTTTATGATATCTTCTAAGAGTGGCTTCGCCCCAGTGCTACCAACATGACTCTTTACAAGATCACGAATAAGATTCCTCTGCAATTGGATAAGTTGTAGTTTACTGAAGGCGTTGGCGCTAGTCCGTCCGTTCCTTCACATCGTGCAAGAATTTGGTAACAAGCTGCTTTTCACCTTCCTTCTCTCCTAATGCAATGTTCAACTCCAGCCATGTTTTGGCTTGTAGGTGGTATCCCAGGATTCGAGGTGGGCAGAGCTTGAGTTGTAAATCCTCAAACTCGTCCTCGTCAGTGAGGCCATCTTAGTGTGGCTTCTAGTTCTCCCTAAGAGCCGTATTAACCGAGCAAATTGAACATGAACATTCATCTTCCTTGCCGGACTTGAGAGCGATGCCCATGGGGCCACGAGTCAAGATTGGGGGGGAATGCTGTAAATATGCCCCGAAGTCAACCTTGACTCTCCTGGAAATCTGTTAGCTATTTGTTAGAGACGTCATTCTCCATTTGGGTCGGCTAGTTGGGCGATGGTAACGACAAATTGCAGCTTTTCAACAGGTTGCTCTAGCGAGCCACGTCGATGCCTTGTAAGCAACACGCGGGTCAGATAGAAGTTGCGATCATCACCCTGGAACGATAGATTAGGATACTTTTTTTCATGAAGAAGTGCTAGAGTATCCATACAGATCTTCCATTTCCTAATGCCCTGAAACTAGCACTGTGGAGGATGGCTTCTCCTTCATAGTCAAACAATTATTAACCTCTCTCTCTCGTGCATAGATCTCTAAAGTGTTTACCTTTTTGGAGCAACAGGTCTTCGAGTTTTTGGGTGGATATCTTGGAGATATCACTTCCAAACTTTAGGGGTATACGTCTAGCTATCAATGGCTCGGGAAGCCCGGAAATCTTCGAAATTGAACTTGATGGCAACACGATTGAAAGTTTTCCCATTCCAATCGTACGACCAGCAGACGAGTTTCCAGCAACGCTTTTCCCCTTTCCCAGATTCCGTTGAGTGGTGGGCCTCATAGCATTCCTTCACTATGAAAGCTGGGACTCTTTCATGAAGAAAACAGAATAGACAATTTCAACTGGTGGAAATATAGTCCACAGGTCGTCGAATTAGACAGGCTTTCCCCTTTGTTGTCCGATCGGCTAAGAGCTGAAAATTTTTATGCCCCCTTATGAAGAACTCCGTGGAGGCAGCCCAATGAGTGCATTGCATACTCTCCACTTATAAAGTCCTAAGGAAGAGCGGAGCGGCCCGGGCTACCACACAGTGGGGCTGAGTACTCATTCTGTTCTCCTAGACAGAGTACTCATAAGGCTCGTTGCTCCCGCGTAAAGCTTGTAGACCAAGTGAACTAGCAGAAGCTGCCAGTCGCCATGAATCAAGGCGGTTGTAAGCCCAACACCAATGATTCTCCAGCTGGGACGACGATACGTGTCGTCCACAGCAAAGAGCAGGCATCTTCTTTCTGGAATGCTGTCCAAGAGCAAGCAAAAAGGTCGTCATAAGCCCGTAGCTGTTGAGAGAATGTCTCAAAAATGCTGAGGTAAAACAACAATCGCACCACTCCAACACGGCACTCTCGAAGCGCAAAGGCAGGAAAACCGTTGAACTTGTCGGCGTCTTCAACGAATATCTGAAAGCGTACTCAGGAGTTGTGGATCTGATGGAGAGAGTCAGCGCTGGTTATGGTAAAGCTGCATATCAAGCACCCTCAATTTTCCTCGTGTTGTGTTTGTCTTGTATTTTAACCTTCTGTGAAGATGGCTCTCAAAGTTATATGTAGGTGGCAATCAACAAAGAGCACACTGAAAGAGAAGTCGACACCATGCTGGATACCCTGCGACTGGAATAAACACCGGATAGGGAGGCTAGAACCGATCTATGCCATCGAGGACCTGCAGGCGTATGTCCGCAAAGTTTATGGTCTGGGTGTACATTCTCTGCAGGATGCAGCGCAGTACTACTCATACACATCCCGCTATCTTGACAGCCACCAAACGTCGACCTCGCCGAGAGGGTTGTCTCCCATCGAGAGAGAGCAATCACGGAATTGGTCGAGGAAAGAGATCCTCAGGACAAGACCCGATTACACGCTGTGGACAAAAGACTTGAAGCAAAATTTACATGTTTGTACTGGCCTTTGTGGCCTGGAATGAACAGAAGGAAAAAGACATGGGTAAACCGGAGCTGACAGAATCCATTGCCACTTAGTGAACCTTGCTTCAAAAGCAGAGAGGGAAAACGATCGCCCAGTACAATACCCGACTCAGCTGGTTGTTAACAGCGGCGGTGGGTGTTAATACGCTTGTGGAGACTGCGTTCGTCGGGTGCGACTTTATCTCAACTGGATACAGCCGGACTCGCCATCTATAACAGAACGGTGAAACGCGTCTCTGCCGACACCGTGATCTCGTCTCTAAATCTATCAACTCCTAAGCACAAAACAAGCCAGGGTAGTTCTCAATGACGATGAGTACTTACTTCAACCAGTTGAAATGCAGCGTCAAGAAGGCCCGGTCTGCTGCAGACACCAAAAACTCAAACCAGCGAAACCGGCTGATTCCTTTGCACTCAATTATCGGCAACTTGTTGAAGAAGTTATCCTTCAGCAATGCGTATTTGGTTCTGGATCGAGCAGAATGTATGAGGTTTCGGGATACAGTCTTGGGATGTCTGCTGGATCTCATGAAATCGTGTCCTCCCGGGTTGAAGATACTGATCGTTGGCCAGGCTTTCGATGGTGAGTTTTTAAGTGACAATTGCAGATAAGAATATTTTCACGAGTTAGTATTTTGATCAAGATAGTTAATTGAACGGGTGGTTAGTAATATTAAAAAAAATGCCTCTGAAAACAATATGCAGAATGGAGGGTCCATTCGAGATGAAGCTATGATATGATACTCTACATACTTCCATCTGACCACAAAGGTCCGGAGCCCCTTGTAAAATCGGGCTGCAAAATTCATGGCTATCTTCCAATAATCTCTGCGTTAAGCACTACTTCTCAAATCTGTCCAGAGGGTCCCCTACCCGCATCTCTCTCTCTCTCTCTCTCTCTCTCTCTCTCTCTCTCTCTTTTTTTTTTTTTTTTTTTTTTTTTTTTTTTCAGAATGGGGACATTTTCCGGACAACAAGCTTTGAAAAATTCTTTCAATTGTTACTCACAGCATATGTGAAAATAGACAGCTGCTTATCTAGAAAAGGTTAGTAAAACTAGAAATACCTCAATTGTGATTCTGCAAGGCGTGACAAGTTCTCATTATTGCAGAAACAAACATCAATGCTCGATATAATGTGACGGAGGGCCGTGTTTCCATCACACGCATGTACTATATCATCTGTCTTTTATTTGTTTTTTCGCTTTTCCCGGGTTTTTTTTTTTTTTTTTTTTTTTTTTTTTTTTCAAGTTACTTTACTTCAAAAGTCGGACAAAGGTTCAATACTCAATTGATAGATAGATAGATAGATGATTACAATGAGTCCCCGATATTATTAAACTTCAACAAGATAACCGGCCATGTCAATGTGGCGAATGCTCAAGACCCGTTAAACGTCATACAAAATAGCGCAATCGTACCGGGTTTTCCGGCACATTGGACCCCTTTTTTCAAAGTCGTTGTCGGGAGGGCTGGATGCTTGAAGGAGAGAGAGAGCGAGCGAGTCCCGCTCATTCGGCCACCAGTGCTCCCTCCAAAAGCGTATTCCTTTTTAGGTTGAGGGAACAGGAAGTAAGTAAAGAGGTGAAGCTGAAGCAGAAACAGGGAAGCGGAGTGGTTGTGTCAAGCTGCGGCTTCCAGGGGCAGCTTCGAGGAACGTTTGTCTCATATATTTCTGAAATGTCATATGTCAATTTAATGGGTTTTGTCCCAAACTAGTTTACTTAACTTGCTTACTGATATTGGCGAGCTCTTCAATTGAGTTAACTAGTTCGTCCGTAGAGATTCTTATGTTCGTCAAGTTGTGCCATGGCTGGCAATCAGTAGTAAGGTCAAAAAGAACCATGGCGATGGTGGCAAACGTCCCCCCAAGAAGGAGGGGATCTACCGTTGTCAAATGCTGTCAAATCAAATTGATGAAGATTCGAAGACGCAATTCTTCGTCTTCTCAATTGATGTTTCCATGAACGATAACCTTTCAAACTACTAATAATAGACCAACGATGACATATTTATTGTGGCTAAGTGGGGCGGGCATTCAAGGTTTGATCCATTGAGTTTTGTTCCCTTTTTGTTCTGGACACGCTGGCCCCGTTGGGGTAAGGCTTTTGGAGCATTTTGGGGGGGGAAGGCTTAAAGTTTGGTTAAGAACTTAACAAGCGTGGATTAGGCCCAAGGATGAATAAAGAAATGCTGAGCAACGGGAGTCCTTGCACACACCAGATCGGTGGAAATCCTGAAGCCGGAATCCAAAGAATCCCGACCCCTAAAGGAACCGCCCAAGTTTTAGGCATGTGCCCCCCCTAAAAAGAAGTTTCGAGCTTGTGCACGGATCGTCTGTACGCTTGAGTTTGATAAATAAATAGAGAGGCAAAAGAAGGAAACAAAACGGTTGGTTCAAACCTGCTGAGAAAATGAAAATCACGATGTCATATATCTTGAAGGCAAAAAAAGAACTGAAAAGCTTCAAGAGGTCATCACAACGCAACCCCCCCCATTCCCCGCACTTGTTGGGCCAGGGTAAAAGAAATTACCACGGCTTGAAGCGGGCTGTATTTAGCAGCTCAAGCTCACTAGCATCGATTATCATTGGTGCCAGGTGTCAAAGGCCCGATATTCCTCTGATCCCTGGGAACTTTTGGGCGAGGGAAATTCATCTTCCTGCAAATCATATGTCAAAGTGGTCAACAGCCATGGCCGCTGCTGGGCTGGTCCCAAGTGTGATGTGCATGCAGCTAGCCTGCAGCCTGCAGGTTGTGTGAGTTCTGGAGGGTGTGAAGTGCGAATGTGATGGATGTGAAGGATTCCAGGGCTGGGAGGCCTTGATGGGGGTTGTTGGAAGGGTTGTTGACAGGCGCTGTGATTGGCGGAGGGAGAGGTCTGCTTAAGCGCCGAACATGCAGGCGTGGATGTTTTCTGTATTTGTGGTTCCTCTTGAATTTGCACGGAGTACGGGAGTATTCTGGTTTGTTTCTGGGTCCTTCTTTCTTTTGTTACTTGTTCTTTCATTGGATTTTGTATGGTCGAGAAAAGGATGATAGCGAGCAACCAATAACGAACTCATACTCATGGATCAAGGCTGTGGAATGGGACACCCGCCGCCCCGTCGCACAAGCAGCCAAGCCAAGGTTGAGGTCGAGTCCAGGTCCAAGGTCAGGTGGGAGGCAGAGATTGTGCTGACTCATCCACCCGCCCAGTGCCAAGCCCAGGGTACTGCCGATACAGGTACAGAAATACAATAACGTGCTAGTGCGGTTTCAGCAGATAAGAACTAGTCCTGTCTAGGTAAGAGACTGCCTGGAAAGCCAATCAGTGCGCGGGATCTGGGGCTGCCCTGGTCTGGCCGCTCCGCCAACGATACGTCACTAGATCCAAAGCGGGAACTTGGGCAAATCCTGGCCCCTCGACACCCCAGCCGTATTGTCGCCGTACGGTAACCGATGGCGATGGCGTATCCTTGCGCCTCTGCGCTCTCTCCGCCCGCAGCGTCGACTCTCATCTTCTTCTCCTCCTCCTCCTTCTTTCTGCTCATCTTTCTCCTCCTTGTCTGTTCTCTCTCTCTCTCCTCTTTCTCCTTCTCCTCCGCCCCTCTTTTTGTCTTCTGCTCGTATCTTCGTCGACATCTTCCTTCATCTTCTTCTTCTTCTGCTTCTTCTTCGTCGGTTCATCTTCGTCTTCACCGCCCATCCTCCTCTCCTGTCTCCTTCGCCCTCCGCGTGGCCCGTATCTCTGATTCTTTTTTCTTTCGCACTTCTTTCTTGTCGCCGTCTCTCTTCGTCCTTGACTCTCTATCCAGCTCTGTGTCTCACCTGCAAACAAAAAAAAAGCTTTCCCTTTGCTCTCGTCTCCTTGGCGAACCCCCCTTTTTTCGGCTCCAATACCAACAGCATCAACACCAGCATCGGCATTCTGTTCCGTTCCAAAACAAACCAAAACAGAGACACTTTTGAAAGGAAGAAATTAAGGAAGAAGATACATCGGGCTTGAATTAGTGGACGAAGACTTGGGTCTAGGTTTTTCTGTCGTCGATTTAAATTAATATCTCCTTTTTTTGCCCTCGCCGTTTTTGCCTTTTTCTGTTAGATCGCGTCGCCCTGCTGGTTGGATCTTGAAATCCTGATTTAACGACCGCGTTTTCGGCCCGCTCCTTTCATCGTCATCGTTATAGTTGTCATACCATATCTCAATCCTTGTCTCGACTCTCCTTACGCTTGAATTCGTTCGTCCTCCGATCCTCTTCGTCGTGGTTTCAACAAAAGAACAGCTATAAAAAGTCCAATATCGCCTTTTTGATATTTTGATTGCCGCTTTTTATTTTTACAGAAAATACCCTCAAAAAAATTCCTTCCGTTCAGCTTGCTCTCCGGTCGCTCTTTGTTGGGATTGCAGTGCAAATCTCTCCATCGTCGGAACTCGCAACAGACACCAACACCCGCACACTCAAAACGGCGTTCAAGAACTCCACTTGGACATCTCACTATTCTCGCTAATTCCCACTGCTCTTACCCCAAAATTATCGTTATTACTCTTATTATTACTATTCTCCTATCGTCACGCCTCGCGCCTAGCAGTCACTCTCTCCTTTAACTGGCCCGTTCGCCAAACGACGAAACTATATTCACTTGTATATCCTTTTTAATCGCCTGTTGGTTCGCTTCTTCTATATCTGAACTTGGCTTCCTCCGGTATGTATAACCGGATTCAGCATCCATATATGGTATTCCCCCTCGTTTGAATCTGATGCTAACTCGAACCTTGCTGCCCTAGAAGAGTGATTTATTTATTTCTGTTTAAACTCGACCCGTCGACTGTTTCTATCGAAACTCTCTACTTTGGGGATACCCTTTTCGGCAGCGTTTCCTGAACGAATACTTCTTAATTTCTTAATTTCTTCGAATCTCCAATCCACCCTTCCGTGAATAAGCCTCCAACGCGCCCTTAAAACGCATATTTTGCGCGAATTTGATCCATTTTCAACCCTGTTTTTTGTGGATACCCACCAACTGACCATTTCTGCAACATCTCGTTAGCTCGCAAGCTAGGCAGTTTTCTTGTGCAGACAAGCCCGGGCACAACAGGTTTTTTTTTCCCTACTACATATAATTCCCTTCTCTCGCCTCTACGAATATACGTCCCTACATATTTCCATTTCCAATTTTATTTCCCTTTACTCACACGACCTTTGAGCATGGACGCTGGCGGTCTAGCTCAGATGACTTACAATAACATGTCTTTCAATGGCGGTTCCCTTGGCGTTCCTGGTTCTGGTTTCGCGTCTCGTGGGAAGGGTTCTCACATCAAACGTCTCAGTGTCCCTCACCCGTCAAATATTGGGTCCATTAATGAATCTACGTCGTCCCCTTCAGTTACCACGCCACGCACTAGTCGTTCCCATCTCCTGGCTGGACTGAGAACTGCTCCAAAGCATTCTCCGGCACCCGCCACTGCTCCCTTGTCCCATCAGCAGCCCCACCCATCGTTGGATCATTCCAGATATGGTGCTCAGCCAAATTCCTATGTCCAGCGCGTCCCTATGACATCAACTGGAGCATTGTTTCCCAATCACGCGAATTCATTCGGCTCCCAGTCAAACAGTAGACATCAAATGTACTCCTTGCCAGAACACGTACTTCCACCTCCCACAATTGATCTCCCAATTGACGAGAATGGAGAACCGATTGACGAAAAGTTGTATGCAGAGCTGGTTTCGACAAACCTTTTCCTTGCTGCCCAACAGCAACGTCTGCAGGAACAGCTAGCCTCAGTCACAGCTGCCGCACAGCAATTCCAAGGGTTGAACCTTGGTTTTTCGATGGCCTCTCAGCAGCAAGTGATGTCACCAACCACCCCGGGAGTGGGTTATTACCAGCAGCAAGCACAACTGGGCATGCAACCAGTTGTGCAGCCGGTGCCTGGACACCCTGGCCTGTTCTCTGTCTACAATCCCATGACTGGCCAGCAGAACTTTGTCATGGACAACAGCCTGCCACAACAGCAGCAGCAGCAGCAGCAGCACGAGGATCCTTCCTCAACGATCTACCACGAGCAGTTCCAGTCTCCTGTGGCGGAAACTCCAACTTTCCATGCTGAAGTCTCCCCTCCCCCGGAGTCAAGTCAATCGCCTGTCCATTACAAACCATCTCCCTCACCACCAAGAACTGCCCCATCCCCTCCACAAGAAGTCACCCCACTTCCTCCACCGTCTGCCAACGCCTTTCGTCGCAATCATAAGAAGGCACCCTCTTTGGTTTCCGCTCTAAAGATCAATAGCGATACAAATAAAACTGCTCCCAAAACCGCCCCACTGCCCACTCCTCTGACAGGCACCTTTGGCCCTGGCCAAGCCCGTGCCGGCGAACACCCTATCCGCCAACCCCGTGGACCTCCTTCACTCGAAGAACTTATCGAAAAACCAACCTCGAAGCACGAGGGAAGTAAGAACTTTGCCACCCGCCAGCGACGACGTGCTGTCCACAATCTCGTGCGGGCCGGCTTAGAGAGGCGTGGAGAATCTCGGGGCTCCCCCAATACAGGCAGTAATAGCGGTGGAAGCCTGACGCCATCCAGCGATGTCGAATTTAATTTCTCAGGTTCCGACGGCGATGACTCTTCTGGTAACCGGAGTGGGGGCAGCTTGTCCAGCAAGCCTAGTCTGGGGAGTATCCGCGCAGCAGTCAACGGTGCTATTGGATCAGAGAGGAAAGAGAAGGAGTGGAGTTATCGTGGCTCTGGCTCTGGGTCGGGTACTCCCAACGGTCCCGTGCGTGGCGCGTCGACGGATAGCCTATATACGACTGCGACAATTAGCAGCGATGAGGGCGGGCTTGTGGGTGGTAAGTTGATGGAGATTCGCCCGGATGATGCCACTGCTGCGATGGGCGCTTTTGGTAGGGTCCCGAGACGTCAATTGTCGCCATCATCGACAACACCAACTACGGCAGCTGTAGTGGCTGGCCATGCTGTGGCGCCTAATATGGGCCAAGGTGGTAACGGTATTGTTGATGCTAATGGTAACGGACGACGGAAGATGCCCATGTTTGTTTTGTCTAGTGCTGAGAAGAGAAAAAGTCCTATTAATTGATGGAGAGCCTAAGGGGGTTTTTTTCTTCTTTTTTCTCTCTTGCTCTCACTCCTTTCGTCTCTTATTTTCTTTTTCACTTTCATTTCTCTATTCCCGTTCGGCTGGGGAAGGATGGCATTGTCATTGATATTATTTTTATTATCATGGGTTCGTTTTTTTTTTTTTTTTTTCCTTTTTCCAGCTTCCTTCTTTTCTCTTCGTTTTATCTTTTTTCATTTTCTTTCCAACTTCTGTTAATTTGTGGAATGTGGGGAGAGGAGCAGGTGTACCGGACGAATGCAGACACTGAGTTGGCAATAACCTGGTTTTCTTCGCTTTTCTTCGCTTTTTCTAAAATTTCCGGTTTGCTGACAGCATTTCTCATCATCCTCGTCCTATTATTAACCACTTTCACGTTGTTTTATTGATTGACTGATTGATGCTTGCTTTCTCGACTTACGGCTTTTTCCACCCATATCCGTTTCCGGTTCCTACTTTCGAGTTTCCTTTGGCCTTTTATTCTGCTACTTTTTTTTGCGGTTTCCAGCCTTCTTGTTTCTGTTTCTTCTCCTCTTTTTTTCGTTTATGCTACACCGCGCGTAGCCAGCACCACCCCCAGTTCGCATCAGGCGCCTGTGCTTGTGTGTTCGTTGAAATTGCTAACGAACTATGAATTGATTGATCGATCGATTGACTTGATTTTGAATCCTTTGAAACCTTGATTTTTACGTATTGTGGATGGGTTTGAATCAACCTTCCGAGTATTTTCGCTTTTTTTTTTATATGGAGATGGTTGGTTGGTTTGTTGTGTGAGGCCTAGTAGGGCAGTAAGGGAGGAAGCTAGAGTGAGAGGCGAATAGTTCTATGACATATTCGAATAAAAATTAACTACGAAAATGCAAGAGTGAAGGAAGAGAAATATTTCCTCAATTCCCAGTGACTATAACCTTTGGTTGTTGTTATTTTGATATCTCCCTTGAAATACAGCTCTCATGCTTTTTGCGGAGGTAACGAGTTCCCTGATATGTTTGTAAAAAAAAAGGTGCGACTTTTGAGAGGATCAATTGATTTGTTCCAAATATTGTTCTTAATTTGTCTTTACCTTTGGTGCCCTTTTTGTGTGTGAGTGTGTGTTTTCTTTTTTCATTAACATTATAATAATTAATATTGGGTTTTGCCAGGTTCTTCATATCTAGTGGTTATATGAAGGTGGATTTGTCTGTGTTCAAACACATGTTTCTATGGTGTTCAGTCAAGGCCTCTGAATAACTAGTATATATTCTGTATGATAAACTATCTTCTTTGATCATATAAAAGAGATAACTTTTCTGTAATATTATATACAATGACTGTATCAGCTTCTCTCTGAATGTATATTTAATAATTATCACTTCACTACTGTATTCTTCTTTCTCTATTCTTGTATTGATTTCTATTCTTAATTATTCTTATTCTTACTCATCTACTTTGAAATTCTTGTATCTCTATATAAATAAGAAAAACTGATAATAATCTCTGTTGCTGATACTGCTGTTAAAGTAGCTACTGTATAAAAGCAGCTATAGTATAATTTTATTATAGAAATAATAGTACAGAGAGAGAATACACTGAGAATCAGCAGATAAAGTAGATTAAAGAATATATAGATAGTATATACAGAGAAGTAGAATAAATGAGTGATAATATATAAATTTATTTTATTTCTATTTCTTCTTTATTTCTGTGTATAAAAAAAGATGAAATTTAATAGATTAACTTCTCACTGCTGCTCAATCTTTACTATCTATATAATAGAAATAGTATAATAAAAAGAAGTTTTCAGATAATCAGATTATCTCTGAGTAGAAGATAATTTAATTTTTTAGTAAGAGAGTTCTCAATTATCTATTTAGAGAAGATTATTTTAAAAGAAAGTATATAAATACTAAGAAAGAAGAGATTATATAGATAATAGAAGAGAATCTGATTAAATAATATTAAATAATTTTTATTAATCTATATTATATACAATAGAGTAGATAGAAGAACTTTTATTCTTATTCAGTTAATTAGATTTTAAATAATATATTAAAAACTTATAGATCTATAAAGTATATATAAAAATATATAAAGTTTATAAATAGAGATGTAGATATTCTGATGAACAGCTATACTGAGCTGAATATAATAAACTTTATATATCAGTATTAAAAAAGATGATAGAGAAATGAAAAATATATAATTGAGTTTTTTCTTTATATAGCAGCTGATTTTTTTATAAATTATTATATACTACTGAGAGAGTAGTTCAGATAGAAGATGTAGTTGACTGATTTATTTATAATTAAATTATTAAATAAAAAATCAACACTCTGCTGATCTTTTATTCAGATTATAAATAATAATAAAATAAATCAGAATAATAGACTTGTAACAGACATGCCACTGATTAAGCAGATATTATTAATATTACAGATTAAACTGTTTATACTGTCTGCACAGTTCATACAATTCATTTCAACAGCAATATCAACAAACTTAATACTATTCTGATAACAGTTTACAAATCAATTAAGAAAAGAAAAAGAAAGAAAATCAGAGAAAGAGATTGTATGAGAGAATTTTTATAGATAAAAGAATCAGAGCAGAAGAAGTATCAGAGATTGTATTCTGAAGAAGTACAGAGTGAAAGAATTATTAAAGTATTAAAATATACACAATTGTGGAGCAGAATTATAAGAAGATGTGAAAGAATTTCATAAGTATATATAAGTATATAAGCATGTGATAGAGGGTTGATTGTGTAAGTTAACTGCTAACAGATGTTAACTCATCACATTATTCTCTTCTACTGAAGCAAGTAAGAATTTGTAGATATTAAATACAGCAGTGTTCTTTATAACAGATGCAGATTCTCAGATTGAACAGTTGTATTCTATTTATTTAATAAGATATTTACAGCAGTAACAATTGATTCTGTTGCTGAGAATTGCTTTAATTTCTTATTTAAATTCATTGTCTTTTTCTATAATAACAGATAATTATCAGTCAGAAATCTTCTGTAAGAGAAACAGATTCTCAGCTATAGATCAGAACAGATTTATATAAAAAATATTATGAATATTAAATGAGATATTCAGTCAGTAGTTATAAATATCTAATATTTCTACTATTATATATTTGATATAACAGTAGTTCAGTGTATATAAGAGATGATTCATTCTTATATTTCTGAGATCTAGTCAAATCTTATTTTCTATATTGTATCAGATTATAGAATTTTTTCTAATATTTGCTTGATTTTTATAGTTCTGCTGAGCACTAATCATTGAAATCTCAGTTTATTTATAAGTTTTCTTAAGCTTGCTAACTATATTCTCTGTCACTTACACAGAACTGCAGATATATATAATCTCTTAGAGAATCTCAGAGAAGTTCAGAATTTCTAAATTATAATTATATAGAAGAAAGAACAGACTTACATCTGTTATAGCAGAATTTCAATTATTTATAATAATCTCAGTATACAGCAGCAGATTGTTTCAGTCATCTTATATATAGTTATAGAACTTTCAGAGAATATTCTTAACTATCTGTATTATTCTCTCAGTAGCTTCATCAGTCTCTGAGTAATATACTATCAACAACTTTCACTCAATTCTCAGTAGCTGATATATACAGATTCAGAGTATGCTGATAAATTAACTGTCTTTATTTAATACAATGAATAAAGATAGATTATATATATAATAGAATGAGCTTCTGATGAAGACATCTGTAATAATCTCAGTATTTATTTTATTACAGAGCTGCAGTATTATATCTTTACTGAGTTGATCAATAATAATTAGAATATTTATAGAATCTTCATTCTCAGATAAGAAAACTGTAAAATTAATAGCTATATTATATTATATTTGTTCAGAGATAAGTAGTGACTTTAGTATTTCTTTTCAGCACTTATACTATACTATCACTGAGCTACAGCAATTATAATTGTGTATAAATCAATGTATATTTTTTAATATATCTGATTAGTAGAATTTTCAGATAATGATACTGTATATAATCTTACACTCTGAGTATCTGATCATTGATAAATCATAAATTTCTTATATAATTTATATTTATAGAGATTCTGAATTAGAGACTCATTATCTATTTTAAAAGTGTAAACAGTTATCATTATCAATCAAACATGCTGAGATATCTGTTCTTAAGTATATATCTGTGAAAAATTGAGATACTTTGCTTTATATAGCTTCTGCAGTCTGTTGTCAGAATTCATTCATCTCTGCTATTTGCTTTCATTACTCTTTAAGTGAAGATTTCTGAGCTTGAAATAGATTAATATATATACAGAAGCTATCTGATTGTATAAAACTTCTTATAATTGCAGAGTTGATTAATTAATATTCTCAGTATTTTCATCTGTTGTCTAGATTATTAAAGAGTATATCTTATTCTCAGTGAAATAGAGCATCTATAAGAGTGTTCTCTGCCTCTAATCAGTAACAGATTGTGAATGAGAAATAGCTAAAAAACAGCAATCAGTATATATACCTCTCTGTAAGCTTACAAATAATTGTAAAGTATTCTAGATTTTTATAATCAGTGACAATCTTGAATTTCTCTACACTCACAAGCTTAGATTTTCACTTTTTGAGATATTGTATAATCATCAGAAGTTTTTTATTGTAGATCTTATAATTGCATTCAGCAGACAATATTTTCTTTAAAATAAAGATGCAGAATTGTAGAATATCTTTACTGTTATATTGTATTAGCACTTCACTTATTATATAATCTGAGATATCTATTTCAAAAATTGTATACTTATCTGAGTCAAATAATTGCAGCATTGAGACAGTTGTGAATATATACTTCAACTTCTTGAAGACAGTATTCACTTTGATAATTCATTGAAATACAGTATTCTTCTATATCAAATCTGTTAGTGGTTGTATAATATTCAAGAAGTCTTTGATAAACCTTCAATAAAAGTTGATGAATTCTAGAAAACTTCTAGCCTCTTTTATTAA